AAGAAAGGAAGGAAGCGCCGAAAGGCAGGGTATATATACAGGCGAGCGGTCACGTGAGTATTCCTTAGCTGGCACGTGACTCCAGAACCGTGACAACGGGTTGGATGCAATAAGTTAAAGCAAGAACCTGATTGTATTACAAGAAGAATTAACTAAAGAGAGAAGAGTTCTTTCTCGTACGAAGAGCTATTTTAAAGGGGCTCTCGCTGGTTCGTAGAATGGCCCGCGCGCTTTAGCGTCGCGTCGTCATGTGCAGGCCCGCGTAGTCACGTGTAGGCTGCACTACGTAGTAGTGCAGCTAAATATCGGGTTCAACCCGTCACAATAATTTATTTTATTTTTTAAAAATTTCGTATTTAATTTCGTTAATATTTTTAATTTTAAATATAATTATTTTATTTTATTTTATTTATTATATTAATTTACGTAATTTTATATAAAATAAAAATATAAACGTAAACGACCAGACGGCAAGCCTGCATCAGGAAACTGCGACCGCCGCATCAGGCAAGGCGCGCGCACGGGCCCGGCGCCGCTTTCGCGGGGTATAAGAATCTCGCGACGCTCCATCGTTCACTCCCTCTTCTTCTTCTTTTCTTTCCAACAGCCCAACAGTCCCCCAACCCACCCCGTTGGCCCACTCTTCCCACTCCTGCACGCACCTGGCATTCGGTCCTTCTACATAGCCCAGGCTCACTTGGCGGGCCGCGCTGCAGCTGAGATTTCATGCATCGAGCAGGATCCCTTGATTGCCCCTCTCAAATTTCGATGCTGAGACCCTCTGCGACGCCAATGTCCTCTTCTCCTCTCAGATCTGCCTCGCATTGGCCAAAATACGAGCTCAGCCAGCTTTGAGCGCTCTCGAGCTGCCTCGCCGTCACACTATCACGGATCTTGATGCCAGAGACTCCGCGCAGGTTGAGATGAAGTGGGACTTGGCCACCAGTGTTGTAGCACAACAACCAGTCGCGGAAATACCTCACGATGACGCGGCCTGGCTTCTGCCTAGCTGCGCCCCTCGTGGATGACGCGTTGAGAGCTTAGTGAGTTCCCTGCTTGCTGCAGAACGTTTCGTATTCGTCTTAGCTGTGCGGATTTGGGCTGATTTGAGGCGGCAGGATCGTGCGAGGCTTCTTCAGAGCCCTGCTTGGCCTGCTGAATATCTGCCGATTGGATTGTGCCAGCCCGTTTTGCAGCCGAGATGCTGGACAACGAGAATCCCTGGAATGTGCCAGTCTGCCTGAAGCCCTCGAATGGGTGGATAGAGCCAATATCCGAAGTCATGCGACCCCTCTCGCCCCAGCTATCCGCATGCGAGCTGAGACGCCAACGACGACAATACCTGTGATGTGCAAGTCTGCCTAAAGTCTTCGGATGAGCGGATACTGTGGTATCCAAGGATATACGACTCAACCCATCCTTCGATTATTATTGCCTCCCAGCTCAGCTTTTCGCGGTCTCGCCAACAATCGAGAAAGGATACTGTGATCGGTAGATTGTGGTGGACAGCGAAGTGGAGATGACGGCTACGGAGGGGCAATAGGCATCATCCGGCATGAGAGCGTAGGATCGAAGGACTCGGAGCCTTGCACTTGCAGTGGATTTCCTTGCGCATGAGAGGGGGCAGCATTGACGCCAAGGCATTTTTGACGGAGGACGTCAGGAAGAGGAAGGGGAATGGCATGCCAGGAGCGTATTCCGGTTCTTCGAGGGCAGTGCGAGAAGCCTACAAGAGCCCTCTGATTCCTCCACTCATCTGCCATCTCTCTGCAGTTTAGTCTGTACAGCTAGCATCAAGCAGAAAATTTCTTAAATACTTTCAATTATTTCCACGCGCTCGAGATGGCCACTCTTGCCTTCAAACCGTATACTTATGTGCCAACTGCTCCGCGTTCCAATAGCGCAACAAGCCGCCGCAAACCTGCCTCGAAGCCAATCAGCATCTTCAACAAGTTCCAGCGAATTAAGACGAGTAGTGCAGAACTCAGCACGCTGCAATCAGCAGCAATTGACGATTGTGGGCGTAACGAGCTTGGAATCCGAGGTAAGTTCTAAGACTGAGATGTTTGGGCTAGTAGTAATAGTAACTAACCTTGGATATCTGAGAGCAGAGAACGGTATAGTCACTGACGAAAACGACGACGACTGCGACCTTCCCTCCATCGAACAACTGCTATATACCACGCTACAGGAGGAGAGCTTTGTAGTGGTGGACCAGCCCTTGAACAATACAACCTTCAAAGTTGGGAATAGAATTATAAATGAGAGAGGCGGCTCTCTTGGTGATAACGGATCAGCGTCAGGCGGTAACCCAAGCGGTAGTCCAGGTGAGCATGCTCTCTATCCTCTATTTTGGAAACAGCCGACTAGTTTGGCTAACATGGTGTAGGAGATCCAATCGTGCTATTGGGCGATGACGACTCAAGTGCCTCTGGAGCCGAAGTCGACGACAGTGGTCTTCTTGCTGAAAGTGCGGCGGCAGATGAGGGCCGCCTCGACAGCCTAGAGACAGCCATCGACTCGACAACTCCAGCCCCTCCAGCCCCTCCTTGCAGTTCCGATGGGTGGCACGATATTGATGACTTCCCCGAGCTGGCTCCGCGCTTGCGGCTTGCGGAACAAGGAGCTTCGACGCCAGAATCTCTGCCTTCTCTGCCTTCTCAGACCTCTTCGCACCTCTCGAGCGAGCTATTACACGACACCACCAGTACGGAATCCAACGCCACGACCCCCTCTCTGAGAATGCCTTCACTCCATCGCAAAGCGTCGCTAAAGACCCAGCGTAGTCAAGAGGGTCGTCTTCACACCGGTCGAGGCGTGGCAGACGAACACGAGCTGATTGACCATGCTCTCGACACTCTCCTCATTGATGAAGGGGCGAGGAAGCAGCAAGAGGTGGAGCATGAACAGAAAAAGGACGATGGCAATACTGAGGATGAAGACGAGGGGCCGCAGCAAGAGATGAATGCTGTGACACAAGCAGTAATGGCTGAAGGACCCGGTGAAAGTCCAAGAGTAGCTAACCGACGGCAATCGCTTCCCAACCTCGACTCATCTCCAGAGCCGAGTCATAACGAAGCAAGAAGCCGAAGCGGTGGTGATAGCGACAGCGACGACGAGCTCAACAGCACTGACTTAGCCGAGGATAACGAGGAAGAACCACGTCCTGCTAAGCGGAAGCAGTCATCATTTCACGATGGCCCAACACGCAAGAAGTGCAGGCGCGGTCTTCAGTACAAGCTTCTCACCCAGCGTCGACTTCTCTCCGAAGCCTATCGTCTGTATCCCGGGTCGCAATCCCCTCTCGACCAGAGGTCAAGAGTCGTCGCTACGAGCTCAAGGGTCAAGGGCCGATTTCTTTCACCAACGCCTTCTATACCACAAAGCATAAATACAAAGATGTCGCTTGGCGACCCTAACCTCAGCCCATCATTGAGAGCTACCCTACCAACGCTGACCGAGATCACTTTCCGTCCGCACTCCACACGCTACTACTCTTTCACGGCAACGATCTGGGATGGCTGTGGCGGTCAAGGTGTCTCTCTCGCCCAGCTGGCTCGACTCATCGCGAGCACCGGCCACGTGGGGAAGATTGACGACTTCACAATCAAGCCGATTGAACAACATTCGTACCTCTTGAGTGGCCTTAGCCGGCATACATCGTCATCGATTACCGCAGAGGCATGCCATGATCGCGTTGATGCGACGTGTACCCGACCCCAGGATGGCAAAGCTGTTGATGCTAGGGATGACGACGACAGTGGATTGAGCGACAGTGATCCAGACCCTGGTAGCGACCATAACGGGGATGGAGATTCGAGCGAGGACGAGCTGGGCCGTTTGAGCATGAGGATGAATGTCCCATGGGATCCTATAGACGAGCAGCGCTTGCTGGCATACAAAAAGGAGGGCAAGTCGTGGAAGTGGATTTTCCACCAGTTCCCAGGCCGGACTCGGGCTGCAGTACGCACACGTTTGAACATCGTACAAGCCAGAGGCGAGTAGGCTGCCTCGTGTAGGTGGACAGACGGCTTGGTGCGCACTTGTCCGGTGACATCTATCGTTTTGTGCTTATGCTCGCGGGTACAAACATATGGAGCTAGCAAGGGGGCTCTCAAAATTTGTTTGATGGCCAGTGATCGTAAAGCTATTACTATCCCTTCTCGTTCCCATACCCGTACCCGTAATGAAGACTCACACTGAGACGCACATACAAACGGTAGATTCCTAGCAAACGTTTCCCTTTATTTGTCTCAGAGCAGATTCATTAATCGGATGCTGGGGATTTGGTATAGCTTTGAATTATGCCCGCACTCTTAAGAGGTGATTAAGGCTTGTTAGTGGAAGGAATCTTTATTCAAACGCGATCTTAGACATTAGAAGCAGAAGGCCAGTTGAAGTTCTTGCACTTGCAATCTCTTAGCAATTCATCACATTGCAGTCAGAATGGGAGACCCTCAGAATATTTTTGGAGTTGGAATGCCGTTTGCATTCAGCTTCCAAGCCACATCAATCTCGTTTGCAGTTACAGTGTAGAACCAGTCAGAATGTCGCCTGGAGACAAGATGGCGTTTGCAATTACATGCCGACAATTTCCTTCTCCACACTTACGTGTCCTTTCGATGCATTGTCCCATTAGTCTATGTTTTGGATATTCGGTTTCAATGCCTGGCAATGATCTGAGACGTGACGGGAGGCTTCCTGCTGTTAAAGCTTTTCGTTTGCAGGGTAATACATATGACGGTTGCAGTGAAGACGGTGTAGGCTATATAGTCAATATAGCTCACATTGCACTTCTTCCATAAGTAAAACTTATACTTTCCATCTATTTTGAGTAAAGACATCTCATCTTACCTCCAGTTGACAATCTCCCACCAAAACTTGAGCTATCTGGCTTGAACCCTCTTCTTTGCATCAAGAGTGCCAATCATGTCGGTTCAAGGAGCCAATCCCAAGTCCCAAGATGAAGCAGCCTTTTCCTCCCTCGGCGCTCTTCGATCCGCAAAATCAACACAAAGACTCAACCAGATTGCTCATGTCAGAGCAAAGGGAGTTGGAGAACACATCTCGCTACCACAAATAGCAGTATGCGGTGATCAGTCTGCTGGGAAGAGCTCAGTCTTAGAAGGAATCACCGGCATTCCTTTTCCCCGAAAAGATGGTGTCTGCACCAAGTTTGCGACAGAAATCACCCTTTACCACAGCACCGAGACAAGTAGCATCATTGCCACGATGATCCCGCACATATCTCGCAGTAAGCCTGACCGCGAACGACTTCAGGCCTATCACCGAGTCCTCACCGATTTCTTCGACTTACCTAGTGTGATCCACGATGCGAGTTGCTTATTGCAACTCAGAGGCTTTGGAACTGATGAAGGTCTTGCATTTTCTGAGGACGTGCTCCGAATCGAAGTGATAGGAGATACGGGACTCAATCTTACGGTCGTGGATCTTCCTGGGCTGATCGCTGTTCCAAATGAGGAGCAAACAGAAGAAGATGTCCAGCTGGTTGAAAGATTGGTCGATTCATACCTCCAGAGCTCGCGAACAATCATTCTTGCGGTCATCCAAGCAAGTAACGACATAGCCAACCAAGGTATCATCCGACGAGCTCGGAAGTTTGATAAAGCTGGCCAGAGGACAGTAGGTATTATCACAAAGCCAGACTTGATCAACAAAAGCACCGAAGGACGCATTGCCCTCCTCGCTAAAAACCAAGACACGACAAAACTGAAGCTCGGATATTTCTTACTAAAAAACCCCGATCCCGAACAACTCGATGAAGGCATCAGCTTGCGTGAGCGGAAGCAAAAGGAACTTGAATTTTTCTCGTCGGCCGCGTGGACAGAGCACCGACTCGATCCAGCCCGTGTTGGTATCGACGCATTAAGAGAATTCTTACAGGATTTGCTCGATCGACATATCGAGAGAGAGCTTCCTAAAGTCCGCAATGAGATCAAAACTCTCCTTGCCGCTACAGAAGCAGAGCTTGCGAACTTTGGTGATGAGCGCCCAACACCAACACATATGCGCATGTTTCTCACTCGCCGCAGTATGGAATACTACAATCTAGCTCGGGCCGCGCTAGAAGGAAACTACTACGCACAAGATACTGACTTCTTTGGCCTAGAAGGGTACTCTATGCGCTTGCGAGCAGAGGTCCACAAATTGAACGGATTATTTGCTACCCATATGCGCGAGACGGGATCAAAGAGGAAGATTGTCGGAATTCAACTAGGAGATACATCTGACGAGGAAAACGAATCTGTGTCTGATGATGGCCAGCTCTTGGTGACCAAACGAGAATTTGACCTCTGGGTCAATGAAGTACGTACACTTGCAATCATCTCGACTAGTCAGCTCTAATTCTCGCAGACCTATATTCGTACTCGTGGCCGGGAACTCCCTGGCAACTACAACCACATCCTCCTTGCAGAGCTGTTCCATGAGCACTCTGATCGATGGTCAGATATCGCGGATCGGCACCTGACACAGCTGTTTCAAGTCACATCGAACTTCGTTGAGAAGGCTTTGACCAAAGTCTTTTTAGAAGACGATGCGAGACAAGAAATCTTACTTATTGCCAGAAACAAGCTAGAAGAGGCATGGAAACTGGCAAATGACGAGCTTCAGAAAATTCTCGCAGATGAGAAGCGCCAGCCAATAACTTACAACCACTATTATACAGACAACATCCAGAACGCTCGAGAGGACTCGCTCAAGAAAGCAATGCAAGCCGCTGTACGAGGAGCAGTGGAAGAGGATTTCAAGGGCAAGTTTCATATTAGCAATACAGCAGTAGACTCGGAGAGACTCCTTAACTCTCTCCAGAGAAGGCTAATCGTCAACATGGATGCTCAGGCCTGTGCAGAGGCTGTGGGTGGGCTCAATGCGTACTACAAGGTGAGTAAGCTACTTGGAGAATAACAGGCTTGGCTTACAGATAATCAGGTTGCAATGAAGACGTTTGTTGACAATATTTGTCGTCAAGTCATCGAGCGGCACTTGCTTTCGAACATCCCTGACATATTCGCACCAACTACGGCAATGGCGTTCTCTGATGAGGATCTTATACGTATCGCTGCCGAGCCAGCAAAGCAGAAGGAGAAAAGGACGACTCTCGCTGCTCTTGCTCAAGGTCTTCGAGACAGTCTGATCGCCTTGCAAAACTAGGTCTCTGAGGACGGAGTTTATTATTCATTTCAGCGAGCTTACTCAAGCTGTCAGTGATACAAGCATCGATCGTGAGGGGGCTATGCATTTACGAGCAGATGCCGAGCCTTGCCTAAATTGAAAGCACTCTATCCCACTACCTACAATCTCATCCTTGTGAACAAAATGTCTCACTAGTTGACCACGCCCAAATAAAGCCTACTCCCTCAAAGAAACCCAGTCTGAACATATGGCTGGACCTGTGCTATACCCTCTGAATTCACATCCACGCTTTGAAGCTTATGGAGTATAGACAATAAACCTATCATTAAAAACTCCCCTCCCAGGAAATCCTATATCACCAAATACGCATTTGCCAAATTAAGAAAAAGTTGATCAGAAAGACTTCGACAGGACGCCTGGAGGAGGAGGTGCTTTTAAATTTTTCATTTTTTCAACTTCTTTTAATCTTGCGGTTAGGCGACATCTCTTCTAGCACCTGCTTCAAAATCCCGAACGCTCAAAATCTACCAGCACTACATTTCTGGTCGTGGGATTCAAAAGCACATTTGGTGGCCATACATCACAATGCTCTACTCCGCAATCTAACAACTCTATAGCTGCCCTACTCGTTTCCGTAGCTAAATCCCGTCCCATAACTAACATTAAATCCTTGCGTTCTTGCTCGCCCGTCTATGACATGAGCAGTATATCAAATATTCTAACCCACAGTGAAGATAGTAGGGATAGACGAGATGAGCAGGGCTTGCTGGCATACAAGAAAGAGGACAAGCCCTTTAAGAAATTCCTAGGAAGATTGGGGGATTAGATATATGGGTAGAACACTACAAAGGAAATGAAGGGGTTGTCATCAAGAGCAGACATGAGGCACAACGACTTTCTGTGAACCAATAAGTGTATTATACAGCGAGTCGCATCTTTGTTAACATCCTTGGTGTCACTGTTTAGCACAGTTTTCTGCAAGCCCTTGCAAGCCCAAAGAAAAGAGCCTATCAACAAAAACGCCTACAAACCTAACTCCTAGTCCTTGCCTCTTTATGCATCTACCTGCTCCTCTTTTCCCAGATGGTCTATTGCCCTGTCAAATGCTGTGATCATCCCATTGTACATTATATCGTGCTCGTGGAATGTGCCTGTAAAGATATCTCCATCTCTAATTGGGAAGAGAGTGGATCGAATCTCGCGAGCTAATGACTTGAGATTCTCGAACTTCGGTGCAAACTCTGCGATGATGTTCTCAAATCGATTTTTTCCCATATAGCCCTGCTTTGTATTGGCAATTTCTGTATATATCCCAGTATACCAACCTCGCAGTATATTTGTCTTTGGTCTTAATAGCCTATTGAGCTTTTGCCTGACCACACCTTCGTAGCCATATCGAATGCACATCCATATAAGGACGTAAAAAAAAGACTCGAGGTCGTGCCGATATGTGTGACCTTTGCCTTCAAGAACCTCGATCGCCATAAATTACATAGTGCCAGTTCGGTGACGAGCCCCACTCGGTATGCTGTCCAGCTCCTTTGCCAAGTCCAAGTCAATTAGTCTTCCTTTCGGCTCTTCTTTGGCAGGGAATTCGGTGATAATGATATTATTTTCGGAGATATCCCGATGAAGAATCTTTCCTTCTTCGAGTAGCGACCTATGGCCTCGGATAGCATCACGCAATGCCTCTAAAAGCTCTCTAATTGATTGATATTCGTGGAGAGGTCGTCCAGCTGGTGAAGTTACTAAGCAGTAGTGCACTCGGTTGCCATACGTCTCACTTTCGCAGTCTGTCAGACTGTCGGCTCCGGCTTCTTGAATACTGTCGACGTTATTCCGCTGCCACTCATTGCGGCAATCGGCAAGACTGTCGACTACTGTTTCTTGAATGCTGTGAGCGCCGATTGCATCTAGCTCGTCTTCTTTAATGCGCACGTTTGCCCCGCTGGTGTGACTACTGTCGGATTTGGATCTCTTCAGTCTGCTACCCCGATCGAGTGTTCCGTCTCTTTTTCTTTTCGTCCCAGAGGAAGAGGTCGTGGTATTACTTGCACCGATTCCTAGGCCCACACCTGCCTAGGGTTCAGCTGAGAGCAGGGAGACATGACACGACATCTTGACAAGACCCCACCAACCAAGGGGCTTGAGTATATAATATCAGGCAATCTCCCGCTGCCAGCCCAACCATCCTTTTCATTTCATAGACAATTTTCGTCTTCTGTACAGAATACACGCGATGGACTTGAGCGAGTCATTTGCTGAATCCTGGTTAGACATCGCTCAGATAGACGTCCAGCAAGAATCACTAAGACACTCGTGGCAGAACGGCCCCATCCAAACTACAAAAGTAATCGAAGATCCTATCTCCCTATTTAGACAATTTGTCTCTGCGGTATCTTCAGACACTTTGAAGGATGTCCGACCTCGATCAGAGGTGGGTTGAAGGCTATTATACTATCTGGCTAGGAAAGCTAATTATTAATCACAATTTTCAACATTTTTACGAGATTTATACATAAAAGCACCGTCCGTGGCGCATCTTTCGTCCAGGAAATCCTTAACCACTTAAGGGACGATTCCCAATCTGAAGTTCAAGGCTCCAAAGGATTCGAGACAAGCACTACCACCAAACAATCATCAAAAAGGAGAAAAGAAGCAGACCGCTCCTACCGACTTCCCAAGTCCTCTCGAACGCAGCCGGAGATTACCAGAGATGGGGCTGAATATTCAAACGAAGCTTCCAGCGTCAAGTCCCAAGTTGGTGACGACACGGCCACCTGTCAATCCGGTCACGGCAACAGGACCGTCATCCAAAGCACCGACAGCCTCGCGACAGAGAAACCTTTTCAAGAACGCGAGAGGGACATTCCCAAGATCACTGCTGAGGAAGTTCCTAAGGAAGGAACGGTGCCTCAGGAAGTCGTACCAAGAAGCCAGTCTTTTGCAGACAGCCACACCCTGCCGTCCATGGGCGGCGAATCAGCGGTGCATCAGTTGAAGTCTACGTACAGCAGTGACAACGCCAAAATGAATGCAGTCCACAGACAATTATCAGTGGCCCTCGACAAGGCGATTGAGGATGGTCAAACTACAATCCGCACTCCCTCGCCAAGCGCAGAACAGCGAGAGACAGCCCTGTCAGAAATCGACGGGAAAGGATCTGACGCTCAAGCTTCATCAGACATCCCGTCCACACCCGTAGGCAAAATAAGCAAAGGATTTCGATCGCCGATTTCTGACGATCAGACCGCCACACCACAAACAACTGTATTTACGCCTATCGTGAACGGAAGACTTCTGTCGCTTTTAACCGAAGATAACTAAGCCGCTTCACCAATAAAAATAGAGATAAATTTGCCCGAGGAACTTCCCACCCCGTCTTGCACAAAACAACAACAAACGGGTCTATATAGCACTACTTCGACAAAAGCCCAATCAATCGATCGGGAAACGTCGCCCCCCACTCAAAATAGCCCGGCTAAACTATCGCTATCCTCACCTGAGAAAACATTTATCGACATAATCGCCAAAATAGTCCACCTTCTCTACGTGATGAGCAGACGCTGCGAAATACCTAAAGAAATCCATTCAAAAATCCTCACCACGATCCAACCCAGCCTAAGTAAAACACCTGCTACTGCTGCTACTGTAAAATGGCCGGATTCTACATATATCACTAGCAGCTCGACAACTTAGTTAGCCTCTATGTGAATCAACATGCTCAAAGCGGGCCACGCTCGGTCCAAAGAAACAACCATCCTTAATATGATCGAATGGATGGGCGCTTTAGAGTGGTACGACGCCGAAATTCAATAGGTTAAGAAAGCACCGCTTTGTACAAAACGTGGGACGCTCAGGAAACGTTTGGCCACTATCGTGCTAGATAAGTATTTAGAAGCGGCGTGTAGCACTGCGGCGACGGAGGGCACTGACAACCCCACCTCTGTCGACACCAAAGATCAATCACTGGACGCAATAGGAATCTAAACCAAAATTTTGAATGCGAGGAGGAAAAAGCTTAATCAGATTTTCCACAGAAAACGAGCACTACGAAACCTGGTTTAAATAACACATCTAAGCATTTTGTTTGATCCCGATATATAGTACGTCTTATAATACGTACACTATAGATATTTGCTGACTTTGACTACGTTATTAAGAGTTTTGTAAAAGCGAGTAAACAAGAAGTTGAGAAAATTACTGCCAACTTCTAGGTAGATCCGCAAAAGATGGAATTGTTGTCCCTCCTCGACGAGCAAATGAAGTTGTTGGCTGAGGAAGGACGACCCGACCTTTCTCGCTTCCTGGACTCGCTTAAATCGCAATCTATTATACCCTTAAAGGATATCTCATATTTACGAGCAGAGTACGGCTTCGAGAAAATAAACTAATGCTGGGCTGTTGATTGAAGACGTGTACTAATGAATTACAGGAACCCGTACTTTAAGGCTGCTTAGATATTGCTATTAATCGCACCATCGAAGGGATCAGCCACGTTTTCGACAAAAGGTCTTTTAGTGAAAACGATGCTGTTACAATAAATGGTGGAGTTGAACTTTTATATAGCATATTCGATAAACTCCGCTCTAAGAAATAACTCAATTGTTGGGATATCACGGCCGCTCTAAAGATGATTAATAGGCCTGCATTTGTGCAACTTGGTCCCAGCATCCCACTCCATAAAAAGAATGCAAATGGCAAGGTCACGCCTTTTTCGAACCCCCTCTATCGCTAGAGAAAGAAGATTAACGAGTACAAATGTAAAAACAAGAATAACCTCGAAAGCCCACAAATGTACATTTGCCCGCTAAACATTAACGCTAACCACTTTACCCTACTCGAAATTAATGAATAAACGAAGATGATCTACCACTATAATTTAATAGCAAGCAATGAGATTATTTATCGCAAAATGAAGCCTATTGCGATAAAATGGGTAGTAGAAGTACGTGGATCAGACAGTTTATTCAATAACGGAGCTAACTTATACAGATTAAATTTAAGGACTTGGGTTTAGGATATATTGAGGTAGTAAGTACACATTTTAATACATTATCGCATGCTAATTTAGCGGCCAGCCTACTCCCCAGTAGAAAGACGGATGGAGTTATGGCCTAATGGTTATACGCAACGCCAAGCGACGAATGATGGGACTCTCAGTTGGTACTTGGGAGGACGAGATAAATCCAGACCGGGTAGTTAAGGAGGTGGTCGGAGATTGTTAAATGTTTCTTGAAAGCGATGCTTTTCAGCTAAGTCACCTTTCCAAGAAACGAAAGGTAGTCGAGGGTCTCTAGAGTAATATCCCGGAGCCAAGTCGGAGTTCTAAAAAGCTTAAACAAGCGAATGGCGGCTCGTAAGTAGCTTCTCTGAGAGGTGGTTAAGGGTCGTGTGTATAAGCAGCAATTTCGCTGGATTGTGGAAAATAGAATCTCCCTAGCAATCATAGTATTATTCACAACAACTCATAAAGACGCTTTTACAATTTTGTTAAAGTGTCATTAATACTAGCAAACCGTCTTCATACACGAACAGCCTGCGACGGACGCTCTTTGTATTCCCAGATTGCATCGTGAGACCTTCATTCTCATCATTCCCTTTCCAGTATTTTCTGTGCACCGAGCCACGCCGAAGTTGAATTTGATAGGTTTAACTTTCCGACAGCCACCGAGTTCCTCCGAGTATATGAACTTCCCTGCTTGTGTATTACGTTTGGCTTGTTTAATTTCTCCCTTTCTTTTTCCAATTCTCTTCTCTTCTTCTTAATGCTTTCAATTTCTTGCTTCCTTATCCTAGTTTCTTCCTCGTCCTCTCCTGCTCGTACCAATTGTTCCCACTTTGGTAACCCTTCCCCCTCGTGAATACAAACTTCTTCAAATTGCATTTCCAGCTTCGAATCCACCCAAGCGCCTAGAAGACCAACTGGGTGCGCGTTGCCTGTTCGTGCACAATTCCGAGCAATAACACATGGAAACAAAACAAAGACCCCATTAGCGATTTCCTCCTCCGGCTTCTAGAAGCTTACTAGGTTAAGATTAGGATGCACCTGTAATTCGCGCTCGTCCGTTTGCACAATATTTTACAAAGAAATAGCGGACGCGGCGAGATGAGTAAAGTCTTTTCGAAGAATTAAATATATCTTCGGAGAGAGTAAAAATAACAAAACCTTTATTACATTTTCGTGAATAACTCCGCGCGTTTAGTTGACGTTGATTAGGAATAGAAACTGCGTACAATGAGAGTTGTGAAAGTTCTTGCAGCGCGAAAACCACTTCTGTTTTCGTGTGAACTCTTGGCTAGTCCATCATAGATTTAATTAAATAACAAAATTTGCTTTAAGTCTTGCACTATTTGCTCAAATGAGAATAGTTGCCAGAAGATAGCCTAAAGCTAAGAGGAGATAACTCGTTAGAAGTGCGCAAAACACAGCTCTTTAGACATAATATTATTGGAAATAGGAATAGATATAAAATTATTATCTATTTCCTCAATCTTGTCATGAATCGTTGCATCAAGATCCTAATATATATCAACGAAATAATCATATTATAATCTTGTAATTTCGGAAATATACTTCAATTTTTATCTGTTCAATATATCGGAAAACTATAGTTTGAACGTTACTGTGCATCTCGAAGAATTCGCTCTTACTATTAAAGATTAGAGATTGCTTCTTAAGGTTTAGAACGATTCGATACACAGAAATACTTAATCGAGTTGGCACATAATCCAAACTCATTCTCTGCCATCTTCAATTTTTAGCTTAATTCATCGGCCTCGGTTTCTAATATACTCCTCAATTTTTCTGTATCCTTACACTTTTTCTCAGCATCTTTCAATTTGAATCTCTGCTCTTCGAAACCCTTCACAAGCTCGTTATTCTTAGTTTATAGATCCGATATTTTCTTCCTATCATTATCTTAGCTTTTCTTTATTACCTTTTCAAGATTTTTTATTCGCTTAATATACTGTTTGTGATGTTTTCTCTCAAGTTTCTCCTTCTCTTCTCGTAGCTTTAAAACTTGCTCTACTTCCTTTTTTTTCTTTATATCTTCAAATTCGCGTTTCTCTTCTGCAAATTGCTACTTGTCTTTAGCCATTTTCTCTTTCCAAACATCAATTTCTTTTCTATCCTCATCAATAGCTGCCATTTTTTGGCTAACTTTTGCTCCTTCTCTCCTTCGAACTCTCAAAAATGCTTAATAAAAATTCTATAATCGCTACACTTCTCCGTCATCTCGTTAAATTGCTGCCGAGTTATGTCGACCTTTTAGATCTCAATTTAATATTTAGCATAAAAAATCAAAACAACTTCAATGGCCGTCTAGCTAGCTTCCAGCTTCATCTTCAGATCTTCGACAATGGCAAGATAAGGGTCAAGCTCGAGGTCAGCCTGCGCATCGAGCGATTATCGACTTTCAGACGTTTCGTTATCATGTCTGTTATTAGGGACGGCGGGGGTCCTATCCTGATTCCGATCTAGACCATGAACCGCCAGACGCTCGAGCTCTCAGAAGAAGTGCTCGGCAAGACACATCCATCGACGCTTACAAATAGGATCTCTTCCTCTTTTAGTTAGGGGATTGACTTAAGATGCTCGGTAGCAATGAGCATCGCTGAATGGATGGCCTAAGTCAACCTGAGGACCTGTTGATCTCATTTCTTAAAGACATCACCCGAATTAAGATGTTTTAATACTACTTTCTTTTATTCTCTCTATTTGATCAAGCTTTCGTACGTATAAAGTCAACAACCGTTGTCAACTGTCTCATGCATGTCCTATTGCGTGAGCTTTTGTGAGTGTTGCTGGGAAGATAGATAGAAAGGTTCTATAATGGATCTGAGCAAGAGTAAATATGCCTTTCCCGTGGTCCTGAAACATGTACAGTGCTAGTAACAGTCCTATTCGAATTTCATTTCCCAATGTTCAATCTATAAGAAGCATATTGTAAGGACAGTAGTATGTTACGTGCAGCCCGCTGATCCTATCCTCCCTTCGGCACGAAACCAACCAAGCAAAAAGCAGAAACAATGGATGACAACAAATTCAAAAATGAAAGCAATCCAACAATTTCCAGACATCATTTTGAAAAAGAGAGTCTCAAGGAAACCAATTTCTTGGACTATATGCCATAATCCGCACTCGTGCTCCTAACAAGCCGAACTAGTGGAAGTGGTAAACCCGAATACTATCGAGTTGCTAACCCTGTTATACCCTAAAGATTTGTTAGCAAGCGCAACGGGAGTTTTGAAAGTAATATGCTGACCATCCACATGATTCGGACTCTTCTCAGATTGTAAAGTGGCACTGCACTTGTTGTCCAACTGAGCCAACGCAAACAACATATCAGTCCCACCACTTGTAGCTGTTCCGACATTGCAGATAGTATTTTTCTTGTAAACACAAATAAAAGCCATAGCATCTCCATAGACCGAGTAGTAGTTTTTCTTGGGAAGTTTCGTCACCCCATCGCACTGACCTTCCAACTGAACGAGTGCTGAGGCGTAGTCGAGAGATGCGAGAACAGTATCGCCACAGGTTATACCGGTCCATCTTGGGCTGAACTTTGCACTGTTTAGTGCGCGTGGAGTGAAAGAGGTCCCAGTGGATAGATAGTCGAGATCTCGGCTGACCAGCGTTCCGTCGATTGATGTGTGAGTTCCATCGGCTGGGTCGTAGACATAAACACCATTGGGGAGGCCCGCTGGTGGAGTGAATCCATATGATACTTTTGCCAAGGCAGCAATCAAGCAGACTATGAAGGTAGTTTAGTCATGACGAAAAGTTGGATGTCGAGTAAGTAGTTTTGAAAGAAAGACTAGTCGAGGACTTGAAAGATATATGAGATCGTGTATTTTGATATGTTGACCGATGTCTTGTAAATTTGTGTTAGGACTGTTCAAACTTTGTGTGAATGCTGATGATGATGGAAGAAGTAAAGATGATGTGGTTAAGTTGAACTCTTATAGGTCCAAGAGATGACATTATCATGGCTTCGAGCAGCTCAATTGCCAACTTCCATCTTCGTATTCCCTTCGTGAAACATTGAACATGTTATGGTCTAACAACTGGGCCTTGATCCTTTACGTCGGCCTTGGGTTCATCCTGAGTTATTGATATCCAAGCCTTGACTCCCACCCCATTTTTCCTGGTCTCCCAACAAAGTCACCGCAATCCTTCTCATGTTGTTATCATATCCAATGCGATAATATTTTTTTCTTGCCACGTTGATACACAATCCATGAACACCCACAAAGTTGCTGGATCCTTCTCACATTAGGTTGACTTTCATTCTGGTAACATTCCTTTCTGGCCTCATCAATACTCAATTAGATGCCAACAACCTCGCCGTGATCCTTCTCGCAAGGTAAGTAATCTCCCTTCCGGCCTCTGTTGTAGCTTCAACAAACAAACTTACAAGTTGAAAGTTACAACAATCCTTCTCGTATCAGAATGAATTCCAGTTCGGTCCCTTTTTGATATCTGGCCACCCAACACCAACAGACTTGACGGAATGATCTTTGTGATATACCCGGGATTTAAGAAGTTTCTATTGGTCTTTAGTTTGATGATGACTTTTTATTTAGCTAAATTGTTGGCCCAACGAACATGGCTCGGACTCCCAACTTCGGGACCCGTAGAAGTTGGCCACAATAGAAGACCGCCGACATATCAAAATAGAAACTTACGAAGAAATAATCAATCAAGACACGGCCACAGACTGTAGCCATCTCTTGTTGGAGGCAGTTTTCTTTACGTGGGCTTGCAACAATGAAGTATGAGAAAGCCTCGCAAGCATTTAATTCTTCGTGTATAAAAGTTCTCATCAATCTCCAAAGAATACCTTACTTGGACATTGATACAGTCTCTTATCAGCCGATACTGACGGAGTCTTCTATTTTCGCAGAACATACTCACTCTTTCGTCAACTCCAAAAAATCGTTGCCAGTTTCCAAGATCTGAGATTTATTCCTACCGATTGTGCAATATGAAGCTATTATTCCTCCCTTCTGTAACACAACTCCATTTTCGCGGATTATAGTCATTGCAGCTAACATAAATAGGTTTTAGCTTTCCTTGGAACTGTCATCGGAACTCCGTTAGGCTTTCCAGAAGTCAAAGGTGTGGAGTCAACAGCCATCCTGGAAGCACGTCAAGTGTTGCAATTCAACAGGGGCATCAACATCATCAAATCATACGCGACAGCCGTGAATGGTGGGTTTTCTGCGGGCAAAGTCGTCATCACTGGAGCTGTACAGGCCACCGGTGCCATCAGAGATGTTTTCACCGAAGGAAACATCGGAGCATATATTGCACTGGCCGCATATCGACATCTCCAAGAGACCTTGGCTGTCACAGATACCGGTTCGGCTGCAGTGAATGCTGTTTTTCAACACGCAACTTGGACGCCAACATATGGGCAATTCAACGGGAATACTGGTTTGACTATTACCGCGGGGATTATGATGGATACTTCCTCCGCTATTTTACAACTGGGGCAAAATGACTTTGATCTCATGTGCACCACAATTGCAAACTACTGGACGGATAATGGTCAGTTTTCCGATTTAACCACGAAGATATGTTGCTGACTTTGAGATTTACCAAAAGGAGCCCTTGTTGTTAACGAATTCTATGCACAGAGTGGAAATGCTTTGCAGGCTTTCCCACAAGAAAGCGCCAGTTAGAAGATGGTCTGGTCCGAGCCAGGACCAATACAGATCTGCAGGCACAACAAGTTTGTACACGCCCTATTGATATGCGTCCGTACTTCAGCAACACCGATGCTCCTGAGTTAACGACGACTGACACCGGGTGTTGAAGCTGCAAAGCCCTGTCGAGATTTGCCGCCAGCGAGGGAACGGGCAGCTATGAACAGAGTGGCGATTTGAAAATTCGGGGCTCAGAAGAAGATTTTTCCTTCACAACTTCACTCCTTTGGCTTTGATTTGATTTTCTGGATTTTGAACTCAACTCCGTTCTATTGGGAACTTTTTGTAAAGTGGTATGCCTGGATAAACACTTCACAAGGGATTCCATCTCAACACATTACCCTTCCATGTCCAAATGAAAGTCTCCAACTCTGGTCCCAGAACCACAACAGGCCTACAAGGCCGTAGATTTGAATGCCTAGTATCGATCGGCTTTTCCTCTCGTGACTTTCCTCTTGTCAAAACCGATTTTATGCCCATCCTCATATCTGCGGCCTGAATAGCAATTTTCAGTCCCTTCGGTGGATTTGGTAGACCACCAAAATCTCCTTCTTTCCACACAACTTTGAAGTCTACAACTGTCCCGAAATATCTAAACCAACGCTTGGTGATATTGTGGAAGTGTTGAATATCCACCGGCACTCCCTGGTATTCTATTGCGATACTAGTCAGTTTCGTACCGATAGGAAAGAACACTGATGCATCCTTCGTAGGAATATTATTCATGTCCCTGAATCGTCAATACCAAGGATTTTCATCTCAGCGAGGGAGTAATGTACTTACTTGAGACATATCTGAGTAACGCGCTGGAGTTTTATTTTAGACATAGATTGAAAAGCTGCCTGATTCTCATCTGAGAGGACAAAGATATGTTCTTTGTAGAAGGTCTCAAGTACTTCTGCGTACAGAAGAGGATCCGGGCGAAGAGCCGCAATCAAGCCCGTCGAAAGCCCATCCATCTTGATCGCGTACGAGAAAACCATTTTCCGAATTTCAGGTGGGAGCTGACGAAATTCCAAAGTATATTCTAGAGTAGATTCTTGAATCCCTTCGATGACCTTGCAATTTCCAAACTTTGATTTGTAAATGCCACAATTGCTTAGTTCGCATGCATAAAGGGAAGAGTAGATGGCCAAACTGCTCTCAATGACACTTCGAGACGAATCAACGCCATTTGTCGTCGAATTGAATATTTCAGTATGGTGAGCACTGCCACCTTCGATTTCGCAACATGAGAGAAGTGGTATTGTCGGAGAAGTGTCGTATTCGCCAATAGTTTTCATCCGAATATGACAGTCTTTCAGCTGAGAGGTCTCGATTTTTCCCCCATAGATAGTACAACCGACGAGGATACAATCTTTCAGATTGGAGTTATGGATGGTCATCTGAAAGAGAACGTGTCCTCGTACAGTCCCACGGAGTAAGACCTCACATGCTTTAAATTCTGGAGGTTCTCGACCTGCCTCTATCTCGCGTAATCTGATGTGGTGTAAAGGAATTCCCAGGTGAGACTGTCCATAGAGTATGATCAATGGGTATTCATGGTTTGCAGGTCGAACTGGCGCTAGAGATTTGGAATTGCTGATGAAATCTTCCAGCTCGACTTTGATACGTTCTGAGCTTTCAAGGGAAGTCATCCTGCTGTGATGCTAGTGATACAACTTGGCGTGGTGTTGTATGACTTGTTAATTGTGGATTGCATAATGAGGTAGCTGGAGAAAATTAAAGAGACAGATCTCGCAGGTGAGATGTTGGAGTTGGAAGTCAGGCCAATCAGATCTTTGTACGAAAGGGGGTTGCAAGAAATAAGCGTCAGGCCCTTGGCGAGGCGGTGAGGCCTAGCTTCTTGCCGCTTCCACCACCTTCTCTCTCAAACATCACCACTTTTATAGTCCATTTCCTCATCACCAACTCTAATATTTCTTTTCAAGCATCATGACGTGCGTACCCAAAAGACTCACAGCTCGGCGGGAGCATGAGACACCTCGCAGAGCTCGATTCCGTGGATATCTGGAAGAGGGGCACTCTCAAGTGATGGCAGCTCACTTGGCCAAAGTGCCTAGAACTACTGCGAGAGGATGGCTTGATTCTGGGGATCGGAGGACAGGGAAACTTAGGTGTGGACGTCCTCCTATCATTTCTAATGAGAAAGTAGAGGAAATGATTAAATGGTTCACAGGGCACTTCGACCGTAGGGCTCTGCCACTACAAGAGATCGCTCGAATTCACAACATTAAAGCGAACGATAAAACCATTCTATCTGCCTTCGCACGGTACGGCTATCATCATCATACACCCGACTGCAAACTATTTCTCTTAGAAGCTACGAAACGCAAGAGATACACTTTCTTTATCGAGCATTACAATAAACCGGTCGAGTGGTGGAGAAAGGGCATATACTGCGATGAGATGACTACAAGCACTAATCTCCATAGACGCCAAAAGATATTACGCAAACGCGGAGAACGAAGACGACTTGATTGCATTCAATTCACATTCCATTCTGGGAGGAAATCGGTTCATTGCTGGGCAGCGATTGGATACAATTTCAAGAGTAGGATACTCTTTGTTTCTACCGAGGGCGAGGGAAAAGGCTTTACACAAAAGAAGTATGAGGATCAAATCCTTCGCGGGGCTCTAGGAGAGATATTCAAGGAGCGTCGAGGGTTGGGTTACTTTTGCGTCGAGGATGGAAGTAGAGTGCATGGGAAAACGGACACAAGGAAGAACCAGGGGCTCTGCAATAAGGCAAGAATTGAATGCTACATCACCTCAATCAATTGGCCTCCTACTTCACCAGATCTCAACCCAATTGAGAACGTGTGGAGGGTTTTAAAGCAGCTGTTGAGGAAAAGGAGGCCTCATGGCAATTGGACACTAGAGGAATTGAAGGATGCGGTCACAGATATTTGGGATAATGAGATCTCTGCAGAAGAGCACTTCAACAAGTATATAGACTCTATGCCAGAGAGACTCGAAAAGGTGCGGTTTAGGAAGGGTGGACAGACTCACTGGTAAAGCAGCAAGGTGGTCCTTACTGTATATAGCAAGCACCATTCCTAATCAAGATGACTTGGCATGGCAGAAATAGGGGGGGTGACGCTTATTTCTTACAACCCCCTTTCGTACGAAGTATAACCTGGTTCTCAAGAAGAGGCCAGAAGGCCCTTGCCCTGCCTTGCAGCATGAAGTTACCGGGTTGATATGGACGCGACCATGTGCTGATCACATGACTTACAGTTGAGATATCCTTATTGATAATCATAATCAGATTGATGAATAGATGAAGCCGAAAGACCTTTTTTGGTATGAATGAAATATATGAAGATTGTCGGCAACTGAGCTGGCAATTTGATTTCAGGTAGCGGTGACCAAAGGGGGTCTCGAATACCAGTATCATTCCAATATTGACAAGCACAAAATCGATGGTATAAACAACAACTGTATATTTCTTTTTCTTTCTGGTGGACGCTTTCTTGCAAGTTTGATCGTCAATTTCTCTACTGCACTTGCATACAACCGGTCTCGATAACGGATTGGAGTCATTGATCATTGATCGACGAACCGCCCGCTACGGAGATATCTCCATCTCATCTTGCTAGTCGCTTGCACTAAGACCACGGCTCAAGATCTAATTTATATGGTTCTCAACCTCCATGGTCTTCGTCCTTATGACAAGATAAGATAATCTCAAGGAAAAGGGGGCATTAATCAGACTAAGGTTCTTCGGAGCTGTTGTTATGGATGTTGAAACAAGAATCTAACTTGGCATGCACCTTGACCATACATAGGTAGTCCCTTAACAAATACTCGAGTATACATAATGGACAAATTCGGTATAACTGATCAGGAATAGTTTCTAAACTTTAGCTCTAAGTGGTCAGTATACGCTGCATCACATGTCAAGGAGCCGAGGTTGAAGCCGAGGTCGTTCTATGCGCGCTACCCTTCCGGAATGATCTCAAGCTTCCAGGAGACCGCAAATCTGGGGTAGCTCTGCAGCCGCAGCAGCGAAATGAAACTCTAGAAAACCCAACTTCTCGGGCACCCTTGCCAGATGGGGACCTGAGTTACTCTATCCTAGACTAATGTACATGTGTGGAAGAGCGGAGCGGGTGATGTAGGAAGAGCTGGAACAAGATTCGAACCTGAAGAAAGATGCAGATGCCGCCCGTTAAGATTTGACCTTAACCTTAAGAAGTGCGTTCCGTGTGGGGAAGTTGCCGATTGGCATGTATGGGAAAGTTGGTCGCATGCACGAAGGCCATGGACTTTTACGAACAACACTCACTGTACGGAGTACACCACCTGTCCATCACTTCTCCGACGACTTTTGGAACGGTCTTTTCCTCTTCTTGAGCTGAACAGATACCATCAAATATCAGCAGATTTGTAATTCGGGGAGCGGCAAACGGGTCGATGACCTCAAGAACCGCCGTCGAAGCCCGTCGTTGTTGCAAAGTCGACTTGTTCCTGTTAGTCTTATGACGATTGCTAGCCTAGAGTTTGCTAGCACCGGCTCTTGAGGCGTGTTGTCGACGGGATCCCTTCTCGCAGCCCTCCCGTACGATCTGCAACACCAGCAACTCCTCCTTTCCACAATTATTCTCTTACTCCTCACCTGCTCGTGTCCCCGGATCCAGGCCATGTCAATCTACCGGTAGACATCGCAACGTCTTCCCCTTTCCGAAATCTCCCATACGCGCGCAGGACCTCTGACAGCATTTGCACCTAATGCCCTCGTAGACGCTGTAGTGATAAGTGTAGAAGCCCTCAGGATTCCTCCCCAACATCAATATCACGTCCCGTCTCAGGTCGATTCCAACAATAGCAGATTGCACTCGCTCACTCACTCACTCGTTCACTCTCGCGTTGCATATATTATTTGCATGAAGACTCTGTGCGTGACCGGTTTGATCCCAGCACCTGCTTACAGAGAAGGCATCCTAAGCGAAAAGCGTTAGAGAGGAAAAGGAGCAGCAGCCTCGAATTCGAACTTGGAAGGAGCCCAAAGCAACGACGACCTCACAACCATTCTGCCTCCACGCGCACACACGAGTGCAACGATCCGCAATCGACCAGCGCATGCGAATTATATAACGTACAGTTGGGAATGGAGAGCTCTCTGGCAATGACATCCGCCGAGTCTGCTGCTGCGCAGCCGCGTCCTGCGTACCCTTCAGCATCAAATGGACCGCCGGGGACAAATCCCATGCCTCCCAACCAGCAGGCGGGCCACCCATCCTTCCGCAGGTTCGTTGATGATCTGCACCTGGTTACCATGATATACTGACGAGAATCAAGACAGCGAGCGTCGCGCGCATGTGAAGTTCGTTAAGTTCCTGTCCCTGAAGCACTGCATCTGGTTTTATATGAGTTACCTTCTGCCTCGGCACCTCGGCGGGGTCTCGAGAAAGAACTTTGCTAATCATAATCATCACCATCCAGACATGCCATGCCAGAAAGGTCCGATGCGACGCCGCAAGCTTAGGGGTGCCTTGCACCAACTGCGTCGCGTTCAGTATAGAATGCAAAATTCCGACACCGAAGAGGAAGAAAACTGCTGCTGGCAAGGCGAAGGACTCAGACAGTGATCGTGGCGAAGGCGTCGACGAACGTTCCCCTCGAAATGAGTCGCCTGGTACAGGTCGAAGCACGAGCGTCTACAATACTCAAGATGGAACTCCTCCGACGTCTCTGACCGAGCAGCACTACAAGGTCCGGCAAGATGACGAAGGGACGTATGCACAATTCATGAAGCCAAAGTTCACTCGAGCTCCGATCAAAGAAGCTGGCAGAGTGGCATACCTAGGAGAATCCTCGAACTTGACATTGCTGGTTCATGACCGACATGGCACAGCAGATGTGGTACATTATCCTCTGCCTGAAAATGTCAGAGGATCTAGAGCGAGGTTGACCGAGCTGGACAATGTTGAGATTGATATCCTACATCAGCGAGGCGCCTTCTTGCTACCACCGAGGTCTCTTTGTGATGAATTGGTCGAGGCATACTTCAAATGGGTCGCTCCGATTGTTCCAGTCATCAATCGGAATCGATTCATGAAACAATATCGAGATTCAAAGAATCCTCCCTCGCTGCTCCTCTTACAAGCAATTCTGCTTGCAGGATCTCGAGTCTGCACTAACCCTCAACTCATGGATGCGAACGGATCTACAACTCCTGCCGCGTTGACCTTCTATAAACGTGCAAAGGCACTGTATGATGCAAACTATGAGGATGATCGAGTCACCATTGTCCAAGCTCTTGTGCTTATGGGATGGTATTGGGAAGGTCCAGAAGACGTGACCAAGAACGTCTTTTATTGGAGCAGAGTAGCCACAATTGTTGCTCAGGGCTCAGGTATGCATCGAAGTGTCGAGGGATCTCAGCTTAGTCAAGCCGACAAACGACTTTGGAAGAGAATATGGTGGACGCTCTTTACCCGCGATCGATCAGTAGCAGTAGCCTTAGGTCGTCCAGTACATATTAACACGGATGACTCGGACGTCGAAATGGTCTGCGAAGAGGATTTTATCGAGGACGACAGCGGAGACCCGCCCGAGTATCCACCAGATCCACTTCATGTGCAGTTCTTCCTGCAGTATGTGAAGCTGTGTGAGATCATGGGTCTTGTGCTCTCCCAGCAATACTCCGTCGCATCCAAAGCTCGCCGCCAGAATGCCATCGACCTTACCCATAGTGATATGGCTCTCGCCGATTGGCTGCAGAATTGCCCGAAAGAGGTTTACTGGGAGATGCCCAGACATCATTTTTGGTCTGCATTACTGCATTCGAACTATTACACCACCCTCTGCTTGCTGCATAGAGCTCATATGCCACCTGCCTCTAATTCGAAAACTGGTTATATGGAAGAGGGGGTCTATCCGTCTCGTAACATCGCTTTTCAGGCTGCTGCTATGATCACGTCGATTATTGAGAACCTTGGAGCACATGACGAGCTTCGCTATTGTCCAGCTTTTGTTGTCTATAGTTTGTTCTCGGCACTTATCATGCACGTCTACCAGATGCGATCTTCAGTTCCGTCTGTAGTCCAAGCAACACAAGAGAGAATCCGGATCTGTATGGGAGCTTTGAAGGATGTCTCCAGAGTTTGGCTGGTCGCAAAGATGGTTTATACTCTGTTCGAATCTATTCTTGGGAACAAAGTCCTTGAAGAGAGGCTTCAAAAAGCTGCTGGGAAGCGCCACAAAAAGATGGCACAGAGCATTACCCAAGGTATCAACCAAGCTAATCAAGTAAAGCGAGAGGATTCGTCAGGAAAGCGAAAGTACGATGACATGGCTCTGGACTTCAATGTCAACAACGGACCAGCTCCACAAGAGTCATATGAGCGATCTCGACCTCAGACACCAAGCCACACCCCTGGACGTGAGATGGGCCATAACATTGCCCCAATGGCTGCTCCGCCAGTGACCTCTCCAAACTCAAGAGCAAACCAAGATACCTTTATGGGCGGCTCGAACTCTCGTCCACATACCAGGCCTCCCACGCCATTCAATCCATCCTTCTCTGTCCCAGCGACTCCGCCCGATTTGTATTTGGTAACTCGAAATTCTCCAAACTTGTCACAGTCTATCTGGGAAAATTTCCAACCAGATCAGCTATTTCCTGAAGGTTCGACCAACATACATGCCACTCAATTCTCGCCACCACAACCTAATCACAACCTCGACCCGAATTTGATGGCCCCTCACGTGAATCTCAATCAACCAATGCCAAATCAAGGCCAATCAGCACAACTCCCACAGAGAATGCGTCCAGGACCTGGTAGTAGTCCACCACAAATGATCCAGGCTGGCATGGGCTACCAAATCCAACCACAGATGTGGCAGCCTGGTTTCGACCCCTCCCTCCAGGACGCGCAAGGACACAGTCCAAGTGACACTCTTAGTAATGCTTCTGCTCAAGCTGTACCTATGACTATGAATGTTGAAGACTGGTAAGCTAGCTTAAAGTTTCCAAATTTACAATTCTTGGACTGACATTTTTAGGTTTCAATTCTTCGGCATCAATGGTGATCTTAGCGGCATGAATGGCGATGCTTCTCTTTGTTGATCCGTTCCCAAATAACAGCGAACTAAAGGATCAAGTGGCGTTATTTTGATTTTGCTGGGCAGGACAGGAAGGCGTGACAATTATTTCTACAAAAGCGAAGATTGACTGACTGATACCAATTGATATCGGATTGTAAAATACTACTTTGGGGGATTTTGAAGGAAACTGTCAATCAAAAGGAAGCTAATCATTTTGTCACTAGCTCAATTACTGAAATTTGCTATGAATACATACGAACATACTGTATCAATATGTTTGACAAGTCATAATCCTCGAATAAGCTTCGTATGCAATTGAGGCTGAATGTATGGCCTTCGGTGACCGGTTGCTTGGGTGCGGTGCATGCCAAATCGCGGGCGCTAGCGAATGACGATGCGAGTCGAAGCCACCGTAGCCGTTCAATGGTACAGTAACCTTACCCTGTGCTACTCTCCACCCCCATCAACGCCTTATCCCTATCTCCAGAACCCCGCGAACAAAAGCAGAAGAGAGACATCAATTAGACATTGATCCCGCCACGGCCGCACAATCAGGGGGACGAGGCATTTGTAACGAGGAACGCAACGCGGCTGGGCGACATGTCCGTGAGATAGCGGGCGTGGAGTGAATTTCGTTTGAAGACGGACGAGGTGAGGAATAGATAGGAAGGACAGAGACAGAGAGAGAGAGATAATAGCGCTCATGCACGCTCGAATCTTTAGCGGAGGAACGCCCGCGTATATCATCATCAACATCATCGGATCACAACTACAACACGACGACGACGCATCTTCGAACCTCTCCCTCCGCCAACGGAGGAGAGAGGGACACGAGACCGAATCATGATACCCTCACGGCCACCCAGTGAGACGAACACGGACGCGGCCAGGAATTCATCGGTTCCAAGGATAGCAGGCGGAGGGGACTCGAGTATCCGGCCACGGAATAGGAGGTTGATATCTACGGAGCAGGAGCTGGTTAGTACATCTGCGACGAGTACGCCGGGTGGGAGTCGAGCTGTGAGTCCGCTGCCGGCGAAACATCCTAGTAGGAGTGTGCCGCGAAATGCTGGTGGGAGGGCAGATAAGAATGGGAATGGGGGGTTGCTTGCTCCGTCTGGATCGTCGTCGAGGAAGGGGGGTGGTTCCCTGGTGGGTGGGAAGGGACTTTGGGATCCGCCGGGGTGGATGAGTAGTTGGAATGCGTTGCAGGGACTTGCGAGCTCGGTGCTGGGAGGAGAGGCTGAGGATCCTGTTACTGGGAGAGCAGGGACTGCTACGGGCAAGAAACCTAGGAGAGAGGGAGCCGGGAGGAAGAAGATACCGGAGCAATGGGGACCGCCTGAACCGGCAACGCAGAGACAGAAGGATGGCGGAATTGGTTGGGGCAGTACGGAGGAGATGCAAGCTGAGGTTCGAGCGAGGAAGATGAGGGGTGTTTTGGAGGGAAGAGAAGAAGAGAGGAGTATCCTGGATACGAACGGGAATTACAAACGCAGATCTTCGACCGAGGAACAGAGGCCTGGAAGCTCGCAGGAAGATGACTTTGCGCTGGTTTATATACACCATGTTCAGAAACAGGACACACTTCAGGGAGTGGTGCTGAAATACAATTGCAAGCCAGAGGTATTTAGGAAGGCGAATCGATTATGGCCCAACGATACGATTCAAATCCGAGAAACTGTCATCTTACCAGTAGATGCTTGTGCCGTTAAAGGACGACCTTGCGAGGCACCTTCACTCGATCAAGGAGTGGATCTCTTAGCACCTACACCGGTAACCGAAGATCCCTTTTCAAATGGTGGTACATGGCCGGGAGCCTCATCACCATACAACAACGGGACGTCTGCAGAACGTCCCGAAGATAACGACAATCCATGGGTACATGTCAGATGGGTATTACTCGACGCATCACCCAACGCGAAACCCGTCGAAATAGCACGCATGCCTCGGAAAACTCTGGGATACTTCCCACCCAGACGAAGAAAGAGTCAAGCCACAATTTCCACCGTCTCAACACCCCGAGGTTCAACAGAGTTCCCTCGAATAGCTCAAACAATATCGAATGATCTCCCAGGCAGCACATCTAGCACACCCCGTCGAACAAGCAATCTCGGACCAAGACCCTCACAACCAGTGACTACTGTAGGGAGCTACTTTCCACCCCAAAGATCCAGCACTCGTCCCCGCCGCGAAAGCGTAGGCGAAGCTGCGGATCGACTAGGATGGATGCGTGGCCCTGGCGGAGTCGGTACCTTTGCCACCAATGTCCGGAGACCGGGACCAGCTCAAGATGGATTGAATGCTTGGGCCAAGAAACATATTCCTGGTCTAGCTATCGATGGTATGTCTTCGAGCTCTATCCTTGGAGCGGAAACCGCGCATTTTGGGTTCGGAGATGAGTTGGCGAGTATTGCAGAAGGCCCAGGTACGGTTAATGGTGCTGCTGTCACCAATTCCGGGATTGGCAATTTGACGCCTGGTGGTCTTGGGTTGGAGAACGCTGCTGCGGCGATCGAAGGCTGGGTCAGGAGACTCGCTACTAAGACTCCTGGCACGCCTAAAGGAGGAGGTAGAATCGACGCCCCAGATCTAATCGAACTCCTAGACGGCACAGGCAGTGATGATGGGAGAGGCTTCGAACTCAGCCCTGGACGCATCCGCTCATCTACTCCCATCGGGACAGGCAGAGAAGATCTAGATGGCGTGATCAGGGGACGAGCTACCGCTGGTGCGAAGGGCGGGAAGAGTGATTGATTCGGCAAGCAAGCAAGCTAGCAAGCGAGACTTTTATACGAGCAGCATGAGATGGAGGCGCATTGGGGAAGGCGTTTGGGATTCGGTTCTCCTATTATTCTGGAACTTTGTATAGCGTGCCCATCCGTGGTGGTTGGTTAGGATGGCGGTTTGGCATTTCTGGTGGGCAGGCAGACAGGCAGACAGGCACGATTGGTGCTTGTGATATGATAAGTTAGGATAGCGTGCCATAGTAAGCGTGAAATGAGATGCGGCATTTGAATCTAGATCATAAACAGTTTTTTTTATCAAAGTATTTGTTTTTACATCTGTGAAAAAGGAAAGTCGTGGATAGATAAACAAGGTCTTCGCAAATCAACCATCGCTATGCTATTACTTGCTTGCTAGTTCCCAAAATCTATTTTATACACTCTTCTTCCCGTTCCCATTGCCATTAACAACCACACCACCAAGCTCCTTCTCCTTCTCCAACTGCTCCCCACTCTCCTCCACCTCCACGCCAGCAATGAACAACTCACTCACCCCCTCCAAAGCTGCTACAAACATGCACAGCAAACTCGCAATCACAAAATGACTAATCGTACTCCCGATCTCCAACCAGGAGCCCTCATCCCGGACCACCCAGAAGAAATGCAGCGTCATCACATCGCTAATCGCCATGACGACCATGAAGAGCGCGCTGGGCGCGACGCCGAGCCGTTTGTTGAGGATGCCGAGGTTGGCAGAAATGAGCGCGAAGGGGATCATGAGTTTGAGGATCAGGAGGGCGCCTTGGGAGAAGGGGTCGAAGATGGGGATGAGGCGGTTGACGGACTCGAGGGAGAAGGCGGAGATGGAGGCTACGTTGCCGGTGGAGAAGAAGGCGGCTTGGAGGAGGGTGAGGAAGAAGAGGGAGGTGCGGGCGTCGGATAGGGTTAGGGAGCGGAAAGGCGAGGATGAGAGGGAGGTTGGGATGGCGGGGACGGTGTGGCCGTTTGTGTTTGATTTTGTTACTGTTGATGGGGTGGTAGAGACGTATATTTTGTGTTCGAGACGGACCCAGGTTATGAGAGTGACGCAGAATCCAAGGTAGAAGAGTCCTTCGTATGAGATGGTAAGGATAACGAAAATTGGCGAGAAGGTTAGGAAGATGACCATAAGGCGGTGGAGATAGTGGTTGTTGGGTTGAAGACGGTGTAGAAATGGCATCAATAGCGGTAGTACTAAGATTGGTCAGTAACTTCGCAGAAGAAGGCTTGCTTGAAACACATACCTAGAACGATCCAGCCCACGATCTGGTTCCCTCTCGGTAACCCTTCTTTTGCTTGTAGGGAAAGTGCGCTAGACCTTGTCACAATCATAGCCAAAACGATGAAACCAATCTAGGCAGAGTTAGCAGAGCTTCTTCGTACTCTCGAATGGTCTTACCTGGATTCCGATCAAGGAACGCGACAAGGTATCGTCAGCTGGAGCGGTCGAGTCTCCAGGTAATTTCGACTTTGCAAGCACACTCTTCTCGAACAGCAAATAGGCTATACCAATGGCTACCATCAGAAATCCTCCGGACATGCTGAGACGTGGGTTAGTGGTGCAAGCGTAAAAGTTCCATACACTTACATGAGCGCGACATCTTCAGTTTTCATAGCAGGCAACAGTGTGAATGAGCTCATCATAGCGCACGCAACTATCCAAGTGCCAACAAGTTCCTTGTTCGCTTTCAGGAATCCGGTGCCATAGAACGCCGGCCAGAATGCTGCAGCGACGAAGAGGACAGAGAACACCTCCCTATGAGTATAGCCCAACGCCTTGACCAGTGTTAGTTATTTGTAAACATAAGTGCAGGGCGAGGACGTACAAGTGATTCGATGAGCCCGAGACCAATAACAACCTTAATAATAAGCATCACAGAGCCGCCAGCGGACGTGATATGCCCAAATAATAGCTTTTTACCCTCAATCAAAGCCTTTCGTCGTGCGTAGACTTCTTCCCAGAAGGCAACGGGGAAGATAGCATATGCATAGTATGTAAACGGCGACTTCGAGATGATGAAGGATGAGTAGAGCATTATCAAAACAGAAGAAAAGAAGATACTCCCAAATAGTGTCCTTGAAGTCTCAGTCTTGCCATGAAGGACATGAAGATCAACGACAGTAGTAAGAGCAAATGCGATCCATCCTAGATATCCGATTGTGATCAGAGCTCGAAGGAATAGCCAGTCGTACGTTTGAAGATATCGAAGACCTTGGAGACCAACTTTGACTACGGCAGCAGTTTCTTTGATGGCCTCCTCATGCTTTCCTTGGTCAATAAGGTCTCGAATAACAGAGAATCTGTGATCGACAGAATGAGCCTCATCTCCTAACGCTTTGAATGGTCGATATCGAAGTTCGGTAGCTTTTTTCTGCTCCTCTTTGATTCGGTACTGATCAAGAATACCCCTAGCATTCGCTAAGAATGCCTCAGACTTCGCGGCAATGTTGCCAGAGAGGAATGATAGGGGGAGCTCTCCGACAGAGTTGACCGGGAAATCGAGGCCAGCTAGATATGCCATCAAAGCGGCCACATCTGCTTGGGAGACATCATGTCTTTGGATATGATCCAAGTTCCAATCTGAAGAGAGCTCATCATGGCCCGGTGCAATCTTTCCTGGGGTAGTAACAGGCTTTGCGACGCCAGAACCCCATGCGACCAGGGGAGTTCGAGTATTGTCAGGATGGCCATCACCATGGCTTCCCCAGTCACTCATTCCGTGGTCGGCAGTAAAGACAAAGGCTGTCTTATCATCATTGTAAAACTCTTCAATGAGTGCCGTGATCTCCTTCACCCCCTCATCTACAACCTTCAGATTGTTCAGGTATTCTTTCGAATAGGGTCGGTATCCATGCCCATTGGTATCCAAGCCCAGCAGATGTAGAAAGAACACAACTTTGTCCTGTCGTAAAGCAGCGTCTAAAGTCGCGTTCTTCGCCGCATCTGCGAACAATTGCTTGACCCTATCGAATACCCAAATGTCCAAATGTACGGCATCCTGGGAGAAGTCCTCCTCCTCGGCACTGTAGGTGAAAGCGTCAACACGGCCAGGCACAGCACCCAGTTGGAACATTGGCAGAATATCAGGACTTCCCCATGACCAAGTATGCCTACTTCTGTTGAAGACGCTGTCAAAATTCACTGGGTTGAGTTTCCACCCGGTAGTCACCGCAGACACATCTTCGTATAGACCTGCAATGAGCGCCACATGCCCAGGTCTCGATTCTGTAGGAACTCTTGTATGGGAGACACCGAAAGTGCCATGGTTGAGGACGCGCGATCGCAGGAACGGGGCCAATGGCCTCGGGACCAAATCCGCCTCGTCTTTCGGATGTGGTTCTGGGAAGGATTGGAAAGCTTTGTCTGCTCGAAGACCGTCGCCTGCAGAAAATTCGAATCAGCGATATGCTAGAGAAGTATGCTTTGAGCTTGGTGTCATACCAACGTAAAGAACAAGTCGTTTTGCTGGAGCTTCAACACCAGCTGGCCTCTCCACTCCAAACTCTCGCATGCCGGAAACAATTGGACTAACGAAGTAAATGTCGAATATCGAGTAAATGTACACCAAATGAAAGATCAGCGCAATGGCTAAGAAGCCAAAGCGGTTGACTCGAGCCATCGTAGGGTATGTTGTTCGTATACAGAGTGTTTTTCGAATCTCTGGCCGCGTTGACCTTGAAAAGAGTAATTGCTTTGCAACCTTGAGCAAACTGCTTCCTATTTCATCTAAATTTGTCAAAGGAGTGGCGCGTCCGTCTGAAGGACAGATGCATGTGTGAATTTTCTTTGAAGAACGCGTCTCCGTTAGAATTCAGAGTCAAAGCTGCGAAATTTTGATCCGCGAATTGTACATCAAGGTTGCAACACGATGTCATTTTTTTGCCGAGACGCCAGAATTTCTATTTACGGATTTCGCGATTAGGGGCTCGCCAGACTTAGGGGTAGGAGCTTTTTTCTTCACTTTTCTTCACTGTAGTGAAATTTGATAGGAGTACATTTGATGTGATGATGCCCACTCCAACATAGTCGTTCAATTAAGAAGATTTTAATTCATTTCCTGCCTTAAAGCATACCTTTGAACAGTTCCATGAACCGTTCCAACATAAATACATGCATGCTCGAAATCAGTTCATATGTACTGTCATTACTAAGAAACTGGGTATAACTCCTACAAAACTCTGATGCATCCAGGCTATGACGGACTCCTAACTCCTATTTCCTCAATAGCCATGCTCCACCCACTAACACAAATACTTAAGCTGGCTTTTCCGTTAAAGCCTTCACCACCCGAGCATAGAACTTCGCCGCTTGCGGTCTTGGGAACGTAATCTCATCAGTAAGATACTCGGGCATTAATTCGATTAGTGCCTTGTCTCTGCTTGGATCCAGCTGGGGGATGTAACTGCATTGGGCATCTTCGTAGCTCTCTGACGATTTCTCGTTTGCTGCGGCCAATTTGAAGTGAAGAGCTATGGTTTGTTAGTGAGTGTCTTCTTAGTGGTGATGGAATACTTACTGCCATTACGGCCAGTTTGAATGCAATCAAAAACGTCCTCGTCCGACTCTCGCTTGACATTACGGATAATTAAACCCGTCAAATCACTATAGATATCCTCTTTCAACTGTGCTGCCTGGGCGACTTGAGCAGCTTCGGCTGTACCCATCATACGGATGCCACCGTTCGCTTTCATAGCACTTCCAGGGACTTTTGAATTAGCACTCTCTACCGATGCTGCAGTGGTACGATTTGCAGCTAGTTTCGTTGATAGTGTCTTATTCTCAGCCTGGGTTTCGCTCAGAGAGGCAGTCAATTGCTTCACTTGGGCCTGAAGAGTCGCTAAGTCTGTGTTCTGGGATTCTAGCTTCTTCTTCAGACCTCGAGATTCCTTTGCTAACGTGGTTTGAGCTGCAATATCGGCTTTCAGAGATGCTATCAAGTCATTGGAGACTGGCCCGGGTTAGCTGAGGTCATTGATTGGAGTGTCAGGACCTACTCTTGGTCTTCTCCTCGCTGTTCTTTTTGATTCGCTCACAATTCCTCTCCGCTTCTTTCAAACCAATCTCCCTCAAATCGGAATACTTGAGCTGTAGATTTTCGTATTTCTTAGTCATTTCTCCAAGCTTTCTTCTCAAAGCCGGATCATTCCTCTCTGTATCGGATGCACTGCCAGCTCTTCTCCGATGAGCAGAATGTTGGCGAGGTCTGGACTGCGACCGCGGTCGAGCAACAACGTTGATTGATTTAGTAATGGTCTCCTCAACTTCTTCGTCCGCATCATCTGCTTCCATCTGCTGGACTTGAGTTTCCATTATAACTTTCTCGGGGGACGGTTCCGGAGGAACATCCTTCTTCACTGGTGCCTTCCTTTTGGTTACGCGTGATTTGACTACAGGAGCCACAGGAGTAATGTCCTCGAGACTGTAATCTGTGCGTGATGTATCCTTCACGGCCTTCGAGCGCGGTGCAGCAGCCTTCTTTTTAGTGACTCGAGGTTTTGTTGGTTTCATCGCAACGACTGTCTCCTCCACTTCCATGCCGTCCATAACTAGGTCGTCATTGGCATCGAAATCGTCGACTTCTTCTGTCTCGCTGGCATACTGCTGGTTGGTCTTATCCTTCAATGCCGGCCTCTTGCTCTTAGTGGGAGCTGCTGCCTGTGCTTTGGCTTTTGCAACAAGACGGCCACTTGTTCGACGCGCTGGAGCCTTTGTCTTGGTTACTTTCGTGGGTGCTACTTTTGGTCTTCCTCGCGCCTTCTTTCCAGGAGCCTTGTTCTCCGCCGCAGAGTCTGGAGTAGGCATCGCGTCGAGAAATTGAGCGTCGTCCGAGTCCGAGTCGACAAGTCCTGACAATGTCGATTTCTTTAACTTTGGCATCGAATCGTTGGATGTCTTTCAGTTTGCTGGTGAGCGCGTCGCGTGCGACAATTGAACAAATGATTGTCGCAAGGAAGGTTTAAAGGTCAATTGAGTATCGACAAGTGTGTGCGAAGCTTGTTACTTTTTGTCCAAAGTCTTACAATAGATGCGCGAAAGTGTTGCAAGGGTTTGTTGAGTTGAAGGTGGGTTGCGGATGGGGATTGTTTACATTCAGAACGGGCAACGCGATGGCGCTAAGTAAGGATCAAAGTCTAGCCGACCCGGCAACAAGCCACATGTGGCGATGCATCCGAAATCGCCTCGAGGCCGCGCATTTTATACTGGCCATCTTTGACTTGTCACTTTTCTTCACTGTACAATTTCCTCTCTCTCTATCACATAATACATATATCTACTGATACGATGGGAGATGGCGCCACTAGAAAGTATGGCTTGCTGCAGGACCTATTGCTCATCGTTGTCTCCGTAAGTTGACCCAGTGAACACCTGCTTCAGCCTTCTTGATAGCCTCGCAGGATAAGTTTACTGACACCTGCTGTAGAGCTTTTCTATGTACTACATTGCGAAAAGTGTAGTAGCTAGCCTGCCATTAGGAACCGACCCCGAGAAGGAACAGCATGAACAAGCTCGAGTGAAAGCTACAGCCAACCTGCGAAGGTTGGGCATATCTCGAGGTGAAGAGGACTCGGAAGATGAGTCGGGAAGAAATACAGACAGTTCGAGACGACCCAGGAAAGAAGATTTCAACCTGGACCAGTATGAAAGCCAGATCGCAATGGAGGTCGTCGCGCCTGAAGATATACCTGTTGGATTTGATGGTAAGTTCCGAGCTATTAGGGGTGAATTGTGTGCTGATAATCCCTAGACATTGGAGGGTTGGACGACATCATCGAAGAGCTGAAGGAATCAGTCATATATCCTTTAACGATGCCTCACCTGTATTCTCAGTCTTCCTCCTTATTAGCTGCTCCGTCCGGCGTACTTCTATATGGCCCCCCAGGATGTGGAAAGACTATGTTGGCAAAAGCTCTTGCTCATGAAAGTGGGGCTTGTTTCATCAATCTGCATATTTCAACACTCACTGAGAAGTGGTACGGAGATTCAAATAAGCTGGTACGAGCTGTTTTCTCGTTAGCCCGGAAGCTACAACCCACTATTGTCTTCATTGACGAGATTGATGCTGTTCTTGGGCAAAGGCGCAGCGGCGAACATGAAGCCAGTGGAATGGTGAAAGCAGAGTAAGTATTGCACACCAAGAAAACCGATATGTGTTGACACGGCATAGATTTATGACACTGTGGGATGGTTTAACGTCAGCGAATGCCGCTGGAGTACAAGCTTGTATTATGATCCTGGGGGCCACGAATCGAATACAGGATATTGACGAAGCTATTCTGCGAAGAATGCCCAAGAAATTCCCAGTTTCACTGCCTTCCAACTCCCAAAGGCGGCGAATCTTGAACCTCATTCTTAAAGATACCAAAATCGACGAAGATAATTTTGACATCGAATACTTGACCCGGGTCATGGCTGGTATGTCAGGTAGTGACATTAAGGAAGCATGTCGAGATGCAGCTATGGTGCCCGTTCGAGAGTTCATCAAGGAGCAAAGAGAACGGGGAGTTGCAATGTCAGGCGTCAACCCAGAATCTGTCCGTGGAGTAAGAACGGAGGATTTCTTTGGCCGAAAAGGCGGAGGACAAATACTCAAGGACAATCACGCTCGTCATTCACACAAGCAAACCCAGAAGAAACCGGAAGCATCAAGTGAGGAGTACGAGGACTTTGATGATGAGGCAGCAGAGTCCATGGACTGAGGCGCTTGACTATTGAGCGATTAGATGTGTAACATACCGCGGGCGTTCTCATGGTGGTCCACATGGTTTATATACCGCATGAACATAAATGGTCAGGCTGGCTTCTGGTGTTAGGAGGCTTGTACATTGAGAAACAAGCAAATATCAACTCTTTACTTTGCTATAAGAAGTCAAAACGAGGATAATGGCCACTTGAAGATTCACGTGCGAAGAGGCTCGATAGGATAAGTAATGCTTCGTGATGGTAAAATAATAGAGATGGCAGAGGAATATGCCCCAATGTCTTTTCGAGTTTGGTACTTTTACCTCTGAGTAACCGAAGTTCGGTCGATTTTCCTTTTTCGTTCGCTCCGCGGCCTGAGGCGCGATCGCGTCATCGCAAGGTAGCCCCGCGATTCGATTTGGTGACTGTTTTTGCAAACACACACATCTGCAGGAACATAAGAGCTCTCGTGCTCTGAGAACTTTCAACTTGTTTTTGTAATACCTTCAGTCAAAATTCGATACACGATTACTCAATTGAGTTCAACTTCAGTCCAATTTCGCCACCGCACATTGTGACTGTTCCACTCCTCCAATAAACCGAGGCACCGGAACATTTTGAGTTTCTGTAACCTCAAATATGTCTACACCGCCAGGACCTTCTGGAGCTGGCAAGCTCAATGGCGCTGCAGGCAAAGCCTTTCCTCACATTGACCTTGATGGTCACAATCTGCCACCCTCGCCCGCCCCTTCGAGCCCTCGAAACGGTCGAAAATATGCATTGGCTACTGAATTGGTCTATACCGAGAGCAAAGACCAATATGGCGCCTCGAGCATGCCCATCTATCAATCGGCCACATTCAAGCAGACTTCGGCGGGAGGGGGCTCAGAGTATGATTACACACGGTCAGGCAATCCTACACGAACACATCTAGAAAGGCATCTCGCCAAGATCATGAATGCTTCCAGGGCTTTGGTAGTTGGATCAGGCATGGGAGCATTGGATGTTATTACACGAATCCTACGACCGGGAGACGAAGTCATCACAGGTGACGATCTATACGGTGGTACCAATCGATTGCTGACATACATGGCAACAAACCATGGCATCATTGTCCATCACGTTGACACCACACAGCCTGAACGTGTGAAGGATGTTGTGTCACCGAAAACGGCAATGGTATTATTGGAGACTCCTACCAATCCCCTTATCAAGATTGTCGACATACCCTCGATTGCCAAAATAGTTCACAACATGAACGCGAAGGCCTTGGTTGTCGTCGACAACACCATGCTGTCCCCCATGCTGTCCAACCCTCTCGACCTAGGTGCTGATATCGTTTACGAGTCAGGAACCAAGTATCTTTCTGGTCACCACGACATCATGGCTGGTGTACTGGCAGTAAATGATCCCGCAATCGGAGACAAGATGTACTTCACCATCAACGCCACCGGATGTGGACTGGCACCGAATGATGCTTTCCTCCTCATGAGAGGAATCAAGACTTTGGCAATCCGTATGGAAAAGCAACAAGCAAACGCTCAACGAATCGCTGAGTTCCTTGAGGATCACGGATTCCGGGTAAGATATCCAGGCTTGAAGTCTCATCCTCAGTATGACCTCCATTGGTCAATGGCCCGAGGTGCTGGAGCTGTTCTTTCGTTTGAGACCGGCGATGTCGCCTTGTCAGAGCGCATTGTTGAGGCTGCACGACTGTGGGGTATTAGTGTCAGCTTTGGCTGCGTGAATAGTTTGATAAGCATGCCTTGTCAAATGAGCCATGCTAGCATTGATGCGAAGACGAGAAAGGAACGGCAGATGCCTGAAGATATTATCAGGCTCTGCGTCGGTATTGAGGATGTGGATGATTTAATTGACGATCTGAGCCGAGCAGTAGGTTCCAAAGCGAGTCCTTGAGCCTTATAAGCGTTGCTAACATTCCACAGCTCGTTCAAGCCGGCGCAGTGACCGTGACTTTAGATGGTTTCCATGCCACAGGACCTGCAAAAGCGTTGGCTGATGTGCCGATAGAAGAATCCGACGCAGCTGCAGCTCCTTCGTAATACTTTTTGGTTCTCATGTTCCGTATCTTGCATTGCATAGGCGCAGGCGTCTCTTGGGCGGATGAATTCTCTCTCATTCAACGAATATGAAAAACAGCTCAGGGACAAATACCACGAGTCTTATTGAGGTCAATACAAAAAGTTTATAGACTGCCATATTTCCCATACCTATGGTTGGTTTGTCTTGGCACGCGTATACCCTAGAAGATGATCACTCAGATCATACATGTGGGATGCGACATCTTGTTCTCTTCACACGCATTTTACCAATCACTACCCGGCATTCCAGTGAATGCAATGTTGTGCAACCTATCACGAAGTCGCCGAAATAAAGAAACTTGATGTGCCAAATGTTCCCTGAAAGTTTTAATCTATCATCTGCTGATCCGTTTTTAGAGTGCAATATGGGGGGCACTTTTAGCCGCGACAGTGTGTTGTGGGGTACGAGGGTGCTGGTAAAATCGTCAGATTCTAGATTTCCTCTTTTTCTCGGCATTCAAGTGCCACGACCCTCGAAAGCTTCTTGGGCGATCGGAATGTATCGCAAAGAAACGTCTTCTTTAGTTCTTTGTGTGCCTCGAAGTTGTCTGTCGTGGTAGTGCTCCCGTTTCGTTCTTTTATCTGGCGGGATCTTGCCTCTGATCGTGATCGTGGAGAGCTGCCAAGCTCAACACTATCTCATGACATGGCCAAGTGCCGACTGGGGATCTTGACACTCCTGTTTCACGTCGCACTAGTCTGTGCTATCACTTGGGATGCGGCTCCCTCTACCACGTTCGATGCATCAACTTTGACCACAGAAACTCTGAGCCAAGCCCTTAGTGCAACACCAGCTCCAGCAGTCGTTATCAACGGGACGACCTATGAACCTCCAAATTTGTGTGGTTACGTGGAATATAGTTCAGGTAAGTATGCATCGTTGTCTGATATATTCTTGGCACTAAGATCTACTCAGCGAACTCATATACTTGTGATGGCGACAACACTTGTCTGTGGAATTCTAATCTAGGGCTCGTGGGCTGTGGAAATCCGACGTCTGTCAATTACTATACGTCTTGTGTTCCATGGCGACACCTTCAAGATTGCAACTCGTCATGTCTTGCAGACCCAAGTGTTCTCCGGTGGTACGCTACCTCCACGTTATTTCTCTGTTCAAATACTCACACCAGCAACCAGCTCAACACCGACACCATATTGCGTAACGCCCATCATAGGTCCACATCATAATTATTCCATCTTTGGCTGCGAAGCGACCCGTATCTTCGGACGATACAAAGTCCACCTCACCTACTCAGGGCAAACCACCACGGGACACCTACCACGCTACCTCGGCGACGATGGTGTCATCACTTACGGAACCCGCATCCCAAAGAACACCACCTCATCATCAACATCCTCAGCAGCATCAACCGGGTCCACCGATCCCTTCCTCGTAGCAACGCTATCAAGCTCTGTCACAGACGGAACTCAACCAACGGGATGGGGAAACGGGAATTGGACAGCGTGTTTGAACGGAAGCTACTGTCAAACGGGCAAATCGAGATGGGTAGAAGCACAGATTCGAACAGAGATAATTGCTGGGAGTGTGATTGGAGGCTTTATGTTCCTTATCGCGGCGGGGTTACTGATCTGGTTGTTCTTTGCGTGGAGGAGGCTCAAGAAGGCGAAGTTAAAACATGAGAGTGAGCCGAAGGATGTAAGATTACAGGAGATGGGGAGAGAAAGTGTGATTACGAGCGAAGCGAGTGGATCGGTTGGGAGCAGTGCAATTGGTAGCAGGAGGATGTCTTCCAGGACGGTGTCGATTTCGAGGGATGCGGTGATGAGAGAAAGGGATAGAGAGGAGGTGAGGAGTCCCGTTAGTCCTGTGAGTGAGGTCGGGAGCGCATATATGTCGAGGGGAACGTCAACGTTGGAAGTTTATGATGAGATTTATGATGATGAAGATGAGCATCGCGGAAGGCCATTGGAGATACCTGCATTGGTATTATCAGAAGCTCCGGAGAACGTGCCAGTGGAGGAGATAGAAGAGATTTATGAGGCTGAGAATACGGATGGAGAAGGCCGGTTAACGGTGCCTGTGGCTGAAATTCCAGAAGCTGCAAAGAATGCGCCGGCAGATTCACCAGTGGAGGACCCAACGGAAGCGAGGGTGGTACCGCCGCTAGAGAGCGAGACGACGACGCCGGTTTTGGAGAAGACGGAACCACATGCATCATAGGTCTATCATCGGCGGAGTACTTTTTTGGCATTTTCAAATTATATCCACAGACTTTCTTCGGAGATGGACGTTTGATGTTACGGAGCATTCTCAAGAATAACTTTTGGGGGGTTTCCCTGAACAGGATAGTGCTGGCATGGCGAAGCCGCCGCATGTTTATATCAACGTAGGTAAATAAGATCGAAATTGAAATGATACCCTGAATACTATATACAGGCTGAAAACGCCAGCCTCCATCGCCTCGCTGAATTGTTGAAGTCCGTTTCATACGTACATTGTGCACATCCTTAATCATAGAATGGTGTGTGGTTATTCACGACCAGTCCAATCGTACTTTAACATCTTCTCCGAGATGGTCATTTCTTCGTTTAATGTTTCGTACGTCCATCTGCTGAGTTGGTGGTCGCTGCCATGTTGCCAGTTCGGGGACTGAGACTGGGTGGTGGCGGTGGTGGCGGAGGAGAGGTGGGGGATTGGCTGAGGTCGCTTTGGAGAGGTTTCATCCAGTTCGTGAATGTCCTGACCGGACGTCGTTTCATAGCACCCGAAAACTTTGCCCGTCCACTTTCCCAATGCGTTTAGTATCCCTTGAACTTGTCGCGGATGGACGACGTTTCCTTCATTCGTGCCCATTTCCATCGTGCTGTCTGTTTCGTCTTGTTGTCCCTTCCCATCCTGTCCCTGTTGTCCTTTCCCAACCTGTTGTTCCTTCCCCTCTTGATGTTCCCCTCCCTCCTGTTGTCCCTTCCCAGCCTGTCCCTGTTGTCCCTCTCCATCATGTTGTTCCTTCCCAGCCTGTTGCTCCCCTCCCTCCCGTTCCTCCTCCTGATGGTCCCTCCACTCCTGTTGTTCCTTCTCCTCCTGATGTTCATTCCCATCTTGTTGTTCGATTTCTCCTGTTGTCCTTCCACATGCTGTTGTCCCTTATCCATGTCCTCATCACGTATAGTCAAATCGTATGCCGGCATACCAAGATGTAGTCTATTCGAAGAAGAAGCACCAAATTGAGTCGTGTTTCGAGCAGTTGTGCTATATAACAGGGCAGAATCTCCAGCAATGCCAGTGCGTTCTGCAACATGGGAGGGATCTACATGTGTAGAGGTAGGCGGCAATGCAGGGACGTTGAATGTAGTATCATTGTGAATGCTAGCATTGCTCTTAGATCCGATTCCTAGTAACGAAAAATTGACATCCATTGGAACCAAGTGGTCTTCCGTAGATATCTCCCCCTCGTAAAGAGTAATTGGGTGTACGTCCAATGGGTGAGAAGTGCTTTCGTGGTTATGTCCTGGTGTGGTGGCTTCTTCCATGAAGGAGCCATTATTGACAAAGATAGACGACATGCTGAAAGAGGGAGAAACGTTGAAGAGATGTAGAGTAGAGAGAAAAAAAAGAATACTTCGCAGAAGCTTGAGAAGAAGAAAAGGGAACTGAATATTGATGGACGGAGAAGAAAACATCGTGAGGAAATTCGACTTCTTGTGTAGAGTATTTTGGTCGTGTACGTGCTCACCTTCTCGATTGTCCAAGGATGGGCAATTCCCGTGCGGCTCTGGTCACAAGCAAAAGTCTATTCGGCCCTCTGTGTCGATCCTAGTTAGATTCCTCTGGTAAATGTATTTGTTAAGGCCTTGTGATGTGTTATGTTGTGAAGAAGTAGTGGGGCAAAGAGGGCCTTTCGGAGTTTCTCAGATCATCTCGAGGCACGTGCTCCTAAGGGGATGAAGTCACGGATCGGGGGAGCAACCGAATGCGAGCTCTCGAGTTGAACATTGGGATCTGATCTGTGGAAAGGATCAAGCTTCGACTCGCAGAGTAGGCCTGAGGGCTATCAGCGAGATGTCTGGGCTCAACAGGATTCAGAAATTAGCGAGGCCAACAAGGAACGTGGAAGAGTTCGACTTTGTCCCAGGCAAAACAGTTACGCCGAGTACGACTAGGGCAGGGGGAAACGCTGAGAACGCTGGTAACGCTGAGAACGCACTGGAGAAAGCCTTTGTCTATGGGTCTCTTGGCGTAACTGTTTTGCCTGGGACGAAGTAGTATGTCACGCATAGATCTGAATATTCGTCACCCCCGCGCCAAGAATGCAGCCTCGTTCTTCGAATAACCGGCCCGAGGCCATGATTGGAAAGTTCGCCGGTGAACACGGACGCCTTCGATCACACCGACGTTTTTAAGGATTTGATCCTTCACAAGAAAATGGTGTGGTTTGAGTCAAAGATGGACTCGGCAGTTAAAATTCTCTTCGGTTCAGGTCGCCGAATGCATGTCCCTGTTTGGATACATGAAACGAGCTGATCCAGACTGACTAATTCCCACCAATTCTGCCTGCGCATCTGCGCCACCCCTGGATCACTGATTGATCAAGATAAGGAAATAATCACCAACCCATCCGACCGGAAGAGGACCCAGATCCAAGCGCAAGTGGCTTCTGCGAGCCGCACGTTGAGGCACATCGAGGCTTGGTGGAGCTAAAGCGGGGCAGAACCAACTTCTCGGACGAGGGGAACCCGCAACAAGGATATCATGATGACCAGGACTTCCCAGTATCATGAGTCCACGTAACAAAGGATTCTTTCCTTGACCGCTTCGAGGTTGCCTAACTCGAACGCCATCACAGCGCTCAACCAACTGGTATGAAGTGAGTTGACCTCGCGACAATTTGACGATGGTGTTTTGATCACTTGATCGTGACATATGTACTTGTTCCGCAACATGAAGTATTGTTGATATATATGATCGGATTGAGGAGATGAAGTGTCGTTGAAATAATCTCAAGCGACAGACCCCACTTGTGGGCCCTAGCGGCGATCAACCGGGACTGTGGGACCACTTATACTTGCTGTTCGATCGGATTTGCTGGACTAAACTCCTGGATCCCATTGGACAAGCTTCAGATCGCTGCATAGATACACAATATAAAATGACATATCACATTTCTGATCATGTTAAAAAATGGTGGATGATGTTCTGAGCGTTGAAAGTGAGCAGGAGAGTTCTCTTTTGCGTACCTGATCTATCTTTTTGACAGCGAATAGTCGAACTCCATCTTTGCACCATAACGGTATTGTCTTGGCATTCCATACACCTCCGTATCTTGACTATTCGAACTCTAATCATATCGGTCAATGCCTGTCCAATCTCCGAAACACCAATAGCCCTCTGACTCTGGTCGCCCTATCATTTCCCAACAAAAGCGGCCTCCCAATCCGGCATAAATAAAAGGGCATATACTGGCAGAAAGTTAGCCTGGATTCATTCTAGAGTTGGAATGGAATATCTCTTCGTACCTTAAATTGATCACCTGTGATCACCACAAGACTTCGAAATGATTGTTCTTCTCCAGCTTCTCCGTCCAAGTCATGTCTCCATCCGATGTCTGTTTGATCCATGCCTCTAGTTGATATTTCGGGAGCATATGCTCGGTGATAATTGGTGGAGGGGCAGATTCGAGATCGGACTGAGTGTATGAGCCGGCGTATGCTTGAACAGTGTCGGATTCGAGAGTCGTACCTGCAGCTGTGCAGTTTGTGGCGACTTCATACTTCTTCTCTATCATGTTTATCCGCCCTAGCGCCGCACAATCCGACTTGTCAAGGTTTAAAGCTTCTTGTTCAACATGCGAGTAATAGAAGCTCTTTGTGTCGAGACTGGCAATACTGCCATCTGCGCGTTGAGGTTCGACCCCATGATGGTACTTCTTGGCAGAGTCATGAGGTTGTTCCATCGTCTTCATCCCATTTTGACTCTCATAATAAGAGAATCGAACTCCAACGCTCTGCTCGGTTTTCGTCAAGTCGTGTGGAGGGTAAGAAGAGGAGAGCCGCGCAACATGATGGACAGCTGCAGAACTTTGAAGGACTTGGGAGTATCGAGAAAATTGGACTTGATACTCCGTGGCATCGTAGTGGGGTGCATTGCTGTCTGCGACATTTCTGAACTCTGTTGAAAGAGTTGAGGTATTTGGTAGTGAGGTCGCAATCGCAGATAGATAGCGGGTACCAGTAATTGGTGCTGAAGTGTTGACTATTGCGTTCGAGCTTCTGTAGATGTATGCGTCAAAAGTATGAATTTAGAGGGGAGAAACAGCTTCTTACTTGTCCTTTTTATCGCCATGTTTAAGGCTTTCGGGAGGTATCTCCGGCATCATCGTGGGAGGACAGAAGCAATATTGTGGCTGATCCTAAAGAGGAAGCTGAAAATATGAAGAGCCTCGTCCTGTCTGAGGATGGCCCTAGAAGTCTGGAGTGTTCAAGTCAAGAATGGTCGGATTTATGATCCTCGTGAGCGACTGGAGAGCAAGATCTTGAAAGCTAGAAGGGTTCCTATATAGATTGATGGACGTTGAGCACGGTTCAAATACATGCTCCAGCACAGCAAGAACAATAAGATCATGGCTTTCACGGCTGCACCTGTGCACTTACCCACACTATTCCTGCCCCACAGTCCGCCTTGAGACTGGGACTCTGGCCAGGCTTGCTCACCCAACACTCCTGCCCACTCAGCACTTCTGCTCACCCATCCTCTTTCCTCCTCACTCTTTATTCGTAGAAGAATTCCTTGCTATGACTGGACGAAATAATTCTGCTGGGCAAGGATTGGTTGGAAATATGATCAGATCAGATGGAGATCCTACCATGCTCATGACGGCGGATAATACTCCCCATACCCACCACAACAGCTTCAGGCATACAATTCTCACATTCCGACTTGGGCGCGAGAGCGACAGACATCCCCTTTCCAACACCACATCCTCGGACCAGGAAGATGGATTCGAGCATACGGCTGCAGTTTTGAATCTGACACACCAGCCTCTTGATTTTTCGTTCCAGCGAAAAACAAATCAGACCCCGGAACTCGAGCTCTAGAACAGTCCCAGCGCCTTCAGCGGCAGGGCGTAAGATGTGGTGCAGCTTTTTCTTTAACCGGCTGGAGCTGTCCTAGCCAGTCATCACAGTGTGCGAGGAAGACTTCAGACAGTGTAACCGCACATGAGCTAATATCTGACGGTAAGTAAGCTACTCAAGTAACCAAGATACCGAGACTCTCTTTCTGCATCAAAAGAGGATACTTTCTGTTACTTTCGTGCACCGACCTTGCATCTCATGTTGGCAAGCCACGTCATCAACTTATCTTGCCTGTGCTAATCTCAAAGGGAGAGAAGATGCAGTCAGTCACCCCTGACACGAGACCCGCCAGTCCCCGTACGGTCTGAATCAGATCAACACCAAGAAGAAGGAGCCGAGATGAGGCGGGCTCTGCTTGATGAGCAGGCTCCCTTTCTTCTCGGCTCGGAGATCGGATGGATCTTAGACTAGTAACACGATCAGAGACATTCAACAACCTTTGCCACAAGCTTCTCAACATTACACAATTTAGCTCTATATAGCAAACTCGCAGGCTCACATCACGAGTGACCACGGGTACAATGAGGTGGGATCGTTAACATGGCCCGGATCACTATAGGTTGTGATGCCTAGCAGACTGCACGCACCTGCTCAAGACGGCGCACTTCCTGGCCGAGGCGCCTTTTGAAGATCTCCCGGAGCTTTTACTCTTGTAAAGCCGCAACGCGGATTCCTACGTGGATTCAAAATAACCCGGGTAAAATACAGTTCCTCGCCGCCAAGGCGTCTTAGATCATACTCTGGCTGTTCGGACGTTGAGGGCGTATATTGGCGTCCTATCATCAGACAGAGGCTAGACCCAAATGAATAAGGATGAGGCTTGAGCAACACCTTATTGTTGCTGCCGCCGCCGCCACGAGTGACCTAGGCTGACTTGGTGATTGCAGCTGATTGTTCTTCCTTGGCTGAATCTTTGTCACGAAGGAAACATACACGTCGAGTCACCCCTAATCACGCCATACGAGACAGAGGGAGTCACCCTCCAACTCGTAAGCTTCACTAGTAGCGACTTGTGATCATTCCTCAAAGATGGAGCGGATGGACCGCTCACTGAAGCACACGCAGAGCCAATGATTGGAAGATACCCCGTAAGATAAGTGAACAGGATAGTTTACCTTGATTGTGATACTAAGGTAGGCGCTTCCATTCACGGTGGCTGAAAATAATGTGGAAAGCCAATTGCGCGAGTCCCAAAAGGGAAAGAAAAACAAAACAAAGTAAGACAATGCAGCAGCAAGCAAAATAGTTTTCACACACACACACAAACGCAAAACCGAGATCAAAAATTGGTGGAAACGGTCACCGAAAGCATCAGTAATTCGATTTCTGCAGAGCCACGAGTTTGTCCTGTCACGCCGGGTACTCGGAAGTGTTGCAAAACCGCCTCTGGAAGATATCCGCCTGCTGACTGTCGCTTTCCCGTTCGTACGCATTAACGCTGGAAAGAATATCAGACCAGTGGCATCGAGAGTAGCACATTAAAATGTATTTCATCACAATTTGAGGAGTTGCTGAACTATGAAATTTTATAGCCCCACCAGACCCCACAAGGGCAAGGCACCCTATACTGCTCGCATCGTTCTATGGTTTCAAATTTAGAAAGAAATGAAACATCAAATTTGGAACGTAAAGAGGTACAAATTGTCGTCCATCATGACGGCAGCAAATTCTGCCCACGACGATATTTTCCAACCACTGCCCCAACGCCTTTGTATGAATAGGAAACTCCATTCTACTCCAGCATCTAGTAATGCTATGCCCGGGATATACCCTGCTCGCTTGTAGGAAAAATGATTTCAATTTTTAACTTCGTGAAGAAGATTACTATCAAAACGGTCAGCTCAAATATCCCCACGAATTGCAAATGATCTGAGCATACCGTCTGGCAATATTTTACTCGCATTTACCCCACGCGTGTTTATTCATCTCCAACTTCTCTGCCAAAGTCATAGTCTGCCCAGACGTCTGACGTTTCCATGCTTCTAGTTGATGACTCTCCACCATATGCTCGGTCGTGAAAGGCACAGGGACTTCAAAGTTGAAGTCTTGGTATGACCCAGCGTAGACTTGAAGCGTCTCGGGATACGGAGCCGTGTGTGTAGTTGTGTACCCGGTCCCAGCTTCTAGAGCTATAGCGAGGATCTGGTGGGCAAGCTTTCTGCGGGACTCAAGTCGTGCTAGAGGAATGTTCTCGATGCGGATCGTGTTCTCGTATCCTCTGCTAAGGCTGACTTTCTTATCTGTCAACGAAGTATCGATTGGCAGCAGAACAATGCGCTCGGTGGAGGGAGTCGTTTCGTGGAGGACGTTCGAGTAGTCTATCGTAGGGTCATTCGTGATCGAAGTTCCTTGGTGACGACCGATATCAACGTTTCTTACAAAGCCCAGGGCAACGTAGGATTCCGAGCTTTGGATGAGTTCATCTTGACTTGGGTATTCGAGATTCTGGAAGGTGTTCAAGTCATGAAGAGAGGCAGTCGTGCCCTGCTCCAGGTCATGCGACGTGGTTGCATAACTCTTCACGGGCCGGAAAGAGGGCAATAACAAAGCATGATGCTCATGATGGGTTGTCGCATCGTAATTGAGGTTTTCATGGTTCGAGGCTTGAAGGGGAATGACGACGAAGGCTCGGGTGGCGCAAGACGGACCAGAGAGAGAAGCTTCGGTTATCAAGGCTCTGGCATCTATTCCGATTTTTGAGCTCGATTTTCTGTTCGATAAATGTTTAGAGATGCTTCAAATTCGTGGGACGAGAACATTCTCACCCCTCTTTATCTGCTCGTTGGCAGTTCTTAGAGTGTGTATTCGTCATCCTTAGCTGATCAGCTTGTCTTAGTCGTGGCGGGCGCCAAAAGCGAGGTGTGTGTGTCTTTGTGAGTTGGGATTGGTGGACCCGTGAGACAGCGGGAGAAGTGGAAAATCGATGTTTTCAGCACAATTGTGAGACGTATGAAAGCAGCTGGATCAACTGGAGAGTATGTGAAGAAGTACGGAACTTATGATTCACAAGAGCAGGGCCGGAAAAGAGCTTTTTGGGGTTTCCTTTCACTCTTTATATAAACTTCATGTGATTTTCTCGCCCTGAAAGGGGGTGTCTGCGGTGTAATCACAGGCAGACATAGAGCTGTGGCCTGATAATAACAAACCCCCGGCTTGGTGCCACATCTCATTGGTTGTTTGAATTTGAGGTGGCAGACTACCTTAGTAGTGGGTTGCGTAAGTGTCCGCTCACTGGCCAAGTCCATAACGTTTCAATCCGGATGATAAGGAGAGACAGTGGCTTCGGTGGCCGCAGCGAAGAGCTGCGTCCATATGTTTCTAACCCTGACCCTGCTTTCCCTTCCTTCAAGCGCCCTCTCGTCATGCTGTTGGTTATGTCGGCCTCTGAAGAGTAATTTCAGAATGCATTCGGTCTGTTACTGCAGGTGTGACTCCTCAGCAACAGGAAATCAACAGCAAGGAGCTTGCCTGTTCCAAACGTATAAGCAGAAAAAAAAAGAACGTCTCACCAGATCTGGGCGTGTGCTTGCACCTGCATCTGCTTATGACAGGACAGTCAACAGTCCAGCGTACATTATACAACCATCAGCGTCTCGTTCGTGCAGAAACCTCATTCCCCTACTCAACCGAAAGGGACATGCCACCTGGCAGCCGGCGAGCTCTCGCAGAACAGTCATCATCGCCCTTTTCTAACGGATTCTGTCCTTATACCTGCTTGTACCCATGCTGTCCGAGCACGAGACACTTTCAAGCGCGGTCTTTACGCGATACGTTCCACAGGCAAAACAAAAGCAAATTTTAGAGCCAGGATCCATGTCATCTTCTTTATATGTTGGCTGTTATGGTTCTTGGTATATGCAGGCTCTCTAAGCCACTACTCGTGGCACCAGGATCATCTAGATCGGAATCTTCTATAGATGCTGCGTGCCGTGCGCCATTTTTCATAGCTTGCAGTTGGAAGGAAGAGGCAGCTGTCTCGATTGTCTGACAGTACATTTCCCGTTACGCCCAGTTCTAATCTTTCTTAATTATTGGACCTGCCGTGGCAGACGGTTGGAGGAGACTAGGCGTCCCACGAGGCATTTGAGACTTTTGCAGATCGCACGTTGACTGTTGGTCGCCCTTTTTTCAAGGATGTTCCGGGGAAGAGGTCCATCGACATCCGTGCGGCTGGTGGATTGGCAGTGCAATGGTAAAGGCTTAGAATCTTTGAGATCCCGAGTCCACGTATAATGATTCAATTCAACGAGAAATGGGATGACGACCATAAGATCCGGCACGGGACAGATCCGAGAAGAACATAGCACTTCTGTTCGCAAACTGATGTGGGCTTTGACTTCGGCTGCCATCCTCTGTCTTGAGAGGGGACTCCGTCAATCGCTGGTGATTCCTGCAACGTCGGATGCACCTCTTCCATCTATGGGCTTCGGGCTGCATCTAGAGTCTCGTATATCGAGAGCGATGCAAGCCATGCCGATCTTAACCTCGCGTCCACCTTTCTGAGCAGCCACAACGGTACTTTGGGTCTGTCTCGTGATCACCAGAACGTGGTGATGACCTGCCGCGTCCCGCTATTGATGTCTGATGCAGCAGGTTTCAGCCACACTTTCCGACAGATCTTGTCATATAGCCATTGTGGATACGGCTTGTTGAGCTTCTTGTTGCTTTCTCGGTATTGCACTGAGTCCGGGCTCTCTCCAAAAATGAGGCAAAACGCTGAGCTCCAAGACTAGAGCACCCGCACACGCTTCACGAAACAAGTATTGTTCTTCTTGATGGTGGTCAGACGGCGTGCTAGCTTTCAGCTTCTGAAAATGTGCGAACGAGGGGTAAAGCTCAATCTGGACGAAAAAAAGCAATGCAATAATCAACAGCGGCAATATTCAAACGCCAGAAAGCCAGTGTACAACCAACAAGACGGAGGATCGCTCAAAGAGATCAAGAGATATTTCTTCTTTCGACCACTTGCAGAAAACTAGCCTGTCAGCGCACCAATCACACAACGCGCGTTCTGGGACATCGCCACCCGATAAAACACAGGTTCTCGACGCGAAACACGACTTCCTCGAACATATGAAGAGACGCAGAGGCTCACCTCCAGCAAACAGACTCTCAAGTGAGAAATTGTCTGTAGAATCAAGAGGTGTTGTTGAAATTAAATAGCGCCGCATCACGGGCCCACGATCTAACGAGGCCAAGCTTCGCCAGTCTCGAGGTCCTTGCGCTCCTGATACGTGTTGTACACCGCTGTGGCGGTTTCCTCATGTCCGCCTACCTTGGCAATCGGCTATTTCGCTCATTGGTTTTTGATATATTCATTGTGTCAACCAAATTGCAAGCAGAGAGGGAAACAATTAACCGTCATCTAACAAAACCCTTGAGAGTTGAGAGTTTAGTTGTCCTGCATCTCATAGTTCATCCATCCTAGTAGCCTGCGTCTTGTTTGCTCTCAATCTACCATCTAATAATGATGAGACGAACTTGTGTTCATCATTATCCAAAGTTGGCACAGGTCTGTCTCGCTGTCGGCTCCTCCGAACAGGGATTCGGGTGGAAATTTGTGGCGCACTTCAAAAGCGCCACTGCGGGAAGCTCTCGAAAGCCACTTTAGAGCCTCCTGCGTCCATTCTTTGGCTTCTTTCATCGGATATTCTCAGATCCGTCAGCGAGCCTGGCCCGTCTCGTCTCCGAGCCGGTGTAACCTGGCATGGCTCGGCCAGAGGATAGGATTTTTGGCATATCAGTGAGTGCTGATCCCAAGCCGGCGTCGCTTAGGTATTGTACCTGAGCAAGATTAATATTATCGGAACTTAGAATCTGAGTCTTAAGACGATTCACTTGCAGTCGAGTATTTATTCGGCATCGATCAAGGTTCTAGGTCTTTGTTGATAAACTTTATGACATTTTTCATACCCGTTCAGCGAGCTGTCCTTCACTGATCGTTAAGGGGCTGTTCCTCGCTTAGGCTGAAGCGCCCCATGAAAGTTAGCGAGAACACTGCGAATATACTGAAAAGCTTCTGAATTCGCAAGACCTCGCTTCGGAAGCTCCACAGAAATCATGGAGAGCAGAGTCTTTTGAACTGAACGGAAGGAAGGGAAATTCTCCATGGCTGGCAGCAGGAATCATCTACCACCTCCATCGACAGTGCCAACAAGACATCCCAGTAAGCTCGAACATTGGGCCTGCTTTTATGATACACTTGGCACTGACGTGTGTCAGACGTTTTTTTCACGAAGAATAGAGCAAATCTCAAGGAGATATGTTAAAGACGAATTATGAGACCACACATCAGACAAGGCCAAGGGGTTGAGAGTCGTTGATCTCTAGCTCAGTTCTGGCTCACGAGAAATTAAGCTGAGCGAAAATGATGCATCTTGCGCGTTTCGCGCAGAATCCGCAAGACGCGCAGGAAGCCGAAGATGTGCAGCTTGGAGATACGTTAGAAAATCCTTGTTCAGATAATGGGTTTGGTGTTGAAGTCAACCATCGGTGTTCCTTCGATCGATAACCAAGCGAATTCTAACTCCATTATTGCTCCTTGGCCGTCGATTAAAACAAAGCCAATCTCCGGATGTGATACATAAACTATCTCTTGAACACATTATTTCCACTTCACTCTTACCAACCATTCCATATAGTGATCACAATCACGTTCAACTCCCATAACCCCTCGTATAAACCAAAAGTTTGGAGCAGCAATGCGAATGAAACCGAAATACCAGGTGCGCCAAGCGCTGAAAACAATTTTATCGCTTAGAATCCATCCTCACGCCACCATCCTCTTCCGGACATGAACACATTATCATCCCTCGTTACATTATGAGTTACTATCACATTTCTCCCACTTTCTCTTCTCAAGTATCTCAGGAAGCCCCAGCTTGGTATGCGAAGTCTCATAAATCCATGTGTTCAACAGAGCACCGTATTCATCATTTTCGTCGTAATGAAGTGGACTGACAGACCAAATCTCAGGGCTCTCTTGAGAGGTATCTTTAAGCGCATGCGAGTCTTTATTTGAGGGAAATTCTTGCCGCTCGTTGGCAGATGTGTTGACTCTCAGTAGTGATTGTTGGGAATATGTGTCAAGTTCGCTCGGTCGAATAGGGAGTATGAGATTGTTCGTTTTTGGATCTGATGGAGACTGCACAGCGTGGGTGTATGTTGACAGTCCTTTCTTGTTTTCAGAAGGCGAAAGTTCTGCTGCCTGGCTGTCCGTGTTTTGGGAAGTATCCTGAGATGAGATGCTGTACAAGTTTTCGTTAGCTAAGAGTACTCTTCCAAGACAAATTATAAAGTGGGAAATCCGAACGATGGTGATGTCTGCCTATTCAAATATCTTTCAGGCTTCTTCCGTGAACCTGACATAGTGATCCGGCTATTAAGTAGAAAGGATCAAAATTTCAGAGGCGCAGAATATTGGAACAAGAGCCGTGCAGCAAATTTCGAGTCTCTGAGACTCTTTTAGAAAGTTCTGAAAGTATGCGTACACTCTAAAGATGAACAAGCTGTTTGGTGGGGGCAGAACTCGAGCTATTTAATTATTTGAGAATTGTACATGTACATAGAAGTTCGTTGTCATCGGAGAATTCGGTGACTGCCGAGTCGACTTGACCACATCGCGCTTGCCATTGGGTTTCATACCGGAAGATCTCAGGGGTAAGAGAGAAGCAACACCATTTCGGAAGTCCAATACTAGAACATTGATTATATGATCAGCTTATTCTCCGGCTAGAGCAGGCTCGGCTCGCGTAGATACAATGCGCGTAGATACAGTGCCAGCCCCTTTACCGTGTAACTGACTCGAAGTTATACTAACAAGCGTCCCTAGGAAATTCTGCACTGCATGAAAGAGGCACTTGGAACTTCGTATCCATCCTCCAATTACAGCTTGAAAAAATCCAACATTCTCAGCCCTCAACCATGACCCATGTCCGAAAGAGATTCATGTTAGCGAGGCTAGCATCTCACACCTGACAACCATCCATCCAACAGAACCTCGTCATGCACGAAACCGATGCGCGTCGGTAAGATTAGATTGCCGGGGTATGGATCAACACAGCTCGTATGGGCAGGTAAAAGAGCCTCTGTCCACCAAACAAATAGTCAGTCCAAGATCTTCATCGATGCGGTTAAATTGCAAAATCTGAGGAATGGTTTGCAAAAAGTCTTGATGTGCCAATCCTGGGAAGTGTGGTTGGACACAGGCTAGTATGTATCACTTTATTATGCGGGGACAGAAAACTTCCTCTTCTGGCAGGGTACATATGTGTACGACCACGATTGCGCGAGGCTCGTGGCACGGTCTGACAGTTGTCGATGTTGGGACTAGAAACATGCAGGAGAACTACTGCGCCTCGTTCAGCCTATGCAACAGCATGTCTAAGCGGCGCTTCGAAGAGGCTGCAGAGGCACATCGACCCCTCTTTTACCGCGAGCGCTGCCTCGATCATGGAAGGGAACCAACACATTTCCTCGAAAGCTGGGCGTCTGAGTGTTTGTTTGCCGCGAGAAGCGGTCAGACGCGCGTCAGCCCTAGCTGAAACTTCAGCAGTTTGGTCCGAAGGATTGCCTGCCTTGATCATGTACCGCGCTTACAACGCACTCAGCCGGGCTGCAAATTGAGTTCTGACAGGATGAAGCGCGAAAGAAACACGAGTCATGAAGTATGAATGTGGCACCGGGCCAAGTCTATCGCTGTATTGTTCCCAAGGTGGAAGTTGCATCGCCCTGTTTATCTCCCTGTCGGATAATTGTATGTTTGTGTGAGGTAGCAGTTGGGTAGTGGGCGGAGCTGGGCTCATTTGTCCCATGCTCTTAGACAGTAATGAGAGGGAATCGTTGGGAGGGCGATCAGCTCGTGGCGACTTCCGAACGAAGCTTCAGACCGCTGAAGCGAGCAAAAAGCTGACAGATACCAAGTAGCACAAAAGTTTTCTGCTTCCTTCGACACTTGTCCTGGATGTTCCGTCAATTAAAATCCACGGTGTCCAACAATAGGGGAAGCTTGTGTGGGGATGGTGCAACAATTGGATTCTGAATAGCCAAATCTAGCTTCTAAGCAGATAAGTACGACCCATCGCCTTCTTTTTCACAAGATACTATTGCGGACCCGATCCTAGTTTTTGAACTCCGCGTAATGTTTTCGTAGATGGATGCTTCAAGTCTTCGAAAGGTCAATACTTCCTCCTGAGTAATTGTTAGCGATCGATTGTTTTAACAAGAATATCCGACCCACTCACCACGTTACAATCGCTCCAAACAAGAGGCCTGCCAGTTGGACCTCTCAAGTTTTTCTGCCATAGTCAAGTTGTTGTCCCTTGTCTCAAATACCCATAGTTCTAGCTGAGATTTGACCTGGCTCTTAGAGCCTTGTGAGGCGTGGAGGTTCCTCTCGCTGTGGGCATCGTGCTTGGCAAAGCTCTTCTTCTTGGTTTGAGTCGACGGCGAAGCTTCTCTGAATATACGGTTAAGCGGAGGGGTAGGATTGCTAAAGCTGTAGGATTGCTCACCCTACACTCGAGCCTTGCAGAGAGTTGTACCCGCCTCTTCCCATCTTGTATAGATATCGAGACTTGAGTCTACTAACCCCTCGAAGTTCAAAGGACGAAGGGAAAAGAGAGGAAGAGCGAGCAGTAAAGAGCGTGATAGTTCAAGCAGCAGAATGAAGAAGTATTCTTCATGATAAGGCATCGTCGGTTTCGAGTCTTATGTCGCAGCAATTACTTGTTTTGTAAACTCCCCTGAACCCCTTCGCTTCGAAGAACTTTTGTTTTGTCGTATTCGCACGTGAATGATCGAAAGCAGCCGAAGGCAAACAGTTCGCATTATCCATATAGACGTATATCAGATGGCAAGATTACTATTCCAAATTTGAATGAGGCTTGACCGAATACCCACTCCCAGCACCGGATAGAAGGAAAAGAAATCTTACGAAACAGCCAATGGCGCGAGTATTGTGCCTGCTTCGGGGAATCAGAAAGACCATGAAACTTGATCCTGAATGCAGTGGGGTGAGGTTTGGTTTGGCTTGGTGAGGCTTGCCATGTGGCAGTCTCTTGGGGGCTAATCTCGACCTTCTTTCGGACTCAACCAGTAAAAGTGAAAATATGTAGTGACAAGGCGCTGTTCGAGAAGCTGGGTTTGATATACTCGGCGCTATTATCTGCACGCCATTGGTTCCATGCAAGCAACAAAGGTCTCACCGCTTATGTGATACATTCGGAGTTATCTCGATTCGATCCACTATGACGTGAGATATCATTTTGAAGTAATGCGTCTCGGGTCTTGTCTTGAGGAAGAGGTATTTCCAGATGTCTTTCAGCCTTACCATAGGTTCCATCTAGGAACTTCTTGGATTTCCGAGGAAGGTGTTCATTGACCAGTTCAATCAGATGTAAGCGTGACGTCGTATTGATGCTTTAATGAGGAAGCTCCAGCGTATTCATTTCCGGGGGTAACGCGCAATTCGTCGCGTTTGGTACACATTGTGAAGGATTCAGACATGACTCGTGTGGCGACCAGCCTTATGTTGTATACAAAGCAACGCACTTACTCCGTACCCATTGCAGATCCCGGCTTCCGATATTGGTAAGCTTCTGGGGTTTTCCAGGAGCACCTTAGGTAGTCGCCGAGGAGAAGCAGCTTTGACGGCGAGAAGGTTAAATTGACAGTATGCAGCTGGATGCCAATAAATGTGATTCGCGAACATCTCACCGCGATTGCGTACGTGCGTTACATCGTCCTGCAGGCGCCCGCCTTGCTGGAATCCTGGCCTTCCAGATTCAGCGGCCTCCTCTACAGGGATAAAACTCGGTAATACGTTTAATACGCTTACTGGATGAAAAATCATATGTGAACTTTTAATTGAGCTGCAGATATAGAAATATTCAAGAACGTGAATTGACTAATACAACATTTTGAACTCTATTCTAATTAATCAAGTCACCAGGTAAGTGACGTGTGCGATTTAAAAGGCTTGTTAATCGCATTAGAAACATCCGAGCATGATTTTATAGACGGGATGGCTAGAAACAACGAGGTCAGGGGAAAACGCTCCAGGTCCACGTCCTTGGGATTGAGTGAAGCACTCTGCCATGTGCTCGGGCGATCCTTGAATACTAGATGCGGCAGAGACGGGTCATTGAAGGAGGTTTGGGCGTGCCAATCTCCCCGATGTGGCGGCGCACTCGCGTCCTGAAACTAATTTGATCGCCGATCCAGCTGGATGATTTACAGGATAGGAAGTGCTCTTTTGAACATGTAAAATAGGCTTTAAAGGACGAACTTTTCCAAGGATAGCTACCCGCCTCCCTATCTAGGATTCATCTGCATGAGGTTGCTTTTGTTTGACGAGCCCGAGACTGATACCAACATTCCCTCACATCCCAGTACAAACATCTCACCGCCGATGTGAAGTATCCTACAGGACGGAATCGGCTTTGGCCGATTTCGAATATCCCTTGTATCTTTTACAATCTTTCCAGCCTGGGCGTCTGCCATTTCGATTTTTCCAGCCTTTCAGCAAGTGTGAGCGAAGCGTTATCCGTCGTACGCCCAGACTTGGAGTTGGACACTTGTTGGCTTGCACGCAATGTCGTCTACGCCCGTACTGCTTAGGTTAAGGGATTGTGGGTAGCGGAGTATGCCGTGATTCGCAGGAGATTCCTGGTCGCGAACACTCTGATAGGAAGATATAGCTTCCTTGGATGTGTTATCAAGCGGAGTGCTGATTTGTAGAGTTCGGCCAAAGGTGATACATTGAATGAGGATGTCCGCTCCAGCAGAGGATGAGTCGTTGTGATGTAGCGAGTGTTGCTTCGTGTAAGAGAATCGATGATGCTTCTTAGATTCTGTATCAATTGGCTGAAGACGAGAATGCGTCATAGGCTTTGAGTGGGTAGTGCTAGTGCTGAATATTCTTAGATTCACTTCGAGAACTTCCATGATCGCTAACCTTGATAGATGAGCACAGGCTTCCCGCACAGGTACTGGTTGATTCGAGCTCATGACGGTCGTCCAACTAGAATGGCAAGTCGGAGTGGAAGAAGAAAAGAGTACAGCCGAATAGGTATTAGATACGCAGACGAGATCTCAAGTCAACACAGTCGCTTTTCGAATGAGTTCAAGAACGTACAATTGAAAAGTATAATCTAGAAGAATCAATAACAAAGGGACAATTGAAGATAATAAGCAACAAGTTCATCCTCACTGCTTTCCATAACAGCGTGCGTGCGTATGGAAAAGAGCCGAACTTGGCATAAGGCAAATAGTTCGCAACTTTGCGATCTACATTTACCACGTTAACATGCTACTCTCTCCTGAGATTTCCATCAAAATTTGATGGGAAAACATGCAAGGCTGATACCAAGCCTCGTAATTTGCAAGAAGGCGCAGCATTGCTGCATTTGGGCAACTAAGCTAAGATCTTGGCGTGGAGCGCATGAAGTGCGAACCACCAGAACCAGATTTCATGGGCTAAAGAGCTGGACCCCAACACAAAAACTGCAGAGAATTGCTTGTGATGAGTCCTTGTGTGACGCGGAGCTCGGCTCAACGTGTTATGTGAGGCAGCGGATAGTGGTCCGCAACTTTGCGAGCCGCTTTGCGAACCACACGTCCTAGGAAAAATCCAGGTCCCCGCCGTTCCCCTCGATATTTTCCTGTGGGTCTGCGGTTCAGCCTTGCCCACCCTATGATCAAGATTGCCAGCCCTGTGTAGTACCTCATCGGCAAATAATAATCAAGCAGGGCTGATACTTTTCTCGCACGATTGACTGAGAGAGTTTTCGTTTCTAGGTCCATTGGATGATATTGAATAGAACTCGTAGCGAGGTATGGAGGTTCTGCCACGAAGCAGAATGTCCCCCGTTCGGGAAGACTTTCGCAGCTATTCACAGCTCAAAAATGAGTTCCAAACGTGCGAACGCAGCCATGGTTCGCAGCCGTTGCCGGTGTGCGTGTGTGACAATTGCCTCGAAATATCCGCAGGCACAATTCTGACCCGAAGACTGGGATAAAGGATCAAGGCAAACGGAAAACACCTCATATTTGTGCGTGAGGTGCGCAAATTTGATCATTCATCGGGAGTTCGTTCCAATCTTGCAGTTCTGAGTGGGTGACGGCTTGTGAATGCTGCTCATGTGTCTGCCTAGTTCAGTCGCCTCGCCACGTTCTGCCCAACTTGCGGCAGTCTCAGATCCGACACCCAAGCATTGTATTGTCGTAGTCGTTGTCGGAGGAGGTATGATCTATCTCGAAATGGTACGTCGTGTCGTCGTCTGAAGACTTGTGATGGTTGTTCAGGAAGGACAAGAATGAAGAAGCATGCGATTGAGAAACTAGCACGACGCTAAGCTACATCTGTGCTCAGGCCTACAGTACTCACAATTCTCTACCTCCGTACTGGTGTTTCGTCCTTGACTTTTGTGTCACCTCTTCGAGATCTTCTGATCTAGATCATTCTCAAATGCAAGTACTCTGATGTATAACTATGATACAAGTGTATCGTGCCGTTCCGGGCGATATCATCTGATCACAGCTAGGAAAGGAGAACTAGGAAAGGGAGAGCATTGTTCAAGCATTCGACCAACCATTTTACAGTTTTCCTGAAGATTTCTTCATACTCTTGGTCCATTGCAGTACCTGAGAGCCTTTCATTTTATTGCATTCAGAGCATCGAGCGAAGTCTTTGAGTTTCTATCACGTGCGCACCCTGTTACGTTGAAGAAGAGATAGATCCACGGAACAAGGAGACGATGACTATTGTTCATCATGGTATATCAAGTCGCTCTTGGCGGCCCGCCAAATGGCGTTTCGCAACAGCGATCCGGACAGTGTACCAGTTTAAGTTATGGCCTAAGTTTACTGGGCATGTCGGTACGTTGTCGGAAGAACGGTTATTCTTCGCCAACCAGTTCCTTATTGTATCTTGTTAGATTCTTTTGTTAAACCGTTGATTCCTTTGGTCTTGAAGGAGTTGGCTCTCAAGTTGTCAACGTCTATCACGTGCCTCTTGATTGCCAACCACACCTTTAAGAATGTTTTGCTATTAGCATCATTGTTGTACTTAGGGTGCTCTATGACCGATAACTCCTTTTGTCCGGCGCTTTGCAATGTACTCTCAAAAGCATTCGTGCATTTATTTCCCCTCTCACTCGCGTATTGATGTACCGAAGTTCCTGATTCGCTAGTGTCGGAGGGGTACGCTAAAGCCTCCAGGCTAAGTACATAGGTACCTAAGCATAAAAGCTCACGACCTGTGGGACTTTGGCCCACTGGTTCTTTGGGTTCTTGATTGTCTGTTGTGATGTTGCTAGCAGACTTCTCCCCAGTCTGGGCTTCTCTTTTCGTATGCATCGCGGCTACTCCTATTTTCCGCAATGGCCCAGTTGTTGACCTTGGATATTCTCAATACCAAGGGGTAACATTGAGCTCAGGTGTCAGCCAGTATCTTGGCATGAGATTTGCAGCTCCCCCGACTGGCAATCTAAGATTCAGAGCGCCTGTGCAAGCTTTGTCAACTATTGGTGTGCAAAACGCTACAAATGTTTGTGTCTCATTCAAATATGACTTTTCAGTAATTGATAAACCTAGTTTCAACCAATTTGTCTTGGTATCAGTGCAACAATATCCTCTTCAGAGGCCGAAGATTGCCTCTTTGTCAACGTGTGGGGCCCGGCGAAAGCGACATCTGCTTCCAAGTTGCCCGTCTGGGTGTACATACAAGGCGGAGGATATGTCACTAATTCAAATGCGAACTATAATGGTTCTACAGTGGTGGCCGCCTCAGACCAGAATATTGTCTTTGTCAACTTCAACTATCGAGTCTCAGCTTGGGGCTTCCTAGCTAGCGAGGAAGTGAGAGCTGATGGAGATCTGAATGCTGGCCTTCTTGATCAGAGATTTGCGCTACAATGGGTGCAAGACCACATCGAGCAGGTAAGCCTAAGTGCCTTCGATCCATCTTCACGTCTAACAATTATCAGTTTGGAGGAGATCCCTCCCATGTTGTGATTCATGGAGTTTCAGCTGGTGCCGGTTCAGTTGCATTACACCTAACTGCATAGTAAGTAGTAAGCTCTGATCCCAGTGGCAGAGCTGAATTGTGTATAGTGGTGGCCGCAATGATAATCTCTTTGTTGGCGCTATTGCTGAATCTCCATTCTTCCCAACTCAACCCCAAGTCCCAGAGCTTGAATGGCAATTTGAAACATACGCCGACGCTGCAGGTTGCGGTAATGCAACTGATCCACTTACCTGTTTGAGATCCAAAGATACGGCAATTCTTCAAGCCGCCAACGTCCCAGCGCCTTACCCCGGTCGCAGTAGTGCTCCCCTTTTCTACTTCACGCCCACTGTCGATGGGGACTTCATCAGAGATTATCCTTATCGCCTAATCGAACAAGAAAAGCTTGTAAAAGTACCACTTATGGTTGGAGGTGCGTCAAATCCATGCGTCCGTATTGCCTCGGCTAACTATTTACCACCAAGATGACACAAACGAAGGCTCAGGCTTCGCAGCCAATGCATCTTCCCCCCCCGACGTGGCAACATTCTTCCAGAACAACTACCCACTCCTAACAACCAACGACACAGACGCAATCAACACCCAATATCCCCTCATGCCTCCTCTCCCCAAACACGCAGCATACTTTCCCTCCGCATCTGCTGCATATGGAGACTCAACATTCACCTGTCCAGGCAACCTCCTCGCGTCTTCATTCTCCACCTACAACACACCCTACCAAGTGTGGAACTACCGCTACAACGTCCTCCAAGCAAACAACGTCGCCGCAGGCCTAGGCGTCCCCCACACGTTCGAGTCCCCAGCGATCTTTGGTGTAGGCAATGCAGGCGATAACCCGAATTCGAGTTATGCTACTTACAACGCGGATATTGTCCCTGTGTTGATGAATTATTGGATTAGTTTTGCGAGAGATCTGAGTCCGAATAGGTATAAGTTTGCAGAGGCACCGCATTGGGAAAGTTTTGGGAATGGAAGGAGGATTTTGTTGCAGACTAACGGCACGGTGATGGAGACTGTTCCTGAAGAGCTGGTGCAGAAGTGTGAGTTCTGGAAGGGGTTGGCGGTCACCATGGAGCAGTGACGTGACTTGAGTGGAACAAAATGGTGAAGCCACATGGGGATGCGAAGACGGAGTTTCAAGGTAATCCACGTGAGAGAGGTTTCATGGGGATGAGCTAATATATCCCTCATGCGGAGGTAAACAATTCACTCAATGCCGTTTCGATCACAGTCAGATATTTGAGCGTACTTCTTGGAGTGCCGTTCGAATTCTATGACACTTATAGCGTCATACGAACGAGCTAGAATTAATTGTACTTTGCAGTATCATTGCCCAGCATCTTGTCAATCTGCTCCCACTTCTCCACAGATCACAACCCGTCACTTGGACCTTCTTCCGACTTGTCCCTCTACGATATCTCAGTAAGAGTGAGCTTGGCATGGTTCATTTCGTATACCCCTGTCTTCACCACGACTTCTGGCTTCATCGCGGGTGGGGGTACTAGACGAGGAGTTTCTGATCCTTGCTCTGCATCACATCCATCAGATCTTCCATCAGGCCTGCCATGCAGATTAGCAGGATATCTCTGTCGTTGGCGCCGAGCAGACCTTTGACTATGACGTCGAGGAGACGGAAACCGTTATGAAAACCGAGGGTAGCTAGCGTATTAAGGGGAGGGAGATCCTCGTTCTCTGCTATCTTCCTGTCTAGGTCGATAGGAGGTTACACGATCACGAGGCTAACTAGAACGACAACTGTCAGCATCTTGGTTTTTATAAAGTGGAGGAGAACTAGAACAGTAAGAAAGGGGTACTTCTCCTTGGGGGCTTCGTGCATGTTGTGATTGATGACCTAGGTCAATAGGAATGTACACGATCTTCACGGTATTTAGAACGATAGTTATCAGCATATTGGATTTCATGAAGTGGAGGGAAACTTAAATGGTAAGAAAGGGATACTTCTCTTGAGGATCTCGTGCACGTCGCGAGGTATAGGTTGTGACACGGCTAGTGCCGCGATGTCTGCTTGGTTGAGCTTGACGCGTCTGATCGCGGGGTGAGTTGGAATTTAGATGATACCTAGGTATGCTGGTGATCGTATTGCTGGAGACCCTGACGCTCAGTATCGGTCCCAGGTCGACCTTGGAGGGCGATAGCCATGCTTTTCATCTTCTGTGGCCTTCTCTTCTTCCCTTTTCAATCGGTTCTTGTCAACCTGAGTCACCTCGTATCCATTGTAATGGTACTTGGGCTTTGGCTGCAGGATATTAGCATTGAAACATAGGTCGATGTGATGATGGTTTACCTTCTGACCGTCTTAGCTGCTGCTGGGATCCATCTCGATCTCTACGCGTCGGATCCCCCATGCTACACACCCTAATGCTCCAGATCATGTTGATTGACTGTTTCGCGAATGAAGTTGGCGCTGTGATAGCTTTCAGGTTGCTCTTGATTGATCTGGTGATGTTTGCTGCGTTGCACTCTCTGGATGGTCGGCGGTTTCGAGAATGAGAGATGGCGCTCTGAGCACAACTGGTCTGTGTGTTGTTATCAACAAATCTTCTATTATTATTAAATTTCTTGCTATCAACAACTTGTAATTACATCTAAGCAAATTTAACACCACAATATAATACACTTTAGAATTCTATACTTTACTCCACATCCCCGGCTCCACACACCCGGCTCCACACACATGGCTCTACACACCTGGCTCCACACACCAACACACCAATGATGACTCATCTGAGGAAGACGGAGGACGGAGGCCGGAGGTCGGATTATATACCCTCCGTCTTCACGCTAATAAAATCCGTCTAAATAGTTTTAAATAAATTCACTATATATCGGCTTTTTTAAAAAAAAATTATTAGAAATTCACTATTTTAGCTTTTGTATTATTAATTAAACAAAAATAATAAAGATTCACTAATATGTTTTGAAAAATAATAAAACGAATTATAAAGCGCTACTTTTTTTATCTTATAAAAAGCTTAAGATGTAGGACCACGTTGGCGGCATCTCTACTACTCTTGTCGATATTTTAGTCGCCATCGAGATTTCGCACTTTCCCCGCGTTTGTCACTACAATCGCGATCAAAGACAGCGAAGGGGAACCTGCAGACAAGGGTTTCTCAGTAGAGCTACAATCCAAACCTATCTTCGTCACAGCGAACGACAAGACATACACTCTGACCATGCAGCCAACTGTGGTCCACACTGACTTGTGTACGCTCTGTGTGCGAGATTGGTAATTTGGCGAGTTCAACTCACTCTGTATGTCGTCTCGCTCTGTTTGTCGTCTTACTCTGTATGTCTTTGCTTTGCTGAAAAGTCGCTCTGCAGTGGACGTATCCGCCACAGCAGCCTTATCGGCCTGTCGATGCTGTATTGGAATATTCCACGTCGAAAATTGCACTCTGCGAAAATCAAGCCTCGTGCGAAGACGATGCTTTAATCGAGTGATGATCAAATGTGGCGATAAGTCACATAATCCTATCACCACTGAGGAGGGAAAAGAAGGGAGGCAGAATCGCGAAGGTAGGTATATAAACACGAAATGACGATAACAGAAATAGGCTAACCCAAATTGGAAGTGACGATGGTCCCCAACCCATTCTCGCCGCATCTACCGTGCAAAGTCCACCATGCTTTCGCAACTGTCCTATCCGATGTTGTCCAATCGCTGAAGATTAAGTCTTAGAACTCTGGGAAAATACGTTCCGATCGTCGCGGTCTTATGTAGGTTGGGACAACAGTAACGAAGGGAGCGAATACAGCGGGTACGTGCAGATTGCAGCGTACACCATGAAGAGCAGATCAAACCAAGAAGAAGGCAGCAGACACGATCCGCGAATGTCCAGTGACCGCAACAGAAAGTCTACTAATGCATAATCAAGGCCGACAAGATGCAAGTCTCAATCATCTTGTCCTTAACATGCTAATGTCTTGACAGTATCTTTTCCTTGCATCGCCCATCTTCATCCGGTGCTAATCTCCTCCAGTCGACCAAAGTTTCCCTACCATTGATACTATTGTATGGTCTCGGTGGCCGCGGGAGGGACAGTGTCGTGGATGAGCGATTATTTCAAGGATCTGGCAGTATATTGCAGGCTCGGAGAGCACAGAGATTGTAAGGACAAGAGGTTGGACTCCAAGATGCGGAAGGCTCTGAGAACGGATAGATGTAGCAAACAAACAGGATGAGATATGGTTTAGAATGTGCCTACAGAAGCGATGCAACTGTTAGTATTCCCGTGGCTCCGAGCAAAGTGCCAAAGGCAACAACCCATATGAGATGACAGGCTATTTAATTCAACGGGGCGGGAAGCCCGCAATCAATGGAGCTGATGCACAAGCCTTAGAAGAGCCATCTTCAATTGTTGAGACTTTGTGATCCCAAGAATTCGAAAATCCCACATACAAGCCATGGTTCAGCTCTCACTCACAGCATCACAAACCACAGAATGCACCAAATCCTACGCAGACATTGGCCAACTGGCAACTATCGAGGAAGAGTTTGACGAGGTATGCAATAGATGGCAAGGCCCCGCGACGCTTAATCCCGTCCTACATGATGCATGCGTAACGCACAGGTCCTCCGTCGTCGTTGCCTTGCGCCAAACCCGGTGAATTCGTTACACCTTAGAAGGTCTTGACATCACAATCAACCTCTCCAGTCCGAATAATTCGTCACATACTGTAGTTTATCAGCTCCCAACAAGACAGAGTAGATCCGAAATGGCACCGTCGTCCTTCGTCAATAGACAGGCACTATCCTGGGATGCCAGGCTCGCAACCTTCTCTCGCCCAGACGGGGCCAGAAATAGTCGAGGTCGTATGCCCAGGCGAAGAATACGCGTTGTGGCTGCGAACAAAGCCTCCTCCGCCCTCGTCCTCTTCCTTTCTTGTCCTCTATTCCCCGTTTTGGTTGCTTCGTGCTTTGGGCCTCTGTGGTTTCCTACAAAGCTCTCGAACATATTTGTAAGTTTTCCGTCATAGTTTATAAGATTAAAATTAAGCGAGTTTAGTTTTAGTTTAAATTTAATTTAAATTTATTGCTTTATTTAATTTAAATTAAAAATTAATTTATATTTAAAAAATTATTATGAAAATTATGAAAACTTGTAAACTCGTGAAATCGTATTTATTTTACTCGTATTTTAGTTTTGAGCAAACGGGAAGCGAAGCTCCCTTTTTTAGTTCTTCTTCCACACTTTTGTTTACTTTTCTTCGCGAAATAATTCCCACGCTTTTTCCGCACCATGGCAAATTCGGACAAAGCCATTGGCAGAGACGTTCCTTGGGAAGGCAAATCGAAGTTCAGATCGAACCAAGAGTGCACAATCTTGACAAGTCAAGCCGACGAACTGAACGTGTAAGTGTTTAGCGTTTCTCTGACGACATTAGTGCCTTGAATTGACATCGATTTTGCAGATACACTGGCAAGAAGTACCGTTTCGACTTTTTCTCGCAAAATCCGACAATCCTCCTGCCTGAGACTCTCTTGGAAGGCAAGACGGCGTTCGTCAACTATATCTGCTTAGACTCGGAGCATATGAAGAAGATCAGCAACAGCGTCAAAGAGACAGTTCAAACGACCAGCCTTGATTCGAGACCAGAACAGCCAATCGACCTGTCAACAATCAACACGACTCTTGCTACGATGCATGTACCACCAATGTCGGCCGAAGATCATATTTTGTTGATGAAACAGCACAAGAGAGGCATCGATATCATGAGCTTCGGAACGGAAGTCAACAGTGAAGCAGTCTTGACTATCTTCAGCGATAAATTCGGCACCCTTCCGGAAGACAGCCAACTGAGACAAATTCTTGCTGATCTAAGAAAGGGCTGTCGTGTGACAATTATCCGCGACCATTCAAATGTATGGTGCAATGTCGGTGACAAGACTTGGCTGCATCGTCTTCAAAAGGTATTCACGCATGGCTTGTATCCTGATTTCCTATCATTGTAGGTTTAATCTCATCACTCATCGCATCTCGAATACTGATTTCCGCAGTCAAGAGGAGCAAGTACACGATGAGAAATCCTCTGACCCGAACGCCACCAAACCAAAGCAGCGCCTTCAATGCTACCTAGACGGAGACCTGCTGATCCCAAACCTACCGTGGATGAAATTGCCCCCAAGTCGAACAGATGTAGTCCTGGACTATGAAGGAGAGCCCGTTCCACTATCCGATCGTTATGGCACTTTCTCGATCCGACGTCGCTTCACTTCTCTGCAAGATTATCAGATTTTTATGGCACTTCTGGCACTCAAGGATCACCATTACCAGGAAGAAATGCTGAACAAGATCTTCAATAGACGAATCAAGCATACTGCCAGAGTCTCGAAGATGTTAGGGGTAATGGGCTATTATCTGTACATCTCTGTTGATAATCTTGTCAATACCACGATGCCAAAGATTTCGGACGACACAACCTTTGATATCACAGAAGCAATCGGTCCTAAGGAGAACGAGGACGACAAGGATCTCGAGCCATTCGCGTTTTCGGCTCGAGTCACCGATAAAGTTTGGAATTCTCGCTCGTGTTTTGTCCTGGCATACTTCCCCGACGTGGACCCTGATTGGTAAGAAGGTCAAGAGTTCCAGGTCTACCTAGAGATGGATATCAATACAGAGCGCATCAAACGTCAAGTCCAAGCTTTGGAAAAGATATCCGAGTTACCTAAGAGCACACTCACACAAATCTTACTGGGCATCAACTACGATAAGGATACCGTGGAAGCCAAGAATCCTATTTCGAATAAGATTGCATCTCTCACGACAGTAGCGACCAAGTATGCACTGGACATGCTAAGAGGCGCTAATTTCAACGGTCTACAATGGAAGGCCTTTGATTCTGTTGTGTTTGGCACCGATGGCGTATCATTCCTACAAGGTCCTCCTGGTACTGGAAAATCCCATGTCATCTCCTTCATTGCGGTCTTCTGCAACCTCATCGGCGTTCCCATCTTAGCAGGGGCACCGTCTCGAGTAGCAACCAAAGCAATGGCACTTAAAATTATCAAACAGCTCCAAAGTCTTCCCGAAGATGCTAGGCAAGACATCAATCTTACCATCTCGCCAACATTCAACGAGTCTCAGAGCATGGCATTGGAACATCTTGGTCAGCGCGAACGCACTGCCAAATGGTCATCCCCAGAAGACATACTCCTTCGTGACTACCAGCTGTTCGTCAAAATCTTAACCGGTGTCGAGAGTCACTGGGATCCAAAAGACAAGGTCGATCAAAAGGCAAAGCGTGACTGGGTTAGGCTTTACAAAGGCATATTAACCAATGACCAAAAGCTCACACCACAGCAGTGGGACTTTTTCTGGAGCACGGCAAGGTCGTTTAGAGGCATATTTCTCGATAAGTCGACCATGATTGTCAGCACTGTGAACAATCAAGGCGCTCTCATCCGTACGTCAACCAAGTTCCTTGGCCGCATTGAAAGAGATGGCTTGGCAATTATCGATGAAGCAAATGTCGACCCGGAATTCGACATAAGTATCACCTTGTCTTTCAACCCATACTGCACCTCCTTCGTCGGTGACCATTTCCAGCTCAGTCCAATTTGTGGATCAGAAGGCGTCAACGAATTTGGCAGTCAAGGCACGATGAGTCTCTTCCAACGTGTGGCAGAGGGACAAGATCCTAAGCTCTTCACTATGCTCCAAATGACATATCGCTTTCCGGCAAGATTGGCAGATCTCCCAGGAGCAATCTCAGGATATGTTGGCCTTTGTACTCAAGATCCCAGCGCTCATGATACCGACCCAACCTGGCAAATGTACTCTAATTGGTTCAGGAGCTCTCGATTTGCACAGCATCGTTGAGACCGTAGTCCGCTGCATAAAGCTATCAAACGCCCTGGCAACTACCAACAAGAGTTTGACAAATTGCCAAAAGGCGATGCTCGTCGATTGTTCATCAATCAGAGGACCCGATCTGGTAAAGCGAATCATTCGATGTCCACCGTCAATTATGGTAACATTAACGCCATCTATGCCTACGTTGATCATATGGTTGCGGCCCAGCAAACTCTCAAGGAAAAGATTACCATATTGGTACCATTTGCTGCTCAATTGACGGATATGAACGACTTCTTCGACAAGACCCCACTTCAAGGCATCAGAATCAAGACCATTGACAGCTACCAAGGCTCAGAGGAGGACATCATTCTCTTGGACTTGACAACAGCCAATGAACATGACCCTGCAGCCATTGGATTCTTGCGTAAGTGGAATCGAATCAATGTCGCCATTACTCGTTGCAAGCAGGCACTTGTCATGTTTGGGAACCTTGATCTGCTGCGCACCCGGATAGAAGCCATTAACGATAATGCATCTTCGAACTTTGCCCTTATGTTGATGGATATAATCGACAGAGGAGATGTCATCGACTACTGCAATCTCGATGCAGAGAATGATTTCTTGCCAAAGGATGCCATCGAATGGGCTACTCAACGCTTTACTCTGAAGTGCCCACCAAGTCAAATGAAAGAGCTCCGTGGCAGGCCCGCTCTCCCTATCCGTGATAAGAAAGCTCCCGAAACTATTTCAAGCCTCGAGTGGAAGCTGATTCGACGACTCGACGACTTCAGAGTGGCTGCAGCCAACGGGCGACTTGCAGCTGAAGCTCAATCTAGTTATGTCACAGGATTATTTGATATGCTGGAATCCAAAATCGACCACGATGACAACATCGAGGGCAAGGTCAAGGACAAGGAGCTGGATATGGAAATGGATGCTTGTCCTGTGGTTGATGATGATAACTATGAGATGGGTATAAGATTGATTGAATGAGGAACTGTAGACAAGTAGATTATAACAATCAAGGACCGAAACATTCAAGAAACGGTATTTCTGAGAACCAGAGCATTATGATCTCAACAGACAGTTCTGAGTGCGGAACTCGCTAGTCTGAAGCTACCGTACGCGAGCCTCAAAATAGGATAGAGGCACTTCTTTAGATCCCGCTGTCTTCGAGCAACTAGAACCCGCACTTAGGGTTAGAGTCGCATTTGCAAGGTTGGTCGAGATTCCAATGCAATTCATTTCTGAATGGATAGTTTCTTATAAATCCCACTTTCAGCTCCAAGGCGACCGCACATTCCAACACACAATCATACAATCAAACTTCCAAAGTTCGAGCAGCTACTATTCAACTCTCAAACAGACACTTTGTCGAGCTTAAAAGGACTAATTTTCTAACCAAAGATGGATTCGGATTGCAGAGTCGCTGTAATAACAGTCGCAATTGCAACAAGGCAAGCTAAAGCTGCTAAAGATCACGTTATCAACAATCTCATTGTGCTCTACCAAAAGTGTCTCCGGGCTATACCTCAGAAAACGTCCGATTTGCCACCGTCTTACACTCAAAAGCCTATGAAAACAAATGAGCAGGTTTTGAAATGCATCCGTTGGGATTTGGGTGCCCTTGACGAAATCATCAACATACAATGGTATCAATGGCATCTTGCTCATCGCGCACAACATAAGCTCACATTGGCACTGGAGCAGGTAGCAAGGTACTTCAATCAGTGCACCGACAGCCACAAGATGAATATCATACGCGCTCAAGATATGTGCGATGAGCTTCGGTTTCTGATCTACGGTCTTGGGGACGAGATAGTTCTTGCGACAATGGAGGAATGCAAGGAGCAGCGAGTGAACTATGAAGCTGTAGAACGGACATTGGGCATTTTCAAAGAGGAATCTCCTCCAGAATATACCGCATAGAGCAAAGGATGTTGAAGGAAATTGGTAGGTGTGGACGACACAGACAATAGGCAAGCAAACTTAAGCAAATTCCTGAAGTAATCATACTACCATGATGACCCTCCTCAAACCATTGCTGTAATTGATATGACTTGTGTCTCAAAGAAAACTGTGCGATTCGGTATATTCTATCATTCTAGCGCCCCTCAAGAGCATATCTTACAGCAGATCTACCTAGCTGTTTCAGGTCACTGAATTCGAAGCTGAACTCAGCCCGGGCATATGAAAAGCATCTATTTTCTATGGTAAAGTCTATCAAGATCCTAGCTTGAGCACGAGAAGCTGTGTTCGAAGCAGTGTATATCTACGCTCTCGGCTCAATGATCGAGCCTAAAGACTAAAACGCTTCAACCTCCATCCTCCCATCGCCAACGATATCAGCAACCTCTTCTGCCACATCTTGGAACTCTACCCAGCCTTTCATCTTGTCCAAGACATGCACTCCGTAGACGACTTCGTCACCCTCCACGCTTTTCACAAGACATTTTAAGCCTGGCTCAAAGAAGAATGGAACAGAGTACCTTCCCTTGGCCTCACCGGATTCTCTCCTAGCAGACCTAACACGATGAAAAGTGGCTACCCAGCGTCCACCGCTAACCTTGGCCATCAAGTCGCCAATGTTTACGACGATACTGCCAGGGACATAAGGAGCGGAGATCCAATCCCCTTCAGTATTTTGAACCTCGAGGCCGCCGGTAGAGTCCTGGTGAAGGAGGGTGAGAATACCAGAGTCAGTGTGGGGGGTGCAGATAAGTTCTTGCTGGCGTTCTGCTGGAACTGGAGGGTAATGAAGGAGACGGAGAGTGCTGAGCGATTCGAAGAGGTAATGATCAAAAAATGTCGCAGGTTTACCTAGGCTGATAGCTAAGAGGGAGAGAAGGCGTGCAGCGAGTGATTGAAGCTCTGTATGGAGCATCTCGCACCGAGCCTGGAAGTCGGCATACGAAGGATGGAAGACGTTGGGCTCAGTGAGATCAAATTTGGAGCTAGTGAGAGGCAAGACAGTGGTCTTGATGCTTGGCGTGCCAAGTTCGAAACCTTCCTTGACGTTGTCTGCTCCAGCCTGTGTTGGGAAATAGCTTCGAATTGAGTCAGCAAGTGGCGCAAAAATGGAACAATGCTCTTACCCTCTATATGTGTTCTTGTTAGTCTTGATGAAAGTCTTCTTCGCAAGAGTCATCTTCTCCTCCATGGACAACCCATTGGCCCCAAAGAACTCATCACAAAGTGCAAAGACATCCTCGTGACTAAACGTGAGGGGTAGGTCCTTGAGATAGACAAATCCAGTCGTTGAGAAGGCTTCGTCTAGGCGCGTAGACAATGCCGTGAGTTCTCCTGGGTCTGGAGAAGGTGATGATAGAGCAGAGAGAGAGACGACTGGCAATGAAGAGAATGAGGTAGACATTTTTACGACGATGTTCAGATCTGTTGAAGAGAGAACGTGATTTAAGGTTGGAATGGAAAGGAAAAGGGACACGAACGGTACGCCGGCCCCTCTTTATGGCATCCTAACAGAAATTCATCATTTCGTCTCACCTCATTTTCTGTTCACAGACTGTGCGATCGTGTTTCAGTCCCGGCATCCGCATCAGACGGTCATATACGGAGCCCACTCCGGGGGAGGATCCATCGGAAAAACCGTCTCCAATTCGGCGCCGTCATATACTGTCATACATATATCGAGTCCTGGAACTACAAACCCTTTCTGTATAAGCGTCGTATCGATGATTTAAAGCATGCAAAGACGTCCGTAGTCAACAATGTCGTCCAGTTAAACTTTGGACATGGAGGTTGTGTCGCGTACCCAGCTCCTACATGTAACGCGACGTCCGAGAAGGCGAAATTGAAATAGGTAAACATTTCCTGAATTGTGCTTATTGGATGTTGAAGCAGAGAAATGACGAAGAGGTTAATTTAGCGTTTAGTTGACTAAGCAACTCGTGACACAAAAGCTTTTTTGTTTAATATGAGATGGCATGTGGAGCCATGATACTCGAAGCACTCTTTCACTTAGAATATGGTGCGTCGGAGGGAAGCCCTTTAGGAAAAGAATTCCAATCCATGTATCACGTGACGCTGCACTCATTTAAGGAAAAGGTCACCCTTTGGATATTTTGTAGGAGACCGCTTGATATGTGCATAGTGGAGTTGGCATAGAAAAGCAAAGTACTGTACTGAAGCATTTATGCTGGACCTTCAGTAGATAGCAGCCCCTATTTTAAGCGAGGATGGTCGCCAAATAGAAATTCGAGATCTTACCTAGGTCGTATCTCGTTGTGTAAGAACTATAAGGCTCGTACGACTTGACAGATATTGAACTCTTGCGGCCCTATCTATGTTCTATGATCCTGCTTTGCCTCCGTTCTCAGAAACAAAAACATCTCTGTTCCGCTTGAACCACTTTTTCATCCTCCTACCCCAGGATTGCAGCATCGTTTGCTCAATTTTCGGTACAGGATAAGGCTTATGAAATACTATTCAACCCAGCACTTCCTTGACAAATGTGACAGCCGATCCACCTGATTTTTGGCCGGGAAAATCGACATCCTCCATTGCTCGCACGAATGTCTTCCAGTCCAGTGCTTTGGCGGCATACTCTTCAGGGGTGGAAGGAAACATTCGCATGAATACCCGCATACTCTCAGGCTTCACAATAATTTTTGGAATTCTGTTCGGCTGTAAGTTGTTGTCGAGGTGGTCCGTCCTGCTATCTTCGCTGGTGGATGCGAGCTCCGGGCGGGACTTAACTTTTGGTTTTGGTCGTGATGGCAAGTCGAAAGATGTTAAATTTTCATTCGTCGAATCGAACCGTGTGCTATTATCCCCGGATTCTGCTGCACCTTTCAAGCTAGCTTCTGTATTGATGCCAGAATATCTCGTCGTTCCTCTTCGAGGGCTGCTAGGTGCTTGGACGCTTTGTCGAACGATAATGTTGAGAGTTCACGTTGGATACTATCTTCATTACACACCGAATTGTATTTCAGCTCTTTGACATGCACCTCCCCTGCTTTGGCCCAGAAGCCTTTGATATTCTGACGAGCTACTTCAGCACGCTCTAACCAAGCACCTTGACCTTTCTTACTGGCTTTGGGTGGGTAGTTTTTGGTTCACTTTACCAGAAGAGAAATATTGTATTCTATCCCGAAAGGCTTCCTTTGAAGCCCGCGAGCGCGAAAATGAAAGTTGTTGTAGAGAGAGATTATTCATTTCCCGTTTGGTTCGTGAGAAGAGGATTATTAGCTATTGCATCAACACAAGGTGTTTGTCTATTGCGATGACTCTGATTTGATAGTGCACTAGAAGGCCAAGAGATACTATACTGTATCTATGCTTCCAAGTCCTAATTGAACGCCCAGTCCAGCGCTATGATCAACTCCATATACCTCACCAGTTCATTCCTCGCATCCTTCGAACACTTTAACAGCCCATTTCATTCTTGGCTTCCACTCATTAGGCAAGAGATCCATCAAAATTAGGAATTCTTTCCTTTTCGGCTGAGGAAGCCACCACACGGGTTTCCTGATTTTCAGCAGCACAAAGAAGTAGCCGACGATTGTTAAGGTCCTAGGATCACCTTGTTCGAGCATCTCCACGAAGCGTGGTCCCACTCTAGTGGTGAACTTAAAGATATAATCAACACCCGGGTTGTCGTGAAGGATGGAGAGCCACTTGACATTATTCTCATATGCAGACAGCGTTTCTAGTGTAATCCCATCTCTATCTAGGTCCTCGAGTAGGAAGTCGAACTTAGTATAGGACGTATCGGCAAGACATTGGGCCGTGAGACGTGCCCCTTCCTCCACTTCAACAAGTTTTCTGGCGATTGCTTTGTTGTGAAGGTGCTGCCATGAAGCTGATACAACTTCAGTCAAAATTAGCCTCGAACTTTTCACTTTGGTGCAGTTGCGGTATAGATAATGGTGCCCTAATAAAGTCGAACTCGAACGGAGTTCATAGCATGTAGCTGAGGCTGCAATACGTTGGGTGGCAAGTAAGAGAGCCACTTACCAGCACGACAGCCTTCCCATCTCTGAAACCAATGTAATGGAAGCATGTTGTTGTTCTCGGGCGCAAGATACTGATGGCTGTCGACGGCGATAAATGCTATCGTTATGCTTCCAGCAAAGAGAATTCCAGCATTTTGTTCACTGATGCCTTTTTGAAGTTGTTGCGTATGAGCCTCGATTGCTCGCATCGTGTATTTGTGTGACGCATGACAGAGGTCTCTATCGCTTGGGAGTAAATGTCGAAGATTGAAGGCGGAAAAGCCGAGCAGTGCATCCATAACCCCTGGATTAGACATCGCAACGTCAATCATCCAAACAGAGCATGTATCATGTTCGTCAAGCTGTCGAGACTTTAGGGATCCGATAAAACGAAAATAAGTCTCTGATCTTGTAGTTGTGAAGTGGTGCATGAGTCTGAGCTCAAGAAGTCGATCACTGGGTGTATTCATGGTCATTATTGAGCTGTGACCAGCCAATTCCAGGGTGTTTAGTTCGATTGCCTGGGCACCACCAGGCTGGCCAACCAGTCAGTCAGTCAGTTATCAGTCGAGCTAATTCTCCAACTGATAGACTGATCAAAATGAGGGCATCCAACTGATCGACTGTCAGTCACTTATAAGTGCTGATAAGTTAAGAAAACGTGACTTTTGGTCACGTTCCCCTACCAAAAAGTGGCTTCACCAGGTTATTATTAGAGTATATATTATTAAAAGATGTAAACGTATAGATTGCACAGCACAATAAAAGAGTACACACCAAGAGAGTACATGCTGAAAGAATGCATATTGAGAGGATGCGGGTGCACTTGCATGCTTTAAGACGGCTCATAAGTCCTAGAAGAGGGCTGAGAAACCATAAGATCAATACCAAGGACTTGACTAAGCTCTAGCTCAATAAAAGGCATGATTCTTAGTGTTTTGGTAGAGTTTTAGATAGATGGAGTGATGGATTAAGGATCAGAATCATCATGATGGAAATCCTAAGTGTTAAATGTTCGTTTCACCGCCTTTTTTTGGCCAATCAGAAAGCTTTCTTTGCCTATCCGCCCCTGAATCCTCCCTAAAAGGCTTCAAAAATGACTCCAAAATCGAAAAAATCGAATCTCTGAACTGATCAGTTACTGCCAGTTGGACTATTGGATCACTGATAGACTGAGACGATTCAAAATGTCTAAACTGATTCACTTTAACTGCTCACTTGTCAGTCAGTTGACCAGTCGACTGACTGGTTGGCCAGCCTGGGCACCACGATGGGAAGACTCGGCTCGAATGAGGCCAGAAGTGGAAGTGGCATTGCTCAATGTCTCTGAGCCACATCGCGATGGTGTCAAATCGCCGTAGGTACGCGAGCTATCAGAGCTTTTGTGACGCCTCAGTGTAGCGATCCTTACTGGAGGTAAGGGGAACACATGGATTTCGTTCTTCCGTGGTTCAAAGTCGCAGTCGAAGCTGTATTTCGTACAGTTGGCACATCGGGGATGCACTTCATCGCACTGTAAGAAACGTTAGAATTGTTAGATACACTAAATCACTCTATGCATTACCTTTATCCGTTTCACTTTACAGTTTTTGCATCCATTCCGACTCTTTCGATGTGCCTTTCGGTGGTGCATGATTGGATTCAGAATACGCAGTCGAGTTTTCCAAAGGGAGAGAGACAATAGACTCGTAAACGATGACTGGTATGTTTGGTGGGAGATACGAGCGATACGACATTTGTTGATATCCAAAGCCCCAATTCAAGTAGCAAAATGTGCTGTGCACTAAAATCTCAGCGCATATGCATTGCAATCCTTCAATCTCGGAGCTAAGAGAATTGACTTATGAGTGGTTGTTGCAAATTAAAGTTGCCAGTGGATCTGCAAATCGATCGTGGTAGAATACTTGGTAGATAGGATAAATAATCGCACCCTTGAGGGCTATAGATGGAGCTTCAAGCAGGGTTTCTAACGAATCAGAAAGCCAAATATTGGGACTTTGTATGTAGAACATACTAGAAGTATCAACCCCCAAGGGTGCGATTATTTATCCCAAATACCAAGTATGTCGCAGTATTTGAATCGAGATGATTGGATACACCAAATACGATTCGTCCCCTCATTGACACAGCCAAGTAACAAGATCACGTGCTATCACTATCCACTCGGGTTTCATACTTTAAAGAAAAGGAAGTCTATTTTCAATTCGTAAACATCTCCTTTGAAACATGGGGCTCGCCAGTTGGAAAAAGGTCTCATATTTCATTTCCAAATCAAGTCTCTAATCATGAATGCGGTTTCACATGATTGATATTGAGCCAAGCGAATGGGCGCAGTTAGGTAGTCGCTTGAGGCCCAAGCCTTTAACTTTTCGGGGGTCTTTGAATGACCAATCAACATCTTTTCAATACGAAAACGTTCACGAATGTCAAATCGGCCTTGCCAAGAAACGGAATATCATATGGACGTTGTCCTGTTTATATAGGCTAGTTTAGTGGCGACTTGGGAGGCATAGCGATAGTTCAATCACAGCCCTGAAAATACGTTTACGACGATTTAAACAGATGTTCGTGTGTGTGCGCCAATGCAAGGCATGGGAGAAAAAGACGACAAGCGTACGGGCCGCAAGATGCAGGTCTTGAGAATGAATTTTCTGTTTAAAGGACAAGTCATTCCAATCTATCTCTGCTTCATTTTATTCTCTTTCACTCTTCCAGACTTCAATCTAAATCTTCCTCCTCAGTCCTGTATTGGTTATCTACTTGCTAGATTTCAACACCTTCTGAAGCTTCTACATACAACCTTAAGTTACTACGATGGATATGCTCACCTTGCTTCCTCGAACGGTAGCAAACACCCAAAATTTTACGAAGGAAACTTGTTCAGTGGGAGAATCAGTATACGGGTACTATCCTTCACAACCTGTGAACGTCATTCTAGTCGCCATATTTGCCATATCTTTCATCGCAAACCTTTTCCAGGGAATAAAATCCAGATCCTGGACCTTTACGATTGCGCTCGGCGTAGGGACTTCAGCGGAAGCAGTCGGTAAGTTTGTTCGACAGAAAGTCATAGGCTCGTGAACTCATCGGATCATGCAGGGTATATCGGTCGGCTCTTGCTGCGGAATGACCCATTCAATAAGGCATAGTAAGACGTCACGCTCTGTATCACTGAGCTCTGGCTGATAATATGCTAGTATGGGGATACAACTTGTCTGTCTTACAGTCGCTCCTGCATTTATAGCTGCTGGGATCTACCTGACATTGAAGTACCTGTAAGCCTACCCTGCAATTCATAATTGATATGAAGTCAATTTCTACGGACGCAAAGATGCTCTCAGTATCTGCCGAGGTCCTTTCAAAAAGTAGAGGACGCTGATGTTGTGCAGTGTCATTGTCCATGGGGTCGGATTTTCTCGCCTTCCACCAAAGTGGTATACAAGGATCTTCATCTCCTGCGACATTGTGTCAATCATAGTTCAAACGTAAGCAGTATGCCGGGGGCTTTCTGGCCTTGTTCTTGACTATGGCTAGACCATCTCGGTCCAACCTTGATCCTCTTATTAGATCTTATACTAACACGACATTCAGAGCTGGAGCTGGGATGGCATCTGGCGGACCATCTATGATCAAAACAGGAAACGATGTAATGATGATTGGCCTCGCCTTCCAAGTTGTTACGCTCGCTATTTTCAGAGCAATGGCATTGCATGTCTGGTCTCGTATTTCAAAATACAAAGGAGAGTTGTCTCATTCAACTAAAGCCATGCGCAACACGAAGCGATTCAAAGGTCTCATTGCCTTTATCATCGTTGTGTTCACAACCATCTTGATCCGATGCATCTACCGGGTTGCTGAGATGGCTGGAGGCTGGGGCAACCGAATTATGCAGAACCAAGTCTCTTTCATCGTCCTCGATGGTGTCATGTGTTTTATTGCCGTTTTGGCTTTGAACGTATTTCACCCCGGATTTCTATTCCAGGAATCCCATGGAACTGTTGAGGGGGGAGCGAGGGATTCCACAGTCGTGCAGAAGGTTTAGGGTTGGCAGATCGATCATGAAGTTTTCGACTTTCTCAGTATGGTTTCGGTCTGACTAGTACAGGAGACAGCTCTAAGGGGAAGGAAAGGAGGTGATGAATCGAGTTCAATATCTCGGACGCGCAAATGGTGCGGAATTATGGAGACTCTGTATGGGTTTGATTTGTCCAGTAGTCATACAGAAATATATTGATAGAAAGAAAGACGAGATGCTGGAAGGATTTAGCCAGAAAGAAGTATCACAGTGTATGGTGTACCTGAATTCCATCATTAAAGTAGAACGATAATTACCTCATCGGTGAAGATGAGTAACGGCAGAACGCTTAGAAAAGCTTTGAACGAAACATTCCATGACTTCTGATGATTAGGACTTCATTGCGTCTCGAAAGAGGAGCTTCAATCCCTACACTCAATTTCTTCCCGACTACATACCAATAGTAATTCTGGTATGCGACCCCATTCGGTTTGTCTCCAATACTTTCAAGATTTTGAAACATTCCTTTCCACCTATTCACTCCACCACAACCACAGTCTTTAGTTGTATTACGATTGAAATTTACGAAACGTTCGGACTTTCAGGTCAAGGCTTGGAGGAGGACGTACTACTTCTAGACGGAGTACATTATCACTATTGCTTAGATCAGGGCTATTTCACGTCAGGTAATATATATCGTTTCCAAGCAGAGACATTTGTTTGAAGTTATGATTCATTACGCAACGCAAGCTTTTGGCCACCATATCAATATCCCGCAGTACTCACTATCTCCAAGAATATAAACCATCCCATTTTCTCAAGAGCTCTATTCTTGTTCTTCATATCTGTTACCGAGACTCCACTGCGGGTCTACGTAGTAGTGTGGGTCCAGGCCTAAGAGATGTTGATTGCACAGTATCTCTTGCCGAGAGACCCATGAGAAACTCACTCGCAAGCCTTGACGCTCTGCTTCGATGATATCGCGCAGGATCACCATCATCTTTGCTCGAAGTAAATCGTAATCGACAGTTCCTTGCTTTGCGTTCCTGTATTTGTCCGACTCATACACTTGGATTGTGACCTCGTCCAAGCTTTTCAAAGCCATCAGTTTCTTGACCCTCTCGAAGTCCTGGATCACGCCATGCTCCGCTGTTAGCACCAAGTGCCGACAATGTTGCATAAGATCAGGCTGGAAGTTGAAGTTCTCCAATGGAAGACCGTCTGGGGCACCGAGATTGTACTGATAAGTGTTGGCTTGAACATCGATACCATACACAAAGAGGAATTTATCAACTTTGAAGTTGATATAGACCAGTTTTGCGTGCTTTGGATGATCCTCAACACTGACGAAGAAAGCCCAGTCCCTTGGGTCTACGACTTTCTCGAAGCACTTTGTGTAATGGCGCAATCCTTCTTCTCTAGATTGGCGATTTACCTGGAGAAGGATGGGAACTATTGGTTGATCTTGGTACTTTTGATGTCCTCGGTGGAATAAAGACACGTCAGTACAGTTATCCCGGACGCGGGCATGGCGAATATATATAACTCGGGGCTCGAATGCGGCATGCTTCCAGATCAGGTCCCTTAATTCGACAGGAAGTTGTGGGAAAAGAGGGAAGTTAGGTGGCTGCTTAAGATCGGTTTTGATATGGTGGAGGGTTTTGAGGAGCTGGGGAAGGCGTATCGGTGATGGCGAATCGCGAGGAGCGTTGAGATTTGTGGGCCGAACATCCTCGGAAGGGTCGAGCCAGCGGATCGAAAGTCTGGAGAAGTTCATTGTCTTGCAGACTCAGAGTGATCTTTTTCGATTGAGTTTGATTTCGCGAAGTCGTATGTTTAGGATGTTGTGGTAGTTGACAAGAAATGTTGTGTTGAGCAAGCTAGGGTTGAACGCTAAATGACTGGGACAAGCTGTACACTAGCAGATATCAAGGAGATTGCTATTCTTTATAGTTTGTGTGTTATTCACATTTACTTTTAGCGTCGCAATTTACCTAATTGCTGTATGATCCGTTGTTCACAGATTCTGAAGCATCGCAAGCTGATGGACATTTGAACGACTAGACCTCAACTCGAATTATGTCCCACTTTCACACCCATAGCTTCAATCTCATAGTCTTCAAGGTCATCCATGTGCTCCCTTGCCCATGGACTTCTCTTCCTCAATATACGACCCCAACGCGCAAGTATAAATGGAATTGGCATCAGAACAAGCGCCAAGAAACCAAGTAGTGAACCTGCCCATCTATATCCCAGATTTTCGAACATCTGAGTACCGAACAATGGAAAGACACCCCCGAAAATATTCCTAGCAAAGCACACTCCAGCAAGTGCTGAAGCTGCATAGACCTGACAACCATGTAAGTTGGATTTTTAAGATTTTAAAAAGGTTTGAACTGACCTTATATGTGTCTTCGACATACATGAACGTCATCAAGATGAGAGTGTAGAAAGACCATCCATAGAAAGCAGATGCAATAATTGGCACGATCCACTGAGCGATTGTCAATTCCTGCACTCTCATAGTATGGATCGAGGAGAACTTACATGAACAGAGGTAAAAGTGGTCCACGCGAACCAAAACAATGAGACAGGAAATACCACAGCTGCCACCATGGACATCTGAACCCTCGCTTCGGGAACATTCTTTCCTCCAGCCTCCTGAACCCTTCGAAGATAATATCGTTCCTGCCAGAGATGCGTGAGAGGACCGAAGCAGACGCCTGCAACTACTCCGAGGTTGTCAAGTCCGACTCCGATTGTATCGAAGCCATAGCCCTCAGAACCAAAGACCAAGGCAAAAGCCCCATTGAAAAGGAATGTTAATCCAAACAAATACCCATTATATGCAGCACAGAACATGATCACAGGCTCAGTGAACATGAAATGAAAAGGCCTCGCTAACGAGATATTGATCAAGTGCTTCAGGCTTTGTGCCCTCATATCTTCCGCGACTTCTAGATCTTGGTTCCCTGCCTCTTTGCGAGCTTTTGCAGCCCGGCGGCGAAGAATGACACTATGTCGAGTCTCGCTGAGGTTCAAAACCAGGCAGAGCATGACGAAGAAACCTCCTGTTACTCCCGTCATCGCCCAGAGAACTGCTTTCAAACCATGGAGTTGGGCGATGAATGAGTATGCGAAGTATCCGCTAGAGGAACCGGAGGCTGACGTGAGTGTGAATATGGAAAGGGGAAATCCGGTATGATGATGATCCCACAAATCAGCTATCGTTCCGCCAATATTGGCTACTGGTGTTAGTAATTTTCCATGCTCTTTCTAGAAAATCAACATACCAATGGACGCTGAGCAAAAGAAACCAGTAATGAATCTCAGTATCATGAAACCAGTGATCGTAGGGACAACAGCTGTTCCTAATAGAAACAGGGCGCTAATCAGAAACATCGACAGATACACTGGCGTCCTCCCAAAGTACTCGCTGAGAGGCGCGAGAAGCATGGGTCCGATAGCCAAACCCAACACATAAAGTGTCAGAGGCAACACAGCAACTTCAGCAGAAGTCCCCCATTTCTCCTCAAACATCGTCAAAGCAGTGGTGTATCCGGATGCGTTCCAGATCACTGTGAAATTTGCGAACGTAATGGACAGAATGATGGACCATTTTCGCCATGCCGGCCAGTTTCGAGGGTCTGAGGGATCATTCGGTGCAAATTCGACGAGATTTGAATCTCTTTTTTTTGCGGAGGTTCGGATCGTGCGAGAGTTCATTATCGTTTGGATCTGTCGTGGCGAACAATGGAGGTGCTCCCTCCATCCTCCTTTCCTCAGGTTTCTCCTCCATTGTTGAAGTAGAAGGTAGGATGGGGAGGAGAGGAGTGGGCAATAAGAAAAGACCTAGGTAAGGAATCCAAGATTTAACATCGCGAGCTCCCGCGTGTGAACTTTTGTCCCTCAAGCTAACGTGGTAGCCGTGAGCTGGGTGGGGCAGTAATGACGTTTTTCAAGATTTGTGTACCTGATTTGCGAATAGTGGCAGTCGATCACCCGGCTAGGCTGTTGATGCCGAACCATTCTGCCGAGCCTCAAAGAAAGCCGCGAATCTTCAACACTGAAGCATAACACCATGTTATTTATTATTCTTAGAATGCTGAAATTCTACTTACGAGCTGATGGCAGTGTCATTGCTCTTGCTAAGTTTGTTAGATTCCTAGGCCAGGTACCTACAGGTAGGTAGGCAACGCAAAAGGGGCTCAAGCGAGCCGTTAGCGAAACAGCGAGAACATCCCATCATTCTTCGGAATTCGGTGGTGGATTTGCTATGGGTGTGAATTCCTTTCTTTAACTTCTGGACTATTCCATAGTCTTCCTGGTCTTCAGACGTTGAGCAATTTCTGAAACAATGTCCAGTTTTGCATCCCTGCCTCCCACTCTCTCAGCTTTGCTTGCAGCAGATCCGAAAACATTCCAAACCTCAAGATACTTATTCTTACTGCCGATGCCCATAAATGCCTCTTTCATCCTCTCATGCCCCTTCATAGCCTTATAATCCTCCATGGACACAGCACCAGGCGCTTGCGCCAGTCTCTCGTTCGCAGCTTGGGTAGTCAATGCTCCAAGTTGCACGCAGCAGAGTATCAAAGCAGCCAAGCCAGATGCGAAAGCCGTGGCGACCGAGCTTCCTGTCAATGTTTTACATTTGTCCAGTGGAGCATCATTTGGTCTGTCCTTCACCACGTTATGGCCTGGGAAAATAAAATCCACTTGAGCCGGATCACCGACCCACTTCCATACAGTGCCCGACGCTTCCGCAGCGCCGATCTTGAACAGATGTTTGGTAGAAGCGGCTGCAGGAAAGCTTTGATCAGAAGAAATGCCTTGGTCGTTGGCTGCGCAGAACATGAGGATGCCTTGTTTTGCAGCCAATTCGATAGCCGTTTCAAGGTCAGCAATGTCTGAGACATTTTGTGCAGTGCGTTCGATGGTCCAAGACATGGAGATTATGTGGACTTTTCTGTCCACTGCTGCTCTTACTGCCTAGAACTTTGATTAGCGTCGTACAACTGGATTCAATCGGGTCGAAGTACCTTTGCTGCGCTTTTGGCAGTGATTTGTCTCTTGGAGTTCTCGCTCATGTGTTCGTCTAGTTTCACAACATAAAGTTGAGCTCGAGGACATACTCGACAGATCAGGCTTGCCATAACTGTACCATGCCCACCACTTGTAACGTAATATGGCTTGTTGAGATTCTCGCCTCTTTGGCAGAAACTTCTTCCTCCAATGATTTTGGCATGAAGTGATTGTTCGCCGATATCAACACCATCATCAATAAGCGCGATAGTTATAGGCTCAACGAATGGTAATGGAGAGTCAACGTTTTGAATGAAGTCTGCGAAATCGTCCATCGTGGTGAGCCATTTGTGGCGATGCTCAGACTGTTCCGCTACTACATCAACTGCACCGCCAGTCGGAGCGTGCTTTTCGGGCTGGTTCTCCTCAACCACATCAACTACTATGTCTGATCTAAGACGTTTCAGGCGTGCTTGGAAATCTTTGACATTGTTTCTTGCTCGTTTGGCCGTTTCCAGGCCCTACTCTTGTCAGTGTCCGTTTCTATCCTCTGTAATCATTGGTTGTCTTACTTGATCAACATGTAGATGCACCTTTTTCAGTTTCCTCAAAAGCGGAAGTCCTCCAGCCTCGCTCCATCCTCGAAGAACTGCATTATTCCCACTCCAGTATAAGCAGACTTCGCTGACATCCGGAGAGGCAGTAATTATCGTTTCAGTGCAGATGTCGATCTTCTTCCAGTCCCAAATATCAACTTTGAGATTCCATAATGCTTTCTCGATTGCTTCGTCCGAGTGAGCTGGATCAAGAGTGTCATCAACTATGACCCGAATGACCCTGTCGACAGCTTTATTTCTAAGCCACTGCAAGAAAGGTTGGCATATATACACATTGTCTGACACAAAGAAAGGCATTCGGGTTTTGACCACCCAAATGCTGATACAGTCTAAAATGATTGAAGTCCCGGAAGACACGTCACATGGCTGATACGAATAAATTTCAGGGGAAGGATGACTCTTACATCAAAGAGGAACACCATGTCGTCTCGTCCCTTCCCATCTGGACGTGGCTGCTTCCTGAGCTTCGGAACAGGTCGTTTCTCCAATTTCATACTTGGCAAAGCGACATATTGAAGCATTGCCTCGAATTTGAGATGATCAAGGCCGGATTCAATGCGCTCTTGGCTCATGGTTACAGATGCGTATTCGTATAAATCGAAGTAGATTTGTTTTTCTTGCGTTCGGCCGTAAAGGAAGTCCACGGCATCGTCTTGGTTACGAGTGCGCATACAATGCAGTTTCATGAAATTTTTGATGGCTTTGGCGCTTTCTTCAGTCACTTTGATTTCCTCCTTCTCTTTCTTCTTTTTCGCAGCCACTTTCGGCGCTGTACCGGCTGCAGGCGTTCTTGGAGTACCTCCAGTTCCATTCGCCGAGGTTGTCATGATCCCAAGTTTAGGAGGATCTCTCGGTTTCCCAGGCTCTGCTCCGGTATTCACGCGCTTGATGGGGCCAAACTTTGGTTCTTTGACGGACAGAGAGACAGCTTCCTGGCTCTTCGGATTGACGATTTGTTTGGTACTTTTCGGATCGCCGAGTTTGAGCTTCGAATTTGAAGCATCCTCAGACCCTTTCCCGTCATGAGCGATATTATTTTCTTCTTTCTTTGTTCTTCCTGCCTCGCTCGCTTTTTCCTTCGCAGCCTTCTTGAGATCTGATTCGATTTTCTTGTAGTATTCGATTTGGCTCTGTTCGTGGTGTTGATATGGCGATAGATTCTTCTCTTTGGTTCGCCGATCCATAGCTTTGTCGCATCGCTGGATCAATGCTTCTACGATCTCGAGTTGGGTATCTGTACAGTATTTATATTCGACCGCCACATGGAGTGGCGTAGCTCCATTTTGATCTGGTGCGCATAGTGTTTTCTCACTGGCCTGCTTGATCAAGAAGACAGCTAGTTTTGGTGCGACCTGCTTTCGCATGGCAACGTGGAGACAGTTCTCATGATGCCAGCAAGGAATACGCAGGATCGAATCAATGTCGGAGTAGCTTTGGCATAAGAATCGTACCAATTTGTCGCGCTTCTTCGAGATCGCAATGTAAAGTGGGACTTTTTCATTGGAATCTCTCTCCATAAGATCTGGATGGCGCTCTAAAAGCAGTTTGACCAAAGGCTGATACCTGTCGAAGACTTTATCCTTGGCGTCATCCACGAGCATGTGAAGCAGTGTATCGTGTTCATCAGCATCGCCTGTCAACGCCTGCCCTAAGTATGGTCCATGATGTGTCGTGAATTCTTGAAGCTGTAATGGATCGTTCAAATCGATAGTGCCTTCCTTCAAGCTTTTGAGCAACCCTTCGAATCTCTTCGTCAGACTAACTTCGTCGTCTTCCTCCTCTTCGTCGTCTTCGTCGCTGCTTGCGTCGCTAGCATCTTGAGCGTCGATGTCTCTCCCTCTGTTCGGAGAATCAATCACAACCGCTTCGTCGTCCAAGGCTGAACCTGCGTCACTCATGGCAGCTATGTGAGAAGATATCAGAAGCGATAATAATGTACAGAAAACCTCTAGACAATCACAAGAATACCGTGAAGAGAAGATGCCAGCGCATCTCGCGGCATGCAGACATGAGAGCTCTCCATCAGCTTTCCCAAAATCGTAAAGATACCCACCCATGCTACAGTCTGCATCTCCGGTGCCACGCTCCTGCAAGAATCCCTGATCATCAGCGCCGCATCGCCCCGCTTTCTCATGCATCCCGCAGCACGTTCCAAGTTACAGGCTTACCTCCTGCAGATGGAGATAATGCAGCCAATAGCAGATAGCGCTTGGTTTGCAGCCCCCAAATTGCGACAGACACAAGGAGTCCTTGATAGCCTGATCTTCTCTTTCTTTCCACAGCAATCTTTGAGCTGAGGTGAGAATTAAGCTTGAAACGTACTCGGTCACAAAACTTATGCAACAAGATTATAAATCAGTCAAATCCGGCGAACTAAACTACCCACACTTCGAGTCAGGTGCTACTGAGAGAGCAAGGGTCAGTCGGGCCAAAGAAGGTGCATTAGTGTGTCTAATTTTAGAATAGCATAAGGCTGGACCGAGCAAATGTGAAGCCTGTTCACGATTTCAGCCTCTTTTGGGATATTCTTCTATTGATGGTTTGACATGATATAGCTTAGACTTCTTTCTGTACTTTCTTCTTGATGACACTCTCCACGATAGTAGAGTGCGTCACATCGGCCATGCTTTCAATGTCAAAAGCCCCAAGCTCCTCTCTATCGTACTTCTGAAGGTTGTTAGTAGGCTCAAGATCAGGATCGAATAGCACCGGATCATCCTTCGGCTTGCCACCAAACATCCTCTCAAGTGAACTCTTGAAATCAACTCCGGCATCAATCTTCACAATACACTTGAATGGGTTGTCGTCCTTTCGCTTCAAAAGGATAGCCGTTCTCATAGACTTCGGCACACCAGTTTTCGTCGTCTTGTTCTCCAACAAAGTCCACGATGCGCAATTCTTTGCTCCCCAATTCCTTTCTTTCAAATCAATGGATCCTGTGACCGTGGTATGATCCGATGTATCTCGGCTGACAGCCTTTTCCAAGCTCAATGTTCCAGTCGCGGTCAATCCGCCTACTGTACAGTACGTTAATATTCTCTCGAAGAAAAGTAGACAAATGATATTTCGTAGTTACCTGGAGCTGCTGCACCAAGAGCCAAACTCCCCCCACGCGTAATCTCTTCATGTTGTGTCGTTTCCACCAAATTGAACGTTCCGTCTGGTGCAATCGATGCCACTTCAGGATCGCTTTCTCTAGCCTTCATCCCTGCGAACCTGAGAGTGACATTGACATCTTGAATTCTTCGGGCTCTCTTGCGCGGGTCAAATCTAAATTGAAGGACGAGTAGTGTTGCGGAATAGTCGCTGTCTGCTGACCAAAGGCCGTGAATGACATCAAGGCAAGAGCAGCGAATGTCGACTCCTCCTTTGTTGCGCTCGACGTAGTTGCTTCGCTGTAATGGAGCAGCAGGGTCGTTTTGAGTGCGGAAAGAACTGCCAGCATCACCTGTTGGCGAAAGCCCGATATCAAAGCTGGGGAGTTCGTCTGTCGATGGGTCTTCGAGCTCGTCGGAAAGTTCTTCGTCATCATACTCAGCATCTTGAAGTGAGGTGCTCATTTTGTATGCTGTTGATGAGTTGCTTCGGAGATGAAATGATGGTGTTCAGTCAGCTAATTTGACGAGGGGCTCGGCGGGGTAAATGTACTATCACACATCTGATATGTGATGGCGTTCCGTTTGGAAAACTATTGTTCGAGGGTGTCTTACACATCAGCTCGTGCTTTTTCAGCGTTCCGCAATCCGTCGAAAGTGGCGTGCATTGCACAGACGTTAGTCCTCATCCGATTTCCAGTTGGCCTTCAATGCCCTGTTAATTTGCTGCGCCTCACTATTTGCCTAGGCTCGTGCCGCCCCTGAAGTTACCCATGCAAGCCTACATTGAGTCGGGGTCGGGCTACAGGGAAGAGCTCGGTGACCCCTCGTAGTGTGTTGTGTCTAGCTGCAGGCTGGCGATGCTCGAATTTCTTGAAAGGCATGAGGCTGAGCTGACATGTTCCTCGTGTCGCAAAGCTCACTCCTGCTCCGTCGTGCGAGAAAATGGCGACAATTGACGGCGACGCAGATCTCAGCGAGAAGGCAGACGATGCCCAAATAATAGCTGCAGATGAAAATACTGAGACGGGGACGATTGAATCTCACAAATTGGTGGTTCTGGCTGGCGAAGTGAGCGAAGATGAAGCTCCAGAGAGCGCATTTGAGTAAGACTATTGTTTCCTTTCCAAAATCTGAAGGGCCGATTGACTGATATATCTTTTCCAGTTTAGTAGCTGTTCATGGTCTTTTTGAAGACAGCCAAGAAACATGGACACCCGCAGACGAGACGAAAACATGGCTGGAAGCCAATTTGTACGAAACATATACAAATGCCCGCATAATGACTTTCGGTTACGAAACCGATGAATCAAAAGACGGAATATCTACACGGGGAAGTATTAGGAAGAAGGCACTGCAGATGTTGGAAGAACTTCTCGAACTCAGGAAAGAGTTGAAACCTGTTCGTCCTGAAGATCGTACTCCAAAAGTTTAATGCCTAATTCTTCGAATGCAGAATGTCTTCCGGCCCTTGATATTTGTTGCTCATGATATTGGAGGGATTATAGTGAAAGAGGTCTGACTTCTGTCGAAAAGACGACCCTCGATGGTGGATCTTGCTAACACCGTCAACAGGCAATTTGTATCGCTGCTCAAGATTATGCGAAATGGAGCACAATTGTTCACTCCACCCGACTTCTGGTTTGCAAAACTCTCTTCATTCTCAAAATATCTGCTGAATCTCGCAGTTCTTCGTCGGTACGCCACACAGAGCAGAAACCAAGTGGGAAATGGAGGACAAGCTCGGCAATTTCTTGTACACCAACAGCGAATATATTCCGTCCCTGGCGATTGATCGCATCAAAGAGCTATCAAGATCGATCACAGAGATCAATGATGCATTTGTAGCTTGTGAAATACCCACTATCGCTAAGATCGTGAATATACGCTCGGATGTTGAGGACGTCGATGAACAGGTAAGTGGAGTCGTGCTTTTCATCTTCTGCCTTTGGTATGCCATAACGTGCTGAATCGACTAGGGTTTCGACATGTATACGTGTACAATGCTTCTCCCCTTCGAAGAAAATTTGTCCTTACCAAAAGGCCACAAGGAGATTGCCAAAGAGATTGCCTTCGATGATTTCTATGCTCTGATTAATGAAGCACTGGCTGGTTATCCACCCCGTGAGTCTTTGACCTGACTGGAGTCAAATAGGACACTAATTGGCTGGCAGCATCAAGCTCTAACGATGAGTCGACTCGATGCCTGCAGACTCTTCAGGCACAAGCTGTACCTTTATATCCATTGATTGCCTCGTCCGAGAAATTCTCTTGGATCAAGGAAGACAAAATTTATCTGGACTTCTTCGAAGTCAAAAAGCCCAGACTTCTTCAAATTCATGGGGGCTATGACGAAATTTCTCAGGCGTCTGAATACATCTACCTACATTTGGAAGAATCTGCCCCATCAGGTCTGGACCGTCAGGAAAACGAGATACTGCTAGGCTTCAATTTCGACGCACACGATGACGGTCGCAATACCATAGCTGCAATGTTGACCACCTTCCTAGCCCAGATGTACTGCCATAACAAAGAGCTGTACGAGGGCGGAAGCCTTCAATTCGAACAAATGTGCCTTTACCGATCTTGGACTCTGCCAGAACTTATCCTCATTTTCCGGTTGGCATTAACAAACTCGGGCCATCGCGGCATCCTCTGTGTTGTCAACAATTTGGGCGCTTGCAACGAGTCCCAGTGCATAGAATTCTTAAGGAGCATGTCGGATCTCGCTAAGAATACGGAACGTCCTTTCAAAATGGTCTTCAGCAGCGTGTCGGGATCGCATATCCAGTCTGAGCTAGGAGATTGGCCACAGATTGACTTGAGCAAGGCTCCTGTTGTCGAGGAAATTCCAGATGGCACGGTCGCCGATGTTGTCGATGACAACATTTTGATTTTGTTGCAGGAGAAGCCTGCACTTGCCCAGTTTGAGACCAAGATCAGAGAGAAACTCGTCAAATATGGGAACGATGAGCGACTACGTACCCTTGTTTTGGACGAGATCCGGCGTCTGGACACCACAAGAACAAAAGCCGAGATTCGAGATGATCTTGACTCGTTCAATCCCACTACCCCTGAGGAACTGTTCACTTGGATTCTGGATAAAGTTCCGACAGAGAGAAGACATTGGGCTCGCAAAGCGATATCCTGGATCATGTTCTCACTAATCCCTCTCAGTGCTTCGCAGTTGGGCGAGGCTCTCGCGTTCTCCACAGACGGCACTTCTTTAGATGAAGAAACGATGCCAGCCGATATCGAAAGCGCCCTGGAAAACACCTTTCGTGGGCTATTTTTCGTAGGTCAATATGGAATTTGCGTTGAGCATAACAGCTTGACAGATTTCTTCCTAGATGGACATCAAGAAGAGTCTTGGTATGATGTGAAAGCTTCAGCACATCAAGAGATCACGACCGCATGTCTCTCGTACATTATGCTTCCACAGGGACAGAAATGGATTAGGAAGAAACTAGACTCATACCCACTTGATCTTGTGGAAACACCTATTTTCGAAACTCGAGAGAGCCTTCTGGAATATGCCATCACTTACTGGCCAAAACACTACTCTCTTATTCCAGAAACTTCACGTCCAATCGGCCACGTTCTTGAACTTGCTGAGAAGACTGAAGCGATGTGCACCTGGAGCGAAGCACATTGGCTGTACTCGAACCCAATAACCCGCAGAGATCGATCCTTCTGCTCGCCTCTTCCAGTGTTTGCTGGTCTTGGTCTCGAAGATGTTGTCGAGAGACTTTTTGCTACAAGCGAGGAGCATCGGAAAGACTCCGGTCTAGCACTAATCGAAGCGGTCCGCAACAGACATGCGCACATAGTCAGCACCTTACTATGTCGTGAAAAATACGACCAAGAATGTCTTCAGGAGGCATTGACGGTAGCTGCTTCTCATTGCCATTCTCATATTCTTACAGATCTCATTAATTTCGCCGACGAGAATTATAAGGACTTCAAGTGGCCCGGCCGTTTGATCTATAGAGTCTCGCAATTTGGCCACACTCACATATTGAGGAAATTACTCAAAGTTGGAGCGACAATCAAAGATGCCGAAACGCTTCATGGAATGACGCCTCTCCACGTCGCAGCCAGAGAAGGACATTCAGAAACAACAAAAGTCCTTATTGAGAACGGCGCTGATATAATGGCAAAGGCTAAATTTGGCCGAATTCCCCTTCAGACCGCATCGGTCTACGGACATCCTAACGTGGTGAAGGTGCTGATAAAGGCCAAAGTTGAGGTCAACTATCTCGATGAATTCAAGGACAATGCCTTAGATCTCGCAACTCATTGGGGAAATTTCCAGGTTATAGAAGCACTAGTGGAAGGCAATATTGAGATAGATCGTCGCGACAAGGAAGGAGATTTTATTCCCTTGACGACAACTGCGTTTTTCGGCTTCAAGAAATGTAGTGAGATTCTACTGAAACACGCTGCAAGCACAGAAGTCTACGGCGTAGATCGTTGGACCCCGCTTCGATATACTACTTCCAAAAACAATGTCGAGGTAACCCGCTTGTTTCTCGAAAATGGAGCCGATCCTAATACCACGGAAGGTGGGGAACCGCTGCTAGGAGACTGTGCTGCCGAAAACTATCTGGAAATTGTGAAACTGCTTGTGGAAAATGGCGCAAAAATTGACACCGGAAGCTCAGAAGGGTAAGTCAAAATCTCCCCTGTTCGCAAGGACAATGTGGGAGCAGAGTACTCGAGTAGATGTTGGCTCTTGTATTTTTTCTGTACTTTGTCAAAACGCACACTGATTTCTCAATAGATGGAGTGCCTTGCAGAGATCCTGTCAGGGTGGGCATATTGAAGTTGCCACTTACCTTCTGGATCACGGCGCTGAGGTCAATCACAGGAGCAAAACCGGTCAAACGGCTATCATCATTGCTGCTAACAATAGCCATCCGGAGTTGGTGCGGCTCTTGATTGATCGGGGAGGAGACGTTGATTTCGCGACTGAGGCAGGCTGGACAGCCATCCATTTGTCATACGATAGTCCTGATACGACTCGTGTCTTGTTAGAAAAGGGGGCCAACATCAACCGGGTCCAAAATCTTTACACACCCTTGTTTCTGGCTGCTGCAAACAACCACATCGAAACTGTGGAGACTTTGCTGGAATTCGAAGCAGACACAGAGATTGTCTATGCCAATGAAGACTGGCAAAAGAACTTCTCGCCCTTGACGATCGCGGTGACCTGTGGCTATGAGAACGTCGTCCGACTACTCCTAGAGGCTGACGCGAACATCAATCACAGTTCAGAGAATGGATGCACTCCAGTCACTTACGCAGTAAAAGGGATCCAAGAGGAGGTCCTTCGTGTCCTTCTGGAGTACCATCCTGACCTGGAGATGAGAGACTCGGATGGTGCTACGGCATTAAATTGCATGGACAAGTCTACTCCTCTCAGCTTTGTGAAGCGCTTAGTCAATGCCGGATCTAACATTGAAAGTCGTGATAACGATGGTTATACGCCCCTCTGCAATGCGGTCATGTGCGAAGACATAGATATCGTCAAGTATCTGGTCAAGAAGAAAGCCAAGCTCGAAGTCACAGGCAATTTATTTGGCTCGCCTCTACACATCGCTTGTCGTCGAGTGTTGACGGACATTGCCAAATTCCTGGTAGAAGCCAAAGCAGACGTTAATCAAGTTCAGCCAACAATTATGGGAACCCCACTTCAAGCAGTTGCTCGTTGTTGGACCTCAAGGAAAGGAGAAGACCAAGAGAAGCTGATTCGATACCTGGTTGAAGAAGGTAAAGCGGATGTCAGAGTAGTCGGAGGCTTGCTAGGTTGTGCATTGAACGCTATGTGTGGCTGGGCATCAGCTGAGATGGTCAAGTATTTACTCGGAAAAGGTGCCAAGGTCGATGTTCCTGATTCCCAGGGGAGAGTGGCCACGCATTATGCAGCAGTACAAAGCGTTCACCACTTCACGCCGCTCATCAATGCTGAAGCAGATATTGAGCTTAAAGATAAGATGGAGCGATCTACTCTTCATTGGGCAGCATTAGGTGGTCGATTAGATGTTGTTGAGCGTGTTCTGTATCTCTCAAGATCATTGGTTGATCAGCCGGACGTTGATGGCTGGACACCTTTACTATGGGCTGCGAGACAGTGTGGGACAGAACATAATGTAGGGACTGTATCTGCACAGAAGCAGATCATCAATTTCTTGATCGGTCAAGGAGCTGATCCATGTGTTGTTGGCAAAACCCTCGATGGAAGAGAGTGGACGACAGTAAAAGTTGCTCGATACCATGGTGTGGATGAAGAGGTCATTGAGTTATTGATCGAAAAGATCAAAGAGAAGCTGGAGAATGAGGGTAGTGCAGATACATGGGATGATGCTGTTCACGCCTCAGCGAAAGCTCAAGTTCATACTGGGTCATGTGATAGCTGCCTTTCTGTAAGTTCTTATTCCATACTTGGAGCCCCGGCTAACAACATCTGCAGGCTCTGTATGGCATTCACTATATGTGCCAGACATGTCTCGACTTCGCGTATTGCTATAAGTGCTACACTTCCAGGCATCTCTTCCATCCAGACCATGAATTCAAGGCTACGGGAGAGGAATACGAAAATATTGTCGAGGTTACAGCTCCAGAATCCGAGGAGGATGAGGATACGGACGATGATACGGACGACGACGATTCACATGAAGAGCAGAAGAGGCAGTCGAGTGAAGATGGAGCTTCGAAGGAGGTCAAGGAGGCAACCACAAATGGAACCATGGAGGATTCGGAAGACTCTGATGACTCGGATGATGATGATAGCGACTGATGGAGTGCTACTGAAGACTATCGGGGTACCCATGGCAGTAAACAGTCTGTTGTCACAGTTTGGTCGCCACCAGAAGACGACCAGCAGATAATTTCGATGAGATCGCGTAGCAGCAGCAGTGTAAGGCAGTATGTAGTTGACTGCTCGATTGGGAAGGAGGAATCTTATCGATGATAACTGTACCATTACAGACTCGAACATAAGTCTACATAGTCTAATCGCACCCGACGCCAAGGCAGGTTTGAATGTACATGAGATTTTGAAAGCTTGAAGCAACTTCGGACCTCAAAGCTCCTCGCTAAGCGAATAGAGATAGAGGTACAGTCAACAAGGGTCAAATACTTCGCCTTCCGAGTTGCTTATCGCTTACAAACTTGCAACAAAAGTTAAACATGGACTGTTTATTTCTAGCAGCACTAATAGCCGCACTACAAGTCCCCACCACTGGTGGAGATCCTGGTCCGAACCTTCTCAGACAGAAAATAATGGCACTCAACAGCAAGATCCCAGCAGCAACGATAGCGAAGATGATGGCAATCGGTGAGTATCTGCAATTCGAAAATTTAGAATAGTCGGGGTCGCCGGTGGCTGGGTTGTAGATGAGTGGTGTTCCGTCTTTGTCATAGACTGTTGTTTAAACCATGAATAAGGATTGAACCAATGCAACAAGGTTTGCAAAGCAAGGAGCGTAAGACCCTACGTCAACGGAGCTCCTAGAAGCCACGGCCCCCGCTGTTTTCCAGATGGCGTGCTGACCATTAACGTTTGCCCCTGGGAAGCGAATCTGCTCCAATCTTGAGCGAGAAACATGGAGCTCATGATGCCCATGTACATGAGATATACCATTAAGAGGAAGATCTGAGGTATGTTGGCAACGATCGCCATGACAATTGGATTGTCCCCAGCTTCTGCCCCGTAGATCACAAGGGCATTTTGATTCAGTTCTCCGAATCCCAGTTTCCAAAGTCCGGAAGCAGTGAGGTCTATGCCTTGGTCTTTCCCCATACACCGAAGAAAAATACGACGCAGAATGAGAATGTCATCCTATCAATTATCAATAAAATTCCACGTAGACGGAAGAAGAAAATCTATCGCCTTCTACTGACTACCACGCCCCACCGACGTGGTCTGTTGTTGAAGGGTCTTACGAAACCTCTAGCCTGCCAATGCGTCCGAATGTTTCGCTTGTCAGCTAGACACATCTGCATCGTGGTTGGGTCTTCAAAGGTAAGAAATGATGCTGTAGCATCTCCAATGCTCGTGAGGATTTTTTCGGCATCAAATCTGAATAGAACCCAAACCATAAGCACGACTTTGAGCGCATTGAATGACAACACAACGATCATGGTCGTCATGCTGAAATTAACTGAACAGATGTCCTTAGTAGGTTGGCTCAAGCAGTATTCGATCGGATAGTCGAAGACTGTCCAACTATCTGCCGTGGAGATAAACTTGTCGGGATTGCAAGTCTTCAGAAAAAATCCACCAGTTTCCGTCCATAGATCCGTCAATGTCAGCGTCGCTGTACATAAGAACGGAGTTTGTGTCATTCTTCGTGCTGGACACAAGAAGAACATTCCTCCTTCCCGATATGAAGACGTTCGAGGATTGCTGGATGCAATCCTTGTTCTCGAGGCGTTCCCATGACGATGCGTTCTTTTGCATGTCTGTCCAGTAGTCATCCATGGCCGTCTCGTAATTCAACTGGCCAGCTAGATCCAACTCGAAGACATCGCCAAAAGAAGAGTTCAGGGGAGAAGCAGTGAAGATTGGCATCGAGTCGTTGAATCGCCATGGTCCAGTGAGATTGAAAGAAGCCCCTGTGAGGAAATCGTCCGTGACAACAGACCAGTAGTATTGATTCGTAGCAAGTGCAGTGAAGACGAGAGAGTTGTACCTTTATCATTAATTCCAGTTCGTGTTCAACATTGGACTCGAAGTAACTCACAGGAGATGAAATGGCACTGAGCTCATTGCCAACACCAGAACCAATCCCTTCCTCTTCGCTATACCTGTTAAATTTCCAAAGCTTAAGCCGCCAACATTCAGATATCGTCCTCTCTGATGAGCCTTATCAACCTCCTGCCTCGATGGGCACGAGTATACCGCCATGAATGCCTTGCTTCCAGTGAGAAGAAGTGTCGAGAGTATGTTGATCAACAGGTGATACCATGTACTCAACATCCCCACTTGATCGCAATCTCCCTGCTGAATAACACCAAATCCATCCGTGATCCCATAATGAGTCCTCGCATATCCCAGCCACGATACGTTAACAAATAGCACAATACAGGCAACGGCAGCGAAAGCACGAAGTGTTCGTTTGACGCCACCAAAGTATTTTTGCTTGAAATTTTGTTTTCGGTATGGCGGTGTCGAATTCTCATCGACAGCAACCTCGGTATATTTCCCTCCAAAAGCAGGTTTATTCAGACTCGATGAAGAAGCGTATGGATTGTGTTCCGAGAACTGAGGAGGAGACTGCATCTGAATCCATTCCGAGCCTGGCATGTCTGAGAGCAGCAGCCACCAAAAGTCGAAATGAGAGATTAGAAGGCCTCATGGCTGGTCGTCTGCATTATGTATCCCGCATCTGTGCATGGTGGCTCCTCTCAGCCTCAAAATAGCAAGCATCCCATTGGTTGGTAGCAGTGCCAAGGGTCTTGACTGAAGCTTCACCGAGATGTTTCCCGCTGGGACGGGACGGAGTTGAGCCTCTCGAGGCTTTTGCAGAAGGCATCTGCTACTATAAGAAGGTCTGCTGAAGTAAAATTGCGATTATTGTAATGAAAAGCATTCAATCTTGTAAAATTCAATTCAAAAATCGGTAGAGCGCAAATGATTTGGTCGATCACATGACCGTTACTTTTCAGACTCGACGGCGTTACACTTGCAGTTCGCAAGCATAGAGTATTCTCGAAGTCCGGCAAATTGAGGACGTTTGTCGTAGTATTGCCATATCCAGACAAAAAGAAAGAAAGAAAAAATCCACGATAAAACACAAAGTCAAAGATAATTCAAGCAGACAATGAGTCATGAGTCCTCCTCGCATTGCGCTTACCAGCTCAAATATGTACAGCGTCAAAAGTCTAGCTCAGCTCTTTCTTTCTTTTCAGGGTTTACAATTACCTCTGGCAAGCACCCCTATACGTGAATGCCTTCTACGCAGCACTGAGCGTAAAGTCAACATTTCCGGCATTCACATCTGCCCCTCCAATACACGTGCTGGTGAATGGTGTATCTCCGCAGACGGCTCGAGCAGCTCTAACACACCCTTCCCAGCGTCCTTTTGTGATATCTATCCTCAATGAATTAGCCTTGTAAAATCTAGATAAGAAGGAGACAGCTCGGAGAACTCGAAGGTGTGGGAAGAGGTCGAACGAATTACAGCTCAATTGCTTTGGTGTCAAGCTTCCGAGCCACCCATAGAGCGATACAGCAATCTAGTGTAGGAATGAGCTTACCGATAGTCTGGCCCGAAGTCGCAGCACTGAGTGTGAACTTCGCTGTGCCTGAAGTCCCAGTAGTATTGGTTGGCTCGCCGCCACACTGTTCAATCGTTCCTGCAATACCGCCACAAATTGACAAAAGAGCCACGTTGATGTCGTGAGAAACGAGTGTACTAGTTTGAGTTAGTACGAGTCTAATGTCCAGTAGATGGGGAGGACACTCACGTGGATTTGTCCGTGCAAGTGGTGCCTGTAATCGCAGCAGGATTTACGGAGGTGTTTTCCGGGAGGGGAGCTCTTGCGACTTTGTTCGGCGCAGCAACAGCAAAAGCAGCAAGCATTGTAGTGAGGACGATTGAGGAACGCATTTTGAAATAAAAGGAGAGATTGAAATATGCAGCTCAGCTGTCCCAAATTAAAAAGTTAAAATTGACTTGAACGATAGAATAGAATGTAAAGACGTAGCAGCCAGCAAGCCTAAAAGAATGTTTTACGAAATCGAACACTATCAATTGCGGGAGGAAACCTCGAAATATAAACATATCCGAGAAATGAGACGGCTCTTAGCGAGATCATAGGAACATCCTCGAATGCGATCTGTCAATCAGTCCATTCGTGGGTTATTTCATTGAAAAGTGGATCATCTGATACAAGCGCAAGTATCAGATCGATCAGATTACCCCTTGGGTACTTCGCTTAGACGGAGAACAGCCGAAAAGTGGAAGTCGGGATGAAACGCAAACATTGGTCAAACGTGTAATGTGTGGTCTGGGCGAGAAAGCAAATAAACGACGAAAGAAAAACAGTCCGGGACATCGGATGACATGTTGGAGGAAGGAATAACCTCGCAGCCTTTGCTTCGAGTAAACTTTATTTAATTTGATCACGTGTCAAGATCAACTCCTCGGTCGCACCTTCTTCGTCTGATGTACCACAAGGAGTCCTCAAATCCCCATCTCCTCATCCTCGTTTAAGGCTGCCATCTCGCACAGCATAGTCCTCACGTGTCTGTGCACCCCTGCTTCACTAACCTTCTCGATTAAATCCGCCAACTCTTCCCTCGCTTCTCGATCCAGATACCCCGGCTTTGAACATCTTGGGACTGCTCTGGCAACAACTTCGAAGCAGTCTCGATAATGTTCAGCATTTTGCCATCTGTCAGCAAGAATAGCGAGGACTGAAGTGCAGTCTCGTATCGATGAGTCGGCTTGGGAAGGGATGTTAGCGAGAGCTCGTGCCCAGATTACGTAGAGGATTGTGACCCCAGCTTGGAATTGTGTGATGACCTACATTTCTTGTCTTAAGTTGTGGCAACGCTCGAGGATAGAGAGGTGGACATACCACAAGCCACGGCTGTGCGACTTGACGTTTCTTTTGCAGGGCTCGGAAGGTCGTGCATGCATCACAGCTCGCCTGAAATGCCACATCACTCACATGAGTGTTGATATTGAGTCTTGTTGGGCGACAAAGAAGAATCCTTGAGAGTTGGCCAATGAGACCGAGCCATAAAGGACTCTGGTACCCCTCATTGTCCATGAGACTTAGCAGAAAGTATTAGCTATGGACACCCGGCACGAGACTGGGTTGTTTGCTTACCTATGTGAATAAATTTCATCCGCCCAGTTCTCAATTTGTATCCTCATGCTATCTTGCCACTCTCGCGTAGCATCTCCCTCTATCGGAACCGAATGCATGACGTGTATTATGTATGACTGTATCAGTCTAATCTTGCAGATATGGGCAAAAGTGCCCAAATTGGAGACGTTTTGAGCTGTGACTGGAGGAGGTGCGTCATTTAACCATGGCATTGGATATGGTTCTTCTGAACGTACAACGTAGAGCGGGGATGATATGTACGCATCGGCGAGACTTACAGGAACATCTAATGTCCCACTCACGGCCCTATCGAGTCTATTGATTGAGTAAGTCAGCCGGATTCACTCTTCCAGCCGAATTTTCCTACAAGATGAGGAGACTTGAATGGGAGAAACTCACATATACGCACAAGACCAAGCTTTGATCTTCATCTGACTATCTTCGTCCCCTAAATCAACAAGTTGGTGAAAGCCATGCAAACTTGCGAATCTAATAATCGCTCCACTGATATGGGAGATCCTCGCCGTGCTCTCGGAATGCAAGGCATGCATAGCAGATAGTAACATCGCTTGTAATCTTGTCAAGGGGTCGGACTTTGTACTTCGGATGATGGCATCTTCGCTTTGAGCTTGTGACTTCAGGTCTTGATGCTGATATCTTGGTGCAGCGTCCGACTTTGATTGGATGAGCGATCCAATTGCAAAAATCCGGGCCGATGTCAGCCACAGATCCATCATTAGATGAGTTGCCTTACCATCTTGACAAAGAAAGCAGGCCACCCGGATATTGAATCACCCCCCGGGGCCAGTTTCCACTCGTTGTACCATTTTCCGCAATCTTGGACACTTAGAAATGGGTACTGAGGATGAATAGCCTGGAAATACGTTCGAAAGAATGAAGCTGCGGTCGCTGTGGGGATTTGTTCCGAATTCGTACTCAATCCTTGAATAGCTTGGATAGGTGTCTGTCTTGGAGCCGTAAAATCTGGTGGGCTTGGCTGATTCGTTCCTAGGTCTCTCAGCTGCACTGAACCTCCTGTTCTCCCTGGTGTATTTGGTGTTTGAGGCACTTGCCATTGCCATATTCTCTCAGTGTCGGGAGATGTCCCAGCAAGATAGTCGTAATTATAAGACTGTCCAACCTCATCGCCCGTGACCGGAGGACCAGAACCGAGGTGATCCAGTGCAGGAAACCTCTCGTTGAGCGTCCGTTCTAGCATTGCTGCATGGTTCTCCAATGCTGGAACATATCCAGCTGGATAATTCTGTTGTGGTTCTTGGATAACGGGTAAGCACTCTATCTTTGGTCAGCTCCCTAACTGTTCGGAATGTTCGGGTTAGATACCGACACCAGCGGCTTCACAATTATGACATGGCTGCTGGAAATCACATCTTTGCTTCCTGTGCCTGCATCTCCGACAGGCTTTCTTCTTCCTTCTTGGGCCTACAGGAATCACATTGATGTCTGAAGGGCTCGGCATAGTCCTGAAGCCCAACAGACGTTGTTCCACGTGACGATTATCGTCAAAAATGGGATAACGATAAATAGTAATTGAGACCGACGGAGTTTTAGGAGAAGGATCGTGTTGAAGATGACGATGTTGTTTGTGTTTCCAGAGATAAGGATCATGCGGGGAGGGAAAAGTGGGTTGGTTGATAGGCAAAGATGGGCGGAGCTCGCGGACTTTTAATGGGCCTCACTAGGAGCGCCCTGGCAGCCTTCGATCGACATCTGCCATGTCTCCTCCAAAGTAATTTAGTCCAAAAATGATTCAGGTATGTTTTCTTGACCTTCTTGTCATCCCGACATCACTTTATCTGCTCTCTGCAATATAGAAAAGTACTTGCCCTAGCACTAAGCTGGGTTCGCGCATAGTCCTGAAATCCTGGATATTAGCGGTGGTGAGTTAACGCCCAGGCTTCCCAGCAGCTGAGCTCGCTAATCCAGGGGCTGCACACGCCTCGAAATCTCGAAATACCTGCAAGAAGCTCGTACAAATGATTTTACATAAGTCTTTGAAAGTTCTAGATGCTCGTGTATATAATCATACCTGCCATTCGTCGTTTCCAAGATCTCGGCGTGAATTTGATACCACTCTCTTCTCTTTTCTTTCTTAACTAAACTTTCTCCGCCACCACTTTCTCCTCAATACTCTCGAATAAGTCACGATGCATTCCACTCTTCAACCTTTTCGAGATCTGAATGCCACTGATAGTGGCTGATGCAGTCCACACAGCGTAACTGAATGCAGCGAATACCGCGTCAAGACGAGCGGCAAGGCAAACTGACCCCTCACAGAACAAAAGTCTTGAGAGAAAGACCGACAACGCGATAAAGCCACCCATATACAGAAAAGAAACTAAAGCTTGAACCACCAATGCTGCATAGGGCGATGTTCCTATTGTATGTCAGCTTGGATTCATCAGTTGGGGAAATTGTTCTTACTTCTCGGCGAGATGAGGGGTACGACTTCCAAGAGCAGAAGTGTTATTATTGAGAACGAGGATGCAAAGAGAAGGAAGTTGATTTCGGTAGAGGAAGGATTGAGTGAGTGGTTATTCTCATATGCGACTAAACTTGTGTGTAAGTGATTGTATGGAGGTTTTGAGTTAACATCTCACCATAGCTTGAAAGACAAAGCACCACCACAGAATGAAAGGCTTGCCCTCCACGAAGTGCGATAGTGACTGCTGAAGACATAGTGCTCAGTGGTATGATTGAAAATATGCGTTTAAGTTGCGATATTTGCAGAAGCTGACTGAGATGTGTGTTTTGCACAAGAAATAAAGAGCAAGTCTGCGTGTATTTGTACCCTCTCCATGCTGTGACGGACTTATGCTGTCTTAGCTCAGCCTCTGACCATCAAACAACATGCATGAAGGTCGTTGAAGTCGTCCCATGGCCACTGCTCCATCCCAGTGCAGATCTCGCCATTGCCGAAACTGTTAACTTTTGGCGGTTTGATACGCCAATCGGGACTTTGCGAAATGCGTACGAGGTCTGCAAAACTCTGCCTTGTCATGAATTTAAGCTTTCATAGGATTCAATGATCCACTCGAACTCATGCCTTGGCTCCCCTGATTGACCGGTCAGTCCGGTCAGCCTACGCGTGGAGTGTTCTGATGCATGCTTTTCTGGTGGGAACGAGACTTGGTTTTACCTCCATCCTTGAGAATACTAACTGAGTGGCAGGGCTCTGAAGTTTTATCTACATTCTGCATTCTCATTTCGTCGCACGATGGGACTATTGCGGAGCTCAACACTGCTCAAGACTATCCTATCTGGGGCATGTAGTAAGAGCGCGTTGCATTCTTAGTTCGGTAATAGTTTTGCAAGCGCACGCGAATTGACTAACATCCATCTCCCCTACGACTAGTATTTTCTGTTGTCAGCCTGTTTTTCAGATGCACACTTCGTAGTTCGTACTTCGTAATTCATTTTTTCTCGACTGGCTGACATTCGCTTACTTTCAGAATCGTTGTTACTGTATTACTACAGTAAACAAGGCCGCGATTGGGTCGGCACGATCTCTTCACGGTTGCTTACCACACAGAGTTGAGCTTTGAGAACTGACATTTCGTAAGACCCAGATTCCCTTTAGTCCCTTCCATGACCTTCGATAACACCCATTAGAGGAGTATTATCATAACGATCTATAAATGAATTACTACACTTCCTACATAGTACACTTATCGCTATCGCAATCCACTCCTCCATCCCCTAATCTACTGGAAATTGATCACCCGCTTCGTTAGGTTCGTAGGGAATCCTCTCAAACTCCACATACCTCTCCGGCCTTGTCCAATAATCCTTTCCACTTAACGCCGTCCCATCAATGACCCTCGTCTTGCCCCACGCGAGCACGGCGTCAAAGTTTCCGCATCGGTGCACGGCATTGAAGTTCGGCTGCGGCGCATAGTGCCCTTTCAGCCAGTTGTACGTGACAACCGTGTTGTCGGCCGAGCACATCAATTGCTGCCTCAGCATGTCTGCGCAATGGTCTTCGTTCTATTAGTGTTTGGTTTTTGAGATGTGTGTTAGAGGGTTGATATACCCATATGTTCGTGCCAATGTTCGGGTTTCTCAATAGAGTAATTATACGCTTCCTGGTAGTAGTCTGGGTACGAGTGTTGCCAGAGCATATGCTATTCTCACAGAGGATTTAATTTCGCGTTTTCGGTTTTGAAAAGTTGCAAAGGGAGATTGTAATCTTACCAGGCAATGGATCTGGTGATTGACTTCCAGCATTGCCATACGTCCTCCTCCTAGTTCGGGCGGTACTTCTACGGCGTGGGGACTCGCGTTCACATGGCTGAATTCTTCTTCACTTATTTGAATTGCTCCAACTATCACAAGTCTCATTAGCTTTTTATTTGTTCTTGCTTCCGAAACTTATGGAGTGGGAGACAAACTATCCCATAAAGCAGCCCACGCGTCCTCTACCGCGTCTGTCGGCGGCCCTTTGTAAGGTGAGGGGAAATAGGAAGAGCCTCTGAAGCGCTGTACTCTGTATTCGGCTATTGTTCCTGTGTCAAAAGTGAGATTGCGATGATTTTGGATCATGTGAAGGTATGGGATTTACGCACTCAGAGTATGAGAGCTGCGAGATATGTGGTGATGTTGGAGGGAGACGTAGGTGAGGAGGAGGAGTTCGATGAGAATGTGGAAGATGTGGGGGCGGAGAGAGTTTGTGGTGGGTTTCGTGATGTGGGCTGAGTCGTGGATTAGTCGTTCTGTTTCTTCATCTTTGTAACATGGCATTGTGAAGTTTCGGCCACTTTTCCTTAAATCTAGTTAACTGCCGTCAAAGCATGTGTTGGAGTACGTTGAGAAAATATTTCCATCTGCTAAATAACTTGTGGGAGAGTCTTACAGTGATGCAGTTCTGGTTGGGTGGTGTAAAGATGTATGCGAACGAGGGCCAAGGAGTGGTTCGGAATTTGTCAGTGTTGTACAGCGCTTTGTGAGCGGCGCGGGCTGGTCCTTACATACGTACTGTATGTACATATTCTCGGTACTTTTGAGAATGGTCATTCGCTCAACAGCTGCGATTGACACGTACCGATTCGCACCCATACAAGTACTATATTCCCATCATCGGTTCAGTACTTGGTGTCCACAAATATTGATCAGCAGTAACCCTGCATGTTGGTGGCGGCGGCGGCGGCAGCGGCAGTAGAGGGACAGAGGCACAGTCGATACCTCGTGCCAATTCCCTTTCACTTACCCGGCATGCAGGTACGACGTCGGTCACCCACTAAAGCCATGCAACTCGTCGGAGCGTTGTATTATTGATTTACACAATGTGAACCGGCAGTTGACTATGTAGGGTTATGTGCATGTTTTACAAATGTAGAAGGCGAGATTCCTAATGCAGCGATGTGCTTCACTCTCTGCCTTACTCGTGCAACACAACCGAGAGACGACGATGAGATGTGTAAGAGATGCAAAATTCGAAATTTGGGAAAGTATATCAATTCTTCCCGACTCTCCAACCCATTAGTCAGGCATGCTGAAAATAACATTGGCTCCACAACCTTTCTCAAAGACGTTGGTATATAAGTCATCTCCCAAAAACCCGAAGTCACCCTAACCTAGCACCATAGAACATATCTCAGAGCATTCATTCATCCACATCACCAATCTTCTTCCAACCATCTAGAATTATTCAAGCTAAGCATACACTACAATGCATCTCCTACCTCTCTGCCTCCCTCTCATCACCATCACCCTAAGCGACCTAGCAGCCGGCGCTCCTTCCAGTCCGTCTACCCATCTCTCCCTTGTAACTATTTACTAACAGCTCTCCCAGACAAGATCTCCCCTAAGATTACGGCCGATTACCTCTATGACGATGTCGATGTCGACATCTCTGAGCGTTCCGTCGGAATCTCGCCCAAGATCACCGCTGATTACCTTTATGATGATGTCGACGAGACTATCCCTTCCTAATACATTAGCCTTTTGTGCCGGGGACCTGGGAATTTGACACTAGGAAAATGAGTCGGAATCTCTTGTCTTTTACTACTCGGGCTTTAGAGTGCGATTTGGTATAATGATGTTACTAGGGAAGCTCGTTCGTGGTTCATGTTACCGTTAAAGTAGTGTTGTAGAGAAAGCTTATTTATGAATTTTGTTTTCTTTCCTTTAGTTTGAAAGAATGGGAGATGCTCGATTCATGTGTATGTGGATTATTGATACAGTGTTCGGATCTCAAAAGTACGATTGTTTCTTTATAACAACTACAAGCCGTGAAAGAGAGAGGATTTAAGCAGCTCGTCAGTCTCTTGATTAAACCGCCAAATGATGTTCAATAGCAATTTTGGTACTTGCATTCTCCCCGCTTGGAAATTGGCTCAATTGAACCCCACTGCCATCACTAGCCGTCTTCGTCTTCAGTTGTCTGCCTGTATTATCCAGATCCTTGTACGAGGTTGATACTTTGTGAGAGCTTCCAGGTAGCAAACTTCGATAGGTCGGCAAAGCAGATATGATTATTGCAATCGTAAGCTCCAGAATATCCCAGAGTATGTCAATTGAAACAGCTCCGCCGCGGAGTGTATACAATGTTCGGAGAATGTCGAATATAACGTCTGTAAAAGCCAGAAGGAAGATCACAGCTACTCCAACCTTCTGCCCAATTGGCAATCGCGTACCTTTCAACATCCAAAGTGGCAAAGTCATAACTATGAAAATATTAACATTCAATTTTGGGTACAAAGTGCAAGAGGGGATAAACCTACTAGCCACATCCGATAACACATTCAGAATACACCACATCTTTACAAAGCGAAAAATCACTATCTCTGAATCTAAAGAAGAGCATTTTTCTGTACAATTCTTAGTTCAATTCCGGAACTATCGAGGGATGCTATTTTTCTTACCCACAACATACAAATTCTTGGGCGCTCCACAAGACCAAAAGACTGAGATGAAATTCGCGAGGAATGTCACAAGAGTGAAGACTAGAACACACCACCACGCACGCATAAACCCGTCTGAAATAAAGAATAAGCTGCGATAGAATGCCAGGAAAGCGAGCTTAACCAGGTATTGGACAACCCAGAAAATTGCCGAGATAGCAATGATGAAGTGAAAATACCGGCCTGCAATGCCCAATGTCAGTAACTCACTTTTTGAAGAAAGAAGAGAAGGGAAAGAAGAAATTTGGAGATTCTGGTCTGCTAAGATTGAAAGCATCTTCTTACTCAGATCGTCCACAGTTGGCTCTTCTGAACTGAACCCAGAAGAGTCTGCTGCAATTTTATATTCCAAAGAGAAAGCCAAGTTCGACGTGATCATGTATCCTATCAGTGCAAGGCACGCCAGGCCGTGAAAGAAATCGTCCAACTGGAAAGCTCGGAAGAATTCGCGCCGCAGTCTGTAGCGTATTCCATATCGACCAGCAGTCAGGAGAAGTGCGGTTGCCGTGAAAATCCAGGTAAGAGCCTGGTGACAGGTCAAAATCTCTTTACCGTCATTGGGGACAGAATAAGAAAGCAAATACGTACAACTAGACCCTTTTCAGGGATGGCACCCATGTTCGTTGAGTGAAGCGTCTATTTGTCCTACGTTGACTGAACTGAAGACGGTTCTGAGGTAATGAGGTGATGCGGGAATTAATATTGTATGTCGCTTATGTGGAAGAATTTCAAATCACCAACTTGCGACGTCAAGAAAGAAAAGCGCCTTGACGGCGCAGAAAGCTATCCTGAAGCTACATTGGTTCGTAACAGATACAACATATATTTTCAACCCTTTCAAGATCCAAGCCCAATGCCGATCCCTAACCCAGCCTGCAAGACATGCAGGTCGCATCACCGGCCCGTTCCCTTATCTGCATTTAAGGTAAATTACTCGCATGAAAGTTGGTTGCGCATGTTGGTTGGCATTGGAATAAATTAATTGCATATGTTGGTTGCCTGATACGCACTGTGCCTCTGGGCCACAACAAATAACACGCATATACGACGTGACTGCCAATATTCATGTGCATTCAGCGATCAATTGTGGTGTGCAGTCTGTTTAAGCATACAGGGTAGTAATATCATGTCAATAAAAATTCAGGGTCAAAGCTATTCCTCTAGAACAAATTTTTGGCTTTTTGCACTGACCAATATCTGGAGCATGTTACAGGAAGTACATGTAGAATAAGCAAGCCCAAAAGACACGAAATCAAAATCTTGTTTAGCATATATCAAACGATGCCATTGATAAAAGTAGTGAAAATCCCACACGAATCTACTCTTCATCGTCAGAATTCCGCAGAGCTTGATGAATCTTCTCCTGGTAAGGAGAGTCTGGAGGACAGTATATAAATCTTAGGATCCCATCCACACTACTATCTGTTGGCTTGACGTTTTTCCAGCAGGACCAATGCTTCGTCGCAAAAGTCTCAAGCTTGTTCCAATTTCTACAAGCTCTGGCTTGACCCATACCAGGAAGTCCCAAGGGGTCCACGGGGACATGTCGTGGAGTATCGTCTGCCACACAGAGCGTATCTTGCAATAATGAATCTAAGCAGTGTTTCCAGTGACGTGGATGCGATGAAGGCACTTCATTGGAGTAGAGCTGGGTTATCGTCCTCCGAATAATTTTCTTTAGGAAAAAATCGAAATGTTAACTGTTTACTTCCTCGCATAGACAGCACTAAGATGTATTCTTACTAGACAATGAATACTGTGATACCCGTTCAGAAAATAGAGCCCTTTGCTATCATCCCAGGGATATCTCCGAGCTCGTGGAAGTCCCAGAGAATCGGCGTAATCGTCCGAAAGCGCGATGGAGCCGAGATTGTATTCAAGAGCTTCCCATGCCAACTCCATCAGAGTTTCGTTCGAGCTGTCGTATTGTGTGTTGCTTTTGAATTGATTTGGAGTGTCCCAGACCAGCCCTGCTATACATAGAGATGAACCACTGAGTACGGATTCGTCCTATACGTTGGAAGGAATACAATTTACAAGGAACTCACCGAATCTTGTTACACCTCCATTGATCTCGTCGGGAGTTCGCGTGGCTTGGGTAGAGAATATTACCAAAGCCGCTAGAACATTCAGCACTAGGGAAACGACGAGAAATATATATATTGTTGCTCTGTACTGGCGCGAGGGTCCTCGTGGATTCCAGGGAGATACGGAAACAAAATCTAAATTGTCCTTCTCACTTGGTGACTGGAGACGTTGATACTCCATGGCAGAAACCATAATGGGAGCTCGACAGCACAATCTGAAAGTCGACTGAAATTTGAAAGAGAACAAGCAGAAAGAGATTGACGAGGAAGTAAGGTACTAAGAGGCACAGGTGTGTCGTACAAACATGGTAGGTTGATGATCTCCTACCATATCTGGTTGGACCGAGGCGACGCCCTACAGCAACATGTGCATATATTCAGGCAAAACCCAGCGTTCAGAGTGGGTTGTGTCCTGTGGGCAAAACCAGGCCACCCAATCGTAGACGGCTATCTTAAATCCTCGAACCAACAACAGGCCGGACCGATTACGCTAAAAAAGACGACGCATCCAAAACGCTGGCAAAATCACACGAATACACATTCTTTGCTATTGAAAAGAAAACGACGCTATGCGATGCGAAACACTTCAAAATGACGGCATCTGAATTGACTCTTCACTCCGCCCTGCAACTGCTCAACTCTCCCATTAAGATTCCCCTCCTCGGATTCGGAGTCTACGACTCTCACACAGAAGTATGCATCGCTTCCATCCAAACAGCTTTGAAAAGTGGATATAGACATATCGATACCGCGCAGTAAGTATTATCAAGGCTACCTTGCAACATTGTACTGTCATTTAAAGCGCCCTCGCAGGTCATACGGAAATGAAGAAGAAGTTGGCCGCGCCATATTATCCTCTGGTGTCTCTCGTTCCGAATTATTCATCACATCAAAAATCCGAGTCCCTGCCGACGGTGCGCAAGATCACTACTCATCAATTCTCGAAAGTATCCAAAAGATTGACCCAGGTCCCGAAGGCTATGTGGATTTGTTTTTAATCCATAGCCCGAAACCGCCCACGAATGTGAGAATGCGTGTTTGGTTTGCGTTGGAAAGGCTACTTGCTGAGAGGAGAGTAAAAAGTATTGGTGTTAGTAATTGGGATGTGAGCCGGATTGAAGAGATGAAAACCTGGGGGAAGAGAGATGGAGCTGTTTGGCCGCCGATGGTAAATCAGATTGAGGTGTGTTGTTACATTGTCTTCTGCTCAACAACCTATCATCTCTTAGGTGTTAGATTGAGAAGCAACAGGCACTAACAGATTCCAGCTTCATCCATTTTGCCAGCAGAAAGAAATTGTCTCCTATTGCCACACTCATAATATTGCAATCGAAGCCTACTGCCCCATCGTTCGTAATCAACGGGCGAATGACCCGACCCTTTGCTCTCTTGCGGAGAAATATAGGGTGTCTACGCCGCAGATTTTGATCCGTTATTGTTTGCAGAAGAATTGGGTAGCGTTAGTGAAGAGTGACACACCGAAAAGGATCGTGGAGAATAGTGACGTGTATGGATTTGAGCTTACGGGGGAGGACATGCGGCTGTTGGATGGGCTGAATGAGGGCGCTGCGGGGGCTATTGTCTGGGCTGTCAGGAAGTAATTCTTGGATCTTTTCTGCTTGACTATTTGTTTACGTTGAGGTTTCGAGCTTTTCCTGTATCTAAAGAGAGAGCTTGGCATTAAATCTTGGTCCTTAATACTCTCCCAATTTAACGTAGTGTTATGTTAAATTAATCGAGACAAAACAATCTCTTTTTCAATCACGTGAAATGAGCTCAGTTCTTGGAAAGATACAGCAGCCAGTGCTCTATACATTCACACAATGCGCCTAACTTGTATTTCTGAGATACTTTGAATACCAGATCCCATCATATTCTCGGATACTCTCATCACCTTCGTCTCTTTTCCCTTGCAGTAATCTAGCACTTTGCTTTCTGTGATGTTTGGTCAGACCTCAATGGAAAGAAGAAAGCGGATCCGGGACAAGCTTACGCAAATTTTGAGACACTCGGTTTGAGCCAAAGCAAGAACAGTAGAGTTGCAGGTAACATCGCAAGCGCCGTTACAAACGGTAGACGCTATCGATCGCTCAGCGACCTCGTTGCCAAGAGCACGAGCTTCGTTAAGTGAAGCTTCAGTTCCAGTGGGAATAGCTGAGACAGCAGCGAAGAGGGTGACGATGACAGTGATGAATTGCATGTTGAAGGTTGATTGGTGAGTTTGGAAAGTGAGGAGGGGTATTGAGAATGATTGGATGCGGAAGATGTAAGACGAAGAGAGTATTGTAAATTTATAAAGTGATGGAGAAGATTGCTTGATGATGAGGTGTGATGAGATGGTGGAAGTCAGTGGTGTTTATATACAATATTCTGTTGAGAATTTTTATCGGGAAGTCACAATCGGCAAGCCCTCACGATCTGATGCATTGGGAGATGTAATCCACCTTCCTCTTCCGCAATGAGGCTATTCGTAATGTAGTCTTCGCTGTCTGCGGAAGAAAATTCGTATAGGAAGCCCTTGAGGCTGTGGCAAGAGCGCATGAGTAACATCAACGAAACACTTCAGAACAGGGCTTTAGAGTTTTTAGACCATCCAAAGCACTAGAGAAAAACTGTTCAGAATTAAAAGGATTCAAATTGAAACCCGATAAAGGTCGACCACGTGGTCCATAAGGCAGACTCGGTTCTTCTCGGATAGGCATACGAAAGCTCGCAAGTACAGAAGAGTAGAATATGGGGACTAGGTTATGTTTGAGCTCTGGATATGATGGTTATCATAGGCTGTAGACAAGCTTTCGCTAGAATATCCAAGACATGTTGGATGACATTTTGTGGTGGTGGCAAATCGCGCTTAGAACTACTTGGAGGGAAAGGAGTTGAGCACAGCCTAGAGTTGCCATGCATAGACCCAGGACTGACTCGATCCAAGCATAACCTTGCATTTTAACGACTGACAGGCGATCTAGAAGTTTCAAACTTGAATGTGCAGACCGAATTTGGTCAAGTAATGGATCTGAGTTTATGCGAACCGCTTCTTTGGGATTTCGAGACGAAAGCATTGACAGATTGACAATCAGCCTCAGATATGGGGACTGAATTGATTAAAATGGAATGTTGTGGCTATGATTAAAGTTTGCAAGGTAGAATTTTGTGTATGATCTTCGAGGTGGAACGCTAATGCCGAGAAACTACCGCTGGAAGGGTAGTACCACTTTCGAAAGTCAACGCTGCTTTCAAGGGTCCCCAATAAAATTCGTAGACATTGTTGCATGCTACCTTTCATCTGAATCTCGTTTGGCAGCTGCGTCGGTAGGGCAGCGCGAAGATTTCTTCACTGAGCCCCTGACAGGCCTTCGGTTGCAGACGCTTAAGCGAGAACCCCTTTTGTCGCTCATCACCATCATGGACCCTCGATCCTACCCCGGTCCGATCACTCGACGCAGAGTTCTCTGAAGCCATCGTCTACTGAAATGCGAGATGTTAAGTCTGAAGGTGACGCGGAGCCATGAAGATCGCAAAATCGCAGCAAACCGAGGGCTTGAACTCTAAATGTCCGAGTTCCTCTGAAACAAGCGAATCCATCTCAGCCCATATGCGGACACAGGAAAAACTGAAATCAATCTGGTCGAACTGTCTCCAGGTATTTCAAGACGACAAAGATTTCTATAAGATGCCTTTCATCGACCAGTAAATTTCAATCCATCATCAGCACTAACTCCTTCACTTTTATACTCCAGTCTTACTTCACAGTCAACCTTCGATTTCACTTCTTCAATACCTTATTCTCATTCAGTCACTCAAACACCCAATCAATCTTTCAAAATGCAATTCCACGTCCTCGCCACCATTACTCTCCTGATTGCAACTGCGTCTGCAATCCCAACCACCACTTCTGTCGAGACCTCCATCGAGAAGCGCACTTGCGGAACCCTCACCGGGACTGCCTTATCTGTTTGCCAAACAGCTTGTGAAGCTGCTTGTGTAAGTTGTTCAAACACACATCCATTGGATAGTTATGAAAGCTAACGTAAATAATTAGGATGTTGTCACGGCTGCGATTGCTAAAAGCTTGTGCAAGGATGCATGCAAAGCTGGTGTAAGTCATCCTTGTATGGTACACTTTGCACACTGCTAATGGGTTTCCAGCCTTTGTAGGATTGTGTTGTTGGAAAGTAGATTTCTCCATGCAAAGTAAGGCAGGCTCAAACTTCGCTAGCGAGGCGGGAGATGATGGGATTCCGACCAAGATATAAATTCAATGTTTTTACCTAGCTTGTATTCCGCAAATCAATGCACATTCTTCTTTTCCAATGAAAATGACGTTATTGTGTTACACCGAAAATTTACCACACATATCTGAAGTGAATGTTCTGCTTGTCCGTCAGATCCTTGAAATCGGTATCCCGGTGAATCTTCTGCCCAGCAGCAGAGTCAAGCTTATCTCTTCTCCTGTTTTCCCAAGCACAGTAAGCCATGTAGATTGCCATTGTTATCATCGATAGGACATAAGATGCGAGAATCGCCCCCATACCGAGTACATAAAGCGGTGCTTGCCTGGCGAGGAAGAATTGTGGGGCGATGATGTTCGATACACAGTATGCGATAAAGATCAAGGCATTAGTGGTAACTTTCTTCGTATGGCCACTAAATCTGTTAGTATTCCATGGTGGGTTTGGCAAGGAGGGACACTCACGCTGTGTTGGCTGTGTTCATGCCGAGAGCGACAATATAGCCACCTAGGTAGAAATAAGACACATAGAGAGCCGCGAGTCTCCCATGAAGGTTGTAGAGCGGTAGCGTGTACAAGAAGACTGCAGCAATCATTCCAATGATGCAAGAGAACATAACCCAGGCGCCCCTCAATTGATAATTGGATAAATATTTGGCACACAGGAACACCCCGCCATTACACATGTAGGAGGAGACTGTCTGTATGATACCCGTGGGCATCGTGAGAAGTGTCGATCTCTGGGCAGTGTAGCCAAGACCATTGATAATAAGAGGCGCAAACTAGCATCATTAGCACTACCCTTTGCCAGTTCAAGGAAGAGGCTCACATTGGTCAGTCCGCCGTTGGGAATTGAGATCCAGATGTTAAACAAAAACATAAGCCACGTCTTAGGATCGAGGAAGGTCTCGATCATTTGCTCTCTCTTGAATGTCTTGTTCTCGATGCCCGTTTGATCTGCTCTGACTCGATCGATTGCGATGGCCTTTTGACGCTCGCTGATGAATTTTGCCTTGACAGGGTTATCCGGGAGGAAAATGCCAACAATGATAGCCCAGACACAAGTCATTGCACCGGTAATCCAGAAGAAGTATCGCCACTTATCCGCGCCTGCGATGAAGCCAATACCATAGCCAATAGGGCCAGTAAAGCAAACTGACAGACCAGTATACATAAGACCCGTTCTGATTGGCTGCTCTCTGTAGAACAAGTCAATTACTTGGATTTGTTTAGCAGTTAATGAGGGCATTTACCTTCGACTATACCACATGCCAACGATAAGATAGTTTCCAGGGACAATTGGAGCCTCCAGAACACCGAGAAGAACTCTGAGAGCAATAAGAGTCTCAAAGTTCTTCGCAAAACCCGTCCCAATGAGGACAAGTCCCCACAGCAATTGTGCTGATGCCATAGTTTTTGCGATTGGAAGTTTCTGTAGAAGGCCTGCTGATGGAAAGCACCAAACCAAGTATCCGAACTGGGTAACGTTAGCCTGGAAGGAGGTGAGAATACAGAGAATCACATACGTAGAACGCAGATCCAACCCATGAGTACCTATTTCCAGTCAAACCGGTGGAAGCTTTCATTCCATAGAGAGCCGCTGTTGAGGTTGTGACTTTGTCCATGGCACCTAAGGTAACGTTGAACCATAGAATGGGAATAAGTCGCAAATCCAGCTTCCATCTCAATCGTTTCTCCTCGGATGTCGTGTACGCATCTTCGCCATCCAGTCTATCGGCGTACTGGGCAGCAATATCCTCGTCAGAGTGATTGAACATTTGGCCCGCAGTGACATCTTTGGAATTCGTAGCCTCCATTGGAATCTTTTCTAAAGACATGGTTGTAAAAGATGCAACGGGGTTTCAATGTTGTGAGGCAATCGGGAGGGTGATCTTTCCTGACTTTGTACTCTTGCAGACTGTAGCAATCGACGCCACAATGCGAAGGCTCAGATAATGTATGGATATCTCAAGGTACTGGTATCAAGATACCAAGATGTCGAAAGCTGGACTCGTACGAGTCGTGGAAAGCTGCCATGATTAGTCTAGGCATAGGCCATATTGCCTTGGCGATTGGCCAAACAACGCCTGCGATCACTGTTATCAATTAAGATATGATCGGCAAGGTTTCCCCATGGTTTATCTTCGGCCGCGGCGCCGTTGAACATCAATGTCCGCCTTGGTTCATGACATCCAGGAGGGATTGCTGTGCCATCGGGGTCCAACTCCGGTCGAAAGTGGTTTAGTCTTCGGCCTCGTAGGCCGAATCGTGCTTTATCAGGTTTAGTGGAGACAGTTGCGCCTCCACTTTTGCCACTATATGTCGAAAGTGGGGTGGGACCAGACTTCCGGGACAACGAAAATTCCCACCATAACCTCAAATCTGCCCTCGTTAAGCGGAACTTGAGCGAGATAGCTATCATTCCAAGCCCAAACTGGAAACCTCGTATTCTGCACCTTGGCGACGTGCATTATCACTCATTCAAGGACCCACCAGTGGCCGAGCAAGGTCGGAATCAAAGATGTGTTGCCGGCCAGGGACCCCGTTATGCGAGGCTGAGAGAACGCCGAGCTATGCCTTAAGGGCTAACATTGATGTGAAGTAGAATTATGGAAAGATTCTTTCTGCTTCCTCTTTCATTCTCCTTCTTTCTTCTACTGTCTCATACTCTTTTCTTGCAGCTCTGCGCAAATTGAAAATGCCTAAGATTACACAAAGTTTAGATGCTGAACAGGCTGAATTCGACGCAAAGGTCAAGCAAATTGAAGAGTGGTGGAATACTCCAAGACAGGCTCACATTCAGAGGTAAGAGAAGGGACTTTCCAAGATTAAATTCTACCCTTGAGTCAATGCTGACAACCAAAGACCATATTCAGCAACCAGAATCGCCTCCTTGAGAGGTCTTCTTCCTCAAAAATATGCCTCCAGCGATATGGCCCTGAAGCTTTGGGCTCAACTCAACGAGCACCGAGCGAATGGAACGCACGAAATGACTTTTGGTGTCACAGACCCAATCATCGCTTCGCAAATGGCCAAATACTCGCAATCTCTCTACGTTTCCGGAGCCCTGTGCGGGTTCTCTGAGGTTTCCGAGCCAGGAATGGATTGTTGCGATTATCCCCTCGATACCGTACCAAAGGTTGTAGACAAAATCTTTAAGTCTCAATGTTGGCATAGTCAGCGCCAAAATCATTACAGAATGCTGCAATCAAAGGAAGCTCGTGCCAATCTGGAGAATTGGGACTACCTGACTCCTATTGTGGCAGATGGCGACATGGGATTCGGAGGTCTGACATCAACAGTCAAGATGACGAAGCTGTTCGTCGAAGCTGGAGTTGCTATGTTTCACTTGGACGACCTCGCAATCGGGAAGAAGAAATTCACAGTGGGTCAAGGACGAACTGTTGTTCCGACCAGCGAGTATTTGGACCGATTGACAGCTGCGAGAATGCAGATCGACATCATGGGAGCTGATACCATGCTTCTTTGTCGATGCGACGTTGATCACTCGGAGTTCATCACAGACGTGATCGATGTTCGAGACCACAAATACGTTCGAGGTGCTACCCTCCCAGTCAAATCTCTCCAGGAAACTTTGAAGGAAGCTGTAGAGGCCGGGTCGCCAAATCTTCTCACCGTTCGCGCAGAATGGATCGCTAGCGCCAAGCTCCTCACATTTGACGAAGCTGTGCAAGCTATTGCCACAGAAGCAGAATACGCCGCCTACACTTCCAAACTTGGTTCTGGCGTTAAGTCCATAAGAGAGAGAAGATCTGCTGCCAAGGAAACAGTTAGCGAGGAAATCTTCTTCGATTGGGACCTACCAAGGTCTCGCGAAGGGCAATTCTTCTACAAATCCTGTGTCTCAGCAATTGTCGAGCGTGCGCTGCTAGCTGCTCCTCTTGGAGACGTTACTTGGGCAAGAATGGATATGCCAAACTGGAAGGACATCGTATCTTTTCACACGCAAATCCGTGAAGTATATCCTGACCGTCTCTTTGCGTTTGGCTACACTGGTGATTACGACTATCCCAAAGCGGGCTTCTCTCCCGAAGCCATCAAATCATTCCCGTCTGATATGGCAAAGTTGGGAGTTGCGTGGCAAGTTCAGCCTATCTGGGCGCTACAAGGGATCAATTACCAGACGGAGAAGTTTGCGAAGCTTTGGAGAGAAAGGGGGATTGAGGGATACGTGGAAGAGATTCAGAAACCAGCTTTAGCGACAAAACCTCTGACGGATGGATTTGAGAAGCCGAGTTATAGTGGGAGTTATCTGTGTGACACGTTTTGGGACACTGTTGCTGTCAGAGACATTGGCGAAGGACAAGGCGGGAAGATTAGCGAGAAGAGGATTCGTTGAAGAGAATTAGTATATAGAGATATATACAAGCATATAGTATAATATATGTCCTCTATCCGACATCTACACTTTCCGTCTTTGTCTCACCGTACCTGGGTAAGAGCTCTTGCGATCTTCGTTTTACAATATCATCACGTGATTCTCTCTGAATCAAGCATCATGTTGCCCTTTCACAATGGCTCGGCGTCATCTCCGAGATTCCATGTAACCCATCGGGAGCCTCCTGCGCGAGGCAATCTCTCAACGAAGCCTCTTAGTCCCTTATCGGCGGACTTTATCTTGCCGAACTATCTCAAAAGTGGAGTTAGCCCCATTCCGAGTCATTCATACATTTGCATCTCGATATGAAGAATAAAATTCTGTCTTGCCGCGTTCCTGCTTTGCCGTAGGAGATTCTGAGAAATTGAAGACACGTGATGGCTCCTCTTTCGTTGCATATTGTGGTTTTGGATTGTGATACCCCGGTTCTGAATGTGTACGCAGCGAGGGGCACGTATGGGGATATCTTTGAGGCGTTGTTGAGAGATGCTGCTTTTCACACACAAGGTGTTCCGGAGTTGGATTTGGAGTTCAGTAGTTTCGACTGTGTTAGAGGGAACTTGCCTACGGTGGAGAATTTGGATGGAGTTGATGGAATAATTATTACAGGTTCAGGTATGCATTATGTCCTGATGATTAGAGAAGATACCATCACTGATACTTCTATAGCTGCTTCAGCGTATGACAATGCACCTTGGATTCATTCTCTAATTGAATTCACCAAAGGTTAGACTTCTATCGCCATCTTTTAATTTCACAAACTTACAAAAGCAGAACTTTACAATAATCGCCCACATATCCGCCTCTTCGGATCCTGCTTCGGTCATCAACTTATAGCCCATGCCCTCTTTTCCACTCCCTCCAATCCAGTCGTAGCTCGCGACCCCAAAGGCTGGGAATTAGGCGTCCAACCTATCTCGCTCTCGGATCCCATTCTCTCTCATTTCGGTCCCGTCCTCAGCAATCCCTCTTCTCCGACCCAACTACGCATGCAATTCGTGCATGCAGACCACGTAGTACTGCACCCCATCCCAGAAGGATTCGCGGCACTAGGGAGCTCAGAACATTGTGCCTTGCAAGGAATCTGGCGGCAAGGAAGAGTATTGACTTTCCAGGGTCATGCTGAGTTTGATCGATTTGTGAATGGGGAGACATTCAAAGTTTTTTCGAAAGCGGCGGGCTGGGAAGAGAAGTACTTGGTGGAGCAGTTGAAGGGTGTAGAGAAGGATGATGATGCGATATGGGCTGCTGGAATGATGTTGAGGTTCTTTTTAGAAAGTGAGAGAATGGCGGACGAGGAAGTTGGGAGGGGGTCAGAGGGGATTGAAGAGGACAGTGAGGTTATGGCAAGGTTGTAAAGGATGGGTTGGTGCATTCGGCAACGGAGTAGGAGTGCACTATAAAATACAACTCGACTTGCGGCTTGTTCACAGCTACTACATTCTAAGTGCGCTGGGTGAAAGCGACTGCAGAACCGCGATAAGTCTCATATCCTATACTGTACCTTACGCAGGAAGATAATGCTCAGGAAATGCTCATAGAGGCGACGACGGGTGATCGAAATGCTTGGAACCAAGGCCCGATATACCATAGGATTTTACCTCTTCGAGGACTTGACGAAGTGGTGGCCCATCAACTCCTCGTCGCTATCAACAGGGGTACGGTGAAAACACCACTGTCGAGGTCATCCTCAAGATGACAAAAACCAATATATACCTGGTCATGTTCTTCCTCGAGCAGAATTCAAATCAATACAGGAAGGTCCTCGATCAAAGGTACGGCGCAATCCTCAGTTCATGTTAATGACTAATGAGAATACACGCTAGATTCCAAGGTTATCAGTATAGATAAATACCCACCTGTAGACTCGCCAAGGATCAGAGTATGGACGCATCCAGAACCTAGAAATATTTACTACCTCGATCTAATCCATGCTATTCTCTACCTGAGCGCAGCGACGAAAGATTTCGAGTACGACTGTATAATCCACGAAGCCATATTTAGCAATTGCCTCGGTACTGCTGATAGGGAAGTTGATGAGAATGCTAGACTTTTCAAAAGAGCGTTGGCTCTGATGGCAAATGTATCCCTACTGAGTTCTTCAATATTCGAATGATATGACTGATGCAGGTCAGGACAACATATTAAATCCTTTTGATGGCACGGAGGGATATTATACGCTCAATCCAGACTGTCCAACCCAGGACTATCTATCCAAAACACCAGTCAATTTTCTAAATGCCCGATATTGGGTTTGGACAATCTCTCCAACACGCACACCTTCAGAAGAGATTGAAAAGCTGAGAATGTTCCTAGATGAGAAACGTACTGCGCACACTTATTTTCGAATTGCTTGGCTTGATGCTAATTCACTATAGAGAAAACAGTCGACATCCTCTGGTCACCTGAGATCCACTTCAACAAATGTCTTAGTGATAGGTATGACGAGGAAGATGCTGCGCTGAAGAAATCAGTCGAACAATCAGAAGCACGCGTGAGCATCCCCAGCTCCATTAGAAAATCTAGTTGAACTGAAACGTAGAGAGGCGCCGCTACCAGACAGGATCATAACTAATCTTCTAAATCTCCGTAAAAAGATTCCTGAGGATCGGTTCCAAGTCTGGGACGATCTCGCTCGCACCGCCGAGCCCCGTATCGCTCTGCGTCTGAAATGTCATGATTGCGGATATCGGTCACAAACAGAAGGATTTCAAGGAGAAATCCTTGCTGAGAACAAGCTCTCCCTTGAACTTTGGTGGGAACAGCTTCCCTTCCACTTCGACAGTGATCGTCATATGATGGCCAAAGATTCAAAGATGATCAAAGCTAATAAGTCAATTGCCAGAACGTCTTCATTACACCGGAGATTAGCAATATTGGACGACATGGTCAAAGAAAAACGATACACTCCATGGGGATACTCTCATTCAGTCACTCTCGTAGCTTGAAGGGTTTGGTCCAACCGCGAATCTTCAATATCGAGAGATGACGCAGCAAAAACTCCAGATGTGGATGAAATATTGGCCTCTAGCTCAGACAATCAACATTCAGGTCTCAAGCGTTCTAGTCGAGGAATGAATGACGGAAACGATCCGGATGAAGGAATGAGAACTAAAAGGGCTCGAAATTCCCATCAATGACGAGCAGCTTATTCGCGGAGCTGGCACACGTGAAAGTACAATTGCTCAAGACACCGTTGAACTCAACATGGACGATAGTTCAGGCTGCGCACTAGCGTGATCATTTCACCTGTTCAAGGTGCATCAGCCGACAATCGACCACGGCAGGTCGCTCAGAGATCGTGGAATGGTAGTGACCAGGTCGGAGGCGCTGATCAGGATGTGGATGAAGTCGATTCAGATTCGCCAACGAGCGGCAATCTTCTCAAGTCAAACAACTCCTCCAAAAATGAAAACTCAAAACCTACAAATCTAGCTCGTCACGCTGCGGCAGCCAACAACGATGTTCCAGAGGCGGAAGCCGATCCAGCTGTTTCCACTGTCCCAGAACAGACTCGGGTTGTTAATCTAGAAGATGTCATGACGAGACCAAATCAGTTGGAAAAGGCAAATGATGAATAAGTTGAAATTCAACAGCAACCACTGACAGGTATCCACTCGCAACAGCACCACATACGCGATCAGATGAACACCGAACTCAATTCATCGTTCACCCAGAAACTACATGACATGTCCACCCGGCTCGACGCCATCGAATCACAATCTAACGACTACCAACTCGGTCTTCAAGGTGCGAAAACATTCTGCACAGACGTAGAAGATGAAATCTTAGCACTAGTAGACCGATCCAAAAGCCAAGAACAACGCATCACCGAACTCGAAACTCAACTCGAAGCCTCCCAACAGAGGGAAGCTTCACAAACAGAAGAAACGAGTCGAATGCTCGAGAAACTCCAGAAGCAGAACTAGGAAATCATGAAGCGGATGGTGAAGCTGGTGGATATCAATGAGAAGCAGGCTGGTCGTATCGCGAAGCTGGAGGGGTCAGAACTGGTCAGAATTGAGTTGTTTGGATTGAAAATCGCGTTTGCGTGGACAGATACCCAAGGTCCAGTGCACCTCTGTTGTGTGAATATCATGTCAGCATCAGGCATTTGAAACATCAGACGAGAAGCTTTCGGAAGACGATTAGGAATCGCGGAGTATATAATATGTTCTAGTCCATACGTGAACACCTGCTGTTTATGGACTCACCCCCCGAATTTCATGAATGGCGGGGTGTTTATGTATGGCACCCCCTGTTTATCAACTAGCCCTGCCATTCATAAACAATTAGAGCATATCGAGCTAGCCATGGCTAAACAGCGCCATTCATAAACCGCCCGGAAATAAGACCCTGATCTGAGCTTAGCACTCTAGTACTTCAGCACTTCAGCACCTCAGCACCTCAGTATTCTAAGACTTTTGCACTAGAGGAGGTGCAGGAGGTGCCAGAGGTGCCAGAAGTGCCAGAGGTGCTGAGGTGCTGAGGTGCTGGAGTGCTGAGGTGCTGAAGGTGCTGAAGGTGCTGAGACTAGGGCCTTATTCCCGAGTTGTTTATCAGTGTCGCTGTTTAGCTACGGCTAGTTGAAAAAGCTCTAAAAGTTTGTGAATGGCAGGACTAGTTGACAAACAGGGGGCCCCGTTCATAAACAGCAATTGTTGGCGTATGGACTAGAACAAATAGAAGCACAGCCTAATCTCGGAACCTGGGACACCGAGGAATATAGAAAATGACTCGAGAAATCAAAGAGAAGACAAGTAATAAAAAGGGTTGCACCTGGATTCGCTGCTGCACAATGAATTTAGAGACCGGAAAGCTATGGTTGAAAAGCGAATGGATGATGCCAAGTATTTGTGTGTACATTTTGATGGTCTGCGCTGATCCTAAGGGTGTGTGTGACCATGATAACGAAGCATTTGCTAGAGGTACGTGCATTTGCAGGCTGTAACATGTCCTTCGGCATCAATGACTGGTTTTGGTACTTATTTCCTCCAACCGACTCTTCAGGAGTGAGATCCGACTTGCCTGGTAAACTCTATCCTCCTCCAAGTGCTTGATTCTCTGTGTCATAAGTTCTATTTCCTTTGCGTCCTCCGTCGCGATGTACAGCAGGCGTGCATCTATACGCTCCGCAATGCCAGTCTCATAATCAACCTTTGCGTGCTCATCTTTCTCTGCGTCAGCCTTTATCTTCTTGATGTCCGAACCCTGCTGTTCGATACAGTTGATGATTTCTCCTAATCTGTTGTTCTCGTTCTTCCTCGCTTTGGCCTCGTCTTGCAGCTCTTTGATGATGGTATCCTGTCCCATTAGATGGCTTGCCATTCCTCGTTCCATTTTCCATAGTCCACTATGCTTTGCTCCAAACGTGCAACGCGAGCCTGCAATCGTTCTTGAACGTCTTCCTCCCCTTCTTTCGACCTTTCAACAGCGGATTTGAGCTGAAGGATCGTAGCCTCTTGATCTCTGACCTGTTGCATAAGAGATTTGTTGGCCAGCAAGCCCTCTGAAACCTGTGTCGTCAAATCCTGAAGCTTCCGATCTTGCGCTTCGAATCTCGCAAGCAGCGACCGCGGAGGCTCTGACGTTAGAGTTGATGACTTGCGGACACCTTCCGAAGTCTCTCCCGCGCTGAGATCTATTGTTTTCCGCGGTTTTGGTGTTAATCCCATATCAACTTTTCGAGGTAAAGCCGCCATGTTGCCCCCTTCCATATCTACTCGCTTTCTTTTGGTTGTCAGACTCGTTCTGGTTTGGGGCATGTCATATCCTTGATATCCTTGGAGTGCAGGCTCGTTTTGAAAAGGAAGAGTCATTTTTGCGACGTATGATGCCAAAGTCTTACTGTGCTTCGAAGACGCAAGCTCAGCAGACATTGTATCCAGGAACTCTTCAATGCTCTTCATCTTTCCCCTGACCCATAGATTATCATCACAGAGTTTGAAGAACGTGGTAGTCCAGTCGTGATTTTTAAGCTGGGCCACACTAGTGCTTGTGAAAACAAATTCAGGGTGGCATTGGAAGGACAGTGATTTTCCATGAGTGAGATCTTGCGCCGCCGCCGCCGGCATGATGATTTTATCCTATCGAATTTAGCGTCAGGGTTATAAGAAAGAGGTCCATGAAAGCGCAACATACAGCAATCATTTTAGATGTCACTTTCCGCAGCAAAATCGCTTTCTCTCTTTGCCACGGTAAGGAACCTCTCAAGTCCCCAATTGGTGGAGTGAGGCCTATGGTGAAAACGCCATCTTTGATACCGTACTTATCCTTCGCCTTATTCAGAATCCATGAGACGATTTCGTTATACGCGACGCATGCCGTGTTGGTCATCGTTTCATAGCGCAAGCTGACGCTCTTTCAGAGATGGAATCGCGAGATGTTGCGTGGAATTCCGGAGACTTGTTCCATTAAATAAGTTCTCCCGATGAATTTGCTCGATGTTGAGATGAAAGTGACCGCGCGAACCTTGGAGGCGAACATGAAACGTCTGGAAAGGCCTCGGAAATTTGAGTCCATTACCAAGGGAATCTGGATTCGATAGAAGGTGCGTTTGCCAAGTCTCTCTGTTCAAGATGACGTAACGCGAGAGTTCTGTCCTACATAGAAGAATTTGGGGAAGCAGGAGCGAACCACGTGACTATTCATAGCAGCTCAGACAGGTACTTAGGTACATCTTCTATTTTCAGAGAAAAATTAACACAAGGCGTGAAGATTTCCAATTCGACTGTATCCACTAACAAGAGTGACTTAGATTCCTCAACAAGTCTGTCACACCGCTAAATATGACTTCAAACCTGTTGGTAGCCGGACCGCAGCCTTTTCGACCAGACATCAGTCTAAGACTCTACTAAGATAAGGTTGGACATTGCTGCTGGAAGGAAGATCGCAAATACAAGGCCCCCTGAGGATGAGTTGGATTTCTCTGTGAGCTTGAGGACATACCTACACCTGCAGGCTAAATGTCTGGAGAACCGCAATCCATGTGTGATTAAATCACCTTTCCAGAGATGTCTCGCAGTGCCAACCCAAGGATTTGGCCTTAACTCAGATTCCTCAGATTTATTTCTCGAGCATGAAGCTGCTGGGCTCTGGTACGGCTTGCGAACTTGAATTGATATGTTCACGTGATCCAATGGAATGCAGCCCAACCTGTAGCTTGGGAGGTCGATCTCCAAAGTCAAGCTCCAAAGAAACGTGGATACATCTTACACCTGTCAGACTGACCGTCTGACCATCTGACCGTACATTGTCTTGCGTTGTGGAGCCAGCATGGCCTCCTGCTCAACGATAGCTCATTGGTCGGAACTGAATATTAATCAAGAATCTGACCCTTCAGCCCTACGGATCATCAAGTTTCCTGGGAGCGGATGCAACATACAAATCCATCAGTAATCCGACCGACAGTCGGTCTCGATTATGATGTGGAAAGTAAAGTGCTGCGGCCGCTTTTTGGATATATATATAAGTCTTGAGATATGCAGCAGAGACAGCTTTTGGAGAAATCAAAAAGCAGACAACGAAATCGAATCAGTTCAAAAACAAACAAACAGCAACAATGACAACCCATCAAACCGCCAAAACCCAATTCGTGACATCTAAGGATGTCAAGTTCGCCTACCGCCGTTTCGGAAATGACACCACCAATGAAGTCCCCCTCCTCTTCCTCATCCACTTCCGTGGCACCATGGACTTCTGGGATCCTCTCCTCGTCAACTCGATCGCAACCAAGCGCCCCGTGATCTTGTTCGACAATGCAGGCGTTGGCCAGAGTACCGGAACCGTCGAAGATACCATCCCCAAAATGGCTGCTCGTGTCCTTGACTTCCTCGCTGCTCTTGAACTCAAGAAAGTCGATGTGTTGGGTTTCAGCATGGGAGGACATATAGCCCCGTACATCTACTTGAATGGTCCTGCTGGACTCGTTCAGCATATCATCATTGCGGGATCGGGACCGAGCGCTGGCGAAGATATTGTTGTCAACAGTGATGAAAGGAAGAAAGCAATCGAGGTGAATGCTGGTGCCGCACAAGTCGAACGTAAGAACTTCGAATACTTGTTCTTCGGTCCCTCGGAGTCGAGCCAAGCAGCAGCACGAGCATGGTGGGACCGTATTCATGAACGAAACAAGTCGACAAGCGGCGAAGAACGTAGTGACTTGGTGTCAGCTGGGTTTGCTGATGGAGGTGCTGGAATGATGAACATGTTGAAAGCCTTTGGAGTCTTTGCCAATCTAGAGCTGCGAGCTGAAGGAAGCTATGATCGACTTGGGAATATCGATATTCCAGTTTTGATTGGGCAGGGAAAGGATGACGTTATGATCCCGACTGTTAACAGCTTTGTCATGCAGCAGAAGATGCCGAATGCTTATTTGAAGATATATCCAGACTCAGGCCATGGTTTCTTGTATCAGTTCGCAGAGGACTTCGCACAGCAAGTCGGCTGGTTCTTAGATACTACTGCAAAGTAATGAAAGGAACGAACATTCCTAAGACTAGCAAGGGTATCGACGGCTTGATTACAGACGAAAGCAGTATAACGTTAACAAGCAAGGGAGGGGAGTTGATCAAAACGTAAATCGTAAATCATTACTCAATAAAATATCGTTCCTTCTCTTGTGTACCAATCTCCTTCTTCCCAATTATTACACAGCGTGCACGTCACATCAATCCTCCTCTTCTCATAATCGACCACTGGGTTAGTTTGGTGCACCCGCCTATTTTCCAAAACCTGTTGCGCACTAACGCAAGGCTTCAATCCATCTTCTTCAACGTTCATCACAAAAGTAGCATATTTCGCAGCTCCAGAACTTTCCCAAGAGCCCTCTTGGTGGTTCATGTTTACCAGAAGATCGATGGCTTTTCGCCGAATCCAAGGATCACGACATTTGATAGCGGTGTAGAAGAGCGGGAAGATGATACCCATTTCTAGAGAAAAGAATGGTTGGTCCACAGTTCCTTTCTCAAGAGCGAGTATTTGTAGGCCGAGTTCCACGAGGTGTTCGTACTGCAAAGTAAAATCATCGTGCAGCATTTCAAAGCCGAAACATCGTGTGCCTATCAAGATTTCGAGCATGTTGTGGTACATCTTGATCAGAAGCATAGTCTTCTCCTGTTTCGTAGCTTCTGGTAGATTAAGCGAGTCTATGATTCGCTGTAGATCGACTCTTCGTTCGAACAAAATCATCGCCGCTTTGTCGAGGTCGCTCTGTGCCAGTAAATTGGGCACTGCATAGTTGGCTAAGGCAAAGAACCAGCGAGTCAATGTGATTAGAGAAGCTAATGCGTCGCTAAGCGAAGAGGAGGGTGTCTCGAAGGTCGGAAATTCCAGACTACCTGGCCAGGAGTGGTAAGGATATGGACTTGTGGCGTCGCCGATGGACATTGCCTGCAGATCCAAGCGTTCGATGGTGTGGATGATATCCAATGGAATCTGAGGTTGAGTGTTTTCAATTACATTGGTAGACGAAGCATATCTCGTCAGTATTTTGAGCCCATTCTGCAGATGCATCTGAGCGACGGTGAAATTTTGGTGCAAGTTTTCGTAGCAGACAAACAATATGCATGCCACCAGACCCTTGATAATAGCATCCTCAGAGCCATTGGAACTTTCTTGAAGTAGCCTTTGAGTGTGGGCGACAGCGTTATTGTACTCATGCAAAGATAACTTTCTCGATTCTGCTCGAAATCTCTCAGCTGCTGCCGTGTCCACTTCTCCATGGAGAGAGTTGATGTTCTTGATACCACGGTGTAGCAAACTAAGAGAACACAGCGCGTATTTAATTGCTGGTTCTGAGAGACTCAATTGCAAGACTCGGAAGGACCAGAAGTTGGCTCCAAAATAGGTTGGGGATATCGAGCAAGTACAGTTGATAAAGAATTCAAAGGATTGTAGCTGTTCCGTGTTATCGAAAGCTGGCAACTTGATTGTCGGATGTGGACTAGGTGAATTGCGAGAGGTGGATGCCATGCCTGGATCGGGAGATGGGTTCTTCGAGCGTGATCGCGGCAACGGCGCCCCAGTGTAGCCATCACATTTACGCCCGGTACTGGTACATTTCTTGCAGTGGGGCCGTCCTTCATCGCATTTGACTCGCCGAATTCTGCATGTAACGCAGCCAGTAGTCACTCTGATTTTGCCTCCGCTGCCAAATTTCGGCTCTAAAGACATGGCCGAGACGCTTGGGGATACAGAAAATAGGTTAGGAAGGAAGAGCCGTTTCCCGACAAGACAATTTCCACTTCAAGCTTCTGACAAATTGTTATCTTGGAACCCCAACTCAGTGCCAAATTTCCCATATTTATGGAGCTGTTCATGATTATCTTATGTTATGTAGTGAAAGAGCCCATTGGCATGCTCGTTCACTGCAACCAAAGTGGAAAGAATGTCTTCCCAGTTTCTGAGTCTTACTGAGGATACAAAAGTGGATTTTTTGGTGACTTTACCATCGTACGTGCTGACATACGTCCACCTCAGGTCGAAGGAGCAAGGCTGCCTACTCAATTCTGCCTTAAGGAATGTTCTCATTTTGAAGAGCTCGAAGAGCGCAAGGCAAACCATCTTCGTTTAGTGAGGCGAAGCACTAATGGATATGGTTCAGCCTTATGCTCGCTTATTTCCTTTGAGTCTCATTGGCCGGTTCGTGGAAGCCTGCACGTCCACAGGTACTACGCCACAGTCCGAATGTTGGGTTTTTCTGGTCCTTAGCTAAGTACTTACTAAGAAGCGAGGACCGGCTCAGCAACAGGTCTGTTCGCGGGATGCCGATATACCTCTCCGTCCACATTCCATAATTTGTCAATTCCGCGAGTTGGCCCGGGGCCAGAAAGACAGCATGGGCTCCGACTGACAAACGAGCGGGCGAATGAGAAGCTTTGCCAAGATGTAGCCTCGTATGAAGATCTGCAAGGCTCAGCATAGGAGGATGTTCAAAAATATCTTCTGTCAATCTGGTGTCGAGTTATAAAGAGGACAAGATGGCGTTCTCCAGCAAGCATCAAGCACAGACTCTTTTTTTTGACTACTTTCTCTCTTCGTTCAAAATGTTGTTTTCGTCATTAGTTTCAAATTCTCTTTTCGCATTGACGGCATGCTCGACGGCCACAGCAAGTCGGATACCATTGTCGAAAAGAAATCTTCACCGCCGAGATGCTTCTGCAGTAGGAGCAATTTCAAGCTCCGGGGGTTTCTGGTTTGGTGATTTTGCTGTGGGAGGTTCTTCGTCGTTGAACATGTTGATCGATACTGGTTCTGGAGACGTCATTGTAAATGCAGGCCTCTACAAACCATCAAGCACTTCGAAAAGCATTAACGCAACCTTCGACAACACATACGCAACGACGTCGAGTGATGGGACAGGAACTGGAGATGTATGAATCCTCTCATTGGGAAGAATAGCCTGTGCTAACCATTTCAGGTCGTGGGAATCCTTTACATGGACCGAGTGAGCTTCGGTACCTTGAGTGCCACTCAAATGGTTGGAGAAGCAACAGGCGCTGCCATGATCCCGAGCGATGGCATCGTTGGTTTCGCAGGCAAAATGTTCTGGCAGTTTCCGGACAACTCGACCTCGTTTATGCAAACACTCTGCACTCAGGGAAAGGTCTCCGAATGCCGCTTCGGTCTTGCTCTCGCGAATGAGAACAATGGGTCTCTTATTATGGGCCAGCTGGACACAGATATGTATACTGGAGACCTGGCTGTGGGGCCCATTTATCAAACAGGATGGGCTACTAAGATGGATCTGGCAGTCAACGGTACAATTGTGACTCGAGATATCAGCGTCGAGTTAGATAGTGGTACTGCAACTATCCTAGGGTAAGTGTTCACCAAGAGCGGTGATGCTATGGCTAACAATCATTAGGCCAATAGAAGATGTGAGCAGCATTTTCGAGGCCAATGGGATTAAAGGCGTGCTGTCCAATAGCTCTTCTGGTCTGCAACTGACTGGGTACTTTCCATGTGATAGTCCTCCAAATATTGGCTTCTCCTTCCCATCTCAAACGAACGCATCGACAGCCGTCGGCACAATCAGCAAGAACAGCACAATCTTCGATATTCCTGCGAATACATGGGCTGCGGTTGACAATGGGAACAATAACTGTACAGCAATCTTGGGCGGCCAGGACGTTGCTGCCTTCCCTGGACTATGGGTCGTAGGCCAACGTAAGTTAGAAAATCTCTCACTTGCTGATGATACTGATGTGGAATCCTAGCTTTCTTTCAAGGCCGCTATCTCGACCATAATCTAGCCGAAAGTACGATTGGAATTGCAACTCTGAAGACGTCCAGCAACGCGACGACGACCGTGAGCCCGACTTCGAGCCCCACCCCCGAAGCGACGACGACAACTAGCGGAGCGACTCCAAGAGGTGGAATCCAGCGAGGGGCATTGTTTGGCCTGCCACTTATGGTTGCTTTCTGCATGTTGTAGCTTGAAGGCTTGATAAGCAGAATGTAGGAATATTTGAAAATAGACTGTACAATAGACAGGATTGACTACTAAAAAGCGACGGCGATGCAAGACTGTTTTCGGCAGGAGAAAGTAATGCAACAAATATCTCTTCGAAACATGATGCAACGTGTTGAACCCGAGCGAGACTGGATCCATTGTTCGGATAATGGGCATTTCCACGAGATGGCGAACGAGGATGGCCAAGCGGATTACATGTGGTCCTGATCGAAGTATAATAAGGTTCAGACTGTCTCGGTTGTTGTGTCTGGCCATGCAAGACATGGAGGGGTAACAGACTTTGCTCAATAATTGTGGCATGTGAATAATCGAGTTGTCAAAAATACCATTGAAAAATTGATTAGGTGCGGCGCGTTTAGATGTGAAAAATAAGAGATAGAAGATCTGAATGGTGGGTAAGAAGCTGAGGAGAAAAGGAGAAATTGTCACGAGCGCACGGACCCCCGTTCGTCGTTGTTTTGTTGACGTTTGTCGCGTCGAGCCTTACTTTACGCGTAAAGCGCTCTCCCTCCAGTCACATTAGCAATGCCTCGAATCTCAGACATGTCCGTGGACCGCTTCCCCGAAGTCCCTGACTTTGTTACACATTACATTCGAGACCAAAATCTTGCCGATGACGATGGGATTCAAGGTCGAACGTTGATCCGAGTGTGCCTCGAGGAGTTTTGCGACGAAGCGGTCTTGCGAGACACGGTATTAATGAAGAGTGCTAAGAAGGACATAGTAGCATCAATTAGGCGTATGATTTCAGATGGCGTTGTGTGCTTGCTACACCAGGAGGACAAACCCATTTTCAGACTACCAAGGGAAGAATTGGCTGCTGAAGATGTAACCACAATTGTTGTGGAGCAGAGAGACCGGGACGCCGAAGAAGCAGAGACAAGTCTGCTAGAAGAAGACCCACCAGTTGGCGAGATTGATGTAGATAGTAAGTGTGCCAGTTGGTCGTATGGCATTTCTCCTGACATTCTAAGCAGGACATGCGGCGGGGTACACCGAGATGATACGAGGGGCTAGGCCGATGATTGAACCTCCAGCAGAAGAAGACATAAGCACTCCTAGCAGAAAGCGTCGCCGGGTAGAAATTGCTGCTAGCGATTCTAGCAGTTGGAATTCCATTTCCCTCAGTCCTATTCGGCATTCGAATTCAACACCTCGACGAAGACCTCAGCCCCCTGCCAGCCCACTGTCGGGCTCTCGCAGACGTTCTGCGCCGATGCAATACTTCTCTCTAGTAAAAGCCAGAGATACGAGAGACTATCAGGCAGAGGAACGATTGCGGCAGACTTTATTCAAGCGGGAGAAGAAAGACACATCTCCGCCGTGGCTTTTACAAGGTCTTGAAGGACTTCGTTCTAGATACGCCGATGATACATTTGAAGCTGAGAATGGGATGATTAAGTGTTCGGACTGTGGCCGAGATTTCAAGCCTGCAAATAATGGTGTCAGCAATTTCGAAACCCATCTAAGATCCAAGGGACATCGAGCACTTGTCGCAAAGAGAATAGAATGTGGACTGACCTACCAACAGTCTCTACGTACGAAGAAATTTGATATAGATTACAGCGAGCAACAGATCCCGTATATGGTGTTTGCTCAGAAGAGCCAGCAGACCCTGGCCGATCTACGGACCAAATACTTCACTGCCATCGAAGGTGATACACACACGCAATCCATCAGGTTAAGTTTTCTGGAAAGAAGGCTTGTGGAAGCGGACGAGAGGAATGTCAAGCAGCGTGAGCACTTTGAGAAAGTTGTGGAAACATCCGAAAGAAGTAGTAAGGATACAAAGGACAAGTTTAATCTGTTATCGGAGGTTTTGAAGTCGACAGAAACAAAATGCGAAACCAAGATCCGTGACGTTACAGACCGACTCGATTCATCCGAATCAAAGAATGCCGAGCTGCTGAAAAGCATGAAACAGCAAATAGTCGCTTTCCAAGATTCGTGCGAGAAGAAACTCGACGAGACGAATACAAGAATTGCGAAGAACCTTCATAATCTCATCAAATCAGAGCTTGTGTCGAGGACAAAGTTGGAGCAACTTGCGAGCCAAATATCTCAATTATTTGAGATAAACAAGAGTCAAGACGAAGAAATTGCCAAGCTCCGATCTCAAGCCGAAGAACAAAAGAACGTTGTTCAGAACCTTCACTCGCAATTGGAAGAAGCAAAGAAGATTCAAGAAGAGAATATGCAGCGGCAATGCGACAGTGACCAGAGCTTCCGGAAGACGATCACGGACCAGATGGAGGCACATCTTCAACACACAGAGCGTTGCAGTAAGAAACTTGCCGCAGAAAATCAAGCCGGAATGAAGTCCATGGAGCGATTTATGTCTGACCGCATCAAATCGACTGAAGCGCAGTGTTCTAAGAAATTCCGGTCCTTAGAGAAGAAGAATACGGAGCAAAGTTCCAAGATCGAGCGTTTTGAGCATGTCATTCCGGTCATACTTGATGATGCTCAGAATATGAGAGAATATATGGAAGAGCTCGGCAACAACATTGCAGCTGAAACCGACGCTGCCCAATCCTCATCAGATGAGGTTCGACGAGATGGTAGGAAGACGTCGCTCGCGCCTTGAATACGATTCTGTTGGATATTGCCGTTTCTGCTATGTATGATTCTACTTTGAGCGAGGTGTTTAGGGTAAGGATTTGGATATAGTTTTGATGAATCATTCGAACGTACAGCATGTCAAAGAGGATGACCTGATGATTTTTCTGAATGGAGTCTTGGACAACCATCCACATTTGATCCCACGAACCAATCACACTTGATTTTGTCATCACAATGCGGCTGTTGCCCCTGTATGTTCAGCCTTTGAACCAAGGTTCGGCCGTCGTGGCTTGCTCAAGTGCTTACGTGACCAGCTCTTCTCGCGTTCGGCTCTGTCAGCGTGGTAGTCAATCCCGACTGCTTATATCTCATTAATTAGGGACAAGACGAATCCATTCACTTAGCAGGCATTTTGACCAATATAGCTATAAGCTGTTCTTGGAAGATAAACATCTTCAGCTGCGGCGATGTAAGTCAAGTGGCGTTTGGTGGCATTTCCGTAGACAGTATTTAACTCCAAGCTATTGCCCGTTTGTCTGAATATTATCAAAACATCGACTAGGTTGGACAGACTCTTTTTCGCTGTTTTCTGTTACTCTCTCATTCCATAATTCACTATGTCAAAAGTATGGGCCGACAGACCATTTGCTCTCATCCCAACACCTAGCGGTGAAGGCGTACGTTCTATTCCAAGCTACTGGCTCTCTCCCAGTTATACTCAATCATGTTTAGATCTCATCAAGCACTATCAAAGTCGCAACAGAAATGTGCTTAGCACACAACTTAATCATCCGAAACCTCAACGCCATTTACCTGCAGGCACCAAACATCAGCTCTCCAACTGATATCTCAGACTTCATCCTCTTTTGCCAAGTATGGCATCAATCAATGAAACATCATCATGCTTACGAAGAGGATTTCCTCTTCCCGTGGATCGAGGCTTACAGTGGAGAGAAGGGTATCATGGAGAGGAACATCAAGCAGCATGAAGCTTTCCATGGCGGTTTGGACGAGTTCGAGAAGTACATCTCGAATGTGAAAGTCGAAGACTGGGATGCTGGCAAGTTGCTGAAGATCGTCGATGGGTTTGGAGAGGCATTGTCATTGCATTTGGGCGAAGAGATTCAGAGTTTATTGGCGTTGGAGGAGTACGGAGGAGAGAAGTTGGAAAAGGCTTGGGCGGACCTGGAAAAGAAGATTCAGGCTGAGATGACGGATAAGGTGAGCGATGTTTCTCGATCTTCTTGAGAAAAGCAGGAAGCTGACCTTCGTGTAGACAAAGGTTATACCTATGGGATTTGGAGGCATTGATCGAACGTTTGAGGGAGGGAAACATAAGCATTGGCCGCCATTTCCTTGGTTTGTACCATATCTGGTAAAGTTCTTTTTCATGGGCAAGCATAAGGGAAGTTGGAGATTCAGTCCATGTACGATATTTGGTGAACCGAAGGAACTGCCATTTGTTAAGGTCGAGCAATGAGATATACAGGTCCTCATGTTTTGCTCCTTCTATTCGGGGTTTGGGGTAGAAAACCGTATTTATCGAGGTAGCTAGAAGATTGGCCAGGCGTTGGTGCTTCTCCTTATATATATATCTCCTCTCTTGACAATCCTGAGACTCACCTGGATTTCACGGGCAAGGAAAAATCCCAAACATACAAATTTTACGAGAAACAAACATTATACGCTTCGGTCTCATCCACAAGAAATAGTGGACTCTCATCAATCTAGATGAAACGATGACAGCGGCTTCTAGCACGAAACCGGTTTGGTGGCCGACAATTGCTTTAGCTGCCCCGCCATCTAATTAATATAAATTTATCAACACCACAGGCCTGAGTCTTCTCCTCGAATGAAGTTCTCCATGGCATATGCATGTATTGCCTTTCATGCAAGTTGGTTATCAGATCAAGGCCTCGGCATTTTGACGCGCATGGAACTCAGGGGAGCGATCAGCCCGAGAATCATCGAAAGGCTGAATTCAAGCCTCACTCCACATAATCAGATCACAGCGGGATAAACGACACGCATACACACGTCTTTTGTACCACTGTTCCGCAGACTTAGTCTATATATACGATTCCGTTCCCCAACTCCTGATTACTCGACAATCTTCGAATAAAATGCCTACCTACCTAGTTCACGGTTTTCGCTGGAGACGCGACTCGATCGTCATCCACACAATTCTGCAAGACCTTGAAGATGCAGCCCCGAATTGGATCATGGCGCCAAGGACTTCTATCTCTATGCTCAATTCCTTCTATTCGATGTACGACTTCCTCCCTCCCAGCAGTCCGCCGCCTGCAACATACTCTCCTCCGGTTCCACAAGTAGAGAAACCAGCCCCGGAGCCCAAGAAAGAGAACAATGGCCCGAGAACCTTGACGAAAGCGAATAAAGGATCAATGAGCAGTCTGCGAAGTCTGGGAAGGAAGAACAAACCGCCAAACCTAGGAAGCAAGGGAACGAATGGTCATACAGCGAGCACATCATCCTCAGACAGTCGGCCGTCGCCAAGTACGCAGACCTCTGCGTGTGAAGTAAAGAAAGAGCCCAGGTTCAATGAGTGGAGCGTGGTGAAGTTGCTGGAGCAGTATGATCCTGAAGATATACAGACTGCGAGTCAACCGTATGCGTATGTCGCAGACTACATGGTGGAGGTTAAGCTTGGTGTGTCGTTGAATGAAGAGATGTTTAAGTATGAAGCAGATCAGAAAGCGGAGGAGGCGATTCTGAATGCTCATAATGCTCCGCCGACTCCTGGTACACCTGCTAGCCCCGCTCCGAATGCGATAGGAGGAATGACGAGCCCGAGTTTGAGCATTAGGGAAGCTAGGAGGCGGAGCAGAAGGCTAGGATGGTTTGAGAAATTGAGAGATGGACTACAAAAGGAAGCTGACATAGGATGGTATGTAGTCGTCTGCGGAGACGAGGAGAGGATGGTGCCCACAACCATTGAGGAGGAAAGTGAGGACGAGAGTGAGGAGGAAAGACACATGAAGAGCCCTCGAAGTGCAGGATTACGAGGCATGTTCCACAAAAGAAAAGATATCCTGGAGGAGGAATAAACATACCAAAGGATGTAGGTTGGCGGCACATTGACTCTGTTTTTAGCGTGGTGTTGGATCAACAAAAATCGGGACACTGGGGAGGACGACAGTCTGTTTTAACCGCGTAATTCTGGATACCCTCGATGAATTAATGCATGTGGATGTCATTCATTACTTTGCATCATAATCCCTCTTCCAGATCCTATCCCACCCCTCTCTATCCACAGCAAATTCCCTCGCATAGTCAATCTCAAGCTCGTGAGTTCTCCTTCCAAGCAATACCAGACTCTGCAGCGGACCTCCAAGCTCCTCATCCGCCTCACACAGTTGCTTCAATGTCCCACTGACGAATTTCTCGGTTTTTCCTCCCACTCTAGCAGCGCCAATCGCAAGACTTTCCTCGTCATAAACTCCTCCGGCACCCTCTGCCTTCTTGATTTCCTCAATCTCCAACATTTGCTGCGCACATTGACCAACAGTCATGTACCTCGGCGGCTCATAGATCTTCCTGCCTCTTGCCATATTCTCGTAGCTCTGCTCTTTGACCTTGATATCCAGCAGTACCAGCGTATGAAGTCCAATATCTCTGTTCTCTTTTATCCGATCATAGAACGAAGTAGGTTTCCACGTCTTAGTAAAGAACACCATGCTCACAGTCTGTCCAAAATTGTACAGCTGCAACCCCGTAGCTCCAATTGCAGACATTATACTAGCATTTGGTATCGTTTGAATAGGAATCTTGAGAGAACGAGCTCGCAGAACAAGATCTGTGTGTGTTGTTGCACCGAAAGGATCGCCCACTACTAGGAATGCGACGTCTTCTGTTTGCGCATTGTCCAGGATATCTTCGCTGGCAAATTCGACCATTTCTCGGTCTGCAAGGATAACGTCGCGGCCATAGTAGGTTTCCTACTGTATATCAGCGTCAGCTCTTGTCAAGAGGTTGGATGAGGAGGAGCATACGAGGATGGATTTGTCGACGAGAAGGATGCTGGTGTAAGCTTCGAGGTAGACTCGTGAAGCTTTGCGGACGACATCAAGTCCTTTGACTGTGATATCAGTCTCATCGGAGAGACCGAGTCCTATGAGGTAGAGCATCTTGATTATTGTTGCGAAGAGAGAATTGGTGGGGGATAAGTTTATAGATATTTTGCCCCGCATCCGAGGTTCTACCGGGTCAAAGCTCTAAAATATCAACAGCATTTCAGACAATCGAAAGGACATTCTATCTTCCCGTCGCCACCACATCCCTTTCAAAGTCAAGCCTTCCGACCTCCTGCGCAATACTTCGCGAATACCTCAGCAACCATGGCCTCCAAGAAAGGAGCTTACGAGAACACGGCGTCGGACACCGATTTCCGCAAGAAATACGACCGCGCCGAATACGCCCAAAAAGCCAAAGACCGCGAAGCCAAAGAGAAAGAAGAATCGAAGCTCCGCTACGAAGCCAAGCTCGCAGGAAAGAAATACTACGCTCCTCTTACTGGCGAGGAAACTCTCACACAAGCCCGAGCTTCACGATTAGACGTCTCTCAGAATGTAGGAAAGGTGATGCTCATGCCTGCGGGCGCTGCGACGGGCAAGAAAGGCAGAGGTGCAGGATTCTATTGCGAGGCTTGTGATTTGACCTTTAAGGATAACTTACAATGGGTCGAGCATGAGAATAGTATGCAGCATCTGCGGGCGATTGGGCAGACGGGAGAGGTTAAGAAAGCGAGTGCTGAGGACGTTAGGGAGAGGATAGAGAGAATTTGGGAGAGAATGCAGGAGGAGAAGAAAGATGATGTCAAGACGTTAGGAGAGAGGTTGGAGATCAGGAAGGAAGAAGAGGAGAAGGATAGAGAGGAGCGGAGGAGAAAGAGAAAGGAATTAGTGGAGAGGCAGAGGGCGGAGAAGGAGAAAGAAGTCAAAATTAAGAAAGAATATGGCGAGGATGTTAGAGTTGAGGGAGAACATGATGAGGATGACATGATGGCAAGCATGGGAATTACTGGATTTGGGTCATCGAAGAAGTAAATCCTGCATTTGGACTGGACTATCTATCAACTTCTCCTGGCACAATTTGGAGTCTCTACCTAGGGGGCACAGTGCACTTGGAGGGCCTCGGAAGGTAATAAAGTTATATTTTTCCATCTATTGGCGCATATGTATTTCCCATTGTCGTTAACACAAGATCAGTAGTCGCCAGCTTCGATAATACCTTCCGAGTCGCAGAAGAAGATCCTGTGGGGTTCAGTTCTTGGCGTTGCCTGAGCTTGAGATTCTTACAGCAGAATGCTCGAAGACTTGAAAAATGCGGTATCTGTTCCTCGATATCTTACATCCAAGACGTCTCTCCTCTGGGTAGGATGTGGTGCTCTAGCATCATTACTTTTCGAGCCCTGCTCATCTCCTACAGAATAACAGCAGTTGAATCTTGGTCTTTCAATCAACTTTGAAAGCTAACGAGCCGAAGGATGTCATGCTCTATACCATGGACTGTTCCGGAATGAGGTTGAAAATGCATCACTGCTCGTCTATTAGCGGCGTGTGAAACATGCAGCGGAGGTGGATTGCCTGATGGTGTGATTCTGAAGAGTTCCAGTGTGCTTAACGCTCGTGGTTTGATCCGGACTCTGACTGGCCCCACAAGTCTGCCGGGAGTGACTCCCAACGTGGCCGTGTAGTTCTATTGGAAGGAACTAGAATTCAAGAGAGGGAATTGCTAGGACTAGTAGGGAATCGCCTACAAGTGTTGTCCCATTTCGAATTGCTGTTGTAGTTTAGCACAGCATATACTTCGTCTTCAACCCTTCTGCTTCTTCATTATCATTGACGCGTTGTCGTTTAGGAGGGGAGGCTGTCTTGATTCGAGCTTTTCACTCTCAAGACTTTGGTCGAAGCCCCTTTCTTTTGCAACTTGAATTTCAGAATACTGCAGATGGTTTCTGACTTGGGTGTTCAAATTCAGAGTCCTTGCAATCAAGATTGTAATACCACACCTCTCCAAACTTGTTAGAAGCCGTAGTCTGAGCATCGGATGGATATACTTGGTCTGATTCTTCTATCTAATCGTTGTTTATAATATTCTGCATTTCCTGGGTTGAGACTTATGCTCTAGATCTTGTTTGACGTCACAATACCCTTGCTCTCTGATTTGGCATAAGACTTCAAATATCCCAAAAGTGAATAGGCAGATCTGGCGTCGAGAGAAATGGTGTTCTCCACATGTTCCGCTGCTTTTGTAGAGAATGCGGGCCGATGTCTCGCGCTACTTTCCCCAGATTTTCCAAGCCTGGCTATGCAGTAGTCAGGAACATCCCTTGAGTAGAGAAGGGTAGGGCTGCCATCACATAATTCGAGAGTCGGGAGTTGAACCAGAGTGGGACTTTTTCCTGCTGGGAGCACGTTCCCCCAGCTTCATTCGCTGCACGTCTTTTCTCCCACCTCATTTTATGGTGCCGTCTCGAGGGCGTGCAAGACCTGGCGACGGAATTGTCCTCCATGGCATTCCCGTTTCTCCCCTCGGTCTTTCCGGTCATCCCACGTCTTTTCCCAGTATATTCGACCAGAGATGGTTGAAATTTACATTTGAATTTTTAGGGCTTTAGTCTTTCGCTGTGTAACCGTCCTCATAAGTGTCGCTGCCGGGAGGTTGTGTCTGGCTCCGTTTTATTAGGATTTGTGGAACCCATGACTCGTTCGAAGCGTGGTATTTCTCAGCGAATATGCTTCATATCCTGGTATGGTGTTTGCAAATCAAAGTTTTATCGAAGCGAGGACAATGGCAGATCGTTTTCGTAAGTTCATGCGAACTATAGTACCTAGTTACCGGTAGGCCAGTCCAGATCAGAAAGCTTCTTAAGTCCGAAGAGGGAAAGCTTTAGTGGACAAAGTAACACTCACTCTGAAACTCGATCATTGATCATTCCTAAGTCCGCTTCGAGCCACCCACGATATTTGTATTCAGTTAAGGAATGCGTGTTATAGATATCTACTAAACATCTAAAAAGGGGCAGTACACCTTGTACCTAGGTAGGCGAGGATTAAGCGAGACATCGGATTCCAGCTCAACTTAGCACTGGATCCAAGCAATTCCAAAAGTCAGTTCACGGTGGTCACAGGTTTCACATATTCACATATACATATTGGTAGTGAGAGTAATATTTCGGTTGAATGTTTGAATTGTATTTTTGTTATCAGCGTTAAGAAGCTTGATTCGGCCTACGCTCGAAGGCGACTTACATGACTCTAGGCATCGTCTCGCCGGATGGCTCTAAACTCCCTTTGAAAGCAATATTTTGTATGGTAGGGAATCTTGCCTCGCTGGATGACTGTTAACTTCATAAGGCATTTTTTTATGGTTTTCTTTCTTTGCTTGGGACACTCACCAATTCAATCTATCTTCTGCAGCTCTGTGAGAGGCGACACTGTAAAGCACCCTCAAACTTCTCCAAAGCTTATCTAGTAGTTGTTGTACCTCACCAGGCGTCAGGTTGACGAACGGAGTTGGGGCACTTACCGAGCTACCCATTACGAGAGGGAGATGCGAACTTGCAACGAAAGACCTTTCGAAGCTTCTTCGCCAGTTATCTTGTTGGAAAAACCGGCCGAGGTTGAAGATCCACTCGCCAGCTCTTAATGAACGTGGGTCTGGAGCTATGTAGACGGCTAGTTCTTGGATTTCTACGAGGTCCTGCACAATGGCTGCGTGAGCAGCCACCCAAAGACTCAATCTACCTTGGTAGAGGAGTCTAGAGTTAACGTACAGAGTATCTCGTCCGAAGTCGAAGAACTGTGGTCGACCGTCTACAGCACCGAAGGCTAATCGGTACCTTCGCAGGCCAATCCCTCGCGCTTCTCGTGAGACGTGAAGAACTGCAGGTACGTTTCGACGCAAGGATCGCAAGCGAAGATCGTCTGTGGAATCGTCGGCTGGCTCAATGAGCAGGCAGGTCGGCTCGTATGCTTCGACTAGCGAAGTGAATATGAGGGTTAACACCTCCTGTGGGATTCTAGCGCCTCCAGAAACTCTTCTTGAATGGTTGTTATTCATGATTGCTTTGGTTGCGGTTTATTTGTGGTGTTTAAGTTGATGTTTAAAGATAGATAATGAGGAAGTGACTGTTGGTGGCTACCTTTTATAGAAAATCTCACTTCGCTGTTCATTAGATAACAGAGCGGTAACCAGCTGTTCTTGACTTCGAATTAAAATTCTAAGCTACTATTAATTGGACAGCAAAGGATTATCCGGTGTTCTTGTTTCCAAGTGGAAGTGCTCCAAGGCTGTTATCAAGATCTCATATGGAAAATAGTGAGGTAGCAGATGGGGCAACATTGTTCTTGGGCTCAATGCAATTTCAATTTGCCATAACTGAAGATGTACCATTCAATAGCCTGTTTCCTCTTTGTTCCAATCCAAAGATAGACTCCTTTCAGCGGAATGGGGATCACGTGTCGAGGAAGTTCTGGGCAAACAACGATATGCACCGTAAAGTTCTCGTTCCCATATCATCTCTTACAGTAGCAGAAGAAGACACTTACTATAAACCAAAGCAAGCATACTATAATTGCAACAAGCAGAAACAGCGGAACAGTACTTCTGAGCTTGGATTTCTCGAATAGAGACTAATCATAAGTTTGCATAATAACCTAACAAAGAAACAATTCCTGCCCTTTCAACCACTTTGAGACCAAGTACATGCTATTATGCGCAAGGAAGGTCACCTGACACGCTTCATGTCCTCTTGGACTTTGACTTCTTACCGCTTCACCCTCTTGTTCTGCTTCTTGTTGTTTTTAACGCCTCGTACAGCTGTAGGTTTCTTCCTCTTGTTCCCAGCTGCGAGTACGGGCCAACCATTCTTTAGCTTCCTAATGATTCCTGGAGGACCAAGCCTAAATCTCTTAGTAATTGCCGGTAGGAAATGCACCTTTATTCACGCCCATTTGTAGTTCTGTGCCTCGAATTCACGGATGCAGTCCTGGAATAGAGGGCCAACGAATTCGAAGTTGCCGCGCGTTCCTATTTCCAAGGAAGCTTGATTCGCCAGCCGTCGAAATTCTAGAATACACGCACATTAGCCTCTCAAAACTTCAAGGTGCTCATATCTAGACTATACAGAGAGCATAAAGAAAACACAGAGACAGAATAAAGCTGAGTCAGCTTGGTCTTTCATCGTTCTAGCTAAGTTTCGCTAACTGGTTAGAAGACAAGATGACGATCTAACAATTGCTTCGAAATAACACACACATAACATAAAGTAGGGAACGAATACGAAGCTAGGATACTTCCAGACTAGACATAGAGAAGAGTATCACACTTACTTTCAATATCGAAATCAAATAAATCTGGTTGATAAAAGTACCCATAGGGCCCATCCTCGTCCATCACTAGATCTGTACACTTGGTAAACCAATCAAGGTTCAGCTGACTTGGCTTTGTATGTGGTGGTCGCGTTACTGCAGGAGGAATGGGCTTCTGGGTAACGCTGTCGATGCCTGTCCACCCGTTTTGCAAAACCGCAACTGTGGCTCTGGTAGGCAGAGGCCCTGAGCTCATCGTAGTAACCCTATATAATCAGCAACTGATTTCTATCAACGGGGGCAGAAAGCTACCTACTCCAACAACATGCGTTGATCCTTTTTATCCTTTTTGAGATTGTTAAGGAAGGCTCTAAATTCTTCATAGGAAATGGATAAGCCTGCTCTGGTGATATGTGCAAACAAGACATGTACTCCCATGTTGAAATGCATTGTGTGCATTGCCAACTTGAATCTGTTGAGGCGTAGGAAGGTAACGATCTCGTTGAATTTGTCTAAAGACAGAGTACCGGCATCACTTTCGACATTCGGTTCCGCCCCAACGAGGGCAGGAGACGCCAGTGGGATGTTTTGTGGGTTTTCAAGCGCTTCAAGCAGCTTTTTGACCTGTCGTCGTCGACCATTTTCTGAAGCAATGGTGTCCTGTACATCCTCTGGCATGCTGTCATCCGTCATGATATCGTCCTCGGTTTCTTCATTATCTGGCCTTGGCATATTTACTTGTCCGTATTTTGCAAAACCTAGATCCCGTATGCCGAGAACTTTGGGGCCTAAGTGGAGAGCTGTGACATCACGCCTAAAATGTAGTTAGTCTATCCACTAGCTACATTCAATAAAGTACAAAGCCTGACATACTTTCGGACATGATTCCAAAGATCAGAATTATGAAGGTTGTAGAAATAGGGTAAAGGGACGGGGTAATAGACAGGTGTATCCCAGCCGGAAGGAGGATCCAAAAGTAGGATAGGATTTGTTTCCACATAAAGCAAGCTCGGGCAAAGTGACTCACTCATCTCCCCTCTACAAATTTACGATTAGTGACAATGCCCGTGCTAGGAAAGGAACTTACTGAAAGAATCCTGCTACGGGTAGTCCTGCAATCCCGTTGCTTGTTGGACTGTTGAAAGACAAAGTCAACCCACCAAAAAGCTAGAGGTTGTTGAATCAGAAAATAGGGTTGTAGTGTGGAGAGTTAAAAACTACCTGTACTTCCATGGAGAATCCCCTGGACAGTGTCAATAACACATCAAGCTCCAAGTTCCGGGTACTTATAACTCTGCCCAGATCTCGTCACCAGTATAGGGTTCGGGATTGGTAGTTGGATCATCGTCCTCCATAACCTCTTTTTGGATAGTGTGGTGCCAGATCGCATGCTATAATTAAGATTTAGTTAGATCAAGAACCAGCGAAGATGAGTGAGAAGGAGTGCCTACTGAGAATTCGTGTATGACAGTGCAGGCCACCCTAAAGTGACACAACATTCTCTCCGCTCTGGTAATTTGTGGGTTCAATAAGGGTTCTAGAGTTTCGATGCCAATCCAAACGATTGTAGGCCCATCCGTCTGAGATTCTGTTTCTCCTATCATGGTCCACTGTCTTCGGAGCGATGTATGGGGGTCAACTCGTTCGCTTGTTAGATGGAATTCAATTGACTTGGCCATTTTTTTAAGGCGATCTCTGTTTCTTGCCACCTCTTTGGGAGCACCGGCAATTGATGCTTCTCGTGGGAAAATCCGATTTAGACCGTTTTTTTGGGCACTCTCGGGGATTAAAGCTAACTCTATTCCTTTGAGGTCGCCATTGAGGAGAGTGTCCCACCTAAAGGACTTCTTTAGCACTAGATTATAATATACCAATAGAGAGCTCAACATTGAGAGACTGAGTCCTTTCTCGATCTTGGATAAGGTGTTCGGAACCCAAGAGTTTCTTGCTTACCATGGCCAAGATTGAGCTTGCTCTAGTATTTGACTGGCTATTCGGAGGCCTGGTATTAGTTGGGCCCAGACTATGTCATTTTGGACCTGATCCAAGCTGTTAGCGAGTCCCTTGTATTTTGGCAGATAACTTACATCCCAAAAGCCATTGCGTCCAAGATCTAGAGGAAACAAAGCCTGATGTAACAGAAGTGGTTGAGACCACCTTTCTTTTTGGAAAACCGGATGAAGCGGATTGTCAAGAGTGTAAAGAAGAAGGTTCTCTTCAAATTCATAGTACGGAGCCAAAGAGTCCAGGGATCGTAATTCCTCCGCATTGAAGCCTAGCGCGCATCAGCCAAAGTACGTAGGAACTTTGTAGAATGGAAGGTGCGCCCCATCACAGAGGAAATGTGATTGCGTCCAGCTCGCTCTGCTACAAACTCACCTCGAAATCGTTCGCGTTGGTAGTTTTGTAGCTTTTTATGAAGATTTATGGCTGTTTTAGTCGATCCATCCCCTGGCACATCCAAAGGTGTCAAGCCACTTTTCAACTCTTTGCAGGTCTTGAATAGGACTTTATCCTCACTGCGGAATTGATAGACATTGCGCAGAGCAGTAGGCTTCTGGGCAGGCCTCTTGGGAGGCATTTTGATTATGCAACTTGTTGGCCAGGTCTGAGTGTCTTTTCAGATTATACGATGCTCCTCTTGGGCTTTGTCTTTGGTGCCGCCTTGACTACGCTTGCTTTGTTAGCCACTTGTGTTGCATGCGGTTTCTTTGTCGCCCAAAAAAAATGGCATTGAAAAGTCCAACAAGAATCTTAACACACACAAGGAAATTCCCAACCTTAGCTTGATTGAGGATAATGTTGACACGTGACCTTAGATGGTCTTTTACTCTGTCTAGAAGAGAGTTGTTGACATGATCGCGGAGCTGTGTGTGACTAACTTGGACCTAAAGCGACATTAAGGAAACGCGTTATTGTCGATATTGATGCAATGAAGTAAGGTATGGAATGTTGTAGAACAAATAGTCAGCGGAGAGAAGGTAAAGCTTGGTAGTAAGAAAGCAAGAACCAAGAAAAAATGTTCCAGGCTCACAATACCGTAATCCACAAAATGAAAGATACGGGTTCACAATAAGGAGCTTCACCCAGATCATGACAAGAGAACACTTGTGTTTTTGTTAGCTGAGGGGACGATGCTTGAGTCTCGTCATAGGGAACAATGTAGACAGAAAGAGTCTGTTCCTACAACGCCTTCAGCGACCTAGCCGCAAAGGATCAGTTCCAGATTTCATGATCTTAAAAGTCTTCTGATAGTATACCAGGGCCCTTAGGATATCACAATGCTTGAATGAATATCAGGGGTTCGTGCAAGTCGATAGCGCTAAGCAATAGTTAGCATTACGCTCTTGGTCCGTTCGGAGACCGTAATAAGGTTATCTGACCGCGCACGACCTCGATCCAAAAGCAACGACTACAATTGTCCACTTTGAAATCTGGCGCACATATGCCGCGAATATCAAGATGGTCCTCTCCTTCATCCTAATCCAAAACCGGCAGTAGGTCTTTCTTTCCTCTCTGCACCCCTCAATCCCGTCCAACCCGCTAATAACCCACAGAGGTAAAACCCGCCTCGCAAAATGGTACGCCCCCTACAACGACGAGGAGAAGATAAAGCTCAAAGGCGAGGTACATAACAAGCCCCCTCATCCCCTCCTGTCCACCCAGCTAAAGAAGGCCGCAGGTTCACCGCCTAGTGGCTCCCCGAGACCAGAAGTACCAATCGAATTTCGTCGAGTTCCGGAACAATAAGATTGTGTACCGGCGGTACGCAGGCCTGTTCTTTTGCGCGTGCGTCGATGCGAATGATAACGAGTTGGCGTATCTGGAGGCTATACATTTCTTTGTCGAGGTGCTGGATAGCTTCTTTGGGAATGTGTGTGAGCTGGATTTGGTGTTTAACTTTTATAAGGTGCGTAGTTCTTGGGGTTAGAGAAGGGTCTGGGAGTGGAGAGGAGGGGGCATAGATGAAGGGCATTGGGGGAGTCGAATGGGACTAGGTTTTCCGAGGGACAGAAATAGCAGATGCTGACGACTTCTTCAATAGGTCTATGCGATACTAGACGAGGTCTTCCTTGCGGGCGAGATTGAGGAAACGAGTAAACAAGTCGTCCTCACACGATTAGAGCATCTGGACAAGTTGGAATGATTGCGTATTATGAATGGCAGGTTTGTTTGCATACTAGCATTGCAATGTTTGGCGTACGGCGTTGAGCGAAGGGCATAACATGGCGTTCATACCGAATCACATTCAAAGTCAAGATGTTCATGATGCTAGTTGTATTGTGGCTTCTGAAGTATGGAGAAGCTTTGATTCGCACCTACAAATCTGCTGAGCTGCTCCCATAAAACTCAGCAAGTTGTATTTCTCTCTGTGCTCAACCTTTGTAAAGAAATTACAGTCTACGAAGTATGTTGGTAAGTGTCTGGCGACTCATCCATTGACCAGTAGTCGATCCTGAGCATCCATCTAAGATTCCATAGCGTCCCACATCTCAAGGGCTGTCTTGCGACGTGGAGCTGGGTTAACTCGTTCAGCCAACTTGGGATTTCTGGCAACCAGATCCAAGATGAATGGGCTGTACACGACGGAGGGTCTGGTGTTCTCAGTAGCTTTTGTTTGCTCGGGACGTGCGTCGCTCTCGTTGTCGCTCTCATCGATATCGATCTCGTAGTCTCCAGTGGTGGAACTGTTCTTTTGCTTCAGTCTAATTGATAGGCTGCTTTGTCTTGTTTCGAATGCGCGCTGGCTTGGTACGGAGGTGAGTTGTCTTCCCCTGTATTCTTTGCTGTTGCCATCGACAACCCCCTCCATCATCGAATCTTCAAGACCATCAGAGTACTTATGAATAGGTGATGACCACGTATCACGAGTACTGTCCACCATCCCGTTCCAGCTGCGATCAGGTGTAACAGGGCTGCTCGAATTGAACAGAACTCTTGGCCGGCGATTCTCCTTCAATTGCCTGCTATCATCATCCTCAATCTTAGCTCTCTTCCTCAACTCCCTGTGTTCTCGTCCAATATCTGTCTCCTCAGCCTCCCGCTTCCTCTCGGTATCTTGCTCCCACCGACTGAGGATCCCGGATCTCTCCTTTGCCTGAGCTGCAGTGCCCATTCTCTTTCTCTTTTGGATGATCGAGTACGGGTCGGTGTTACGAGGACACAAGGACTTGAAGTGTTGGCCTTCAGCGTTGCAGATCTCGCAGACGTAGTCGAACGCTGGAGGCTTGTCGTAGGTAGGGTCGAGGTTGGTAGGACAAACTTGTAGGTGATGGCCTGAAGTTGAGTCAGTTGAGATTCTTCATGCCATGCTCTTTGTGTATTTGATGTGCTCGATAGGTAGGAGCTTTGATGACAATTCTCCATGGAGATTGTATCAGAGCTGGGCCATTCATACCTTTCTCTCCACAGCGGTTGCAGGTATAATAAGCTGGGGGTGGGTCGTGGTAGCTATCAGTCATCTTTCTCTTCAATGTTTCCTTCTCAAGCTTGTCCATGTATCCATAACGAGGGCTGTTCTCCTTAAACCTCGAACCGGACGGGCGTCGGTTCTCGTCGTAACTCATTTTGTCTGTTTCGTCGGAATCGTTGTAGCGAGTTCCGTTGCAAGTATTTGTTCTGTCTTCCGTTGCCGATTTGGAATTTACTTTCGTTGCGGCTGTCTTCACTTTTGTGGCGCCTTCTCTTTTGGGTTTTGTAGCGAGCCAGGCACATGGGTTGCTAAATGTCCGTCGCGAACTCAGATCTCCTATAGTTGCTATGTCTCCTCATACGTTCAGAGCTTTTCAGTCACTTTTTGAATTCCACGAGATGAATGGCTTGTCACCTGTGGACAGTGTCTGTTTGACGGCCAGACACTAAGTGATTATATTTTCTGACACCTGCAATCTGACTTTGTTCAAGGATTGCATGGGAACATGTGCGTACCCGTAACCTGTTTGGAACTAGATAGGAAGTCATTCTTCATTGGTACTCAATATTCTAGGCCGTTCTTTAAGTGGTCTTCGCAAGTCCTCCTTGTCAACAGATGATTTCAGACGGCACCTTGCATACTTCTCACCAAACTTTACATTGAAGATGTTTTCCATTGAGCAATGACTTCTTCCCTGTTTGTCACTTAGCTAATCGGACAGTGTAGCCAACGCAGTGCATGTTGCCGACTGAACTTACCTAGGTATTATATCAACGATCTGAGACAAAGGATGCAGTGGCAGAACAAGAATAGGGCATGATCGGACAGGCTTAGAGAGCCCGTGCAAATGTCCAGAACTTCGACAAGCTTTCTTGACGAGACAGTGTTTGCTCATAATCCTCCATTCTTCTGATCTAGCCAGCCTATGAAATGATTCCATTTGCAGCTTCTTCTTCCCTCTCTTCCATCACACTGTTCGTTTTTTCACCCTCGGAGTGAACCTGTGATATCACATCTGCAATCTCTTTCAAGAATCTCGTAATCTCTGTCTCTGTCCCAACAGTGATCCGCAAACATCCCAAACACCCATGCTCCTTCCCTCTAAACCTGACTACTACCCCTCTATTTTCCGCCAGTCTCTCATAGACCTTCAACGCAGTAAAATTATCAGGCTTCCGTTGAGTATCCAATATCTCCACTAGCAGGAAGTTGCTTGCAGATCCACCTCTGAACCGCCCAACGCCCTTCACCTTAGGAAGCTCAGCCAATAACCTATCCCTCTGCTCGAGAATCCTCGACCTATTACCCCTCATAACACCAAGCCCACCTTCTTGTAGAGCCTGACAAGCAATAGCACTCGTAGGACTACTAACATTGTACGGTGCCTTCAGATTATTGAGAAGGGCAGCAATAGGCGGCGATGTGAACGCAGCTCCAAGTCGAATGCCTGCCAAACCAAACGCTTTCGACAATGTCTGCATAACCACCAGATTCGGCCATTCCGCAACCCATTCAGCAAGTGATGACCCCTCTGGTGCGAAATCAATATATGCTTCATCCAACACAACAACTCCATTCCATGTAGGGTGTTCAAGAACCTGCTTCACGTCCTCTTTCTTGATCAATGAACCCGTAGGATTGCCCGGCGAGCAAAGGTATACGAGTTTAATCGCAGAAGCTTCTGAGGATGAAAGAGTAGATGCAATTGCAGGCACATCGATTCCGAATTCTGGAGCAGGAAGTAGCGGGACCTTAACAAGGCCAACATCGTTCACCTGTGCTGAAACAGAGTACATGCCATACGTCGGCGGGCAGACGAGGATCTTGTCTCTTCCAGGCACGCAGAAACATCGTAATAAAGCATCAATTGCCTCATCGCTTCCCACTCCCACGAATAGATTCTCAGGTGTGATGCTCTTCGTTGTATGCGCGTGTGTATTTCGCAGGTTGCAGAGGAGTTGCTTGAGGTCGTGTTGGTGGGGATCAGGGTATCGATTAAGACCGAGGAAGTCGATTGAGGGGTCATTGGATGATGCTGATGGCTTCGCAGATCCGTTCAGAGATAAGGAGGGTCCGTAGGCATTTTCGTTTGCGTCGAGGAGGATGTTCGTGCCGTCGTCTTTGTAGTCGCTGTTTTCAAATGTGAGTCAATTGCTGGGACAAACGCAGAGCACTTAACCTACTCTCTTGCACATCGATATGGCTCGAGCGCGAGAATATTTGCCCTCGCACAAATCGTCAAATCGAAGGGACTTTTACGACTGGCCATGATTGCTCAATGGGAGACGGTTGGAAAAGAGTCACAGTTGGAAGATTTTCTTAGAGGGGTAGCTTTTTTGGGCTCCGTTGCTGGCGAGAGAATTTAGCGAATGAGAAACGCCGTTCCGACACCCCTCATGCAAGGCTATGGTAAGGCTGGTAATTGACTGCAAGACTGCATATTGCTTCTCTAGACTAGATCTTGCTGGAAATTGCTCAAAATAGGTCATAGAGACACAGCCGATCAATGAATCTTTGCTTTGACTTCGCTATCTACGCTTGCTACATAGAACTATTCGTTCAGCTACGAAATTGCAAGACCTCACAATCTTGCCGAGAGAACCCCTTTCCCAGGTTTGAAAGTTGTGGTACTTAAACCAATGGCTCCAATGCCTTTGCCGTATCCACGACGCTTTGCGGAAATGAGATGTACTTAATTCCCATCTCCCTCACTGCCTTCGTGCCATCCACCTTGATGTTCTCAGGAGGATACTGCACACTCTCAACTTTGCCAGTCTCTTTGTTGTATCCGACATACCCGGCACCGGGAGTACCGACTGGGATCTTCTCACCAATCGTCGTGCCTTTATAGTGCTCCCTCAAGATATCAGCCAAGGCTTGTGATGGACCAAATCCATTGCACGCGATATATCTTTCTCCATCAGCTTTCTTGGGATTCTCATAGGCCCATGTATGCATGAATGCAACATCACGGACATCAACAAAGGAGCCACTGCCAATACTGGGAGGGACGGTCTCGGCTGCGCCAGAGAGGATGTTGAACAATGGTTGGAGTGTCTCATTGAATTTTGATCCAGACGCAGGAAGAGTGATTGGAGGACCAATGACGACCGAAGGGTTGACCGTTGAGATTGCAAAAGATGGCTATTAAACTGTGAGAAAATGCGAGGAAATCAGGATTGGTGATCATACCTTGTGTTCGTCTCGAAATTTCCATACAGCTCGGTCCGCAGCTGTCTTGCTGGCAGCATAGAGAAGTCCACCAGGACTGGTAACTCCTTCTTCCTTGTTCTTAGTCACGGTTTCGAGAGCAACAGCAGCCCAATCCTTCTCAGTGAAGGTATAAGGTCCCTCCTTGGGATTCACAATTGCAACGACGGAAGAGGTTATCACCACAGAAGTCAACTGAGAGCCTGCCTTCAGCGCTGATTCGAGTACTGTCTCAGTACCACGAATAGCAGGTGTGACCATCAGTTCATATGTTGCGATGGAGAAGTCAATAGGTGAAGCAGTATGAAAGATTCCATCAACACCTGATATGCATGTGAGCACGTGAATCTGAATGTTTCAAAATGATTCGAAGCATACCTTTCGCAGCATCATCGAAAGCGCCATCTACCGCCATGTCGGGTACTGAATACATCTTAACACGCTCAGTATATGGTGCGTACGGTCCTTTGAGGAGTGCTTCGGTAGTAGCTGCTCGTCGTGATGTTCCTCGAATTGAATATCCTTTCTCCAGCAGATGGAGGCCAAGAACACTGGCAATGTATCCATTGATACCGGTGATGAGAACGGTCTTTCCATTACTTGCTGGAATAGCCATTTTTGCAGCAAAGTTGAAGATTCAGTGATAAATTGTTTGTTTAGGAAATATAGATTTGTGGTTTGGGGATGTCCGAGAGCGGGCAGCGAGTCCGAAGAAACCGACAACTTGAGGTTTCACAACAGCAATGGAAGGAAGGCATGATTTATATGAATTAACACTTACCGTACGATACAAGAGAATTGGTACTCAGGTGAATTGAAGTCTCCTTCGCAGCCGCATTACTGATCCGGTCGCATGTTGATTGTTAAGCATGTTTGCATCCCCGATAATGTGCTGACAGACTAGCCAATCAGCTCTCAGAGATCAAGATGCATTTACCACGAACGGCAAAAAAAACTGGATGGGCTCGGAAAGCTAACCAAATTGGCAAGATGATGGGGATCGTGAATATATGATGTTGGAAGAAGGTTGAGCTTGAAAGACAATCTTTTTAGTTGCCCGCCAAAGTAGCTCGTAATTACGGCGGCTAACCCCGCAGCGCGAGCAGTAGGCATTCTCTTCTTTTGGACTTCTCATTACATCTCACGAAATTCAAAATTCAGGTTAACCTTTACTCTGTGATACTACTTGATTGTCCCGACTGGGTGTGTGCAAATCGCAACTTAAGGAGTTATCATTGTCTGCGTCATCAGTCATTATCCGCAAAGAGAAATTATCCCAAACACTTCCATAAAGTCTCGAACTAACTATCTCTGGACCTTCCCTCTCTTTCGGTCTTTCCTTCTTACTCCCCCACTGACCAGCATGAAAACCACTCGCGTCAGCCGCAAAGCTCGAGCTGCAGCAGTGAGATCTCCTTCTCAGAAAGTCCTGACACCTTCTGTACTATTCGTTCTAGTCTCTGTGACAAGCGAAAGCTCAAGGAGCTTGCTTTCCTAGGTTGTATTGAAGTTCTCGGTGAGAAACGCGTTTGGTTTCGATGATGATCCTATATTTGGTCTGAAACAGAGAGGTGGAGATAATGCTAATTGCACTCCAGATATTTGTTCCGGTTTCTATTTAATTATCCTCTTCCGTATCAATTCGACTGATTTACACTGTTCGAGATACCTACGTTAGCATTGTGTTGTGTTGAGAGTCTAATCAGAAGCTGGGATGATATCTCAGGCGTTGAAATTTCTTCTTCCACCTTAGACATCCTCGACTACATGGACTTTGGTCTGTTTCCAAGCATTGCAGTCTAAAAACGAAATAAGAAAGTGATATCTACAGCTAAACAAAGGCGAGAACCAGTGAAATTGCAGCGACAGAGACAACCTGAAGCGAAGGAATCGTTCGATTGTGACACACGCCTTGAAACATGGCAGGAGCTTAGAAGACGATTAAAAAATCAAGAAGTAGATTACGATTTCGAGTGTTGAGCTCGAACAAGTGACAACTTTTTGAATTTGAACTATACCCACGATAAATCAAGCTTAGGGACAAGATATCAGTTCCTCTCCACGGAGACACCGAGCCAATCCATCTCTTAAAGGAGCTTTGCTCAACACTTCCCACTTATCATCAATCTAATTACCATAATCTTCCTATCAGGTTCCTATGTCTCCATTCGAGGACTCTCAGATCTTCTCACCAATTTACTGGAGTAGAAGAGTCACGTGACATAAAAGAGATTCGAGCACTTGGACAAAACTTGCTATTCGTCTTGAGATACATGTTATCTAAGGATATCTTGTATATAAGTACATGGCTTTATGCTCTTGATCTGTGATTGTACAACTGGATCAAGAAGCACGCGAGTATCAAGCGTGTGACTACTGATGCCTTGAATGCAAATGCCTCATGAAGGTTGAAGGAGTTTGAGATTATGAGTATGGTATGATCACTCTGGGGGAATATCCATGGAGTGTTTTCCTAGAAAGTAGTCCAATAGCACGAACTTTCGTGACCAGAAATGCCAGTGAAAACCTGGAATATCATATGAGTTTGGTACACCTCGGGAGGATTAAGTACAAGCAATATCTGTAACTTCATGAAAAAGCACAAGCTACACAACTCGAATTTTTTGTGTAGTAGATTAAGTTTTAGGGAAGTCAATCAACTGAACCCCCAGGCGAGTGTTCGAAAGGCACAAAAATCGCGGCTGACACCTTCGCGACACCTTCGCTCGGACTTAACAAGGGTGCCGCAGGACCCACAAATTAGATTAAGAAGGCTGATGAGGCTGACCCAGTAGTCGGGAGCCGAGACGTGGATCTAGTCAGACCTTACTTCTTACATTGAAGTTTCTCTAGCTGCTCGTAAGATATGGAGAGAAGAAGAGGTAAGTCTTGAGCTTTTGCTCGAAGAGGGATATGCGTGTAGTGATGACAGCCAGAGTGAGTTTGTGAGAGATGGGTGATGTCGTGTGCTTGAGTCCATTGCTGAGTGGCGAATTCTCGGTGATTGGTTGATCTCAACGACATGCCAATGGCGACGTCGATGTCTGGAAGGACGGCGATGATGAAGAAGTCCGGATATGATGACAACAGCTGAGAGATGATGTACGAGACATCCAGGGAGGATAGAGGGCAAAACTTGCTCAAGTCTTTTGCTGATGTGAAGATTAGGGAAGATTTGTAAGAATCAGAGACGGTGACGAGAACCGACTCATTTCAGACGCAATGCCTTCTTTCAGGATCATGGCCGTTGCCACATTATCCTGGTATGATGGTCATCTGGCCGTTATCTCCATAATTGTTTTCCAACCAAGCATTTCTACATGGTACCTCTCATTTGAGACGCAATTTCTTTTTCGTGGATATACAGAAGAGGTTGATCAGATGGATATTGCGGCGGATGTCGATTGGGTATTCCGCACATTTCGGTTCGGTCGGCATTCGGAGCTATGACTTAAGTGCGAATTGTCGGAGAAAGAACAAGACAATGAAGTTCTCTACTTTTTCAACGTCAGTCTTTCACAAGATCGGAATCACAGAAGTCTAGGTCACTAACCTCGGTCGATTTGCAATCCCTCCTTCCCCTATGGCTCTTTCGTATAGAGTAGACGTTAGCTGCATCATGGAGGCATTTATGATTACCATCGAAGAGGCTAGTTTTGCCGCATCTTCGTCAATATACAGATATTGAGGCAATTGATAGGGACACCTGGTAGATGATCTGTAGGCAAGAAGTACCGTACATTGCTGCAAGTCGTTTCCAAATCCAACAGCGAACCCTGTTCTTCCGTATACCATGAACCATGACAGAGGTCGAGATGTAGTGTCGTATACGCAAGTCAATGGAAAGAGTCCATTCGGTTCTTCGGCGAGGGGCGACGGCGCTCCACGACTTCTTGGGCCGCGCGGTCGTGCTCTTTGAAAGTTCCGAACGTGCGATTGATCCGCGCCTTCTAGGTTATGGAAGTTGAGAGATATGATAGGACAGTGCGAAATAACTACTAGGTGGCCTACGATATCCTGCCCGTCACTTCAATGACAGATCCCATATTTCCGCATTTAGTCTTTGTCCGTGGACTATCTTCATCTTCAACGTAGAGTCGCCAACAGGATGACGATGCTATACTGTGCAACATCTTGCCGGCAGTCGTCTGTTGAAGTGCGAGAACGCGAGTGTTTTGCCTCCCAGTAGATCAAGTCGACCCAGCCATATCGAGAACGAGGCCCACGAAGACCGAGGTTGGATTGGTAAGGTTGCGCATCTATAGTTTATAGTCAGTATAGTAGTATCAAGCACTTCTTGTAGATGCAACCATATCAATGTTGTCTCCCTATGCATCAAATGACGTTCATGGAGCATAAGCAACATGGATGTACTTCGGTCTCGTTCCTGTCGCCTGATGCTTGATGGACTTCTTCTCCCCAATGGTATGTTGTAAGTGTCCCCAGTTCGCCGTCTCTCTGTGGCTCAGCTTGCATTTGTAATGACTTGAAGAGTACCACTGAGGCACAGCAATGCGTCGTATCGTTGTCGTAGACGCTGAAGTCTTCGGGAGACCACGGCAACTATGGTAGCCTGTCTTGCAATCAATTGCCCAGGCGATTGGGCGAAGGAGTTCTGAGTGAAGCCAACTACAGCGATATCGCATAGCTACGAATCTGTAGCAGCAGTGACGCAGTATGTAATATTCAAGATGAAGAATTTCGTTCCGAGTGCCATTTGAAAGATAGCAAATAGCGAAGACCGAGTAAAAGAATATTGGCACGAACCGTACCGTATCTTTAACAGCGGTTCAGCACCGATACCCGAGACTTGTCACTCGTCTGTTTAGGGAAGTTGGGGGTCGGAAAATGTTTCATGCAAGCGAAATCATATGTGACGATCTCCCATATCTACGCCCGAGACCAGAATAGGAATATGGAAATCTTGAGAATGCAGGATCAGTCTTACCATATTGGTAAGGAATGCTCAAGGAAAACTGAGAAAATTCCCCCATTCGAGGGCATGACAATGAGAGCCGGCAAAGTGAATTCCAGTTCGACGCAGATTCTCCCAGTGAAACCCGCGGAAACTTGGCCTAGCCAACTACGGACCACACCCCGGATTGGTCGACTTCAAGGGGTACCCAGCAGACATGCACGACGATTATTCATCGCGGCGGCTTGGGTCTGTGCATGCTTCAAATATTTGGGAGCAAGGCGGGTCTATCGTTGGATCAGCTGATTTCCAACCTTCATGTATGTAGGGCAGTAGACGAACAGCGATACCTGATTGAACATAGCACTCACCCAGAGTAGTAAGATCATGTGGAGTATGGAAATGGCCTGTCGTGGTGTTTCCAAAGTTCTATTGTTCGCCGCTTACAATGCAGGGGAGTATCGGCTTAGGGCAACATGGGACGATTCTCGTTAATGATTATAGTTCGTACTTGGGTCCGAAAAAGCAGAACCCAACATCATTTTGTCAGACTCTGCTTCTTTGCAGATGGTTGGTAATGTTCCAGTGGCGCTAATCCACTACAGTCAGCAGGACTGAGGACGATCAAGGAAGTCCGACTTTGGCGGCCGGCTCAACACGAGCCACTCTTGTAAGCGTCGACGAATTACAGTTCTCAAGTCAGCTATCGCTTCGCAACACATCGAGAGCCTGTTCTTGATGCTTTTTATTGTCTCACCCGGCCGTATGACTATGAATCTTGTCTATTTGGATCTTACCGCCACAGACATTCAAATAACATGAGTCGGGTTCTGGAAATACATCGACTTGCCACTGTGGGGATTTGTACTACCAATGCTACGCGGTGCAAGTATTGGTGCGGAGGTGAGCGAGCTGAATTGGAATGCCAAGTCATAAAGAGGGCTGTCGCTGGTATCGAGTTGGCCCCCCTCCCACAGCTTTAAAGAACCGACAATCTCCACAATTCAATCACTTTTGCTGAAAATATTGGGCAATTTGTGCACTTCAACACAATGTCTGGGGTACGAATACCATACCGACCTGCTAGTGTTCTTCCAACAGGAATTCCACCTCTTAACCTGTTCAGACTGTGGGCGCATTCTCCTTCCACTTTGCCTCACGCAATATCTTTGGGAACAGCTTGTTTTCGCGACACCTCACTTACTCCATATCAACGGGAGCTTGTTTGTTTGCTCAACGCCCAGCGACTTGCTTGCGAGTATCAGTGCAAACAGCACATACAGATCGCCAAGACAGTAGGAATCACGGACGGACAAATTGAAGCATTGATCTCGGGCAACATCTCGTCCTCAGTCTGGTCAGCGTCAGAAAAAGCATTATTAGCTTTTGTAGACGAAGTGATTGCCGGTCCTGAAGTAAGCGACGAGGTCTTTGCCAACGTCAGACGGTGCTACAGTGATCAGGTGCTTGTTGAGGTTGTCACCATGCAGGTAAAAAGCCCATTTTCACGCTTTAGGAAATTGAACTGACCAGATGTCCAGGGCTTCTATTACAGCTTGGCTAGGATCGCAACTGTATTCCGTGTCGATCTTGAACATACTAGCCGGATGGTGGATTCGGAAGCAAATGGTAGGGGGGATTGAATTGTTTTCAGGGAGAAGAAAAAGAATCTTTGGTTGAGCACTGTTCTTGCTTAGAAGCATGTTCTTGTCCTTGGCGAAGCGTTGGAGTATAGGCGTTCATTCGGCCATTGCTTGAAGTACGGCAGGGGGCAGACGGAGCTGGTACGACAGATTGGGTAGACAAATTGTTTTCCCAGATTAGGTAATCGCAACGAGGGCGACGTTAACACCGCCTTACGCTAATCGTGGTCTCTCATCAACCCTTCCGCCTCTTCGTATCCCACAGAATGTAGCTCCAAGCTATCACCGTCATTTCCAGCTTTTTGAACCAGATCTGCCATGCGAGCAGCATCTATCTGACCTTTCTCGGCGTTGACTATCCATATTAGAGGTGCTGGCAGAGCTGTCATCACAGCTAAAAAAGCAAATGCCGGTCTTATTGTTCCCGAGGCGTCAACGATAGCTCCGACGATTGCAGGCCCAACAGCAGAGCTTCCTTTGTCGGTGATGGCATAAAGAGCGTAGAAAGCTGCTTCGCTTCCAGGTGGAATGAGCTGACCAAAGAACGAGCGACAATGAGAAGACAACCCTCCCATTACGAAGCCGTAAATGACTCCAAGAATGTAGATCTCGAATGGCTGCTGTAGCCCGATCACTCCCCAAGCCTTGAACAACGGAATATAACCCATCAATCCGTAGATGGGAATTATTTCCATCAAAGCGATGCAAGCGACAATTGTATGATTGGTTTTCAGGTGGAAGCGGCGAGCCACGATCGGCCAAACAAAAGCACCAGCAATACCCATTGTGGTAACGGTGATGGACAGCAGGGCGATTGGAACGGTTCCCATCTTCAACTCGGTCCGTGCGAAGAGAATGGCTGTTCCTGAAATCGTTGCTGTCGCATCCGAGAGTAGGAACCAGGCAACGAGGAAGATGACGACTTGGCGAAGCTTACTTGCTACTTTGATCGTCCTCCAGAGAGATATCCACGCGAATGAAACATAGGTGAAAAAGGAGCGCCATCGTGAGCCATTTGGGGACATACTCTTCATTGGAGGACCTGGTCGAGCTCGTAGGTATAGCATGGAAGGTATGCTGAATGCGAACCACCACAACCCAACCAGGAGAAGGACAAGGCGCAGAGCAAGTGTTGAGGACACAGATACCTTGGACAGGAAAAAAAGGATAAGAATACTGAGAAGCTGGACACCGACAGCTGCGAGATATCCGATTCCCACACCCTTGGAAGAAATCAAAGTAGATAATTTGAGTTCAGCAGCATCCGATTTGCTCGCTTTTGCATGTGGGATATGTGATAAGTATTGGTCGGAGGACTCCCTGCGCCTCAACCCTGGTGACTGCGGGATATGCAATTCTGCTGCATTATCGAGGTCTCTTTGATTTCCTCTCGACTCTGGATGATTGGCTACAAGTAATGGAAGGTAGCTGTTCAGCAGGACGAAGGAACAGCCTAGGCACGTGACAGATATAATGGTCAGGACGGAAGCGACCAAAAATATTGACGGCACAACGACCATGAACAGCATCGAGCATACTGCACCTGTGAAGGCGAAGGTGAGCAGTAGCTTCTTTCTATATGTACCTAAGATGATGAGCCACGATCGTGTATAAGACAGAGAAGGCCATACCATGATCTGCAACTGAGCTGAATGAGACCAAAGTAAGAGCTTGTACGAAAACCGCGAGAGAGAAAGTGTACATTGCAAAGCTCGACGTGGTTATCTCCAGGCCAATGACATTGACAATACATTGATTATTGTCCGAGTCAGAGGCTCTTGACAACACTCGTGCAACAGCAGTCTTGCCAGCATCTGTGGCGCTCTTCGCCATACAAGATGTTGTTCTGTCAGACCATAGCGTCCCGCGTTCCCGAGCCAATTGCTCAAGAGTAACTGGAAGAAAGGAGCCTAAGGAGGAAGAAGTTAGAAATTTAGGTTTCAAGAGTCTTAAATACGTACCAACGCCACATACAGCGAACACTTCTGCAGCTAGACTGTACGCATAAAATCCCTTTAGCTCTCTGTCTGTCGTCGGTGAGACATCCTCTCCTTCGTATCGAGGTTCTCGCGGGCCGCGATCCGCTGTCGTGCTATTTTCCATCAGTCCGGATGACAAAGTTGATGTGAACGCAGCCCGTTATCAAGGTAAGAAATGCTGTGTAACAAGGATGAAACTTTTGCGTAGATACTTCGGAAGTCCGGGACAATCACCAATGTCCGCACGTGCAATCAGGTCCCATTGATGACAGTGAGGCTTGAGGAGACTTGAGAGATCGAGACTGAGCTTCCCACCTAAGTGATGGCTGGAGGAAGAGGATATATATTGTGATATCAGAATTCGGATGTTTTAGAAACATGAGAAAGAAACATGGATCCGGTACCTGACATGAGGCGGCGAGCACAGGCAGAAAGCTCAATGCGGCATAGCGGATTTCTTAGCGTCGCGGCCATCAAGTTCACGATCGCAGCCTCAACTCTAACATCTTCAATACATCCTCTCAGACCGTCAACTCCACCGACAAAATCTACAAGTCTAGATACTGCTTTGTATCAGCTGATCAGTGAAAAAGACGTAAGGAACCGAAGAGGTCATCAAGGTCGCCTAGAGACCTGGGAGGGTTACTCTCTGACGAGCGTCAAACAAGATGACGGACAAGATGGCAAAGTACCGGACGGAGATCCAGCAGGTACGTGAACACTACTCAAGGGCCAGTCCCTGAAAATCTTCATATTTCCATTCCAGAGGTACCTTTGGAGATGCGTCCAGTCGCTTCTGCCTCTGATCATCACGTGCAAATTATGAATCTACTGAGATTATTGCCAGTTTTTGCGCTTGGTCGAAAATGTCACTATGGTCAATTTCGACATACAGGAGTGTTGCGAACATTTGGAAGACGGTACTGACATCACTGATCTAGATGATGTATGTGTCTGGAGAGACAGCCGAAGCATCACCCGAAACTACAGGCATGATTGAAGAAATTGTGCGCCAGCAGGTCATTGAAATGGCAGGTCTTATTCTTCTCACTTATTTTGAATCCAATGATAACAGAAGGCAGCTTCGACAATGTACTGAGCAAGCATCGCGGCGAGGCAGTAGGTCAATATCTACCGACGACCTCATTTTCCTCATCCGGCACGATCAAGCTAAGGTATCCCGACTTCGAACCTTTCTTTCCTGGAAGGACGTTCGTAAGAACGTGAAAGATTCTGATGACAAGGGTGGCGATGCTGACATTGGGCCTACTGATGACCCTGCTGGTGCGGTCCCTGGAGGCCCAGTTGTCGATACCGCAAAAAAGAACAAGAAAGCGAAAGTAGGACTTCCTTGGGAAGTTCCGTCTTTCTACAACCAAGAGGTACCCGAGAGAGAAGAAGAGGAAGATGAGGACGAAGAAGAGATGAACTACGCTACCCTTCAACGCCTTAAGAAGGCCGATGAACGCACCAAGATCATGACGAAGGAGGAATACGTGACCTGGTCCGAATATCGACAAGCTTCTTTCACTTTTCGCAAAGGCAAAAGATTCAAGGAGTGGGCTGGCTTCGGAGTTGTCACTGATTCGAAACCCAACGATGATATCGTGGATATTCTTGGATTCCTGACGTTCGAAATCGTCCAGACTCTGACCGAAGAGGCACTGAAAATCAAAGAGGGAGAAGACTTGGTTAAGGATAAGTCCGGCGGTGAACAAGCAGGCAAGAAACGAAAAATCCAGGGCTTGTTCGATCCGCCATCCGAAGGACGCACACCTGTCGAGCCTCGTCACATCCAAGAGGCATTTCGGAGGCTGCAGCAGCGCCCAAATAAACAGCGGGCAATGTGCAACTTCACTCGAGGCTTAAACCGGACCCCTTTGAAACTTGTAAGCGATTACTCATCCTCCAAAGCGTCGTGCGGGGCATCTTCACTAATCTTTGTACAGTTCTGATTACGTTGTGGCCTGCTTTTTGGCCCTGGGGTGGGCGTTCTATGCGGAATAAGATTCTGTGATTTGCACGCATCAGGATAAGGCGTTTAGTCATCATGATACCAGGATTTTGCGGACATAGCTCGGCTATACCATTTGTGTTACCCAGATAACTGTTTACGATGCATGCATTCAATGCTGGTTTTGAGATCTGATCCTGGTCTGCATTTACATTTGCATCACCTATATCCCTATATCCCGATACCCCTGCTCACAGCTCTTGTACGAAGAAGCCTTCCTGATTGGCCGCTTTTGAGTGAATCAGATGGAAATTTTCCTGTCTCCCCCAAACCCAGTCCCACTGATCCCCGTCAACCCAATGAACATCTTCTTCCAAGTAGAAGTTCAACGTCTTATTCAACTCGGGCACGAAATGTTCTGCATACAACTCCACACTGTAGTACGTGTGATTAAGCAACGGCAAATCCCCGAGAACCGGCACTTCGTCTTGCAGATTGAACATCCCTATTTTTTCCCATTAGCCTAATAGAGGAATTAAAGACCTTGCACGGGTGTCTATATAAATTCACTCACCGATCAATGTCCCGGCCGAATGCCCCCAGTCGCCGATCGGATGGCAGTAGACTCTTCCGTCAAACCCCTCGTTCTTCATTTGTTCCAAGCTCTTGGTCAGGATCGCATTTCCAGTCATTCCGATTTTCATATTCTCCCTAACGATGTCTTGCAATCGATTGGCTTTCTTCAATCCAACTCTGAAACCTTGAGGAATGTCTTTCTCGGTCTCGCCCGGGTATAGAACATAGGCTAGATGCTGGGTATCCGTGTTCATACCTATAGCCGTAACGCCGAAGTCGACATGCAGCAAGTCCCCGTAATGGATCACATTCTTGGGCTGGATAGGAGAAGGGTTCGGGTCTCCGAAATCGTCTTTCCCGATGATGCTCACGTCTGGCTGGAACCAGGTCGTGTAGTTCATCGCTTGGACTTTATCTCGAAGCCACCATTCGACGTCCTAGTCATGTGAGCTTTCCCCTATTATCATCAATACCTAGGAGATGGAAAACACACCTCAGTAGTGGTAAACCCAGGCGTAATAACCCTCTCACTAAACGCCTCCCCAATCATCGCCCAAGCCGTCTCCATCAACCCCTTATACCACTTCAACCGATCCCCCTCCTTCCCCCGAGGCATCGTCCCCACAACCTCAACTCCCACCATCGGTTCCGCCACGAACCTGCTCTGCCACTTCTCGCCCACCCGTCTCTGGATCTCGACCAGTTCCCCCGCATGCATGCCCCCGGAAAACGCAATCTCAGCATCAACATTAACGACAATACTCCTCGCATCCTGCGCTTCTAGAACGTCGAGTAAGTTAGACCAGACCTCGGGCGTGTTATCGATCCATGAATACGAGGACTGCAGACCGGGGGCCGGAGAGGCGAGGAAGAGCTGGAGGGTGCGGCGACGGGCGGCGAATTGGGTGGCGCGTTTCAGGGACCAGAAGACCGTGTCTTCGGCGTGTTCGTGTTGTGATATCTGAGCCAGTCAGTTAGTTGATCAAGCATCAGAAGGAAGTTTTGATTTTGAAAGTGGGGTAATGGGCGGAGAGAGAAAACGGGAATGAGACATACGAGCCATGCATCGACGTCGTATTTCTTGAGGATATTGGGAATATTAGCAATGCGTTCAGAACGCCAAGCGTCGGTGATAGCAAGCTGTTCTCGAAGTGAGGGAAGCGTCACATATTGTGGCTCTCGGGTGGCGGCGGAGCTTTGTGCTACTCCGACGGAAAGGAGAACAGCAACCAAAGTTTTCAGACCTGTCGATTGAATCATTTTGATTGTGAGCTCTAGTTTTGGCGGGAAGCTTTGGAGAGAGGTATCCCACTTTTCCCCGCGATGCCAAGAAGTACCTTGGTCTGTACGTTATTTGGTCGCGCTTACCTGCACGTGACAACATGTTCAAGTCCATTGAACTTGATTTCGATACACCAGAATCAAGGCACTGTGCGTAAATGCTACTATACTAAGATAAAGTCTATCGATAGTTGGAGACATCGCATCTCACCGTCACGAAATCAAGCAGAATAGTCACGTGACTGTTGTCTCCCCTCGAAAGGAAGACATATCTTGGGGTGCGATAGCAATAATGATTCCCAGGGATCGTTGTGAAATCAACATCAGTACTTCATCATAGAAGTAAGCTTACTGAGATGAGACAGTGAGCAAAAATTCATCAAACGACGAGACTATTGAGGCAGGCATTTGTGAGAAGCATCTTCATTATTTTCGGACCGATATCTGAGCACGATGGAATCTATGGCTGCAAACTCAGCATCCGTTGCCGCTAGCTCAGAAACATGCCTCTAGCCACCAAAATATCTCAAGCAAGTAAGAATCATAGAATCGCAATTCCCTAGCACCTAGCATGATGCATACCATTTGAATAGGCCCTAGCAGTTCAGTCAGTCGTTTCGTCGACAACAACCTGGCTCTTGAAAATAGGTTCGAGAGTCTCCACAGCACTTTCAAACCCATCATCTGAACCCGCATAAAAATCGTCCGTGCCAAGTAGATGGTTTGAAGAACTCGAATCATATGAGCCATGGTCGAAGTCCGAACCATCACCCTCGTCCTCTGATTCATCATACATATCCTCCGAATCAATCTCACTCTCAATATCGTTCCAATCAGGGGTAAGCTCTTCGCCAGTGAGATAATCGAACTCGATCCATCTCTTTCTTTCAGACAAGCTATCGGCAGCCCATTTGAATACTGTCTTTCTCTCGGGGTGAGACTTTGGAGGAGTTCCACCTTCAGGGTGGTATTTCTGGAAAGATTTCATCGGAACCTCTTCAGAGCGTACAAGTTCATGAGTGATTCCATAAGGTGGCAGGGGCTTCAGACCACCCGGGACAGAAATGAACACGGCTGTTATAGAGAACGCATGTCAGTATATCCTTACAAGGTAATACAAGAGCAGAGTAGAAGCAAGCATGTTGATGGGGATGAGCCATCTGCACAACCGGAGCTCAAACTTTGAGAAGAGAGTAGAAGTGGAAGGAGTTTTTCGTAGCATGAAAAGAAACTTACCACCATTTTCAGAGAACAATCCTCCATTGCTCACCAAATTTCGCAACACATACATCTCTTCATCCTCTTCACCTCCAAGCGATCCTCCCGTCACGAGGAGTTCGTCGAGGAACTTATTGAGGTGCCATCGAATGATGGGCGTGAAGTAAGTACGGCCCAATACCAGGTGATCACTGAAATTGATGAGATCCATGCGCATCGTCTTCAAGGAAGGCAGAAGCTTGTACTGTCTGCCATTTGAAATTCGACGAGGAACAAAGAGTGCTTTCAAGAAGTCGCCGACTTGCATGTAGCAGTATGCGTGGATGCCATGCTCCTTGATCATACCTTTTGGTCGTGCCAGCAAAGGGATCTTGAACTTCGGAACTAGTGCATGATACCTGCTTTCTTCTTGCATGTTAAACTCCTTCTTTGCTTTGTCTCCGTAGTAACGTCCGACGACTCGAAGGGTGACATGGTCGATTTTCACGCGCAGGGCCGCAGGAATCTTCGCGAAATTGGCGAGTGCGGCGACCTGAGTAAACACGATATCATTGTTCTTGAGTATAAGAGCCTTTCCTTCGTCCCTGAATACCTTACTGGTAGCAAGGAAGTTGACGTTGATCTTTTTGCGGGCAAATTGCTCCTCTGGAGTCATATTGGATTTGCGGCCTTTGTAGAATGGATCGGTAAGAGTGGTAGAGCTCGTGAGTGAGTACCCAAGGATCTGGAACATGATCTCTTGCGGCAAATCCGGAAGCTTCTCTCCAACTTCCAACTCTGAGTCTTGACTGTTGTCGAGGCTTTCGCTCTGTGATGGGCGGTGTACTCTTCTATAATCGATGTTGTTCTCTCGGAGTAAAGCTTGCAGTCTCGAGATCTCATCATCAGCGCGGCGAAGGTCGTCTCGAAGGTCGTCGAATTGCGAAGTGGAGATAGATAACTCTGGATCAGGACCCTCCATCATGCAGATCTGTAAAGTCAGCACGCGAATGAATCAATGTTTGGGGTGCAACTTACGTGGTCGGGCACGTGGTTATGTGTATCAGCCATCGTGAGTGCTGCTCAATCCGACGTCGATGGAACGGATGATTGATGCGGATGAACTCAGAGGATGTTGGTTCGTTCAGTGTATGTGGTCTTATTCACAAAACGAGTGTCGAAGGTGAAAGCTGTGACAGGCTGAGAAACCAAGCGAAGGTTGTGAAGAAGTTGTTGTCAATGGAAATCAATTCCTGGGTTCGCGAGACTCCGTCACATTGTTGTTATAGGACCTGGATCCATTGTTCTTGCTTGTTTGGTGTTTAACCCGCTTGTGGAAGGAAACATCAAAACAATCTTTTGGCGACTGTTTGACATGCTCCTTCCCCTTTCTCTAAGCGATGCTTGTCACGTGAATCTCCCCTTCTTCAAAGATTCTGCACTCAATCTACCTATGTTTTACTTGAATCTCGTTGCTCCTTGTCTGCCGCCTCAAATATGAAAGAGTTCTGTCCTGTACGAGTAATGACCCACCGGATCATCAACGCCGATGCGGGCAGGAGCACCTGCACACAATCTTAGCGCAGTGTTCCCTCAGTGACGTCAATCATATTGCAACGACCCCACATCCACATCTCACACTACATGAAGGCGACCTCGATCCTCCTGCTACTTCCCTCAAAGTACCAAACTTTCTACGTAGTAAGTTCTCTCTCATACAGAATCATGAAACGCTTTCTTTCGCCTCGTATTCTACGCTCTCCCAACACAAGGATCACTAGACTTCGGCCACTGACAGGTGTTTCTCACATAAACAGACCACAAAACATCCAATTCTCTACGACCAAGATGTCTTTCTCAAACACAGACACCGGCGACAAGCCTGCCGATCCATACAAGGCCACGAACATCGATGAGCCCTCTCTCAAAGAGAAGGTCGAGGATCTCTCCGAGTTCATCTCTTCCTCAAAGTTCGGTATGATGACCACGCGTGATGGATCCTCTGGTGCATTGGTTTCCCGTTGCATGGCTTTGGCTGCTAAGGTATGCTTTCTCGTCTTCCATCTGCCAATACATACTAATGGAATATAGGAAAACGGCGGCATCGACTTGATCTTCCACACAAACACTGAGTCTGGCAAGACCTCTGATATCGATTCCGACCCACACATCAACATTGCCTTCCTTAACTCTTCCGGAGAATGGGCCTCCGTTTCTGGCACATCCTCAATCCTCACAGACAGGTCTACTGTCAAGAAATACTACTCTCCAGCACTGAAGGCTTGGTTGGGTGACTTGGGCGATGGAAAGCATGACGGTGGACCAGATGACCCACGCATTGGCGTCATCCGAGTTGAAGCCAAGACTGCTACATATGCTATTACGAGAAAGAATGCCATCAGCCGGGGCATTGAGATGGCTCAAGGCATTGTTACTGGCAAGGCACCAGCAGTCAACAAGTTGAGGGAGATTAGCGAGCAGGAGATTCAGACATGGAGAAGCTCCAACAAGATGGTTGAGTAAATTGCTTGCTAAATGCTGGCATTGTACAGTAAATTGATATGCATTGCATGGACGCGAGGAATCATTCGTGGAGGAGAGCTGATACCGCTCATTGCCTAGGCGCATGTACTCAATACAATGCATGGCGAGTGACTCAATTTCTGTATTCGCATCTTTGATTTTATCTCAATTGCCGTACCCTGCTACAGATTTCTTTGCCCATCGATGTGTCTATGTACCTCAAACAAGCCTCACCATAATGCAGGTCCAATTCTATCCATGCATCGTCTTACCATCCTCTTCCTAGGAAACCCAGCCCCCTTCTCTAACAAGAAAGAAAGTATGATATCCATTTTCTTTCACTTCATTCAACTAGACAAGAACAAGTGCTCCACATCTCTATAATAGCCTGGGAGGGACACCTCACACTCTCTTCCTTTTTCAGGTGTGTTCATCACAACATGGCCACGCCACGACGATCAGATGAAATTTCCAATCCAATTTGGAGCGGAACCAACCTCCCAACTCGCGTTCGTCATGACGTCCCTCTCAGCATTCGAACATCCACGATCATGGGCGGTAGCGTGGGAATGGGGCTTTTTTGTGATAGAGATGTTCAGGATGGAGAGTTGATCTTTGCTATCAAGCAACCGCTGATCGCTGTGGTGAGTCCAATCCTTTTCGTGGTTATGGGCGCTCGCCAATCAAGAACCCGTTACTTGAACGAACCTTTGGCAAGAAACTGATGAAATGTTGCAACTTGGGTCTCTGGCCCCCGCGAATGCCTTCAAGCCACCTGTGATAATTGTCTTTTGGGCAGCGGAGGCTACATTAATGCCGAGGAAAGATACCACATTAGTGAGAACAAAAGCCTTAAGATGAGTTATTGCAAGCGCTGTACCATAGTCTACTATTGTAGTAAAGTATGCCTTCAACCCGCGTCATTATTTGAAGAACCTCACTGACACTGCAACCAGGCATGTCAAGAAGAGGCCTGGAATCATCATCACAAGTACGAGTGTCGGACTTATGCCAAATGCCTGGAGTCTAGAGTTGCTTCTGGAACCAATCTTCTAATTTTCAACCCGACTTTCCGTATGTTAGCACGCTTAGTCTGCTTGCATGACAAGCAAAAGCTCAAGCCAGAATACAGTTGGCGAGAGTTTGAAAGGCTTGCGACATATGAAACTCATCGCAGTCAAGTAATGGAGTTACCAGTACCTGCTGCTATACTTCTCAAGAAAGTCACCAACACGACTCTCTCTCATGAGCAGATACGTATGCTGACGTATACTGTAAGTGCCCACCACTAGTCACTTTTGATATCTCTTTATGAACTCCCAACTGCCATTGAGCAATAAGAGCCTCCTATCCATGCATGACTGAGTAAGCATCACAGGTCGGCGGAAACCAAAAGCATATGGCAGCTCCAGTCATTCGAGGCTCTCAAACCTGGCTCGATCCTCTCATGGATTGGGGTGCTGCTGTAGGTTACTGCCTCGAGCCCTTTATGGCAGTACTGCAGCATTCGTGCACAGGAAATGTGTATGTTATGTACGAGAGCAACGAGTTGAGAGTCCGAGCTCTGAGGGACATTTCGAAAGACGAAGAGCTTCTAATCCCATGGGTCGAGATTTCCGACGATAGGAGAGTACGTCTTGATAAGCTCATTTACAATTGGAATCTGACCTGCAGATGTGATGCTTGTCGAAACGGACCTACAATGACTCCCGACCTTCTCAAGCGATCCTTCAAGCTCATCAACTTGAAAGAAGAGAAAGAATGCCTAAGTCTCCTGCCAGATATTGAGTCTACTATGACAGAGTTGCAGAGCAGTGGCCTTGGCAATTCGCAAGCGATGCGCCGTCTCGTTCGCCGCGCCATAGCCGGCCACTTGGGTCGGAAGAACGACCTCTCGTTAACCAAAGCACTCAAACTTTTCCTCAAAATCTACTACGTGATCGATCATCAAACGAGCCCACCGACACGTCGTCTTGAGCATCTTGCTACTATGCACGATATTCGCTCTCTGTTATACGCTCCATTGCTGGGCTGGGCAAGAGATGTGCAGCCGTATCCAGAACGCATCAAAGTCCTCCTAGTCAATATCTATCCTTACTGGTGTGTCAAGATCGCTGAAGATATTCGACTTGCTTTCGGAGCAGACTCAGCAGCGTGTCGTGTCGAGCAGAGATGGAGAGATGAAGTACTTCACTACTTTAATATTCCAGGTCATTACGACACCCTTCTAGCCGACAAAAGCTTGCATCGAAGATATGTTGACATTTCGCAAGACTTGGCTGCGAGGCGTTTGTTTGTCAAAGATGTGAACGCCCTATTGGCATGGGCGGGTATCCCGACCCAGACTTACGAGCAAATGATGCGTTGAGTAAAATGAAAGATTGGGGTGGATTCACGGATTTTGCTTCTTGAAGTTTGTGATTCAATAAAAGTAAAGTCTTACATGATTCCCTCACATCGCAGCATATCTGCTGTGTACAGTGAGCCAATCATCAATCTGAAGCACTTATACTTCCTGGAACATTCAAGCTGATACCTAATATTATCTCTACCTTTTCACTATCAACATTCTGCTTCTTCACATTCATCTTTGCCCTAGTTCTCGAAACCAGTAAACAGAGCACAAGACCAAGTACCTCCCGCCATTGGCAACACTCAATCAGACCAGTTCGTTGCCGGTTTCAACACTGGCTACATCGACGGTCAAAGGATCCATAATCAAGCACAATCACAAGTCAAACAATCACTGCGCGAAGAATTTGAGAGCGTTGCAACGGGTTTGGAAAGCAGGATCCGAGCGTTGGAGAAAGAAAATCGGCTACTGAAGTCTAGGGTCTTGGATGGGAAAAGTAAGATGAAAATGGAGAGAGAGATGAGAGCTCTGGATGAGAAGTTTGCAGAATTAGACAGAGTGAGCAGGACTATGTGGGAAGCTTTGTATGGGGGTGAATTTGAATATGGGAAAATGGAGGACGGGCATGGCGAGGACGGGAAAGAGGTTCGCGAGGTCGGGAAAGCTTTGTAGGGAAGTAGAAGTCATGGATTGCAGATGCGACGCCTGTCTTGGTTGGCTACTTCTCAAGAAAAATGACACTCGCTTTCTGAATGGTATTTTCCACAATAGCATGCATGGAAGAAGGATTCCAAACAGGAGTAGATGGCAACTGAACTTGGACTAGGGTGCTATTCTATTAGATCCTAATATTCAAAGGTTTGAACGAAAGTCCTTCACCGAAGCATCTTCCTGACTTGAATCACGGTTCAGCATTCCGTATTCAATAACAGGGCCGAGTTCTAGCATATAATATCTCTTGTCTATAAGATCTACCTTCCAAACATCTTCCTAACACAAACTTCATCAAACATCGGCCAAAGATCTACAGTAACGGATGTCAGACTCGCACAGATCCAACGAAGAAGACGTACAGGGTTCCAAATTTAAAGCACCAAAACACAAATCGGCAGCAGGCTCATACTACTCTTCACAAGACTCCATCGAAGAAGAGATGTCTTCTGGCTCGAAAAAAGGCTCCAAGGGCTCTGGGTCCAAAGATGAGAGTCTTAATCCACTTGAGGAGATGATGAAGATGCGTGGCGGCCCTGGTAGAAATCCAACCCAACAGCTCCTAATGCAGTATGGCGCTCCGCCCGGGGTTGGAATGGGAATGGAAGGTAGGGGAGGCGTGGGAGGAATCGGAAGATTAGCAGATATGGCAAAGAACGGCCGAACGGATGTCGAAGGAGAGCTTGCCAGAGCCAAAATGATGAAGAAAAGGAAAGAATTTGAGATAGCAGCGGAGAAAAAGAAGATCGAGCGCTTCGAGTTAATGCAAGCCAACAAAGCGCTCTCCGCAAAGGACAAGCAGAAGCTCCTCGAAGATGCGCATCAAAAGAAGCAACAACTCCTGCAGCAGCTGTATGAAAACGAGCAAGAGTTGAACGATGCGATTGAGGTGAACGGTGGAAGAAGACCGAAACCGCGAGATTATTACCACATAACTAATGATCGTCATTACGAGAGAACTAGGCGGTGAAAAACGTAGAAGGACTAAAGAACTTGGTTGTATTAGCGCGATTCTGATCCATCGTTGAGCTTTGTAAACATGTAGCTGCGTCAATGTAGTAATGAAAGAACTCCAATCAAAACAGTCTCTGCCGAGAATTGTGCAGCTATACCTGTCAAGAAGAGATTAGTACGAAGCATTGTTTTCATGCCAACTATTTTGGTATTCAAAATCTTAAAGAACTGGTGAAGGTTCAGGTTTCTACTTCCTTGTCTCATGGCAAGTGAATGTTAAAAGAACAGGCAAGATGACTATGTCCCAGTGATCTGACTCTCACTGGTCTGATTCATCCTCGATCTTCTTCCAGCATGATGATTGAGCCATCCAGTCACATACCCTTTCATTCAGAGGGTATGAATCACAAGAGTTTGAATAGCTCTTCTATAAAAACTGCCTGACATCGGTCAAGTTTTACTTTCGAGCACAAGGACCCCATCCTTTCTTCATCAAGCAAAACACCTCACATCCATCAATATGTCCGACGCTTTTCCAAACAAGTCGGAGGCTCCGACTGAGAACCCTTCTACTCCTTCTCTTCCAGACAAAGCAGATTCCGATGCGGCCTCCACAAACTCTTGGGATTCCGATTCTAAGGTACCTCAAGCTACCGAACCAGCTCTTGATGTCAAGGGTAAGGGAAAAGAGGTTGATACACCCGACGACAAACAGGTATCTGGACCATCAACAGTTCCTTCCTCTACTCCAAAGGCTGAATCTCAGCAACCTGAAGGTTCAAAAAATACGACCGAGCCAGTTAGTCACGGTTATCATCGCCCTTCCGTGGAAGACTCTGAAGATAGTGCATCTGAGATTGATTACTTACCTCCAAGACATCTCGCGGAAAAACTGCGTGATATGATCCTCGAATTGGCTTCTATTCCCACCAGACCAATGAACGTCTGTGGCACATTCCGGAATTTAGATCCATCCAACGGCCAGTCGACACCAGAACGTCGGTATCCAATATTTGACGAAGTAATGTCCAGCAGTAAATTGCCAGTTGATCAAATTGATCGACTCAGAAAAGAATTCGAGTTAGGAGAGGAGAAGATAAAAATCGAGAAGCGAAAAAAGGAACAAGATTCCTCCACTGCGGGAGGAGCTGCTAAAGATCCATTTCCGTTACCACCGAGTACACAAGCCTTTGTGGAAGCCTGTTACCAACGTCTCAGAGCCGAGAAAATCAGACAAGACAATGATCCATTCATCCCGGAAATCGTATCGACGGTTCACGACACACCAGCTCCCGAGAATCGACAGCAACTGCCAACAGCAGACATGCTATCTAACCTGCAAAACACACCAAGAGATCAGGTTCCAGCAGACAAAAAGCACAAGCGGAGAGTAAGCTTTACTTTTGACCCTAGCACAAGTGGGCCCCGAAGCGCAAATGTCCATACAACCCAGGCTCCAGCTAGAGGAATTCTGAGAAGGTCTTCGGCGTCCTCTTCGGGCTCTACGACTCCTCTCATAAATACACCTGGTACCCTGAAGGACCAGACGAGGCAAACTACTGCGACGGAAGCTTTTAAGTCATCATCTTCAAATGCAGGCTCTAAGAGAACGACCGCTTCCAGCAGCTCTAAGAATGCCGGAACTTCATCAGCAAACAACACGGCAGCCACACCTACCAAGGGATCTTCGGCAGCGACCCCACCCTGTGGAGGAAGATCCGTTCCTGATGGAGCGAGAGCCGTCCCTAGCGACGCCAACAGCTCTAAGACGTCCTCACGAGAACCCAAAAGTAGGGCAAGAGGAGAAGGCACCACGCCAAATTTCTTCCGCCAATACTATGGCCCTCCACCATTGAGAAGGCGGCGACCAGTGCCAGGCTCGGGTTCGTTCTTCAGCGGAGCAGCTGCAGCGGGTCCACATACAAGCCAGACATCCGACCAAGCTGCTCACGGCGATCAACATCCTCGAGCTCAGAGCAACATCCCTCAGACTCCTGAAGAGCCATGCACTTGCAAGTGCGCTAGACATCAGCATAGACCTCAAATGCCCCATTTCTTCAATGGCGCGAACTTTCCATTCCAACCCTGCTTTCCGCCCTTTCAACCATACTCTCCGTTTGTGTCACAATTCTCTACCACCACGGGTTTTGGGCACGAATCCCGTTCCAGGAGTGATGCCCACGGAATTGGTGGTGGGTGGGAGGAAATGGCGAGAGAGAATATACTACTTGGGGAGGAACTAATCAAAAAGGTGGATGCTAGGATAAAGAAGAGAGAGGAAGAAGCCGCGAATAGAAAGGCAGAAGCTGCAAAGAGAAAGGAAGAAGCCGCAAAGAGAAAGGAGGAAGAAGCTGAGAGAGAGCAGAGAAATCGAGAGAGAGAGGAAAGAGCTAGAGAGGCAGAGGAGAGATGTATCGTGAGAGAGAAGAGACACAGTGAGCGCAAGTCTTGATAGATATTGGGATGGTAAGCAGAGCTGTACTTGAGTGGTTGAACGTGAGACATTGAGAGCGAATGCATGGTTTTAGCAAGGAGCAAAATTGAACGTCTTTTGTACTTTAAAACATTGATCCCCATATGAAGTACCTTATCACGCTGAAAACAAAGAAACAGAATCAATTTATACCAACATTGTTGAAGTTGAAAGAAGTGAAGCTATTCCGTATATTAGGATAGCCCCTGGATTAGCCGAGCAAAAGTCGCACAACTCGCTTCCCCTGGGAATACCACAATGGGGAACATTTTCGTTTGAGATTCAGATCCCAAACAAATGATGAGATATCGCCAAGCTGCGTGTGTCTGATGCAGAATAGGATTCCTTGGGATCTGATTGTCACTCGACCCACGTATAGCTCTACAGTATACCCCTTTGATCATAAGTTAACTTGTAAGAAATATACAGGTATGCTACTTCAATTTGAAGACAGGGCATAGACAATACTTATATGAAGATCTTAAAACCGTCAGTAGTTGAGACTCAACAAGAAAATAAACTTAATTCTTTTGTCCCTGCAGAGATTGCGCCATGTTGTTGGACCGTACAAGGTAATTTCAAATGTCGCACCTGTCCTTCGCATCTCACAACTGCAAAAGCCAGCGATTTGCCCGTCCACTCTCTACATTGTGCTGCCCTCAATAAACGACCCATGAGGACCAAGAGCATACACCTGCGGCATATCAGCTCTCGCGACTTCCTTCAAGTCTCTCCCATCCAGCGCAACCAAAATACTCTTCGTTCCCTTCCTATCAATGACAATCGTCAACACCAGCCCATCATCCTCTTCCGTTGACCCCGGCCTACCGACAAAAACCGGCTCGCAAGGACAGCTCTCACCATCTTCCGGCTGCCATTTGATGAATTTCCCCGTGAGCCAGTCTGTCTTGCCAATACAGCCAAAGAATGCAGCTTGCACAGTCTTAATCCCGTTTCCGTAGCGCCCAATGGTTACTTCTGTCCCAGGACTGGGTCCGGCGTTGCCGGCGCATGCATAGACGTAGCGATATCCGGGCACCATTGACATGTCCTTGCGGATTCGTGGGAGCTCCATCGGCGCCCCTGGGATGGCTTGAGCCACCGTTGCCCGTCGAATTTTGCTCGCATCGGCTTTGTTGTTCACAGCAGAGAGCTCATATCGGACCAAAGTTGCATCCATGAATGGTCTAGCGGGCTCGAGGACGTTGCTGAGGTTGTATTCTCGGTAAGTAACATAGTCACCTTCGTAGCTGCAGAGGTCGACGTGTAGGTTGACGTCTCCGGTTGATTTGTCGATGTAGTCGTATGCGTTGACCGAGTGGAAGAACATAAAATTGGGGGCTTCGAAGGTGGCAATGCTTTTAGAAATATTAGTCACGCGCCATGTGGCTCGACATTTGGGTGTCTCACTGTTGTCCATCGGATTTGCGCAAGACGAAGAACTTCGTCGTCTCTCCGTCCTCATACTCAATCATTTCCATCACCTGTCTTGTCATGTCACTGATATTCATGTGAAGAGGCTATTGGTTATAGGTTAGCCCGCCAGTTCCATGATAGCCCTGATATTGGATGAGTGACCATACATTGCGGATGAAAACGACATAGTCCTGGGTCATAGCTAAGGAGTGGATGTAACATGGTGGGCAAGGCAGAGGAGTCTTCCACAGCAGTTTGACTGGTTTGGATTTGAAGTCAAGAGCGAAGACAGACATGATGCCCTCCGTTGAGATCAAATAATTGTAGATGGTGCCGAGCTTCCGGTCTTTAGGTGGGTGTGCACAGATGCCGTATCCGGATAGCTCAGGGTCTATGTCGGCGTATGTGAGTAGTCTCTTAGGCTCTAGCGTCTCTGCATCGCAGACTTGCAGCATGTTAAAGTCGGTGAACACCATGACCTATTTTTGCAGTTAATCATGCTGTCTAAGTACAGGGAAGAAACTATACATACCTCATCCTCCTCGGGGTTTTCAGAAGCTGTCCCACGTGATAGCGGATTTGTGTCTTTTGGCAAATGCATTCCCCTGCGCGGCACGACATTGAGATTCGCTGCATCTGGTTCGAGATGCCCATTTGGTATCCATAAAGATTGCTTTTTGCGATGTTTCAGTATCTGGCTGGCACGGATCTAGGAAAGGTGCAAACAAACCTGCGCGCCAAGAAGCGCCGAGCACGGATCTTGAGCATCTTTCAGCGGCGTGTTTGCGTTTAGACCGAACATCGTGACAGACAAGAAGCCTTCTCTCCTTGCTCGTCGAACAACACCCTCCGCAGTATGGCGGCTGATGTAACGTACTTGGCCATTCTCGAATGTGAATTTGTGTAGCATGCCCAAGCCGTCAAAGAAGTGCTGCAAGATGGCTGGAGGCTTCGAGCCATCTTCTGATAGAGGGATGACATATTTTCCAGCGCCGATTCTATGCAGTATTCAGAAGTGTTCTGAGGCTCATCTAGATGCTTCTCAGACTTACCGCATAAATGATCCTTGTAGCCATGTTGGCCATGTCCCTTTCGTCACGCAAGTCATCTCTTCGGGTGTCTCCGGGACATCTTTTAGATATGGCGGGACATATTTCAGATCATCGAGGCCGACCCAATAATTGTTGTAGGGAGGTTTTGGGGAACTCTGTACTTTGGCAGACTCCATCTTTCAATAGCAGTCGATGTGAAATCTGTAAGAGAAACGAAACTGTAGCAACGAATCTTGATGATTTTGAATCCTAAATTATTGAAGCCAAGGACCTCCATTTTATGGGTTCATGAAGCTGAGATTCGGAATTCCGCATAGGCCGAATTCTGCCAAGCCATCTTCAAGCCATGTCATGTCGGCCCCGCAAAGAACTCCAGACCCGAGTGCATGCTAGTGGCATCGTTAGAAGACATTACGAAACGGCATTGTGACGAATCTAAATCAACATGATAGGTTTGCGGGGAGATGGTATTGCTGATCATCGGTTGGAAGTAGTCCGGGGATGTGTCGGGTCGCAAGCGAGTCGTTTTGTGGGGCATCACACTCCATCTGCATCACACCGGCTGCGATGCCGTCAAATAAGCTTTTCTTAGGAACTATGAACTTGCAATCAAAGATTTGCTTGGATCCGCTTTCATGCGTATCTTTGTACGTGGCTTGTAGCTAATCTTAATTTGCTGTACGCGTGCTAAAATCCTCAAACCCTGGGGAGTGTGGACTCTTGATCTTTCCCCGGACGGCAATTGAGCCGGCACTATTGAATGCCTGGTTGTGACTTTCTCGTCTGTAAAGTGCATTTAACAGTTGCATGAGAATGACTGAGAATTGAATGACTTTTTTCTCATATCGTACCATTTCTCTGCCTCATCGAGCAAGCTACATTAACCAGCCTTACTAATTACAAACTTCAAAATATTTACTCACTCAATATACTCGCCAAGTCTATCTGGACCAATGAATGCAATGGCGACAGTGTCAACTTCCCCATGGGTAAGACAGAATTCCCATTCGTTCGCCATCGTATGACTTTGCTGAACCAGTTTAGAACTGGCCCATGTGGTGGCGAGTACTCATCCTCCTCAATATCAGCTTTTACAACATGATGGGCAATGTCTTCGCCGCGGGCATCTCACCATTGTTCGGTCTCGTGATCAAAGAATTCCATTGCTCTGTCGACCAAGCATCACGTTTGGCATCGTATGCCTTGCTGATGCTTGGGTTGAGCGTAAGTGCCTTGAGTCTCTGTGTCGAACGTGCTAACTCGTGTCACCAGAACCTCTTGGCATTGCCAACGGTCGAGTATCTAGGGAAGAGATACACCATCTTGATGTCAATGGCAGTTTTCCTAGCTTCCAACATCTGGGCTGCCAAAGCAGAATCCTACAATTCGTTAGTGGGAAGCAGGTTCGTAGGCGGATTCGCAGGCGGAGTCATCGAAGCTCTGGGGCCCTTCATCGTATCCGAATGTTTTCACGAACACCAACTCGCCAGGGCCATGGTAGTGTATGTCGGCTTTCTTGCAGCTGGTTCTGCAGTTGGTCCCATCGTGGCCGGAGGAATTGCTTCCGGGTTGAATAACTGGCGATGGTTCTTTGGCATCTCGGCCATTGCTATTGGCACCAATCTTGTTACTTGCGTACTGCTGCTTCCGGAGACGACACATATCACCGATGATTACGCACTTGAAGCGACCGTGTCCTCGCTAGAGGAAGAAAAAGACGCGGCGACTTGCATCGAGAATGGGATCGAACGTGGTGATCCTGCATCGACAGAGCAGACCCAGTCCCTCAAAAGCATATGGATCGAACGATCATTCTTTACCCGTCTCGCTTACGCCAAGAAGAGAGAAAATCCAGTGAAGCTTTTCTTCCAACCGTTTCCGCTACTACTCGCTCCGCCGGTCTTCTTCACCACTCTTGTTTTTGGTCTGACGATTGGGTGGACGGCTCTCATATCGATCGTGGTCTCCAATGTCTACTCGGCTCCTCCACATCTGTGGCAGGCATGGCAAATCGGCCTCCTGAACTTCGGCCCTCTGGTTGGTCTGTTGATAGGGTTACCGCTGGGAGGAATGATGGCCGACATGCTCTCCAAAGCTGCCTTGAAAAGGTCAGACGGCGAGCACGATCCCCGGGCCCGTCTTCCAGCCGTCATACTCGGGGCTCTCATCAGTCCTGCTGGCCTCCTCGCCATTGGTTTTGCCTTGCAGCGGAACCTTCATTGGATTATTGTCGCGGTTGGATCGGGTATGCTGGCTTTCGGTCTGACTGCCTCTGCAAATGTTCTGTTGACGTACTCTGTCGACTGTTTCAGGATGCACGCTGGTCATGTTGGAGTACTAATTAACGTGGTCAAGAATTCCTTGGCATTTGGGGTGTCGTTTGGATCGATGAGTTGGTATTATGAGTCTGGACCTGCTCGGCAGTTCGGCACAATGGCCGGCTTGTTGTGGTTTGCTTACTTGTGCATTATTCCTGTTTATATATATAGCCGCTCGTTGATCAGGCAGTCTGAGCGCTTGCTTCATGTCTGATTGCAAAGCACCTCATTCTTCGCTTATGGAGGAATTATGCTATGTAACTCTCATGGTAGCTAGTAATCTTACTAGCTGAAAGGAAGATACTGCTGATGGAAGAATGGATATTGTTCAATTAGGACCTATTGATTATTTGCGCCTGCTGGGTACTTGTGATATGATTCAAGAACTCAAGATCCCCTTCAAGCAAAAATTCGCCGAGATCCATTCCCAACGGGGAAGCATTCATCATCATGGATCCAAACATCTGACCATTCGGATACAGCGAAGGAACGTTAGTCGCTGATGGCTCGTTGTATGTGTTTGGCAATGCTCGATTATCGAAGCCTGACGAGGCTTTGAATTATAGTCAGTTCGCTGTGATCAAGAGGAGCGCAGTGAAGAAAGTTTGCAAAAAGAAACCGAAGACTTACTACTGAGTGTTTCTGATACACTCGCGAGTTGTTCTAGATACACAGCACATCTATCCACCATCCTATTTTTGCAATCCAACTGACGCAGCGCTAACGCTGCATCAATTAGGGAACGCTGGAGGTCAAGCTCTGACACCGCCAACGGTAAGCGGATCGCTCCATTAGCGCTCCGGTCTCTGAGAATGAGAAATGAGGCAAAGATGACCAGCGCAGCATTGAATGTATAGTACAAGCTAAACCACCATGCTCCCAGTCGGGATCTATGAGCACCGCTTCCCGTGACCATCGCTCGGACAATAGCAACAATGTCCATGGATGACTGCACACAGATCTGGATGCTGTTACTGCCGATTTGCTGAAGAAGATTTACCTCCCCGGCATCGGAATTAGGCGATGCTTTACCTATAATATCGAGGAACTTGACCAAGATGGGACGATGAAGGAGGGTGCGAAGGTTGCAGTAGCGAAGCTTGAGAATAACTTGAAAACGGTCGATAGGCGACGGAATTGAGTTGGCTAGGTCGGGTGGTTGAAAAAGGTCGTTGACATTGCATAAACCTAGGGACGGAGGCAGCAGAAGTTGCCATTCACCAAGTTGCTGTTCTATGGAGAACAACTGCGAGACAGTGTTCAAAACAGTGGTCGGGGTGCCACACCCGATGTTGCCACCGTAAAGCTCGTTAATCACATTCCACATGATCTTGTAGAGAGTTCTGTCGACTCGATGTTAGCATACTCAACCCTCGCAAAATGGAATCAAGGGCTTGGATGCTTCGATCAGACTTACATGGTAGCATTGAAGAAATCTACACTGACTTCTCTCTCATGATCATTCGCATCGTATTCTTCACTATTTCCCACTCTCAAGAGACTTCGGGGAAGCGGAATTCTGATATAATCGTCTGGAATAGTAGCCGGTCTACCAAAAGTCATGCTGAGCGTGCGATCAAGCACCACACAACCAAACCAGGTCCGCTTCCGGAATTCTTGATCCAAGGAGGAGAAGCGACTAGCAGCAGCAGTGGAGTGGAGTCCGAGTTGAAGGGCACCTTTCACTGCAAGGCCATGCACAGTCCATGCTTCTACCGATCGCTGTGTACCTTGCAGGTATTGACTTGTCAAAAGTAGATATTGGACTTATATCGTTAGCAGAGATAAGGCTCTTGTTAGAGCTGTACTTGCCAATCTCAAGACTTGTTCCACGCATGATTTGTTTTTCACACAATCCAGCCGCTCGCAGATAATATATATCTGAAGCCTGAGCTCGCTTGTCCGCACTCAGGCCGTTCTCAACCGTGGTACTGGTTGCCATTGCCATGATCATGTTCAAAAGTCCTAGCCACGTCCTCCTGATCTTTGTAAAGTCATTTGCTTTAATCTCGTTGTAAGTATCTAGAAACGCTTGCTCATGAATGTAAGGGAAAAGAAGGCCGGTGTCTCCAAAATACCGTTCAATCAGGCTTCGTATTGTGGCCTCTGGTGGAAGAGCATGTATGTTTACGTTGCTTCGATTTGCGGCATTGGAAGATTGCATTGTCGCAGAGGCTCTGGCTGATGGGGATGCGGGCTGGGAGATACTAATAACTGCACTGTCGAGAGGTATGTTAGGGCTGAAGCTGTCTCCAGTAGCAAACATTGATCGGTTTGTACGAGCCATTGCGCGCGATACGTGGCGCATGAACGCAATATTTGAAGATGGTCCTGCATAGGGTTTAGTATGTTGCCTCATCCCCTCTGGTGTGGCAAGCATTACCAAAGAATCCACAATCTTCTTCAGCACTAAATACCATCGCTCCCATCCCGTCGGCATCATTCTCATTGTCGAATGAATCTTGGAGTTCGTCTCTATTCACTTCAACTTCCTCGGACTGCAAAGTTCTCGTATGCGAAGGAGACGCAGCGCTTTGTCCACGTGGTTCATCTTCAAAGTTGTCTTCGAATCTTGCATGCTGCCGAGGATTGTCTTGTTGGGCTCTGAGAGTTCTGATATCTTGCTCAACGATCTTCAGACGATGTTCTAGGCCAGACAGATACTCCTTCCCAATAATGACATTTGAGCCAGACGCAGGGTTGATGTAGATACAGTCAAAGCCCAGTTCCTCGCAGCTCGAACATTTCGGCCTACTTCCATCACACTTCGAAGGCATGCATTAGCATCATTACAATATCGCACCCAGTACCTAAGGTGGATGCCTAGGTACCAAGGTAACCATGCAGGCCAACATTGCCCAGGTCAGGAGACTCACACGTGATTTCCTGGTTCTGCAAGCACTGCATGCGAGCGAGATTCTCCGTCTCTTACCCGTAGGAGCATCGGGAGCATCGCTGTAACTCATTTTATTGTGGGTTCAGCGATGTGTAGAATTAATTGGCAGCAATCGTACGAGGAATGCGGCGGAAAGGGGGTAACAAATCCACCGGGGAACGATCGGGTTTAGCGAGCTTTTACGCGCGTTTCTTCTGCGGGGTATTTTTAGCTACATGCTCATAAAAGTTTAAATACTAGCTAGTCTCCTTTGAGCGAAGGATCCAGAATCTAACGTCTAAGCAGAAAAAGGGTCTGGTCTCGTCGTTTGAAGGCGTATGGGAAATTAGTTATTTCTTCGGCTCGTTTAGCATTACCGCCTCCCCTATTTCCTGCAGCAAAGATGGTGAAGAGTACTATGCGTACGAAGTTCGCTGTCAGGACTATAACGTGTTACCTACCTACTATAAAGCTTTGTGAAGTTAGCATAATATCGCTGAATACCCTATGATTATAGGCTTATTGCTCCGAAGGGTTTCCATTAGACCTAATAAAGCACTCGCTAAGGGAGCCTATCATGCCCTGAACCCGAACATCTAAGCGCTGTAGTTATTGCAGCCTCTTCAGGGGATAGCCTGTACTTTAGCGGGGATGCCCTGTAGCCTTGTAGTTTCTCTACTTTTAACCACGACCTTCGTGTGTTGTAAGTAATTCAATTCATTGAACTACATGCTACATTACGTCCCTACCCCATGTGTTGCCCATTACGACTACTTTTTCATCATCACCGTCTTCGTATGCACAAATTCCGAGAGTCCCCAATGACCACCGAATCGGCCCCAGCCGCTATCGCCATGGCCTCCGTGAGGCAGAGTACTTTCGTCGTGCACAGTCGAGCCATTGATATGCGTGGCCGAGACGTTCAACTTTTTCGAGAGGAGGAGCGCGTGGTAATGGCTGCGAGTGTGGATGGACGATGATAGGCCATACTTGCATGCATTAATGATCGTAATGGCGTCCTCCTCCACCTCAAATGGTACCAGGCAAAGGAGAGGCCCAAAGGCCTCCTGGGTCGATATGTCCATGTTCCGACGAACTCCTTCGATGACCGTGGCAGGCACTTCTGCCAGCGTCTTGCCCGGGGTGGCATGCATCCATGAGCTCGAGGCTCCGAGGATGGTGTGAGCGGTAGCACCTTTTGCAACAGCGTCGGCCACGAGATTATGCACTCGATATGCCGCGGCAGTGGTTATGAGGCTCGTGATTTCGGGGGCCCGTTGAGGGTCTTGGAGGATTGAAAGTAATGCTTGGCGGAATTCGGCAAAGATGGATTGAGCAACAAGGACCGTATCTGTTGACATGCATATCTGACCATTCTGGAAATCGAGCCATTTAGCCCTTTCTAATTGGGAAAGTTGGCCTATAGGTAGTAGAGGACTTACGTTCAAAAAGGCACCTTCGCAGACCATCTCCGCAGCCTGTTGAATATCTGCATCCCCCAGAACCACAGCAAAGTTCTTCCCTCCGAGCTCCATAAGACTTGGTTTGAGTTTCGCCGCCGCTTTGCTCGCAATTCGTCTTCCAACAGGTGTGCTTCCAGTGAAGTTGCATTTCCGAACCTCATGCCGTTCAATAAGTTCTTCAAAAACAGTTGCAGCATCGGTACCACGGTGAAGGAGGAAATTACAAACCCCTGGCGGGAATCCGGCTTCTCTAAACAGAGATACAATGAAGTAGTGGATTCGTGGTGATAGCTCGCTACCCTTCAGAATCACAGTGTTTCCGGCTGCAATTGCAGGGAGGCAAGCTCGGAAGCCAAGAATCAAAGGAGAATTCCATGGAGCGATTCCAAGGATGACGCCTAGGGGTTCCACGAAGATGAGAGCATGACCTTCGGGGTCCTGAGATGATGGTATAGAGCCTGCGAGACTAGGCGATGTGACGAGTGCAGCAGTCTCTTGGATCATCAAGATACTTTCTTCGAGATTGATGGTTGCCCATTGCGACGAAGCATGAATTTCCTCGCGCATTATCTGGAGAATCTCGGGGCCTTTCGATCGAAGAAGTTCTGCCAGTCTCAAGAGTAGTGCTCTTCGCGCCGCCGGAGGAGTTGCACGCCACGACTCGAAAGCCCGAACACAAGAGTCAACCGCTGCATGACAATTTGCAACATCTGTTCCTTGGGCGATGACATTCAGATTCGTATTTGTAGATGCATTTGAGCTATCTGGCTTGAAAGTAAGAGAGTTCTCAGGAAGTTTGACGTCGATATTGTCAATAATCAGAGGAACAAAAATATTCTTTTCCAAAGTCATCGCGATTTGAGACTGGTGTGAGAATCTGATAGACCGGTAGCCCAAAGGATATGAGTTGAAAGACGATAATTGTTTACTTGGTAGTTATGAAAGAACAAAACCTTACGAGTGCCATTCTGGATCTTGGTTGCATCTTGAGCACCATACACAATGAGATGCCCACGATCTCACAATGCTCGTTTCGGGACATCATGTTCAAAGTCAAGTGCGTACCGGCAAGCCGGTATCCTAGGTACGTTCCGATCGTTCCCCGCGGCCGTCCACCCGGCCGTACCGCACAAGAGGGTACCTGCATCCAAAGCATGAAGGGTGCCACGTCTCAGAAACCGGGGTGAAGCCATTTGACTCAGTCAAATTGACTGACTCTTCCTTTCCTGTCTATGCCATGGAGCAGGTCACCTGTTTGTTGTGCGAATTAAAAAAAATTCTCGCATTGAGAAGGTAGCCCCTGTTAGAGTTTCAGAGTGATTGAAGAGAATCCAGCTATACTTCAGCTAATCTATGCCACTTTTTCTGATATAATAGCGATTGATACTACACTTTTGTTGGATTTATGCAAGGTAGTTGTGCTGTACACTTTGCGAAGACTTCTGAGTCATTTTTGATACTCCGCGGAACATGGAGAAAACATTTCCTCATGAGGAGAACGCGAGATTAAACTTGTCGAAATTATTCAAAGGTATGACTGGCATGTTGTGACAGTCGAGTAAGCAGTACGACACGGATAAGGTAGTAAATCAATGACTCTACAGTAACATGGCAGCATTTACAGATCATTTCCAGGATATATGGTATAGTTCTTTCATGTTTAAGTTTCTCCTGCATTTGTCAGGGACAATTCATGTTACGCTGAGTGCAAATAGTCTCAAGCAAACGTGACCCCATTCTTGAGTGTACCAATTCCAGATATATACACTTCCATCTCATTACCAGGCACAAGATACCTTGGCGGATTCATGCCAGCTCCGACGCCTACCAATTCATTAACGAGTTTCTAGCAAGTCAAAGGTCTAAAGAAGCTTACCCCCTGGAGTGCCAGTCATGATAACACTTCCTTTCTGTAAAGTCGTTCCGGTGCTCAGGTAAGATATCAAATAAGCACATCCAAACAAAAGGTCAGCAACCCCTTCTTCTTGTCGTATCTCCCTGTCCACACTGGTTTTCAGCTGTAATTTCGAAGGATCAGGAAGCAATGCTGAGCTGACCAAACAAGGTCCGAGGGGTGCGAATGTGTCGAATCCTTTGCTGAATCCCCATTGCGGGATACGACCAGCGAAAGCAGGATCGCGCTGTAGCTTTCGAGACGATATATCATTCCCACAGGTGTATGCCGCGACGTAGGAAAGTGCATCAGCTTCTGAAACGTCTTTTGCATCGCGACCGATCACAAGGCACTAAGGAGCTGATTGTAAGTCCTATTTGTATGTGTAGGGGGTAAAGTTCACGTACCAGTTCACCCTCGTAGTCTGCCTGATCATCTTGACAGATTTTGGGGATGGCCACGTCTGCGTTATGGTCCGTAATGCATGTCGACGGTTTGAAGAAAATGAATGGAAACGGTGGTGGAGATCGACCTGCTTCCTTGACTTTCTCCTATCAGCATAGAGGCTCTACCAGACCAATCCAGCTTAAGTAGACGTACTATGCTTCGCATAATTTAATCCTACGCATCTCAAGATAGGTACGTCTTCTTGTGCCAGTGGACCAAGCAGCTGCTTTACCGTCACTACCTCATCTGTGACTTTGGTATGGCCTGTAGTATCGTAGATATCGTCGCCGTAGATGACTTTAGCAGTCAGCTTAGTCGCCGCAGTCGTCTGCCCAAGGTCAAAATTTGGGTGGGGCAGGATGGGTTCGCCACGTAGTATACGGCCATCTGCTGCCACGAAACGAATCAGTCGCTCCCAGACAACCATCTTGTTGTGTATAGTGACTGTATTGGTTGTGGATTCTATGAAACCTGAAAGTCAAGGATTTTGCGTTTCTTTTCTTGTGCTGTCGTTACGCCTGTTACTTACAGGTCTACTAAGCCGCAGTTTTGCGGCTGGGGAGAGCAGTGGGCTCATCCCGACCGTTCCCCGCATTAGAAGATGGTTCGAGAAAAATGAGATGCAGACTTCAGCGCTCAAAGCTCCGACGGTGCGATCCCACTCCTGAGATTAGTGGTAGACGTTTTGAATTTCTAGATTATCTCGCAAACCGTAATTGCTCGATTCTGGGTGGTTGAACAAGGCATATTCGCGTATTAAATTCCAATTTCACCATCATATGCACAGAATATTTCTCTACATATAGTATGTATAGCGAATCGTGCATCAAAATAAACTTTCACTGCAGACTAGCAACATTCAAAGCTTGACAGCTGGTCGTACGTGTTTCTGACACCTTTCCCACTCATCTTCCACCTCCTTCTCAGCATCATACCCATAAGCCCACCACTGAGTCACTGGATCACTCCACTGATTAGCACTCCAAGAGAAACTTCGACCCTCCACCTCCGCCTTCATAGATTCATCCCTCAATATCTGTTCTGGTCCATCAGGAAAGTGCCATAGCTTGCCATTCAAAAGACTAGCAGCTTGCATTTGTCCGGACCGCTTCATCCTCACTGTCTCAAACGCCATGAGGGCTGCTGGAATATCTTCTGCTGTATCGATGAGCGAAAGCACGGTGGCCAGAGCAGCCCCATCCTCTACCGCCATAGCAGCTCCTTGAGACATGTACGGCACCATGGCGTGTGCTGCATCCCCCATAATCAAGACTTTGCTGCTCGGTGTCACCCATCGCGGGAGAGACTTCCCGCTGAGCAGAGGCCATTTTATTGTCTTGTCTATCATGGCAATGATCTTGGTAAGACGTGGATCCCACCCTGTAAAATAATCTTGCATGTCTTTGAGTGCCTTTTCTGGCTTCCAGGTGGCAGGGTCGGACGTATCAACGTGAGAGAGAACCATGTTGAACGACTCTCCAGCTGCAATTGTGTATGTCATCACGTGTCGATCCTCCCCTATCCAGATGTTAACCGAGGGCTTCTCCAGGAGCCAGGAGATTTCGGGGTCGTCCTTGATCTTCGCAGCGTCTACGGTCGCACGGTATGCGGCAAAGCCAGTCCTTTCAGGTGGTATATCGTTGCCTCCGAGCACAAACTTCCTAGCGACTGACTTCACTCCTATATTCATTCCAGTCAGCATCTTCAACAGTAAATCGTGGTTGAAAGGGCGACTTACCATCGGCCGCGACGATGAGGTCAGCTTTGAGGATGTCGCCGCTCGCCAACTCGACACTTGGTGCTTCAATGTCATATTTCTCGACTCTGCTGGCAACCTTGACTTGCACGCCTAACTCCAACGCTTTGCGGTACAGAGCATCATGAAAGTGCGCCCTATGAATAACATAGTATGGCGCATGGAAATTCTCTCGGAATTGAGGAACAAGCTTTGTGTAGCCAATCACTTTTCCGTCAAGCCAGCGGCGAAATGTCATCCCATCCGGCTCCACGACTGCAGACTTGAGGAAAGGCTGTAGTCCCCATGAATGCAGTAGGCGGGATGAGTTTGGAGGGATTTGGATGCCGGCTCCAACCTTTCTGATGTCAGTCTCCTATTGCCCCTTATATGTCACTTCAAAGTCCTACCTCACCAAGCTGGTTCGCTTGCTCCAATACTGTAATGGTATGGCCACGTCTTGCAAGTGCAATCGCACACGCCAAACCACCAAGTCCGGCTCCCACTACGATGATTCGTAGTCTCACTTTTGCTTGCAGGGAGCATGCATCATTGTTGTATTCTGAGCTCGAGTTTCGCAGGAATTGTAATGATCGCGTAGGATGGATTGGTTCTTGGATGAGATTTTCTGTTTTTTGGGTAGAATTGACTTTGCTACTGACAGAACGGTGTATTTCTGTATCCAAATTGACCTCAAGAGTTGGTGACATGGTTTCAAGTCAGGAATTTGTTGCCGTCGTAATTTTGGGATTGTCTTGTCTCAGAAGAGCAACAATAAACTTCCATCCTTCTTGGTAACCCTTGCAGAAAGATGTAATCCGCATATCAACTCCTGGCGGGGTTGAGGCTGGTAACCGTTCCCGACCACGAATTCATGGCGTAGTGGTGGGGTAGGATACTGCGTAGCCGATCCTGCCCCGCCACGTCCAGCATCCTTTCCCGCTCCATCCCCGAGTCCTGCGCACCAACAATACCCGCCCACAAGCTTTAGTTTTCGGCAGATACTATACGATACTATCTATCAGCTGGCGCAGTGGGTCATCAAGAGCTCACAAGACCTCCAAATGAATATTTTGAGCGTATTTCAGCGTACCTTGACTTCCTGAACAGAGAACCCGTAGACGAGTTGCCTTTAAGTTTTCATTGTAGCATCCAAGAGACACTCAACTACAGCTTTGATCTTTATAAGACATCCAAGGAAAAGTCATGGCGACAATGACAACAACTACCACGACCTCGCAGCCAACAGCTGAACCCAATCATGAAGACACCACCACAGCCCTCCTAGCAAATCTTGAAAAACATCACACCAAACCACTCTGGGCTCAGATGAACAGACTCAACCCACCTCGTCCAAATCCTACAGCCATCCCACACGTTTGGAAATACGAAAACATTCGCCCGCATCTTCTGCGTGCAGGAGAGTTGATTACCGAAAAGCAAGCCGAGAGGCGGGTTGCAATGCTGGTAAACCCAGCTCGAGGCAAGTTTTGAAATTGGTTCCAGAGGCGAAGACTGATGGTGGATGAAGAGCCTCCATTCACAACCGATACCCTTTATGCTGGCCTGCAGTTGGTCATGCCAAACGAGACCGCACCGGCACATCGTCACACAGCCTTCGCCATGCGCTTCATCATCGAGGGAAATGGTGGCTTCACAGCCGTCCATGGGCGACGTATCAAGATGAATCGCGGTGATGTTATTCTGACTCCGACATGGAATTGGCATGACCATGGGAAAGATGGTTCGGGGCCCATGATTTGGCTTGATGGTCTGGATTTGCCGAATTTCGTTCATTATCCGGTCCATTTCGTTGAACATTATGAAGCTCCCAGATACCCGGCTGAGGATGTTGATACCTCTGCTTCCCCGATCGTGTTTCCATGGTCCAAGATGAAGGCAGCGTTGGATGCAGCAGGAGGAGATTGGGTAGTGAAGCCGTACTTAAAAGCCAACGGAAAAGATGGTAGGTTGCAATCTGTGAGGCTGATCACTGAAAGCTAATGTTCTCAGTGTCTCTCACTCTGGGAGGACTTGCAGAGCGACTAGTTGCCGGGAAGAGCTCGCCTGCAATTCTCGAGACAGCATCTTCTGTTTACCATGTTGTTGAGGGCTCAGGCCATACCGTGATTGATGGTAAAGAGTACATTTGGAACAGGGGCGACACCTTCTGTATACCTGCGTGGCATAGATATCAGCACTTTGCTGACCAGAAAGAGGATGTCTACCTGTATAGGTTTGATGATAAGCCTATGTTGAAGGCGTTGGGGTTCTATAGGGTGGAGGGTCAGAGCGATGATAGCTTGGTCACCCCGCAATGAATGAAGATACCATAGGCTAGAACGTCAATGATTAGGTATGAGTAAAACAAATGGATATGCATCTCGGACTTCCAAGCATAGACCTTGTTAACAATGCTATGACAAGACAAAAGAGAGAAAGAGGTGCTTGTTGTCCAATTAATAAGCACTTTAAATTTTAAAACGGCATAAGTTCTCTCCTCTCCAACAAACACAAATTTCAAACCAACTGATAAGGCTGCATACCACTCCCGCTTTGGAGACGAAATGCTGCAACCTTCTCCAATTATACATGTCGCTTCGTCTTGCGAAGCAACCCTCGATGCAGGGTCAACAAATGATGTCTCAACAAGGTTTCTCCAGCTTTCAACCAGGGTCTTGAGGCGTCCAGTCAGGGACCATGCGCGCGAGCATTGGCGCTGATGGGCTGCGCCGCCTCCCTCTGAACCCTGTCCTTCTTAGCCTCGGGGGCTGCAACTTCTCAGCTGAAAAAGTTTCCCTCTTTTCTCTTGCTTTTCATGTTCGCAATAATTGTACTTCAATTCCTCTTCGCCAAAATCCGCTCATTGTGTAGAAGCGAATTATTGTTTGGTGATGCTATTGTTGCTTTTTCGATAATATCTTCAGCGCACGTTTGCATCCAATCATTTCTGCAACTGTTTCAGACTACTCAACGCAAATATGGCTGTCGACATCGTATCCATCGTCATCGCGGCTGTTTCTCTCGTCGGATCCCTCGTATCAGCAGGATTCACAGGATGGATATCCTTTTACATCGACCAAGTAAAGCGACGAGCGGAAGCGAAGGCTTTGGTGCACAAATATCGAGATCCGCTGCTCTTAGCAGCCATGGATCTCCAATCCCGGATATATGGCATTGTCCAGGCTTCTCTGCTCTCATTCCATGCTGATGAAGAGAAGAGGGATTTGGTGTTCGTGTACACCTCTTTCCTGGTGGGGCAATATTTCTCCTGGACGTGGATTCTACGACGACAAGCTCAATTCGTGCGTTTCTCGACAGACAAGCAGAATAGAGAGCTGAGTCGACTGCTGGAAACCATCACGGACGAGATCGCAACGGATGCCAATGCGGCTGAACACCCATTCATGCTGTGGCGGGGTCAACAGATGGCGATTGGAGAGATGATGACGGAGAAAGACGGCGATGAGTTACATTGTATCGGGTATTCTGAATTTGTCAGAAGGTACCATACGAATGAGGAGTTTCACAACTGGTTCAAGCCCATTGAGAGGAGTTTGCAGGACTTGGTGAGGGCACGTGAGAGGCATGATCCCGTGGCGACGTATAGATTGAGGAGGTTGCAGCATCGGTTGATTGATCTTATTACGCTACTGGATGCAGAGGGACTGGGAGAGGGGAGGGATAGGAGGGATAAGGTGCATGCGGCCACGGATTGCAAGTGTGCAGGATGTCCTGGGCGACCGAAACCGAAGACTCCCCTGTTGAGCCTGAAGCAGAAGTCAGAGGTTACGAGTACGACTACTGAGTCTTAGGTCAAGATACATTTGATATATTGAGATTTGTGACGGGTTTGGGAAGTTGGGAAGTTGAGAAGCACTTTGGTAAGAAACCAGAGATGAGGACGTGGTTGACGAAATTTGTTCTATAGCCATATTGCCTTTTTTGTTCGTAATCCGAGATATCCTAGGTACATTAGTCACAATATCCATAGCTTCCGCTACCTTCGTTCTCTCCACTATATCTTCTACTCACATTCAGTGTCTCTGAAATTCGCCAGACAGCCTGCCACCGTAGTTGAGCCCCATGGTCACGTGGCTCGTCCACTATCGTGATCGTAAGCTGTTTTGACGGGTTTCTTCTTCTTCTCTTTAATGATGTTGTCACTCAAAGATAGACCTATCTATCATTATGATCTTCAAAAATGCAAATCGTCGTGTTATCGCCTCCAAGAGATAAGTTTGCTGACTCAGCTTGACCTCACTTCTGAACACTAAACTCTCCGAATTATAGGTGGCAGACTTGGCGAATACCTCAACTCTACTCAACTTCCATATATCCTTATCTCGAATGGGTTTGAGAACATTCCCTAAGATGTGTTTGAAGGACTAAGGATTGAGGTGAGCTCCGTTTCACAGATCCCAAGACCCGGTCTTAGAAAAGCGGGTATGCCGACATTTCCGCGATATGCTTCTTCATTTTCATCTCAACCATTCTGCTCACACAAGCAGCGGGTCTCGCACGTCACCACTCTCGCTCCGCTGTATATCTATTCCATGTTTGTATTAGTACCAGACTTCCACGATGATAGAAGAGACTGCCCATGAGGACGTGGAGCTCGGACACCTTGAAGACGACGCCTTTCTACCTAACCAGAATGGAACGTCCAGGAAGGGGTATTCGGATAGTGTCTTTACGCGATGGCTTCCTCCGCGGTTACGGGCTTTCGTCGAGAATTTGTCGAGGATGAAGGTGCGTCTGTTCGGGCTGAGATTTTGAATTGAGGCTGATGGGTCACGTGAAGCTCGTGATCATAATACTTGCTACATTTATATTTCTATTGGGCTTGTTATCGTACTGGAATAGACGGGATATAAGAGTAAAAATACCGTCAGATTCTATTTCGATGTCAAAAGAGCTTGCGAAGGAGATGGCGGGCACCTCGATACCGGACTATGTCCTCACATATGGTTTGCTCTCTTGGTAGGATCCGATAGAACCGGAGCTAACGTGTATTAGCTCCTTTAGTCTTCTTAGATAGAGGTGATCCATATTTTCCAAGTGATATGGCAACCCACATATCTCATACCCACCCAACCAAGAACTGGAAGAACATCACCGATGCTCCAACACGGCTCACACTTGACAATCTGGACTCTTTAAACCAATTCGGAGAAGAAGACGTCTATCTTACCTCGACAGAAGAACTCATCAAGCTACCATCGTACTTGAAAGGTCAAAAACCAGATCCAAACACCTTGCAAACAGCAGGGGCCATCAGCTGTGTCATCATCGTCGTTGACAAGGGTGACAGAATCATGGACGCTTTTTATATCTATTTCTACACTTACAACAAAGGCCCTTCTGCTTTGGGTCACGAAGTCGGGAATCACTTGGGTGATTGGTACTGTCCCGTCACCCTCGTCAAAATTTCCAGATACTAATATGAACAAGGGAGCACAACATGGTCCGCTTCAAAGACGGCTCACCACAAGCAGTGTGGTATTCCCAACATGACTACGGAGAAGGATATACCTACTCTGCCGTCAAAAAGATCGGCACCCGACCCGTATCATTCAGTGCCCGTGGCTCACACGCAAACTACGTTACGGCCGATGCCCACGACCTACACAATTTCAGTACATCCCCTTCCCCCTTCCCAACCAATCCTATTCCTAATTTTCTTCAGATGCAGACGTCCCAGCTCACATAGTCTTCGACCGAACATCCCAAGGTCCCCTCTGGGATCCAACCCTCTCAGCAAATTACTACACCTTCTCCACCTCAACCAAGAAATTCATGCCCGCGCTGAAAGATACGCCAGTAAACTACCTTTATTTCCAAGGAAAGTGGGGAGATGATGATCGTCCCGACGATATGGAGGGCCAGGAGGATTTTCACGGGTTTAAGAAGTGGACTGGGGGCCCGAGGGGGCCAATTGATAAACATTTGGATAGGATAGATGTTTGTTTACCGAATCGAGAGACGTGTGAGATTAAGAGTAGGATATGAGAAGGGGGTGTAATGATAGATGTACGCTGATTGGAAAGAGATTGTAAGAAGATAGGTATGCTCTGTGAGATAGACTACCTCAGAGCTAAAACAGATCGAAATGTCCCAGCACTAGTCGCACAATGTCAACGCTCAAAGTCCTCCTGTCCCGTCTTCACTATTCGCCGTCACCAATCTAAATTCCTTGACCTCTTCGCTCCGCTTCGGCAAGACCATGCAAGTATCCCTGCTCCTTCCCAAGCTCAAACCCCAAATTGTATACTTAGCACAATCAGTGCATCCTTCTACCTTTTTAGCAGATTCTTGTTGGCCTCCGTTAAGTTCTTCGAGTGCGCAGATAGTTCTCCGAGGTTGTTTGGAAGAGGTAGATGATGTCGCTTTGGATGTTGATTCTGGCATTTTGGATTTGTTGTGGGATGTTGTTTGGGTTTTGTTTGGGTTGAATGTGGGGAAGAGTTTCGAGAGGCGGTTGATTATATGTTGGGAGGAGCCAATGGAAGTAGTGGTTAGTGTGAATGGATGTGTGAATCACTATTGAAGTTCATGAATGTGGAAGCGGAACTGAATGGGTTTGTGAACCTTTGCTAGACAATAATTAGGGTGCATGAAGCGGTCTCGCTAACTCATTGTCTAAGTTACTTGGGGATTTTCGGATTGTAAGAGCTGAGGCCACCGGGAATGGCCCACTTAAGCGAGACGCGGTAACGCGTAAAAATTCTACACCCCATTTTAAAACCCTTACTACACAACAACCCTCTTAGGAATCAGTCTATAATTCAAGATGGAGACACCTCTTATCCTAAGTGATCCTATCGAGAAAGAGAATAATGAATGGCCTACCCCTGCACGTGCAGTTATTCGATCCCTACAGCGCTAGGGAAAGTCGCAACGCGAGATTGTCTTAGAGACCTATATCCCTCGAAGAACAGTACGCTACATTCTTAAGCAGGAATCTAGTTGGAGAGAGCGCAAAAGAAAGCTCTCTAGACACTATCTTATGTCTATACGCGACATACGTTATTGTATTCGAACCATTTCCAAAAACTGGAGCTCTAGGCGTATGACTTTTAAGGCTCTTAAAAAGCAACTACCCTACCTACCCTCGGTGCGCACCATTCGTCGAGAATTAGCCCAAGCTAGCTACCGCCGCTATATTGCATACCCTCGACCATATATTACCCTTAAATAAGCTAGGAAGAGATATGTATTTGCTAAGGAGCATAGATAGTGGGGGACATTAGACTATGTAGTTCATAGAGATGATAGCAAGCAAGGAGGGGACTAGAGGAAGGTTGTATGGTCTAATGAGGCTATATTTGAGACTAGGAAGAATGGTAGGATATATGTGACTAGGAGGGTAGATGAGAGGAGGTGCCCTAACTGCATTAAGTCAGTCTATAGGTCAGGGAGGACAATAGTCATAATATGGGGGGCATTAGGTTGGGATTACAAGTCGCTATTAGTCTTCCTAAAGAAGCTTTTAGAACGTAAGGGCATATGTTCTAAAGCCTATCTACAGCAAGTTCTTTAGCCTATAATCTTCCCTCTCTTTGATGATCTAGGGCCGGAGTATATCTTTATAGAAGACGGGTCTAAGGTGTATAAAGGGCATACTAGATTACCTAGACTATAGTATAATATCCGAGGGTTTAATTAACCTCCTTTTTTACCAGATTTAAACCCTATTAAGAAGGTCTAGAGGTGGATAAAGGAAGAATTAAAAAACTTAGACTATATGCCCAAAAATAAGGTGGATTTAAAGAGGGAGTTGTAAAAGCTATGGGACCGAGTTGACCCACGTGACTTTCGCCACTACACTAAGCAATTGACTTGTAAGATTGAGGATGTAATTAAGTACAAGGGTATAGCTACTATTAATTAATAATAAATTCCATTTTCACAGAGATTCATAAAAAGACTAAAAAATTATGATTTTTGGTAAATAAGGTCTCATTTGTTGAGTTTCGCTTAAGTGGGCCATTCCCGGTGGCCTCAGCTCTTACAATGACAGTCACTTACTCCCCCACCTTGTCCGTGCGGAGCCGGGGCTCTTGCATCAAGAATTCTAATGAACTGGACACGGCATATACCTGTGCAGATACATCTTCGAGGGTTTTCGAGGTACCCTTCACTTTCTCGAGAGCCAGTTGTACTTGTTGGATTATTGTAATCGCGGTACCGATCAATTGGAGCACTGCAGCGGCAGTTCCGATACCGTCCTGTGGGTTGGCAGATTAATATAACCCCACCAAGTATTGTCTTGAAGATCCGACTCACCATGCTTGATCTTCAATGCGGCCAACGTCTTGCACAAAACTGGAAAATCAAAAATCTTTGAATGAAAGATGATTTCGAGGCAGCGAAAGTTTCACTGGAGCTGAAGATTGCATAAGGCTATGGCCTAACAAGGTTGTGATTGGTGATCGCGCTTCAAGCCGCAACCTTGACCTATTCCAAAATACGTTTGAAGGAAGAGCAAAATCTATCATAGAGGTAACAACGCAATGCATATGCCACAGTACACCCCTGAACGCGTCCATGCTCTGACCCTCTTCGCCATTTCCTAACAAAAGATGCCAGAGCATGTCCCAAGATCATGATCGTGGGTCGTCGCAAAGCCTTTCGCAGACCAAATTTGGCGACTATGCGCGAGTGCACCAGGGCCCCATACACAATAACTACTTGGGAGGTAAGCATCCATACATGCTCTCATCTAAGATCAACGTGTCCTCTTCACGACTTTGTTGCTAACACATGAAGGTATAGGCCCTGAGAGCGACTCCAATGCCGATTTTCTCGATGCTCTGAGCCCAATTGACCCCGCTGTGGAACGAACGATTTACGAGGGCATGAATGGCTTCCTACCAGAAAGCATATTGGAGTGGATATTCCGCGATGAGGGCTACAAAGAATGGCATCTTGGGGATCTGCAGCAACAGAAACCATTGTTGTGGATCGTGGATAACACTGGAAAAGGCTCTACGGCCATTATCCTTCGACTTATTTCTCACGTCGAAGGATTTAAACATCAGCCACCTTTCTTGGGGTACTGTTTCTGTCATCCAACGGAAGACTTGAACAAAACGACTGCCCATGTGCTCGAGGGCTTCCTGTATCTCTTGCTTTCTAGCAATGACGGCGCATTGACGCATGTCAAGAAAAAATACAAGCAAGGATTGCGAAAATCACTAAAGGGCCCCCAAAGATTCTTTTATTTGGCCAAGGTCTTTACAGATACTTTGGAGCATGATGCATTCAAAGGTCACCGGTTTTAACTTTTTCATCGATGGTATTGATCAACTCGTCAACGCAGATCGGGACTTCATTCATTTGCTCGCCTTGATAAGATCTGTTACGGCGCGAGGTCATGACGCCAAATGGGTGATTACAAGTCGAAACAAAGAAGATTGGCGAACCTTGGAGCTTGGGTTCGATCACAGAGACTTCACATCATTCATTAACGTGAAAGCCGAGCAAGTACCCTCCACCTTCAGCCTCTCTGATGCTGTGGATGTCATTGAGAGCTATGGACTTCAAATGGAAGGAGGGCGCCGAAAGTTCCAATTCCAACATAATGTCCTCTCGTCATCCCTAGATTGGTTCCGCTATACGATGCGAGGTAATAGCTGGCTGAGTGATTGTCCTCAGTTGGGAACCGGAGTTACACCATCTGCTCTTCTCTGGTATCGCCCCGAAAATCTCGGCAGTAGCTCTGAAATTGCCAGTGAGCTTGGATTACACATAGGAGAGCTGTTCGGTAATCAAACGGATCGTGCTCGGAACGTTGAGGCTTATTTCTCTTTCCATTATCTTCGAACCGGCAATCAAACTCCCGAACACGCCCGAAAACTTGATGTCGGTCCCAGCATTGCTTTATGGAGTCTTTTCACTGCTTTAGTCAAAAATTGTTGTATTGGTCGAGATGATTTATCATTGATGCTTCTGGACCTGCCTTATAATACCCAGGATTTGGTCAGCCGTGTGTGCTCGAGAGCGGCAAAAATGACAGAAGAGTCAAAGCCAAATAGCCTTTCTCAGGAAGAAGAATCTGTTCAAAGCCAAAAATTTATCGAAGACTACTGGTTCGACATGTTTAAGGATACTGACCTGCCACTGTTAGTAGATCTTATCGAGAAGACGAGGGTTCTCCCTGCAATCAAGAAGTACAGGTTTCTTTTGATCGTTGACTCCTTTCATCTCATCGACAAACATAGATGGGCCGCTTGTCTCCAGCTTCTTGATGGGCTTGTAATCCCCGGAAAGTTTCGAGTGTTGGCTTCCGGAGGCTACCGCTCGAAGGATTGTGACGAGTCTATGCTGGGACTTGAGACGATCAATGCCGCTAGTCATCCTGTCAGCGAATCCACAGAATTGCGAGGTTCGTAACCATCTTCTATAAGGAGTCCCGGATCTTGATTGGAAGAACTAAAATGATCTTAGAATTTCTGGATATGCTACATTTCGATGAGATTCATGCTCGCCGCGACCAAGTCGCACAAGCTCTCCCGGGCACAAATGAGTGGCTTTGGAGTAACGCCGTATACAAGAAGTGGAGCTCAGCTGGTGGTTTCTTATGGATCTCTGGTAAAGCGGGCAGTGGCAAATCAGTCCTAGCAAAAACAATCCGCTTCGACTTTCTTCGTGGCCTCGACACCCGGAAAATGTTTCTTTGTGATTGGTTCTATAACCGACGAGGGCATGAAATTGGGACAGCTCATATCTCAATGCTACGAGCACTGGTCCACGAAATCGTCGGACACCACAAGAGCACATTTGACACAATAAAGAAGTACTACCGCGAAGAGATGGATGTAGCATTTCGTTGTGGAGAGTTTCCAGACTGGAGCATCCATATACTGAAGGTAATGCTACTGGCTTTAGCTGCTGCCCCTTCAACACCTGAAACACTGGCAATTATTGATGCCCTGGATGAGTCCAAGGATGGACAATCACGAAAAGAGATCATAGAAATGATGTTCGACATCACATCCACGATGCATGGGAGGCTTCGCTTGATCGTCCTCAGCAGGCCAGAGCCTCAGCTTTTGGACCGTTTCAAACACTGTTTCCACATCGCTATGCAAGATAATAACCGAGCAGATATTGGTCGATTAGTGGATTTCAAATTGGATGACATTCGCCGTGCATGGGTGCCGAATTCGTCACCGACTCTCGAAAGTGCTTTCGAGAAGCTAAGAGTCTCGAAAACCATCACGACGAATGTCGTCAAAGAGCCCGCAACCACCAATGACCAGTCGCTTGTCAAGAGATCAAGTGATCGCGACCAAGAGCACAGTGATTATCGGCTCCCAAGCCAGGAAGAACAAGAACTTAAAAACATTCGGCTCTATCTGATGGAAAACTCTGGCGGCGTTGTCTTGTGGGCCCATCTGATTCTGCAAGAGCTGAGCATGCTTGTGCAAAAGAAAACTGGTTTCAACATTAGATTATTGAGGGAATGCGCCGAAAAGCTGCCGAAAGAGCTGGACTATCTTTATGTCTATTATTTTGAGTCATTGGGCGTATTGGAGGATCCTGAACGGCTGAAAATGGCGCGACGAATTTTCCTCTGGGTCGTTGGGACTCGCTCCAGAGAATCACTGCAGCTTCAAGACCTACTCGACGCAATCGCAATACCCGAACTCCAAGAGATAACGGAGGAAGATGTCATTGGGATTGAAAGGTGGCAGATTGGAGGCAATTGGAACAAATTCCGCGACATCATCTATGAGCATTGTGGTCCCCTGGTTGAAATAGTCGAGAGGCGAGACGCTAGCAAGGAGGGTCATCGAATAGGACATGTTGAGCCAGTACAACCAAACTGGACCATTCAGCTCCTGCACCAAACAGTCAGGTCATTCCTGGAAAATAGGACGGGGCCTCTTCAGATTGACGAGCACCAAGCCAAACAGTTTGTTCAACAGCAAACGAACCTCTATTTGCAACTAGTGCTCCCCAAGAGACCGACTTCATATTGCCCAATCCTGCCCCCTCTTAAGACGATCCGACGGAGAAGCAACACGTCATTGTGGCCACATGCATCCAAATCGCTGGAATTTTGGAGCCTCCTACCAAAAAACCGCGGACTCAATCAAGATATCATAGACGAACTCTGGACCCGAAGCGCTTGGCTTAGCCACATTGACTACCTTTCTGATCGACCATTTTGCCGGTATGCCCTAAAGATACTGGAAAAGGACGGCGATACTCAAAGCTGGGTGAAGAGTTCAGTGATAAGCGAAGACGACATATTGCCCAACCACTCATTTCCATTGTGGTGGGCATTTGACAGCTGCCTTCCTCGAGATGAGCATAATCATCGCGACTATCTTCGCGAATTTACAGAGCAAGCTTGTCTGATGGGTCAGCCTATAGCCATGGAGATTTTATTACGATTCATGGAACTTCTGAAAGAGATGTCGAGGCGCAAAAACAGCATATCAAAACTTCGGGTTTATCCATGGAATCGTACATTGACGATGGGAGCCGTGGATGCGTTTCTTGTCAGCGCGAACGATCATCCAACTTGCGTCTACCCGCTCGCAACCACTCTTGCCAAGTTGTACAGCGAACAAGACGAGGATCTTGAGACCTCTTCAAATGTGGCAATCTCGGGGTTGGAGTCGATCAAAGAGAACGACAGAGCGGTGGCGCTTGCAAAAGTCATCGACAGGAGAGTTAAGCGCCATGCTTGTACGTCGCTGATTACGCCTGGCATTGATACGACCACTAAGTCTTCATTGTATGAATTGCATTGCAAGCTCGAAATCGGGACAAAAATCTTCAAAGATAGCAAGGAGAAGCCTAGAAATGTGACCATCGGTAGAATACACGAAGTCATCAAGACAACTTTGGAAACTTTGGAGTTGACTCAAAAGCGTAACTCGGGGCGGCGTTCTCCAAAAGGCTCGATGATTGATTTCTGGGTTAACAGCACTGATGAGCCGTTCCGATGGTTTACTCTGGCATCAGGAAGTGATGAGCAAGCTCTCTCGAGAGAACTATCGGTCGAGGAGACGATCAAGTCGTTGGACGAGGTTTTCTCAACATGGGATTTTCTAGATCTAACACATCTGGAAACGGCGTATGATAGCTTCTCTCGGGCGCTGCCTATACTGCCTAGAGATTCGCAGGGAGAGATTCGGCGGGGGAAACGGAAATCGCGCGCAAGCAAGTCAGATAAAGATGAGGATATCAACGGAGAGTAATTGGCGTCCGTCGAAGCGTTTTCTCTTCCAAAAGTCTTCGCCACAAACGCAGTAATGAGAAGGATCGAAGTGAGGATGGTTCTACTAGTTGGAGACATTTTGCCATGCATAATCACGTTGCTGTCTTAGGACCTCGTGTTTCATTTGTAAGAGCTGAGGCCACCGGGAATGGCCCACTTAAGCGAAACTCAACAAATGAGACCTTATTTACCAAAAATCATAATTTTTTAGTCTTTTTATGAATCTCTGTGAAAATGGAATTTATTATTAATTAATAGTAGCTATACCCTTGTACTTAATTACATCCTCAATCTTACAAGTCAATTGCTTAGTGTAGTGGCGAAAGTCACGTGGGTCAACTCGGTCCCATAGCTTTTACAACTCCCTCTTTAAATCCACCTTATTTTTGGGCATATAGTCTAAGTTTTTTAATTCTTCCTTTATCCACCTCTAGACCTTCTTAATAGGGTTTAAATCTGGTAAAAAAGGAGGTTAATTAAACCCTCGGATATTATACTATAGTCTAGGTAATCTAGTATGCCCTTTATACACCTTAGACCCGTCTTCTATAAAGATATACTCCGGCCCTAGATCATCAAAGAGAGGGAAGATTATAGGCTAAAGAACTTGCTGTAGATAGGCTTTAGAACATATGCCCTTACGTTCTAAAAGCTTCTTTAGGAAGACTAATAGCGACTTGTAATCCCAACCTAATGCCCCCCATATTATGACTATTGTCCTCCCTGACCTATAGACTGACTTAATGCAGTTAGGGCACCTCCTCTCATCTACCCTCCTAGTCACATATATCCTACCATTCTTCCTAGTCTCAAATATAGCCTCATTAGACCATACAACCTTCCTCTAGTCCCCTCCTTGCTTGCTATCATCTCTATGAACTACATAGTCTAATGTCCCCCACTATCTATGCTCCTTAGCAAATACATATCTCTTCCTAGCTTATTTAAGGGTAATATATGGTCGAGGGTATGCAATATAGCGGCGGTAGCTAGCTTGGGCTAATTCTCGACGAATGGTGCGCACCGAGGGTAGGTAGGGTAGTTGCTTTTTAAGAGCCTTAAAAGTCATACGCCTAGAGCTCCAGTTTTTGGAAATGGTTCGAATACAATAACGTATGTCGCGTATAGACATAAGATAGTGTCTAGAGAGCTTTCTTTTGCGCTCTCTCCAACTAGATTCCTGCTTAAGAATGTAGCGTACTGTTCTTCGAGGGATATAGGTCTCTAAGACAATCTCGCGTTGCGACTTTCCCTAGCGCTGTAGGGATCGAATAACTGCACGTGCAGGGGTAGGCCATTCATTATTCTCTTTCTCGATAGGATCACTTAGGATAAGAGGTGTCTCCATCTTGAATTATAGACTGATTCCTAAGAGGGTTGTTGTGTAGTAAGGGTTTTAAAATGGGGTGTAGAATTTTTACGCGTTAC